ATGTCCGGTGCGTGGCACATTCTTCGTCTCGCACGAATACTCGGACTATTCGCAGATCGAACGGCTCTTCCGCAGTGGACATGAGATCGCACTCAGCACCATAAGGCAAGTGAAACCGAATATCCAAATTTAAGAAAAACCGAACATGTATACAGAACCTCTAATCGCAGCGTTCAGGGGTCGTCAAACACGGAGTGAAATACAATACTACCTTTTAATTTATGCAAGATAGATGTAATTTTTGGTAGTGAACTAATAGAAATTACTACTGTTACAGTCGAGATCGAGAAAATCAGTTTTGGTGGACCTCTGTATCCAGCTACAAAGACTGGGGCATGGAACTGCAAGGCCAGCGAGAAATCCTGAACAATTTCGCCCATATTCCGTTGACGGAAGTACGCGGAGCACAGGCACCCAGTCTGCATTTAGGCGGCAACACGCAGTTTGCGGCTATGCAGGATTTCGGCTTTGAATGGGATAGCTCGGTACATTTTACAGTAGGCAGCAATTTGTTTCAGCTAGGATTAGAACTGACCTATATAAGCACTGCTGTTTTGTTTAATAATTTCGGTTGTAAACTAACTACTTTATTAAAAATTTTATTTTCGCATGTGCTTAGATAACAGTACCGTCAGCCGGGCGACCTGTTTGGCCGTATAAATTAGCCTATTCGGTGCCGCACAAGTGCCATCAATCCGGCTGCCCGACAAGGCCGTATAACTTGTGGGAAATACCCATCAACCAGCTAGTGGACGCTCAAGGATTCGGATGCTCATCGCTTGGATCGTGCCGAAATGATGAATTTAAATCTTCGGACGAAGTATGTGACACAAATCCAAGGTCGCGATACGTAATTTGCGAATTCACTAATGAGCTGATATAGAAGGTTACAAAGGAGAATACAACTCAAAAATTATAAACCAGAATAATATGTACTAATAGTTGTAAAATTAAACATGTATTATACTTTCTGTGCTTTGATGATAAAATCTTCAGAGTTATTCTATGTTATACAGGTTTTGCAGTGGCTGTTGAAGAGATTCTACCGGTAGGTCGTTCTGCAATTTTCGTCTGATATCCGTTGCACATACGCCATCTCCAATGGAATTTCTTGCATCGTCATCAAACTGTGCAAACTAATTGTATACTTCTATGTTTTATTTATAGGCATTATCATGATAATCGCGCACCGCTGGTGTTGCTCATCGATCACAACTGGATGCAGGACAACTTCGATGCCCTTTCGCGGTTCATCGAAACGGTCATTACAAAGCCGGAGCAGGACACCTTTTTCGTCACATATCACCAACTCGTACAATGGCTGCAAACGCCGACCACGTTAGATCTCATGGCGGAGTTCACAGCCTGGGCGTGCGATGAAGAAGCCACTCCGAACGTGTGTGAACCGGTAGAGTGTGACCTTCCATTTGTCCACGGCGGAAGTCGACGCTTCCGCGCCTGCATGGCGGCGTGTCCGGCTTCGTTCCCGTGGAAGGACAACGTCGACGGCAGACGCAGTGTTGACTCTACTGCCAAAAAATATGTCGAAACTACTGCAGCCCAGTCCACTACAACCACCGCAGCGCCGTAAATTTTTCACTATACGGTTAAACAACGTCATAATTTCCTGAGTTTTTTGTTTTTGTACACACGAAATTAACTAGCACCTGGTGTTGTACACCTGCATTGTAACATAGCCATGTACAATATGTTCTGTCTTTACTTTTACTAGTTTATTTTTTATCGTGACTGATAGTAACTATACCGGCGGGAAAATCGGAATCCATCCTAACAGTTAAAATGAGGGCTACTCAATTTCATAATCCGTGACATACCGAGTGCGCTTTTGCAACACCTACGATAACATTATAACGACAGTATCCGTCACAAGAAAATCTGTACGACTTTTTTAATCTGAAAGTTTCACATAAAATAAAGTTATAGGTGCATACAGCAATACATCCGTGAAACAATAAAAAAGCGCATGCACAAAAATATGGTTCTAAACAGAAGGCACGCACATATCTTTCGCTAACAGTCAATCTGCCAATACTTATTAAAGCGTATACATGTAATGATAGATCTGGAATATCTCCTTTTGACTTTTCGACTATCGGAAGAAAAGTTATTCATGTCCAAGGCTACGACCATCATCCGGCAACACTTTGTAGGGATTCAAAATTCCTTTAGGATCGAAAAGTAGTTTCATCTTTTTCATGACACTCACCGCTGCCGGGGACTGACTGTAATGGATAGCGTTCCTCTTTTTGAAACCCAGACCGTGTTCCGCTGAAATGGAACCTTTTTTCTCCTGGTCCATTCAAATACAAATGGTTCTATCGCTTTTGCAACTTCCGGTGTATAATTAGCAGCAATGATGTTCAAGTGCAGATTGTTATCTCCCAAATGTCCATAACCAGCGGAAAAGATCACTTTAGACCCCAAACGTTCTTTCATATCTTGCACAAGTTGATACATCTGCTGTTTAGGAATGGATAGATCATATTTGTAACAGTATCCACGGCGAGCGGAAGCCTCTGCGACGCCTTCGCGAATTTTCCACACAGTCTGAAAATATTTTTAACGACTCTGACAAATGCAAAAACTTTTGCAGCTTATGGTAACCTGGCACTAGCAGTACCTGCATTCGAGAAGGTTCGTCGGTAACGATGCCATCCGCTACCAAACCATTTCCCATCAAATCTTCCAACAGCTCATTTAATCGAGTAGAATCAGCTTCCGGCTGCCATCCCGAAACTTCAATAATGGCATAAAAAGGAAATTCTTTTAAAGGTGCAGGCACATTATGCTCTTCACAGGATACAGCAAAGCACTGAGTGTCCAGAAATTCGAAAGCTGACATGATGTCCGTTAGGCGGCTGCCGGCTTGTTGGTAGCACTGCAGAACATCCTCAAATGAATTCAATCCTGGAAAAATTTTTGGTTGTGATAACGTGTTCAGTCAGTACTAGCAATATATGCAATCCACCATACCTAGTAAACATAAACTGACTGATGTCGGTCGAGGAGGACAGAGGAGGGCAACTTGGGTTATTATTCCCAGACTTCCTTCGCTACCTGCACCATCCAGGGATATTAGAAACGGACACTATACACAACTGAATTGAACTGATTCATAAATCAGTTCCTCGCCGCGCTTTGTTGTAAAAATAAAAATTAGTATCGTGCATTTTTACGACTAGAACGCGGCGATAAGCAGGTGTCGTTGCTTGTGGCAAATGCAGTGCACTCATATATTTATACACCATGTTACCAATGAACAGATGATGCAGATGGTATCCGGTATTGTCTTTTCGCATGTTTGTTCCAAAGGGAAGAAATGTTCCATCAGCCAAAACCTGAATAAAAGTATCCAGTGTGGATGGATCTGACATGAACGCAAGTTTTCCTCACAGGATATCGTCGTAACTATTATTGTAACGTTGCATGATACTAACCCACCACTTCCAGTCCAAGTACATTGGCATGCAGCGATCCGTAGCGTAAAAATCGCAACCCACCAGCATTTGTGGCTACATTACCTACAGAATACCCAAATGTTCGCCAATTAATAGCATGAGCACAAGTACACTGTCCAGTGTCCACCAAATGTATGTTCTACAGTACTGTACTTTTATGGATTATAACGGTCAATGATTCAAACAGAAGCGCATATGAAAATAAGTACACTTGTGCAATCACTAATTATATTGAAGAAATACGTATTCACCTCCTATGTGACAGGATCCTTTAGCTCCCAAATCCAGAGGCACAATCCGATCATTTTCCATAGCATGATTTTCCAGCGTTTCCAGTACGGTCCCAGATTGAGCTATTGCTACGCCTGGAAAAACAACCAAACTTCTAAGCCCTGGCCTGCCCAAAGAATTGTCACATTAATTTAACACTATTATCTCTTACAACAATAGCAGCGGAATGATCTGACTTTCAGCTTGGGCGTTCACTCGAAAACATTTAATAAATGTGTAACGTACATTGCCGCTACCAGGGCTACCTAACGAAACAAAAGTCGCTAAATTTCGAACTGATGGAGATCACAAAATCCTAAATATTTATTGATGCTTCTCCATGCAAATGTGTAAAAAGCACAAAAGAAATCGTAAAAAACCCCATTCCATAATACCAGAAATTTTGTCCAGGGAAATGATTTTGTTCATCAGTCCCATACTGATGACCACTTCATCAAACACGGGAACGCTTCCGCCCACGAGGCCCGTGTTACCACCCTGCGGACACACGGCCAAATTGCGCTCGTTGCAGTGTTTCATTATGGCGGAAACCTGTTGCGTGTCTTTGGGACGGAGCACCACTTTGCTCTGTCCTGCAAGTGCACATCATAATAGTCCACCAACTCATGCAAAACGGGACGGAATGCAATATCTTCAAATGGCTACAGACCTCGACATATATTCAACCAGTCTACGTTATACCGCTCCAGATCATCATCGCTGATTATCACATTATCACTGCCCAGAATCTGTCGGAATTTTGCAAGGTCCTGGTCGTTGATCTTCTCGTAGCTTCCACGCTTTATGGAATACCGATCAGCTGTGAATGGCACAGAAAACGTGGAGGCACAACGAATGTGCTTTGGGTTGCATCCACGATTGGCCCAGGCAGTCCGGGGCAAATGCTTGGCATACGAAACCATAACGTTCAATGACAGGAAAGATTTCGGAATCATTTTCGATGTCGAATCAAATGCGCATACAGACTGTGTTGTAAGAAGACTTAAGAGAGTTTCAAACGAACGAACGTATTCTGGTGCAAAAACCAAACCTTACTGCAACATAATGAAACCACTTTCCAGCAACGATTAATCCACCTCGCAAAGGTTTGTCACAAAATTGACCACAAATGGCACCAAATTAGTTGAAACTGCCAACGAACAAAATAAAATAATAATCTAAATAAATGGCTAATGGTAAGTACTTGATAATTATTTAAATCTGGTTGCTTTTTTACAGTTTTCCCACAAACGGAAACAGCTGATTGCCAAACTCCCTCGGCATACTGGGTTCGTTAAGGGTTGCGCTGATACCTTTTGCTACACATCTATACAGTTCAAGCAAAACAGTGCGCACTTCCGTGAATTCTGTTGTGGGCCGAAAGCGCTATGCGACGCGCTGCTCTGCACTAAAGCCGTCCACCGTTCACGTATGTACCGTACGAACATCTCTAACGAGCTGGGAGATGGGAGTACTTTGACGTCTTCTTTTCCTTCCTCACAGTCTGATTTCCCTGCTTATCGTCTCGTGACATTGGAGAATCATTTGCGACTGTATTTTGACGAGTAATACGTTTTAAAATTATTGGCGCATCCCCGACCTTGTTTGGATGGTGCACAGTTCAGCGCACAATCATGGTAAGCGTAAAAAATAGAAATGTAGGACAGACGAAGGCGTGCTCGTGGCGATAATGTTCGCGTAAAAGTTTTCCGCTGACACAACAGCCTTGTGGTGCACCACTTCAGTAGTCTACGTGCGCAGTGAATGAATTGATCTCATTCGAACCGAGATGGAGTAGATCTCCGCTCCAGGGATCTACGTTAATGACAGACAGTGGATTGTAGCATTTCTCCCTCGTTTTCTTGCAGATCCGCTTCATTCTCATCCAGAATCGGGCTGGTAAAACCCGTCTGGCCAAATGGTACATGCATTTCGATGATGATGAAAAGCAGAAGTTAATCGAGGAAGTCCATGCACTGGTTACCGTTCGGGATGCTAAGCATACCAATTTCGTAGAGGTAAGAGTAAGACCGTAAGAATTGGTTTTCTGCTGATGGAAATTTACCTTGCGCACGATGTACGACAGTACTTACGAGTATGGGACTGATAAACATGTCGGGCTTTGCAGTTCCGTAGCTTTAAGGTGATTTATCGGCGCTATGCGGGATTGTATTTCTGCATATGCGTGGACATCGGAGACAACAACCTAGCTTATTTAGAAGCTATTCATAATTTCGTGGAGGTACTCAATGAATACTTCCACAATGTCTGCGAACTGGACCTCGTTTTCAATTTCTACAAGGTAAGCCAAAAGTTAGTCTTTTAGTTCTTTACGGTGCTTCTGCATGACGGTTCACATGTGAGTTGCAAATTTGCGAATCACTACAGTACGTATTATAATAATGGACTGAGATTTAAGACTTCATTAAACGTTGGAGGGAGACCTACTACACGTGTACGGACAGTTATCAGTACTTTATAAAATAACATGTAAATCATTATAAGTGATATCTTTTTCGAAATCAAAAACTGTTTTAATATTATGGACCATGGTAAACTTTAATGTCGAATGAGGCAAACAAGCAGGCATAATGTGAGGTAGAGGTTTTTTCGCTTAGACTTTGTGTCCCCGTTTTATGAGATCAGTGTATTTCAAAAATTTTCAATCCCATTTACCAGACTCTAACATTTACCAAAAATTAAAATGCATGGTAAAAGTGAGTGAATTAATAGCACTATCCACAGGAAATTGACGCTGAAAATGAAATTAGGTGCTCGTTATTCTATACCTTGCTTCCTTTAAATGCCTTTTGAGCTGTTAAATATGCATTAGCTCCTCTTTTTTCCGGGTGTTTCATGGGTTTTCAATGCATTTGAAGAGCGCTCTAATGGGGCTAGTTCTCACGATCGTGGCCTGCCGCCGCCGGTTGGGCGAGCTGGGTTTTTGCGCACACAGCAGTGTTAATTAACTCCGTATTTGACTGGTCGCTGTCGCGTACAGTCTGCTCGATTTATGCACGACATTGGCGTGGGCTTCCGCGATCGGAGTATCGATCCAGACAGTCGTTGACGTGGCGACGACGGATGCTGCTGACCTCATTTTCTGCGCAGAAGTACAATTACGTTCGCCGACAACCGGCGTAGACATTCGTTTTTGTGAAACCAACACGCCATACACTGTTTACTCTGCGTTTTTGCTGCGAAATGACTAATTTGTTGGCACATTTGATTCTCGCCCAGCTTTGCTGTTGGGCTGTGATTGTGGAGTAAATGAGTTTGTCCAATTTGCAGGTGTATTCCGTTGTGGACGAGATGTTTCTCGCCGGGGAAATCAGGGAAACATCGCAAAACCGCGTTCTCAAGCAGCTGTTAATGCTCAGTTCGCTGGAATAAAAACAAGATTCCGCTTGAACTCCAGAAAAATTAGCATTTTATTTCCGGTTATTCCGTAATTTGATAATCCAATTTCGTAGCGTTAAATGTTTTATGATGCAGAATTTTTGGTTTTGATTGTTCCTAAACTTTTGTACACGTACGGTATATCTGACATTTTTACTCCAATATTATTGTGTTCGTGTTGTGCGTTTGGTTTAGTAGTTTTGTGACGTGCTATTTATTTTATGCAAGATAACCAGCCCAACGACCTGCTAGCGACAAATACTGCCTTACTGTAAAGTGTTGCGTGGGAAGGGGATGGGACGTTTGGCGCGGATCTAGAATATTACTACGTGCATATCGGGATTATCTGGTCATCTATCGTTCATTTCACCGTCTTATTCTTCCTCCTCCGCCATCGTTGGCTTCATCATTGCCGGACTTCATGATTGCATGTTTGTTTGATTGTCTGTTTGTGAGTGTAGCCAGTTTTGTCATTGGAGTAGTCAAAGCGTTGGTGTAAAGGCGCCATCCCGGTGCCGTGTCCCTGCCCAACGGGTTTCGGGAAATGTCACTGTCGGTGGTGCTTTTAGTTGGTTAGTGTCAGTAGGAGAGCGAGAATGCGGGTGCTGAGCTAGGATCTTGCACTCTGTACAGTTCTTTGCGATTCAGTTATTTTGTTTTTTGCTCTGTCATTTAAATGTTCTGTTTTGTTTTACATGCTTTCCGCTTGTATCATCAATAAAAAGAACTTCGGTTCGGCTTGAGCATTACTTATGCAACTGTACTTCTTAAGTTCATACTGCAACGATTTCGGTTCCTGAAAAATCCAACAATATTTTATTACTGTAGAGAAAAGTTGTCACTGCAGCAACCGAGTCATAAAAAAGTTGTCGAAAGAAAATCACTTTACCACCGTCGACGTCCTTTGGTCAGACTATAAGGTGAATAGTTCTACCGATTGATCAATGCATGTTCAAACTGTAACACCGGAAGAAGTAAGTACTCTTTTCGACCCGGCGTGCCCGATGAACATTGTTTAAACGACAACAATATTATTTAAGCTGAAACTTGTGTATTCGATGCTTTCTAACGAGACGACTGCGAGACCGAATGTATTCGTGTAATTATTACGGGAAATATTGGCAAATGCGCACTTTGTACATGTGCACTGTGCCGAACTCTACGGATGTCAAATGGATAAGCTGGTGAACAATTTAGATTGCATAAACGCAAGGAACCGATTGTGGCTCTCGCGTCATTTATCTGTTCAGCCAAACGGGCACAAACCAGCACTTGTGCTGTAATTACCATGATTCCTACCTTGGCTTTAATCTTTTGCAAAACTGTCGAACGATATTATTCAAAAGTAAAAGTGATAAGAAGCGTAAATGACGAGATTGACAGCCCGCTAAGGAAGGGCTTTCAAGAAACAATAGCTGTACAGTGAGCGATAAGACGAGGATACGCTTTACCGTCGTGCACAATAACGATCGACCGGCATTGGAATATGGGCGGATTTTGAAATATGTAAAAGATGTTCGCCGCAAAATTATTTCCCCTCATGGCCAGATAGAAGCAATAATGCCCATTGTACTAGGTGAACGGAGGCCGGAAGACGGTCAAACAGGTTCCGGCGTGTCAGTGCAGTACGTGATTAGTGCAAGACAGGAAGCTCCATCAATCTTCGATCATGCGTGCACCCCTGCTATCTTGTCTCAGTCGTTTAAACTGTTTCTATCTGGCTAACACTTTAAAGCTCACTCTTATCGACGGACAAATCGCCCAAACATTAATTGCTGCCCCAGCACAGCAGCGACAATGATAATCCAAAGATAGATGGAAAGGATATCTGTGACCTTCTGGCCATTTCCTTCGCGCTTATATACACGCACGCATACTACACAATTTCTGCCGTCTGTCACTGCATGGAAACACGATCTCTTTCATGGTCATAGGAAGGTTCAGTTGTCAAAAAGATTTTCACTCTAACCAAACTGTAAATAATTAATTAACTGGTAGGAAGATCTTCGTCCCACCGTTTTTGCTGTGGTCGCAAGTTGCGAGTAAATGTTTCACCAACTATTCTTTGTTATTGAATCTATGTACCCACATGGCTACATAAAAGCAAAGTAGCAAACCTTGCCATCGTGCAGCAGTCATCAAAGTACTGTACTGTATGACAAAATACAGTATAACCAAGGTGTATTAAATATGCACCTTGGTATAACCATTGTGCCGTTACGATTGCCGGCATTTGTCTGCATCATGACAAAACACCCCTACAAAAAGCATATTCGTGCGATTTTATTTTTCAACTAGTATTTCGGCATTTGTAGGATCGCTGCTCCATTCTTAGATCGGCGCAGACGGCGACCAAACACATGGACTATATTTTCCGGAAATGATTTGGTACTTGGACTTACTACACCGGAAACTAGGACTGGTTTCCAGTGTAGATCTTATGTTAAGTGTTCTCACACTTACATAAACTGGCCACGAGAGAGAGAGTACATTTTTATTGCGACATAAACTCGTAATTCCTACTTTAAATCGGATTTTAGAATTATTTAGTCCATTTTCCCAAGATTTTGCGTACTGGTACGTGCAAGGTGCAACGTAAGATACCTTCCACAATGAAAATTATCACTGCGCGATGGTAAGGTTTTTTATATCCAGAGTTTTCCTTCTTGTAACTGTTCATTGTATCGAAGAATGAGCATGTTAAAGATTCCAGATCATCCTACAACGCGACTAAAGCGTTGCCGGTAGATATTACGGATTTGAATGATAATGTACTAGTACCACTCTGTTGCAAATTCATCGTTTCTTTTTGTTCATTAAATTTATGAACACCTAATCGGCTAATCGTAAGTAATTATTTTAAATCGAAGTGCAAGTCCGTATCGACCGAACTAAAAGGTTTTCTGTCTGACCTGGTGAAGCAATAAGCGCCGTAAAATCACTTCGTAAGGCACGAAAATATTTATTCCAATGACACTCTTTGGTATAAACAATAAAAATATTAAAACTCGAAACAACAATCTGTCGACAGAAAGTAAAGTAAACCCCAACTACATACCCAAGGTAAATCTTAAAATTTGGATAAAAATAATCAACAACTCATCACATTTCAGCAGGGGATTGTCTCAACCATTTTCGTACTAACCAGTCCCAACTGCGCACATAACAAGTCCCAGACAACGGTCAAACATCTTGCGAGTGACATTAAAACAACCAACTTGAACGACACTTATCGCGGTAATTAACGTTTAATGTTTCCGGTAATACTGCTGGATGCCATTCGGGTTTTTCCCCTGTATCCACTGTATTCAACCATCCGGTGCAGTCCTCAAACATGCAAACGGCGGGCATGGAAAATGTGTCCACCAGATGTTAAATAGATGGATAAATTTCCCAACACAAACACCGGATCGATTTCTCGCCCGCTCGGTCTGGTCTGGCCAGTGCACTGAGTCCAATCACTCCATGATGTAATTCCATCCGCTGGTCAAGCTTCCTCTCCTTTAGGCGCGCTGACCGCCGGAAATTAATGCATACCACAAATCGCCGCAAAAGGTTAAATTATCAATCCGCCTGTCAATTTGCAACTGAGATCCAAATATAGCTCCACACACAGTCAAGTTCAGCTGGCCAGTTGTGCCTAAACACAATCACCGGTGCACCCGCCCATTAACATCATCCCCAACCACCCGCCGGGGAAATCCGGGTTTGGGAGGCAGCGGCGGCGGGGGTGTGGCCAGCCGTGTGCGGGGCGTGATCACCGGCGATGAATCCGTGGAGGACGTTATTGTTTCGGGCAGGGGGATGCGGGTTCGCGAGGGAATTGCGGGCGTACTCACCGGTGACGAGCTGATCGATGTCCTCGTCTCCGCCATACTCCTGGCGTTTATCTTACAGGCACAGCCGGTCTGGTGGTATCTTTTATAACACTGTGCGCAAAGTTCCGTCAGTCCGCGACACGGCCAGTAACACAAAAGGCACGGGAGACACGTCACCGACAACACACCCAGCAAGGCCCATCGGGAGCAGCAGTGTTTGCCGTAGCACGCGCAGGGATTCTCCACGGTCTTATCCATTTCGTCCGCCGACCAGTTGGTGCAGTGATAGAGAAATCCCTTGACGCAGCTCATACAAGACAACTGGTCGACCACGCTCTCCGCCGAACACTCCAGGTTGCCGTTACACAGCCAATAAGAGGGTAATTGTTTGGGAGTTATGCAAGCCGCACACCGACACCGTCCGCATTCGGGACAGATGATGCCGCCGGGTTTCTGCACATCCGGTTGGACACTAATCCACGTCTGCTCGGGAAGGAGCTGCTTGTGTCCGTGAATGGCACACGAGCCGGATTTGCGTTTTAACCGCAGCGCGTCTTCCTCGAGTAGCACTGAGTGCGGCTGTTTGGTCAGGAAGTGATCCGTGTCAAAGGTCGTCTTATCGCGTAATTTATTCGCGCCGGTATGATGATGGGCTTTTTCTTTGCAGCTGACAGGTGCATGCAGCGCATGTGCGCCGCTGTCGCCACCGTACCATGACGGGGGATGAGTTTTTTCCGCCAATTTGGCCGCCGCCGCCGCCGGTGAATCGACATACTCGTTACGGTAGCGGTCGATGTGGGGGCGCGGCTGGTCCAAGCGGATCGCGGCATGGCCGGACTGCGCCGACAGAACAGCCAAACGGGGATCGCCGGTTACGCTGCGCTGCGTCATTGGTATAGTAGACGGTATGGAAGCTGCCCGTTGTCCACTTCCATTGCGGCTGTCCATTGCATGTTACTGAAGAATTGTGCAGCCGTTTCGCGTTTGCCTCTCTCTCACGAAGGAAATTTCAGCCCCCGAAAGGATCCCTTTCAAAATGATGCTTATCACACCCTGTTCCCTTTATGCGTTCGTCTCTCTTCGCGGCTTTATTATCCGTCTTCTTTGATCGTGCATCTCTGCAAATGACACAAAGCATACCGTTAATTAAGTATGAAGTTTCTGTCATGTTGCAAGACGAGGCGAAAAGATATTTTGCATATATCGTAATATTATCTGATCATACGTCGCTGTGCGCATGAATGCACCCGGTAAATGTCTTAAAAGTCCGATCATGATTCATACTCAATGCATTTGACCGTTAAGTAGCCATACATAATACTAAGAAAAATGTCTTCGGACAACATTTTTATTTCCGATCTAGGAGTAGCTTAATTTTCAGTTGTAGATGCCGAAACAATTCACTGAAGCGCGTCAGATCTTCAAGCAATTCGCATTAAAAGTAAATTTGTTCTTCTCGTAACACTTACAGAAAACTAGTCACACTGTTTAAAGTTACTATGGTCGGCTAATAAGCTTAGCTGCAGTTCATATTATTAGCACATTAGTAAACTGTTTATAAAGGCATTTTGCGTACTTTGTTTGATCACCAATCGCGTTTTATCATAAATCGCAGCCATATAACCACAAACAACAACAACACATTCTTGTCCAGTTTTGCACTGAACTAGTAACTACATACTCGTATATCGCCGGAAATGCACTCCTTACACGTTAAGGAAACGTTAACGTAGCAAACACAGCAAAATACGCGGTTCGAATTGAATGCACCCATGCCGATCCGACGTTATGATTTATTTTGTTAACCTTTGGAAGCAAGTTATCAGTGAATTAATCAGGCGATCAAAATTAGCACTGCCAACATGGGTGTGTCGTACAGTATATATATTTTATCTGCACGACACACTTTCATCTGCAGAGATTTCTGCACATCGACTGGCTTGCTTACGTCAAACGCTAAAATATACAGAAAAGCACACATTTCGATATACGTAGTGTGGCTTCGTATATTTTCAACCGGCTCATCACTCACAGGGTTAAACTTTACAAGCACTTAATAAACGAGGTCCGACGATAGCGTCAGGCGGACCATCATTCAAAAAATGCCGGTTTCTATAGGCCTCCATGTAAAAGCATCCACAGGCTGTAATATGATGCAAAGATATTTTGATCCATGCGAGCATGACAAGAATGCAAATTGCAATCTGTGCGCTTTATTCCACTCCCGCATCGTCCCAAATGTGCATTCCATAAAAATCTCGCAGCATCCCATTTATATCACTGAGCAATTTCTTAATTATTACTGCGCATGCCAGAAATAGCAGCTGGAAAGAGCTCTCTGCCGTGAAAACTGGAACAAACGCTGCTCGGTGATCATTTCGACTAACCTTTTTCATGATCATGTAACATGCATTAAATGGTTTCGTTTCGGCACATAAAAACAGTCATCTAACAAGATATATGCTTGGTTGGAAAAATGACAGTTTAGCACTAGTAATCAGAGCACAGGTCCGGTTGTACGGTTTCGTGCGAACATTAATAATTAGACGGTTTATTTCATTAACTCTTTAACATAAAAACTAAGCGCAAGCTGTAGATGAAATCTAATGGTCTGTCTTGTAGTCCAAAGAAAGTTTAAACTGAAGGCTTTTCCGTATTTACGGAACAATTCGACGCTTTTGATTCTTGCTAGGTCAAAATGCGCGTTTCGATATAAGAAACCAAATAGTTGAGTGGCTAACGGAACTGACTGTTTACTTGCACACAGTGACGGCCCGAACATTCTCAACGAGAATAAATGTAAGTACTGTACTGTAATTGTAAGCGGTCTTTCGCATGCGAAATAACATCGGCACATGGACGCATAACACAACCGGATGTGTCGAAAGATGCGACCAGGCCGATAAACGGCATTACCATCCTTCTTGAATCAGCAGTCAAAGCGACAATTTATAAATCTAATATTCATTCTATAATTACTGCGCAGTTTTCTAGTAAAAATACCGTAAGTCAAAAAGTAAACAACGATTGCAACAGGTTCATGACAAATACGTCACAAGAATATTTACACGAAATCAAAATTCTCCGAAAAACAGAAAACCTAGAATTTTGTTTTACTGATTGTGAGTTCTTACTAAAAATCATCAAAAAATTTTTAAAAAGTGACCAAGTACATTTAAGTTTACATCATAGGTATATCTATATTATCATTATTAGTTTATTACAAGGATGCACCGCGTTGGTGCAGTATAAAGGAAAACATGCGGGAATGGAAAAGCCGCTTTGTAATCAAGTACCAAGATTGGCCAACAAATAATGATGCAAAATGTGAGGTTTACTTTGGGATTAGTATGCATTGGGATTTTGGTAATACGCGGTGAACATAGCGCTGAATGGTTCACAATTTGTACACCATTACGGATTTGCTGCCTGAAGCCGAGCACAATGCCGGTCATGAATGGCCGCCGGTCAGTCAGTCAGTCTATGAGAGAGCAACACTGCAGCACAGGTAAACAATAAAATCGTATCCGGTGCCATACAGCCAGCTCTGTCTCCGACTGGCTCTTTTTCCTCTCTATCTCTCTTGCGTCCGCTAGTATGGGATAACTATGGCTGTTTACTTACTTTATCGCGCTTGCAATCAATTCAATTCATAGGAGAAAACAAACCCCAAGTTTCTATTCATCCCGTCGTTGCCTGAGCGAAATGCGCTTTCAATCTTTCATCACAAATCTCACCTTACCATTTTCCTCTGCCTTTTATGACTTTTCATCGTGCGCAGTGCACATAGCCGGTTTTACGCGCACACAAGGACAGTTCTGACCTGTTGCATAGAATATGAGCCTGTCAGCTCAAGAGATGTGCTGGATAAGGATTGAGGATAGAAACCAGTCGAGCCACTTTCGAACAGCCAACATGCATAATGCAGACCACTTGCCGCTCATATTCTGCGGCTTCACGATTTTGTAATTTGCGGCCATGTCGATAAAATTTGGTTAACCATCAGCGCAAATGTCTAGTATGTCCAGCAGTCATGTAATATGTAAACATTTTGATTTGTCCAGAAAAGCGCCATACAAGCACAGTAAGTACGCGAATTGACGGATATCTCCGATTAACGGCACCGCAAAACAGTCACTAACAGTTATAATAACTTCTCAATCGATCAAATAATTCTCTACACTTGATTCTAGAATCAAAAGGATTCGAAAAATAATCCCTATAAAAATTAAGTAACAACATCTGCATCAAATGCTTTACTACTTCAAAGCGTGGAAACGGAAACTAGACAAATAAATAAATTTCATCAAACCAACTATGCAGTTTTATACCATCACCACGTAGCATTTTGTCAGCTGCCAGCTGATCACATGTCGTACACTCGTACTTTAAAATAATCACAGACACACAGTTCCCGTTTTTCGTTACAGTGAAACTTTAAACATAAATGGCAAACAGTTGAAAAACGGTACTCATTAGCCGTTATGATATACCTAATATCACGATTAACTTTAAATTTCCATCGATCCTACTCTGAGGTAGCGAACGCTTTCGAAAGTGGAACAACGCTCAGAATCCGGAACTTACATGACGCACAGAATCCGGATCGCGCTGTTGTATCATCCATTTGGCAGCGTCTCTATGAAGCGGAAGTGCAGTGACGTAAAATATTCCTTTTAATTCCAGTTCATTCATAAAGCAATTTCTGGTGATAATGATTTGGCAGACCTAGCCCAGTTCGGTAATTTCAAACGGAGATATTCCAAAGAAATTTCGTTCAGAAATTCTGACTACGATATATCTGTACTGCAGCGTACGCTCCGAACGAGAATATGTTCGCATATCAGAATGTTATCGCATATCTCGGTCTCTTGCCATGACCAAGTTGCTGCTGCTGGCGCAGCTTGAATGAAACAGAACTCTACGGCACGTTGTGGTTTTAGGATCCACCTTCCGGGCCCCGGCCAATCACAGCGCGGTTGCGGCAGTATTCTGGTAGCAATGTGCTCGTTACGCTGGTTTCGGTCTCTACCGGCGACTATCGAATATATCGCTCGCTACCCGGTAAATTGCCGTTAAATGTAACCGATAATATTCAAAAAGGTTTATTTTATGGAGTGCGTTACGTTTTGCGATGTGTTTATTACCACAGAAAAGCGCTTTTCTTGAAAGCAATTACTACCTTGAGATAAATCTAAAAGTATGAAGCAGAAGAACATGGAAAAACCGGTACTCGAGTGCAACGTCTTGTAGCTGCTTCACGACACCGGGCAAACACAAGCAAATTCGAGTCTCTAAACCCGTGCTTAAACGGTGCTTTGTATATGTATTATGTTCAGCTAATATAAATCAAGAAATGCACACATATTTCTAATTTGATTATAAATTGGGCACAGAAAATGATGCAGTGCAGTGAATGCCCTTTAGAAGACCTTATATCTATATACTGTATATAATTCAGCCATTCCAGCTTCCGAATAGTACACGTAGTACGATATATGTATTGTAAGTACTCAAATAAATAATATCTGTAAAAACCTATGTGATTTCCCTGATTTGGGAGCGTTAAGATAAGATTTTTTAGTTATGATTGGCGCATACACTCTAGCAGTAACAAGCTTGATTATTACTTTTATCCATCCATCCAATTGTATGCTACCACTTCAAAGATCTTAGTTTATAAAGACGAAAATTTAGGTACTTCGTATATCATTCGTAAAATATTGCACAAGTGTTTCGTTTAATTTCATGTTTCATTGATATTTACAATTTTACATCTGAAACTTCTGTAAACTTTCGACCGGAAGTAGATGCCGGCAGCGATATGCATCTGATTTAAAATTCTCATCTGTTCCGCAACAATTGAGCAAATTTTGGATTGCCATAAGTGTAATGCATGTAATTAATTTAAGTGCCGCGTAAATCTCATTGCAGAACTTCTCATAAAGCATTTCTCACGAACTCCATGGACAATTAAGCAGGAGATCATAATGAAAATCTTGCGGAGCTATGGGAATGAATCAAAAAGAATGGATCGGAGCAGCACGCCATTTGTAGTCCACATGTGCGAGACGGCGAGTCTTGTGCTGCTGGGATATTTATTGATGTGGATGGCGTTAGGAGATGCTTTTCTCGTTACAAGGAGGAGTTTAGACACATGCTGCGCGCTTGACCAGCTCGTGCGCTGCTGTCCGACCGCGCTGTCCTGTCACTCGCCAGCATCATCCATCCTCATCTCCACTCAACCTTTCACTGCGCACAGTCGCCAAACGGGGCGCCAAAAAAGTAAATTACCGCGTAGAAAAAGAGCGGGAAGTACTGTTTGTTTCTTTCTGCAGTAATCACCACCATCCATATTCGCCAGCTATAATTACGCTGCTGACTGACCAGTGGTCACGCTATACAACTGTCGTTAATGCTCATATATATATACCGGTATACGCTTCTATAACAACCTTTATTGAGTTCCGTGTACATAATTAGACTCGTTTTATACTGTACTGAATATTGTACAGTAATACTAAAGCCGCAAATTTGATTTGACTGTTACTCTAGCAGACTTTAGCTTGCATGCTAGCTTATGTTAAAAATATCCTTGCTTTTTAAATGTCGGAAATTATCTTAGCGCTTAAGATGAATTTTTCAAAAATTCAGCGTAGAACACGATGGTGTTTTACTTATTTTGTACGAGTACTTGTTAGAATGTGCCCATAATTGTCAGTTTTATTTTGCTTTTGGAAATTTCTGTCTGATTTCCTTGAATTAGCAACTGCTTTCACTTGTTGAAAAAGCACGAATCGTACTGTACAATGAGTGCATTGTAAGGTAATTTGCAGGACACACTGAAATGGACGGGGCGAATTTGATATGGCAGCCAAAACGTTAACATTTGAACCTTTTGCCGCGTTGTCGAATGGTAATGGCCTGATTAACAATGGACAGGCTTCTTTGGGGCTGCTAGATAGTGGACGGGCTGCGGCGATGAATGGTCGCGATGTCCTGCAGTTCGGATACTTTTAAAGCAGCGTGGGAAACGCCACTCCCACATGGTGAGCAGTGCAGCGCACAGCTCAGCTTCCTGCTTCTTGAACGTGAATGCTGCCTGTTTGCTTATTAACCGTCTTCCTTAATTTCATTTCTCCACTTTTGAGTCTGTGTACCCAGAGCTAGTAAATCCCTCCATTGAGTGGCGCTGCACGAACACGGCAAATGACTGAAATGAAGGATAGGCGTCAGCCGAAATACAGGATATGCATTTGCAGATAATTATTCGTCTTTGCTAAATGAAACTCATTTCGGACTCGGCGCGCGACACGAGAATTAACGGCGGAGCGGTCGGTGCATGTGTGCAGACCAATGTAAAACTTGTTTGCTTCTTACTCACATAACCCCTGCAATCAAAATAAAAACGTATGAAACGTATGCACATAATATTAATCAGCGCAAAGAACTGTTCAGAATGCAATAATTTTGTTACACAATTCGGTAAACGTGAAATTAACCTTAATCATAAAAACATTATGAATTTTTTCTTGGAAATTAATGCACTTTTAAAATGGAATATTGTATAGAAGTATATCTTAATTTCAAGGTAAATTTAAGAAACTTTTCATCTCGTTCGTCTCCAGCATATAGAAGTGTTGTTAGTTTACAAGAAAACAAAATTAGCGAAAGAAAATGTATTTATACACAATGCGAACATTTATGTACATTGTATACGCCAATGCTACCCTTTCTGAAAAGGCGTGGTTTGCGATATTCTGATATTGCTTTGATAACAGCATAAGGCTACTACGATATGACGGTTGCTTCAGCTTCTCTTCCTTGAATAATTGCCTTCTTAGTTTCCTCAAACGTTTTTATGAATGATACATATGCACGGTATCTAATTTTGCAATGCATCTGTGCAAGCGTTGCCGAGGGAGATCCGCTTAATGAGCGGCATAATTAACGAATGCAGGAAGGTATTTACTTAGCGCGGTTGTCGAATCCTGCTGGTTAAATAACGTGGGAACCAACCTGTTGCAGCGCTGCACAGTCCCTATCCTGAGCTAAACGGACAACGGTCGAATGGGAAAAGCTGACAGGTGCACAGTAATAATGAGCACAATGGATGATTGTTATGGTCAGCAGAGTGAATCGTGCCGGGCAGTAACCATCGCAAACGGACGACAGGATATATCCATTCAAGAGACTACTTTTATTAAGCCATACGTGTCACATCTAACGCTCCGGTAATCAGGCGCGTAAACCGATTCCTTTTCATCGGTTCCTGTTTCCCAGACCTACATTTCTTGTTTTCTTCCCTACACTCTGTTTGCATCCATTCCACTCATATGCGCCCATGACTGCGCTACATTAGTCACCTGTGACCTTTAAGATTGAGATTTACCTACACTGCTGTGTTTGTCATACTGCTTCTGCTTACGTATACGGCTTATTGCTCAGATGTGGGGAAACGAAAAGATAAAATAAAACTGATCTAGCATTTCCCGTAGCATTCTTCCTTCTGTAGCATTCTTCTTTCCCGTAGCATTCTTCTTACAATTGACTTATCGGTTTCTTCTGTACAGTATTTCTGCCTAGGCCTGGAATGATTATCCAGATATCGTACACGTTTGTTTTTTGATATATTTAGCGAGGTACTGATTTTAAATGTTTTGTATGGTATACAATTTCTCTTAAAATATTGTCATGTACAGCTTTTTGCGTCATAAAGAGGGAACAAAATCTTTCGCTAAGTTGCTGAAAGGTTATATAACCTTCCAAAATATGGAAAGAATTGTGATTCTAATATACTAGAATTACAAGCGATTCCGCATCTGTTGGATTCAGAAGCTCTTTGGTGAGCTTTTCTGCCTTCCGCTTTGAATACAACCTTACGGAAATATTTTAATTTCGATTACCTCTGTAATCTGTTTAAAGTTGCCGAAGAAATGTGCGGTCTTGAAAGAAAAACCGAAGCAACCTGAAGCAATCCGTAACGCAGTAGCCAGGTGAGTAAGCCTAATGCACTGTATATATATTGAATCAGTTGTTAAAACTGCATAAACTGTAACGTAACAACAGGAGCGGCAGATGAGAATGCTATTTCTTTAAATCAAAATTTAAAAAACCTACCCAGTAGTGCCAGTACTACAAATACAATCTGACTAAATGAGGAGGCTACGGTCTATGTTAAAAAGCCAGCGAACAGCCTTTTCGCTGTCTTCGCTAAACGCATACCCTAAACCCGTAGCTTCCTTTCTTGCTCGCATTGTACTTTATATATTTACGAGTAATCTGCACTTGGTGCCGAATTCCTGCATAGTCGCACTGCGAATTTCATCATGTGGTTTTAGAGTACGAAAGCCCACGTAAACGAGGTGGAGAAATGTCCTTAGCGCGAACTCGAAGCAAATGATGTTTTCTTCGCTTGCGTGTCAGTCAAACAACAAGAAATCAAACAGTAATCAAATTATCATACAGATTGCAAAATACACACATTAGCATATATTTTCGCGACTGTACTACGAAGGAGTTGCATGCCGAAGCTCCCCGTCAGATTCACATCTGCCATCAGAGTTAAAAATCACGATCTACCAACAAACAAAAGCGGACACAAACTATGTACACGGACACGAATGAGCAGCCCCATTCCGCTGACGCAGCCCTTGTTATCCACTAGAGTTATAAAAGCTCTCATACCAAACATAACTTCACTCCTAAGCCATATTGTCACATTTGAGCAGCACCGAAAAAAGCATATTAAAATAAAATTAAGACCAACTATAATAAAACAATCGTTCATATCCTCACGAGGAGCCTCCGTCCGGTTTTCCGCCAGCTGCCCCAGAAGGCGCCTCCTCCGACGATTCTCTGTGGAAAGACACATCGGCCACGGAAGATTTCCGCCGCGGCCCAGCTCCCGCCAGTCCCGCGAACATTCCCGCCGGTGACGATTTCCTCCCGTGCCGATTAATGCGCCCCAGTGGCTGCACCGGTTGTACCCGCTCCGGTGACAGAGCACGCCGCAACAGCGACTTCCCCTCACTCCCCGACTGCGGCCGGGTAAAGGACCGCCCATTCCCGCCGGGCACCGGAATCGCTTCCTGTAGTACCGGTGCCATGAGTGGGCTGGGTGAGCGGGAATTCGGGCTCGGTGGGGCGGGTGAGGGCGGCGCCGGCGAAGGTGTTCGCGCCAGCGGCGATACAATGGGCACATGCCCAACGGACTTGCGCCGGTTCCGATTCCGCATCATACTCATGGCTTTATGCTTCAGACCCAGCAAGGAGCTCGGCCGACTGAAATGTGGAACCGCGAAAGCCGGACTGGGCATGGGAGAGGGACTGGCAGGTAAAACAAACCGTGAAATCGGCGGCGAACGACAGATGGCGGGTGGCGACCGCGGAACCGGTATGCTGGCTTCCCGCGAGCACTGTGTAGCGATGCTGGGTGTGGGCGACAGACTGCCTTCACAGGCCGCCCGCCGGTCACTCAGTCGGCGAAAGAGCGACGAACGTCGACGGATGTCGCGTGCACCACTGCGCCGCGACCCAGAGTTCTTTTTTCCCCGCTTGGCCATCTTGCTCTCAGCCAGATGGCGTTTCTTGCCGCCGGATTTGATCGATGTCTGATCGAGAGGAATGGTCCGCACCGTGATCTTATCTCCACCGGAGGCCATCAGTTGAAGAACCTGTGTGTGTAAGAGGCCTTGAACGCGTTCACCGTTGATATGTGTCACCAAGTCATTCTGCCGCACACTGCAAACAACAGACAAATAAAACAAATGCCGGCTATCACTGCATAGTAAACAGGAACTAATGGGCAATACTGACACCTCCTCTGTCGCCTACCAATCAAAAAAAGATGACATTATCGAAAAATATGGATTTATCGCAAATCAAAGCGACCATGACTACAACCGGGCTCACAACAAAATTAAACAATCCAGGCAGCACGGAAAAAAGTAAATTTCCCAAGGGACAATCTCACAGCGGTCGTGATGAACCGCGGCACTTGATCGGCCAAACAGCTGCACCCCCCAACCACAAACGAGATCACTTACCCAGCCTCGAACGCACTTCCTCGCGTGTCAATGCTCTGCACAATATGGTGCAGCACGTAGACATTGCTGTCGCCAATATACACGGGCAATGCGGCTAATGTGAAGCCGAATCCCCGAGGACCTTTGCGGATGATTAGCGGCGGATTGAGCGTGTTGAGCAGAGGAGATAGTTCGCGTGAAGGGGATACATCACGTGAACTGGTGCTGGACGCTCCCGGTGACGCCATCAGTGAATTCACTCGTCCGGGTGCCGCTTCCTGCGCGATGGACAAAGCCAGCGCACTACTGGATTTGGCAACGGGACGCGACGGTGAAGCTAGGGGCGACGCCGGTATCACTGGCGACAAATGTGGTACGGATGCGGTGGATGCGGGACGCTCGTCTAACGGGCGGGCTTCGCTCATACCACTGTGGTCTTCGACGGAGATAGAAAATGTCGGCAAGCGTGGGTGTGAACATGGTGGCAGGTCCGGATCCAACTCCACAGTAGAGTTCGACCATTCCCCGCTACAAAATCCAAAAAACAAAGGTTAGCACAGAGACTGTGGCAGTTATTAGGCTGGATTCAACTTCAAAATTTCTTAAAGTAAAATTCCGGAAACTTGTCGTAATGATTCGTAATTAATGTCAACTCGCAATTAACTGGCTAAATGTGAGTTGCAACAAATATTGCACGTATGAATCTTATGCTTCAACGATTTTTGAAATACTTCTTTTATAACATACGCCTTTTGCTTTTCGACGTGCAAAACTTCAAACTAAAGCAATATAAAATCATAGAGTTACAAATCTTAATTTTGACCTGCAACATACGAAGTTCTGGGTAGTGAACCCAAAGATTTAATCAACGCATTGCCCAGTCGTAGCACGACCAATTTAAAGATACGACATATAATACCAGCACGTACTTATTTTTACTGCATTTGAAATCTGGCTTCGCCAGAACGCCATAACCCTTGCTAAATGGCTTCTGGCATAAGGTCCATCGTTCTAAACTACTTTGCGATCTAACCAGTCTGAGTCTGAACCCCGCTAGTTTTTAGTCGACGTACCAAGTATTAAACCATTGATGTCAATGCTGCAAACCTCCCATGAATTTTGAAAGCTTTTTGAACACATTGCGTGTTAATGATTTCATCAACCGAGCACGAAAGTGATCACCTGCCGTATCCGACAGCTATTTATACAAAATCGATGTGCAGCAATATCATTCAAGTGCTATGAGCGGCAAATTAAACTGCATCAGCACCTCGATCCGTCGCGCATCTGTAGAGCGCAGGTTTTTTCACATGATATGTAATTACCAAGACAAAATATGCCAACCCAGCGATTAAACTGCGGCATCAAGTACCGAGCACGTGCCGTATTTACCAACCACTTTGACCTTTACATAATAACAAGTATGCAGTTCCTCCCCGTTACATGATATGCCAGCCTTATTGTGAAAACCTGGAATCTTATCGAAAACACTTATCGCAGCAGGATAAAGTAACGATCCCTTGTTATCTGTTTAATTTCCGTAATAAAATTCTAACAAATGAGTTACCTAGTCATGACATCACCGATCGGCGTTTCTTCATCAGCGGAGTTTTTAACGGTTGAGCTCTCGTCACCTTCGGAGCGAGTGGTACTGACACTAGTGACGGACGTGTCATCTGACAATGCGCTGGTCACACTGCTGTTGCTGTTCATCCGCGTCTTATAGGTGCGCCGCAGTTCTTCCAGATCCTTGTCACTACTCGAGTACACTTGGCTGTAACGTGGGGAACAGCTGGAAAAGGACGAGAACAAGGAATGTTCGTCGGAATCATCTGGATCGTCGTCGCACCCTTCCAGTTCGTGATTATATCTGTGAACCATTGATAAAACGACTGTCAGGAAATCGTCGACGTCATACATCAGGAAAAGGGCGCAACGGACTTCCTCAATTGATCACGAACTGATCGCAGTTTTAAAATTACAAAAACATTTAATCACAACACCGCGATCATTCACACGTGGCGTATAACAGTACAAGCACTTTACGAATCAGTTCAATATGTAATTATTGCGTGCATCGCATTGTAATACAACTCAACCTCCTCACGGCTGCACAATCCAAATACTTTATGTTTTATATTATAGCGTATATCGCTTTGATTTAAACACCTAACAATAGCTCTAATACCATGTTATGAAATGCCAGTTATTACACCAAGTATTGATAAGTAATTCGATAATTTCTAATCTTATTCTTTCAACCCCTTGAATTTGCATACAGCGAGTGAGACGAGAGAGCTTTCCTGGGTAAAGTACATATACTTTCCAGCTATGCGTTTTCCCAGCATCATGTGAGCGAGTGTTTACCCTGGGAGCTTTGTCCAATTAAAAATCAAAATCGATTGTCTACTTTTACATATTTGATGAGATCGATTTCAGTTTATTTACGGCCCAGCCACAATCGATCTCCAACAAGCACACACGATCACCAGTGCCTGACGTCAATTTACTTAACAGCCACAATACAGCCCAGTGACAGTGATCCCCTATTCAACAATTCATTCCCCATCTCACCTGTCGATACGGGAATCAAAATAACTTGTATCCTCCTCATTATCCAGTCGCGGAATGAAATCCACCTTGGTCAACATCAGCGATGCCCAGTCGATATGCTCAAAAAACACATGATCCTTCACTTCCTGCGCTCCACCCGATCCCAGCCTCTCATAGGGATTCTGCTGCAGTAGCCGCGTAATGACGTCCTTGGCCTCCTCCGGCGGACACAGCCAGTCGTCTTCGTCGGGCCATTCGACCGGTTCGTTGACAATGTGCATAAACAGCTCCTCCACTGTGTCACCCATGTACGGCACACAGCCAATTAAAAACTCATACAGAATGATCCCCATGGACCAGTAGTCGACAGACTTAGCGTAGCCTTGCCGGAGAATCACCTCCGGTGCGATGTACTCCGGTGTACCGTATACTTGCTGATCCCGAAACTGCTGGGTGGTACCCTCCAAAAGGTTGGTGGTCAAATTCATCAGTCCCATTTTCGACAACCCGAAATCAGTCAGTTTAATGTGGCCTAAGGAGGTGATGAGGAGATTATCGGGTTTCAGGTCACGGTGCACAATGCCGTAATTATGCAGATATTCGAGAGCTAACACGGTCTCTGCGAAGTATAAACGGGCCATATCCAGCGGGGAAGGGACCGATGCTCTTTAACAGAGTGGCACAATCCCCGCCCTACAGGGAATAATACATTTTTTATTACACGCACAAATGCAACAGTTCCACGAAATGTACATATGCTACGGAGAAAATATAGCTTTCAAATCTATTCACATTTTCATATTATTCGAAACGATCAGGGTGTCTAAAATTAAACAGTCTTGAAACGTACACTGTGCACAAGTTTACAGTAATTTCATTTCAACCATCTCTATGTTAGCAGCGTGTCAGGATTAGTGCGCTCAACCAAATCGAACAAGATTAAGGTCAACAGTCTGTCGAAAAATCTCATGAATATTTATATGGCCCCTATTCGGCAACCATAGATTAATAAAATAAAATATTATAGCATCCCTAATTCGAATGATAATTCACTTTCGCTGAAATGCGAAGACAGAGAAAATAGATCCGAGATCGGTTTGTAAAGGCCAATCTTAATCTTTTGCAATGCCTGATATTTTATGAGGTAACCATATCGCCAATCATGCTCAGCGTTATTTAAAATCAATTTTGACGAGATGGAAAACGGTTTCGTAATGTCACTTCTGATAACTGGAACCAGCACAAGTGTTTTTGCAGTTATTCCTAACGATCTGTTTCAAGCATGATTTACCTCTAAATATTCCATGACCAAACAGAGATGTTTCTTCGTTTCAAAGGAGCAGAACATGCCAACCACGAAAGGATTATCGGAAAAGCTGAGAATATCCCGTTCGGCAAACACTTGCTCCACTTGGTTACGCAGTACCAAATTGGCTTTGTTAATCTTCTTCATGGCAAAACGCTGGCGAGTTTCTTTGCAGCGCACAAGATAGACCGCACCGTATGCCCCATTACTGATCAATTTAATTATATCGAAATCATCTTCCTTTGGCACCTTTACCGCCTTACATGCCCGCTTCTCGCTCACTGCCGCCACAGCGGCATCCAAGTCCAATTCCTGCTGCAGTTCAGTGATGCGATCTCGGTTGAGTCCCAGCTTACTGACGATATACTGTGGAATGCTGTGGGTATCTAGCCGAATATTGGATTTCTCCTTGGCCTGACCTTCGGCCGCCTCCAACAAACTGTAGAACTCGGCGGGATTGAACTCGAGACATTCTAGCAATCGAGCCGGGCGGGCAATAAGCATTAAAATCTCTTTGACCAATCGGCTAATATAAACCACACTCCCGGGTGCCTTTTCTTTGACCTCACTGGCCAGCTTTTCCAACTGCTCCGACATTTCATAAAAGTACGCACAGGACAGATGGTTCTCCTGGGATTTCTGTAGACAATCCTGAGCCAGCTCAATCAATTGATGATGCACAAAGCGCGCTATACTATCCATATCATCCGACTCACTGCGACGACTATCGAGAAACTTTTTCAGCTTATCCTCCATCTGCACTTTGGCATTGGGGAAGCGATCACGATAAATACTGTTCATAAAGACTAATTCATTATCACAGGGATTAGGAGATCGTGTGGGACTGAGACTGCGTGAGCGGGGTTTGTGGAGGAGTAACTGACGCTGGGGTGACATGCGGCCAGGATGTTCACCAGCGGGATGATGAGACGGCGGACAGGGCGAGGAGTTCTGGATAACGGCCAGCGCCGGCAGACGTCCTTCATCGTAACCATGGTGACCCACCTGGTGCAAACGCTCCTGTGATGAGCACTGTGAGGAAATGGTAGAGCTCTCCGGTGTGTTGGTGCCGTAACCGGAAGAGGGCAAAGAGGTCACAGACCAGCGACGCCCGTCTTGAATGCGCTGCAGGATATGCGAAAAAGGGCATGCAGGTTCTTTCATGTCTGCAGGAGTGCCAATGAAAGGCGAATGAGCCCTACAGAAAACAAATAATTTTTCACATATGGAGCTGTAAACAAATGCCAACAAAAATGCCAGTGACACCCAATTAAGAAAGTATTTAAAATGGTCACTGAATCGCTTTGACAGAAGCGCTGATATAGGAGCGTTGATATAGGAAGTGCTTGACGTCAAGACGCAGGTTACAAGGAAAACAATAAATATTATCATGAATGCCGGATATTTATTTAATTCCTCAATTTTCGAATTACTGCCTGCGAATTTCACTTCAAGTTTTGGACCAATTATTTTGTGGATGATCGATAAAAATCTTTAAAGATTTGAACCACAGCTTGAGAGCGGTCAGCTACAGCCAGCAAAACATGTCAGTATATTGATGTTTTACTTGAATAATTAATATTACGTAAGCGTTTGCTAGGGCTTTTTACCACGCTATACACCTTGAACGTTTACGAATACGAAAATTAATAGCAATGTAATGAAGCGAAAGCTTTGTATGATTCAGTTTGTTCGTTACACTTATTCACTACCCTAGCTTTGCGAAAGAAATTATTAATTTTTTGGGCCAGTTGTTTCAAAGCAGTCTTGTATCGCAAGAGCCGAGCATCCATACGAAGTATTTGTATTCACAGCCAAGCCAGTGTTTATATCACCCAAATCAAGCTGCTGATATCAAAGAACAAACAGAAACCTAAACACACAAATGTCAATACTTTTACCCATACAAAGACAAACTCTTACGGCTTCTTGGCACATTTCCGAAAGTAATCAGATATGCCACCGTAGACATATGTAACAGACACACATTTATATTATTATGTCGAGATGATTCGCTCGCACAACAATTTTAACCGTGCTGAACCACATGACGTTTTTGTAAAAGCCAATTCAACAAATATTGCCCAAAACTAGACAGCGCATCGGCTCCTGCTCTGTGTTATAATTATTATATCTATATTTATATGTGCTTTCAAAAAGCTGACGACTAACTTTTACATACTTACAGACCGTATGTAAAAGTGACTATTTTACATACAGACTGTATTTAAAAGTGACTATATGATACGGTCACCCATCGGCCATCGCAATAAGAAATTTCGTGTGAAAAAATCAGCAATAAATTCCGCATTAATTGTGACCCCCACACTAATGGTAAGGTACTAGTATTCAATTATTACTAAATTAAGTATCACATGTGTATACTTACGAATTACTGCATTATTTATTGCACAGTATTACTATTACCAGTTTTGCGTGCACGAGTACTCATAATTTTGCAGAAAGCAATTAATGAGCTCATCACCCAAGTCATTACCGTCTGCATAACAACATGCCAATTTAAGATACCATACATTTCTTATTGTAAATGTATGCTCTTCTTCGGAGATTTTACAACTGAAACGAGCTTATGCGGCACAGATAATTCAAGAATACGAATCTGCGCAAGACAACAGACACAGAAAAGAAAAAAAGCACGCCTACAGTAAAAATACATTAATCATTTCCTATCAGTTCTTTCCCAGATACAATACTGTATCACATACCTCTGATTTCCACTACTGGAATGATGATAACCAGTTCCCAAATGACTGGCCCGGAAGCTGCGACTGTGTTTGCGTGTGGCCGGGGTCACGGAGGGGCTGTCCTTCCACGAAAAACTACTGAGCGCTGGCGCACTCTTACCCAGCTGACTATGTTTAATTTTCAACAAATTCGATGTCTCTGCGGCACTAGGCGCACCACTCGTCCACTGAAAAGCCACTAACTGATGGCCATGTCCACTGGGATAAGCCATGGATTCCTTCCGGCTGCGACTCCGCGGATCGTCCGATATGGTCCGGTGAAGTGATCGTGAGCTGTGGTAAATAGCCAGCAAACTCGGTTCCGTGTAGCTGTGCTCACTAATGCGACGAATTTCTGGTGATAACGGTACAGAGGACACCGATCCGCATTCCGACTCACACCGTTCTGTGTAGCTGCCGTCTAATGATTCCACAGCATCCAACAGCCGCCGACAATCATCCCCATTTTGCACGTTGTACTTTGTCCGCAAATCTTCCTCCGAAATAGCTCGCAGCTCTTCCAAGGTGAGATATTGCGGGAAATTGGAGCGGTAGTGCATAAGACGACAATCTTGCAGGATATGCGACATGTCGACTAAATGCGATGTGGATGATTGACTTAAAGCACGGCTGTAATCAAAGTAGCTTTCAGTGCCATGCTTTCCGCTTCCGGATGGATGCCTAATGACTGAAGGACTTGTACTGCCGTTACTGCGCCGCGATGATAAAGACACACTGTTACGGTGCATCTTTCAAATCGTGCTTTATTTATAATGGTCGATGAATACAACCAGTTGGTTCGTCCTGTACAATATCCCGCTTTTCTCACACCAATCCCGGAATCCGCACTGTGCGGTACGTGCTCACGAGTGTCTGTGTCCTAAGCTGATGACGTTCAAATCGGGTTTGACACTACTATGCAGGAGGATGATTTTTTCCTTGCCGATCACTCTGCCCCACTGCTCCATTGTCAAATCGTTATAATAAGCGAAACCCACAAGCGAGTGCTGCAGTCGATCCAGACCGGCCCATCAAATTGACGGAAAACGAGAGCAATTAAATTGGAACCGCGCGCAGGTTTCTGTCTCTCATGGCACCGAACCCTGTTCAACAAATAAGATCAGCGTTAACAGCTACTACTTCCAGGAGAAAACACAATGACAAAATGCAAGGATCATTTTGTTAAGGCCGTAAACGTGCATCAAATCAGTCGTTTCTAATTGCACATAACTGAAAGTCTTCATTTAAGGAAAATTTATTGTACGAAAACTCAGTTACAATATTGTAAAATTAGCCTTCGTTACGCTTGCCGACGCTTCCTTTCACTTCTCTGTGTACAAATCTCGAATTAGCAGCTTGACCTTTCTATTATACGAAGCCTTCCTTTAATGCAATTGCCTCCTAATTGTGGCGTTTCACGAAAGTACTACAATCGAAATAAAATACGAAAAAGGCAAACGACACCAAGTGACGCAAGGGTACCCCTTGTTCAATGTCGCATGATCCCATTGCTACTTTAGTCACACGAACACAACACTTCAATAAATCTACGTCACAAGCCATTAACGATGGCTCTTAACACAACCGAGAACAATGCTACAATGTTCTTGTAGCAGCGAAATAAAAGTCAAAATCCAGCCTCAAGGAAAACTAATCGTGTTCATTAGTACATCAGCATTCAGCAGATCAAGGAATTACTTACTTCTCACGTGCATGCAAGCCATGCATTACCTGAAGGTGGAAGCATTGTACGCTCACCTATACACTCAAAAGCCTGTTCTTATTTAAAATTTTATTTATGTTTGATTAGTTAATTCCTACTACACAGCAAAGTTAGTTGTATTTACTTAATCTCTACAGCCGTAAGTTCGTTTAAGTTAGAAAATCTACGATAAATAAAACCACTGTAGCAAGGATAAAAACGGAGAGAAAACTTTTCGGAATCAACAAATCGCAAACGTCGCAATTACAAGATTTCCCAAAGGCCGCAATCACCCGAAACTAGACCATGTCATCCAAATCATTTAAAATACTACTCTAGAAAAAATTTTGTTTAGAACTTTTTATTATTATGTACGAATAAAGAGAATAATTAAGCCGACATCACGCGTGTTGCTGCTAATCACGCACCGTAATTATAGTTACACATCGCGCACTGACGGCATAAAGAGGAGGCATAATTTCGAGAAACACAAAACCGAAAAAAATCTTCAGCTTAAGAACCAAGATCCCAAGCCAACAACTGCGGCCTCCAAGTTTTCCCTTTGGCAACAGTGACCGCACTTCCTCCCCTGATACGACAAAAAAATTAACGCATGTAAAAAACTGATTAAAATATTTTCCATCCAAAAATAAAACCAAATCGCTCCAATAATGGTAGTATATGACATAAGCCCTGATTCACCCAATTACACCGAGCGGTAACGGTGCCAAATGCTGTGAGGCAGAAGTGATTTATGGATACAAGTACCCGGTGTCGATACTTACGCCAGAAGAGTGAAAAAAACCAGTAGCCGGTAAGCAGGCCAAATCTGCAGCGAACCAATTCACAAGATGACACAAATTATTAACTCTAAAGCCCCGTTAGCTGGTTTTGAGTTGAGGAAGAGACTGCAAGAACCTGCGAAAAACCTCGCTTGCCATGCAGTTATAGCAGCGTACATGAGCATTATTTATTGCAGTACTGAAGTACGGTAAATGCTACGGTGCTTGCACGATGCACCCCACCTAAACAGCTGACGAAGTAAATATATTCATGTAACGACTAACACCAAGAAAGCTGACATCTATACAGCCTCGTTAACTGATAACAACTACTTATAACTCCGCCGAGACAAAGCAAAAATATACCAGATTCATAAAGCGAATAACTTAAAAAAACGGTAAGGTAAAACTGGTCACCCAGCATGCTCACATCCAGAAATGAAAAATCTGGTATTTTATCAAATACGAAATGACCTGCTGTGTTACTGGCAAGTGGCAACTGCCTGCCTGCCATTGATTGGCCTTAATTACTGCAGCGGAAGGTTTAGAGACCAGACTGATCATTACCTTCCCAACAGTATTCAAGATCAAAAATCAAAACCAAAATTAAAACGCAACTTTGACACAAAGTTTAGCTTCTGTTACCAAAGTTTGAGTTACATGATAGTCTCAAGTAACCATGTAGAAAACCGCTATTACATAATTTCTTCACAATTCGTTACCAACTTTGTTGCATATTACAATACACAGCACGATGTCAGCACTCAACATTGTTTTTATGGAAATATTATCGAATCCAAACGGAAGAGTCAGAAACTGCTTTCGTCGGAATTTAATTTCAGTAATATCAAACGGGTCTCATGACTGACGACAAGGAGTACATGACAGTTCAAACACACTAGACTAAAATACGGCATTTAATACAACAAGTCGAACAGATACGAAGAAGGCACGCCCAAAACTACCATTAATTTTATAACCCAGTATACTGCCAGTATAAACTGCAAAATTCGAAATTAGATCGCTAGACGATCATTTATGCTCCACTTCCTGCCAAACAGTAGGAAACCACTAGCAGTATGGTCATGAAATTGATACAGATGGTGCTTGAATGCTACAATATTGCTCAGTAAGGAATAGGCCTTAATGACCTTTACTACCAGATGTGAATTCCCTTTCAGCACACTGTGTGGTATAGTGCAATATGTGCAAGTGGAATGAAACACACATCTAATACAGGAATACTATCAGTCACTTAAAGAATCAAGTCAACGGAACTTCATTACAGCTCGGTTTCCCAGCCAATCCCCAAACTCCCAATATTCAAGATGTTGAGCCAATTCCCCCTGATCATGTCCTATCTGGCTGCACTTAAAGCACAACGTAACTAACCACATGTATTTCCTTGTCCTTCTATCCTAGGCTAACTGACACGGATCTGTCACGATCTACAGATTTCCGTGTGAACGTTATTGCAAATAAAGGATTTGTCAGTGTCCTTGTACACCAATACAGGAACAGCATAATGCAATATTTATCAACTCACCGGAATTACAGGTTATTAAAGAATCAACCTTTCTGTAGCCGAAAGTGCCCTTTATTACATGTCTCGGAATACACGATTACCTTTGTGCAGATGCACCGGACCAAGAACATTAAGTCGATCTACTTATCTATGGAACATTAAGTATCGATTTAAAATTATTATGCAGCCACTTGAAGGTTGGTTTGATCCAGACTACCACATCATGAAAACTCTGACGGTATCTGCGCGAATTAACCACCATTTACATGGTCCCCAGCCCTCTTTTTAAAAAATCTATATGATCTGATCGAAATTTTAAACACGGTTCGAGGTGTAAAATAATATAAAATATAACCTCTTCTAATAATACGGAACGCACATTTACGTATAAATTTATAAGCAAATTAGTGAATTTACTATGAGCTGAAAGTATAACAGGCAATGCCGATAACTTCACAAAAACAATTATTTCAAATTTAAAATTATCATAAAAACCGCGCCTAAGCCGCAATTACCGTTTCTCATATCAATTTAATGCCGTATATTACCGAAAATAACCTGAAGACGTTTTCCACCCAGTTACGCTGAGACATCGTGACTGTCCTGAAGGAAAACATAGGTAGTCTATGGAAAAAATATAAATTCACTGCGTATTCATCAGTCTACCTATAGTTTTCGCACATATGCCTTCGAGAAGTTGTCTATTTAGCTAATTCCGTCGCTTCCGTTTCAGAGAAATGCAGCTAGAAGGAAAGCTAATTAGAAAAATAATCTAAACCTGAGCAAGAATCACACAATCTATTATAGTGTAGTTGCTTATAGTCAGAAGAAGCTGAAAGCCGACCAATGTACAAAGGACAGACTTGTCTGCACTGTAAGCGGACGTCAGAGAAACGCCTGCAAACAATCATCAGGCAGCACCAACCTGATGGGGCGCCGGTGGCAGTCGGCACAGAGATGCTTATCCAGACGTCTTGATCAGCGCTGCAGGACCGGGATAGACGCCCTTCAAAGGGGACACACACACACGGAAATATACAATATCGGCTGGCCTGCCTGGTTGACGATGCTATTTGCTGACAATGACGACCAGGGCTACAGCACTTCCGTCACGAGGTCCACTGCACAACACTCGTTATCAGGTCCGACCTGCAACAAATACCATACTGTACAAGTGCGTTACGGCAGGCAGTGTAAATTAAGCGATAATGATATGATCGGTTCATGTAATAATGGCATTGGCCACTACGTGGCAAATGACGCTGCACGCGCTTTAATCAGCACAGGCAACCAAGCACTCACACACTCAGGCCAATTAATATACCAAAACAATTCGCAAACTCACAGCGATCGCATTATCTATGGGATGGAAAGCAGCTGAAGCATACTTGAAGAAGGGGCAATTTCAATTCAAGGCTCAAGGCTATTAGCTCTGTTAAATCGATCAAAAACTCCAACCGGGTTTTTTATCTCAAACGACACTCTCACTCTGCGACTTTCCGATGTCGACGTCGTATCGGGTTCAGGAAAGCACTTTCACCATCGTTTAATTATATTTCAAACATTTCGCTACCAGTTTAAATCGACCAGACAGTCGTCCGAACAGCAGTATCCGTAAACCGCGCACTTTTAAAGTCAACCGGAAAAATCATTTGCAATCACCTTAAATTGTGCTTGAAAAATTCGCTGAAGTGCACGCAGTATGTTGCTAACTCACAAAGGTACCGTACATCTAACGGAATAAAGTTGGTCAATCAAGTGCCAAATACATAATATGCAACTGAAGGGTAGACACTCGTATAAAAAAAAATATATTACAATAATTATTTTGATATTAATGTCCATCCATCAGTTACTAGTAAGTGCAGAAAAAATTTTTCCTGTGGGAATACCTTATACTATGATGCTAAAAATCATCTCACTTCTGAACCATATTGTAATTTCGGAAATCAAAAAGTTAAATTAGGTTTTTGGATTTTTTTGTTGTACTTCCAGTTTTCGTACACAAATTCAGAGAAAAAAATAGATAAGTAACGGCGCATATAAATAACTGTTCTGCCAAGTTGAGTAATTAAATTCCCAAAATTCAATTGTGTCATCCGATTCATCACTAGTTCACTATCAACTCAGACTAAAAGTGATACAATCACAACAGTTAGAGTATGACTTGTCAAAAGATATCATTGCATCAAGTAACTAACTATTTAGATTGAAATTCGATGAATAATTTTGTCACCCTATCTGTATCTGACGAGTACAACGTTATTTTATTGTAAAATAACATCAATATACTCATTTGACTGTCAAAGTACTAGATCTAAAACACTAAAAAAAGTTTTGTAGTATTCTTACCAACTAAACTTAGCGAGTGAAGGCAGATAATTATTATTATAACCCAAAAAATTGGTAAGAAAAGAAAATCAAAACTGAAATAATTGCTTTACCAATCTCTGACTTACCGCAGCATCCTCAAGATTTCCTGATGCACATAAACTGCTCAAGAGTAAACCACTGCAAGCAAATCTTTAACTGCTAGCATGAACACACAGGAGAAAAACTTTGGAGGCAGATCAGGGAAAGGCTTTTGAATTCGTCGAGTGTCGCATGGAAATGTCGCAAATCTTACTTAAGTTACAATTAGGAGGGAAATCAAAAACATTAGAGTGATTAGACGAATATTGCAAGCAAATCACAGGAATACGTTCCACTGGAATATTATTATGTTATCAGTTATAAATCCAAAACACAACTTATTCTCGTTGGCCTGATATTCTGATGAGGAATACCCGTAATTCCAAATAAATAATAATATGGAAGCTCCTCTTTCTTCGCCGTTGCCTAGTTCTTCCAGTGTGATCAAGAAAGCAGATCAGCTGCGCTGTACTCACTCGAAGTCAAAAGCGAAGAAATCTAGCTGGCTGCAGTGGCTGGCAACTTGGGCTCCTCAGTCGTCATTACTCGCAGGCATTACTCATCATTCCTCTGCTGTAGCGGCTTAGAGCCAAAGCGGCCAAAGTACTTATTTTTCTGCATGTACTGTACCCTACTGTACTGTACCGTGTCTGTACAGTGTACGATGTACAACCGTACAGTGTACAGCCGTACCAGAGAGGTTACATTAGGGAGCATCCATAAATTACGTACGCAGAAAACCACGGTTTTTTCACCCCTCCCTCCCCCTTCGTAGCGGTCCGTCACGTTTGCTTGACCCCTCCCCCCTGGTTCGCTCAATCGCAATACATGGAGATGACCACCCCCTCCCCCCGGGTTCGTCGGGGTCGTCACAGCTTGTCACGTTTTTTGGACCCGTCCCTCCCTGGTTCGCTGCGTACGTAATTTATGGATCCCCCCTTATGGCTACATTACCTTAAATACATTCTGGCCGTACAATGTGCACCACAAATTCGTACAAGTTGTGCTGATTTATGATTTAATCAGAAATATTAATCAGAAATTAACTTCTGATTTCTGAAGATAAAAATTTTATGAATGCATTTAAAATTAATATAACAACTGGGGAAAATACGCGGTACATGTAAGCATGTAAGTACGTACTCACTTAAAAAGATTAGTACGCTCGTGCTGTTTACTGCTGTATAATAATGCTGAATGCTTAAAACGATACACTGTGCAGACTCTGTGCTTATTGTTTACACTACTTCGTCATACGCCTACCATATTTTGAGTTCTCACCGTCTCTGTTAATATTAAACAGTAATTAGAGCATATTATAATATTATTATTGAAGCAAAAGTCTTCCATATTAGATAGCATTCGGAGTGTACATCTTTTGCACAGCACGCAGATCTAGAAGAAGGTACGAGTATTACCAGTGAGATTACTCTTTCCATTTTTCATGGCTTTTGTCAAGTGGCCTAGATGTGACTAGCAAAATTCGAAGGTGGACTGTTCATATTATCATCTGTGTTCATTGTAATTTGTTTGATTTCTCTGAATGCAGCGCTTCTGTGGAAATGTGGAAATCTCAGGTTGGCGTGGGAAACCTTCCGAAGCCTGGTGCTTCCGATGATTGGGACACGGATCCTGATTATGTGGTAGGAAATTGGGGAAAATGACGCCGTATTGGCCCTGACTACCTGAACTGTTTTACTGGATCATGCATTCATTTGTGGTCGTCTGCTTGGTAGAATAATGTCACGGAGAAAGATCAGCGCTGGGGTGCGAAACATATTAGTGGATCTGGGCACCACGAGTCAGTTGAGTAAGTAACAAACTGGCATACAGCCAGCATTTGCTGCTCTTTTTAACGTGAAATTGAGTCGCGAATTGCTGAATTTAATGGGTATGTGATTTTGGTGGATTGTAGCTTGAACCAGCTGCGGAATGAAGTTCGCAAGGATGACAGTGCTATCAAAAAGAAAGTTTTAGAAGAGCAGAAACCTGGCTACGGATATGGAGGAAAATACGGCGTGGAAACTGATCGCATGGACAAGGTCCGTCAGACACACGTTTTAGCGTTTTCAGAACCGATTTCTTAGCATTGTACATTCCTGGCGCCTTTTCCGTTTTTTTTCAGTAAATTTTTTCGCACCAGGCGTCATAAGCGTCGACTGCGCAGTTATTCACTAAAAGCTATCGTTGCGGATAATTTCATATAATTTTGAATAACTTCTTAGATATTTCTGTGGGTTTCTTAGCAGTTTTAGAGGTTTGTCCCCCAGAATTATCTTACTCTGCACCGCTTTTCCCTTTTTCAGTAAATTGTTTTTCAGTAATTTTCTAGTTCCAGGCTTCGCAACCATACTTAAGCATATTGCGCAGTATATAGATATTTGTGTGTATTTTCAGTAGTTTTATAGGTGTTTGTTTTTTTCCAGAATTACCTTTAAAGTGCTTTTTTTCAGAGCGCAATGGGGGCCGATTATCACGCTCCCCAGGAAAAGCACGCCTCACAGACCGATTACCAAAAAGGGTTCGGCGGTAAATTTGGCGTGATGGATGATCGCGTGGATAAATCGGCGGCCGGATGGGATTACAAGGCGGATGTGGTGAAGCACCAGTCGCAGAAAGACTACAAAGGAGGCTTTGGAGGCGAGTTCGGTGTGCAGACCGATCGGCAGGATAAATCGGCGGTAGGATGGGATTACCGTGCGCAGAACGAAAAGCATGAATCGCAGAAGGACTACAAAGTCGGCTTTGGTGGACAATTTGGTGTGCAGCAGAATGCCCAGGACCAGAGCGCCGTGGGGTGGGATTATCAAGAAAAAACCGATAAACACTCCTCGCAGAAAGGTAAATGGTTTGTGCTGTTGGGATTTTCGTGTTATCCTTAATCCTGCTTTTTTAGACTATTCCGCCGGTTTTGGAGGGAAGCACGGTGTCCAGCAAACGGTGGATAAATCGGCCGTAGGTTGGGATTATCAAGCGAAGAAGGAAGCACATGCTTCACAAAAAGGTACGGCCGTAGACCCGCTCTACAATTTACAGTTCGAGTATAAAATAATGTCCTTGAAATTTAAAAGGTGAGTTTATATGTAAAAGGTTTCCACACTTGCTTTCGTGTTATTTTTATTGTTTACTTTTGTGTTGCTTTGATACTTTTTTGTGGTCACATTTTCCTAAAAGGGATTGCACTTTATTTGATTGAAGCTAAGTACACAACTGATTATTTCCTTCAGATTACAAAACGGGCTTTGGTGGGCAGTTTGGTGTTCAAAAAGATCGGCAGGACGCGGCAGCCGTCGGCTGGGATCATCGCGAAAAAGTCGACGCTCACGAATCACAAAAAGGTGCTCGCCGGCAAAAGAAAACCAGTCTTCGATCTTACCTTTGAACGGTTGGTAAAACAGTCGGTTTCTGCAAATGACAGATTATAAAAAGGGATTCGGTGGGCAATTCGGGGTGCAGAGCGACCGACAGGATAGTTCGGCTCATGGTTTCGACTTTAAAAGTCCTACAGAAGCACATGAATCACAAAAAGGTGAAATCTGCGGTTTTCCCAAGCTGAGTGTCGGGATCGAGCTATCGTGCCCTGTACTTACAGATTACAAGGCCGGATTCGGAGGCCAGTTTGGTGTGCAGAAAGATAGGCAAGACGAATCGGCGCACGGTTGGGATGAGGCCCCGGAAAAACCTAAACCTGGTGCTAAGAAGGTTGACATTGAAAACGGTAAGGTAGTTCGTAATTGAGGATTTTGACATGGATTTCGGTCAACATTGATGACTCGTTTGAAATACAAAAAGCATTTGCTGTGACACTGTTTTACAAAGGTTGCTTGTACTGCATATCTGCTACTTTTATGTGTAGTGATTTGTTATCAGTTTGGATTAGGTTAAATGTTATGTCTAGGACTAATACAAGTATGCTATTTGTTGCAGGCAGCGCCAAAGCATCCAATTTGAAGGCTAGATTTGAATCAATGGCGCTTGATGGAGCAAAGGTAAGCAAAGCAGACCTAAATAACTCTGTATGCGACAATTGTTGTTCTAATGATGAGTGCATGCCACCAGCACTCCATTTTTTGTCGGTCAAGCTAATAATGATAATTCAGACGATAAGCGTTATAGGAAACCCAAAAGAAACTGGAAGAAGAGCGTTTGCGCCGTAAGGCTGCTGAGGAGAGAGAACGAGAACAGTCTAAGCGAGCGGAAGAAGAACGCCAGAAAGTTATTGCGGAAGAGCATAAAAAGTTGGAAGAGGAAGAAGAACGGGAGCGACAACGTACCGGAAAAGATGCCTCGGACGAGGAAGAAGAGGAAAAGGAGCTGAAACCGTCTCAGCAAGCCTTCAGATACGATGCGCCTGCATCCGTGCCATCACCGCCCCGGAGGAAGCTATTCGACGACGACGATGAACAATCGGCTCCTGTGCAGCCGGAAACACGGACCGCGGTGGTACAACCCAGTGAAATTAAAGTCCCTGAGAAGCAGCGATCATCTAGTGGTGCTCGTCATCACGAAGATCGGGTGCGCTACGGTGCTCAACAGATTTTTAAGTATATATTTGACACGGAATTTTTGAACTTCAGGTTGGATCCGAAAATGTTTATTCAACCGGTTCTCCTACTGAACATTCGGGCGGTACTGCCAAAGCAGTTGCCTTGTTCGATTATCAAGCATGTACGTGCGGATTTATCCTACCACAGTGACTTTTTAATTTTGTAATTTTTTGTGTTGCAGCGGACGATGATGAACTGTCTTTCGAACCCGATGACATTATTACTAATATCGAATTTGGTATGAAAAAATTTTTTTGTAATGATTGTCTGAACGTTACTATCGTCACCTGCTTTTATTTACAGTTGATGATGGATGGTGGAGAGGAGAATGTAGAGGAAAAGTGGGCCTTTTTCCTGGTAAGTTTTCCACCGAAAATGATTGAGCTGGGAGCCAATAAGTAACTTCTGGTTATTTTTTACAGCTAACTATGTCGAGCTTCAGCAATAGCTGAAAAGGACCAAGATTCGCTTTCTCAAGCATGTTCCGTTAGCTTTTTTTTGGCTGGCACTTTTCCATTGTTTGAGCTGTTTATACCTTTTTTTAAGCTTTGAATGTGTATTATAAGGCTGGTGCCTTTTTTATGATGTTATGCAATTTTATTTGTAATTTTCTGATTTTTATTGTGGTTTAAATTTTGACCTGCTTTGTGACTTCCTGTTGGTGTTGCCTGCTCTAAGAAACACCGGTCTAATCGAAAAGCAGAAATTCAGCAATAAAATTTATGTGTGGATCAACAATCAAATTTCCATCGAGAGTATAGCATCAAGCCAGCAGGGAAATTCGTTTGTCAATATCGAAAACTCAAATATCTTCAGGATTTTTATTACAGCAAGTAACTATACAAGATCTGAAATTTCAGACCAAAAGCTCTGTCGCAGTGGCAAATAGCCCCCGATCGTAGGGTAAAATAATCGCAAATTGCGATTCAGCACACCCCAAAGGTAGACACTGCCATGGCGGTTAATAATTAAAATAATTTTTTTTTTAAAAGCGAAAGTCAACTGCCCAAATACCCTTTAGTAAGTCACAGAAAATAAGCAGACAGTCTCACTTTCACAATCTCCGCTCACAATCAGTTTGTCGCATTCTTCGACATCGTCCCCATTTCTCCTCCTCCTTGCCGCACAACATATGCCAAGTATGTGTTCCAAAACAAACTCACCACACTGAAATAAAGCAATACACAGACGTGAGTACTACAGGCCAGAAACATGACAACAGCAATCACTGGTTTATTCCCAGTTTCGTACCACAAAAACAATTATTTGCCGGAATCAAGTTTCGACTGCTTCAACAAACAGCCGAGGAAAACAAATTTAATTTCAAAACTACGTACATTTATGATGCCAATAATACTCTGAAGGCAGTCAAAACACTTATTGCGAGCACAGTAGTCATTCTAGTTGAACTGCTATTTACTGGTTTCACAAACAATAAACTAGCTGTAAGCTAATACTAGTAAACAATTATTCACTATGTGCAACGCTGCGAATTTCTAAATTAACTTCTCAGATTGGTATTAAACAGCCAACACCTGCTGACGATACTGTTAGTTACGACTTGTAAGTTTTGCTTTCGTGTAAGGTGCAATAGCCCAGCTGCGGGTGAGCCACAACGAAGTATAATAAATAGGCCCGCAATTAGCAAACCGTACAGTACCTGAGGAAGAGAATTCTCTGGTTAAAAGGGACGAAGTAGAAATTGATCAACTGTACAGCGGGCCACAATTTCCAGTTGGAAAACATCACACTCCAGTAATCCTAGTATCACAAATCCACGCATAAACAACAACGTCGCGTCAAGACGTCTCACCAACACACCAACAAATTCTTCGAAACTTACATTCTTCAGTCTGCGCTGGACGGCCTCCCACGTGTCTCCTTCCACAAGACCCATAACCGCGATGAACACGATGTAGTTGATGGGAGCGAACACCAGCTGATCCAGTAGGACGCGCTTAATGGGCGCGAATTTCCCTGGCTTCACTTTGTTCTCCAGCACCCACAGCCAGCAGCGGACGATGGGAAAACTGTAGAAGACGGCGATGGCGGTGAAGCGCGCCGTGCTGAAGAGATCAATCTGCGTTAGTCCCTTCTTCTCCACCAGCGTCTGCGAGATGAGATTGCCCATGGCAGCGAAGATCAGCGCGGTGAGTGCCTGCACTTTCAACGGATTGGCGTCCGTGTAGCGCAGGTATTTCTGCCAGGCGCGCGATATCGGAGAACCCGCTGCTGCTGCGGAATTGGACGCCATATCGGTTGACGCCAATCTTAGCAGGTTCTGGATAAACCCTATTACAGCGTGGATAAAAAACAAATTTTATCGCAAAAATGTCAGCTGAAATTCCTTGACAACAGCGTACAAACCTTTAGATTCCTGCCTGCGCAGAATGATGGAGCCAATTTTAACCAGCCTGTACGAGGAAAATATTCTGGTAGGTATTTGTAACCTGACACAGCGGTCCGGTGCTGTTCTGAATGAATAAAATATCCTGTGGCCAGTGGAAATCCTGTAAGTATGCGAATGGCTCAGCGGCCTAAAGAAAAGTACGACGGTCATTGCTCCAGTGCACCCATTTGGGTCAAGGCTACACACAAAAACAATGGCAACACACGCAATAGTGTGCAATGATTGGATGCAGCCGGCTGTTTTGTGTGGCTGTGGCAGCCGCCGACAGAGTGCGGAAATTTCTTCTGCTGTGACGTCATAACAACCTTGCGGCAATGATTGCAGTATTACTCTACCGTACACTGCTTTGTATTATTATAATTATTGTAAACAGTACACATTCACATGTACACGGTCTTATCTCCATGTCAAAACTTTTCCAAAGATTCTCACATTTTTATAAAAACATAAAGCAAGCGAGTTCACTCGGAATGTATCAGCATCTGTAACTTCATAACTTCAATATGCTCTGCGGACAGCAATGCCTTTCATAAACCATACAGCAACAAAATCACATCGCTGTCAGTCAAGAATTCCCTGCAAGATGGACAAGGTCCATGCGCTGCCACGTTCCGCGTTTGTGTAGGGAATTAAAGAGTTAGCGAAGCTGATCACGAATACTTACAGCATATGATAGCCAAATACTTGAATAATTTTAAGGATCGGTGGTCTGGCGTTGAACAGCAGTCAATGCTGGGTAGTAATGGTTAGTTTGCTACAGCACTTGTACTGATGTGCTTAATATCTGTAATACAATCAATTTGTACAAAAATATGTTATATTATACTTGCACAAAATAGGCGTCAGTGGTGTAGTAGAAAATTTTTATACCGTCTGGAATTTACTTGCTTTAGTTCGAACTTCGGAATACTCATGACTGAGCCTGGGATTTTTTCATGGCAAACGGTCACGTGAGCTCATTTCCAATACGAGTATAGTATTCTTGCGGTCGTGCATTGGATGGTTTTTTTGCCTAAGAAAATAAAGAAATATAGTATCTTTTAGTGTACTTACTGTATTTATGTCACTAATTTTAAACCAGTTTTCGTTCGTACAACATGCACACCTGCACATTTGATTATACTCGCATTAAAAAATACGGTTTTAAAACTTATGGACGAGCTGCTGAACTTTGAGGAACACACTGAATTTGTTTTCTGAAATCTTGAGATTACGGTCCCTGAAAAAAATATTGGCAGTCTAGGAGACCGTTTCGCAGGATGAGTTGTGGTGCCCGGTTTGAAAAGAAACCGGTGCCAGGAGATTCAGCACCGATTGCCACACATATGGCGTTGTCCGTGCAAAAATATGCATGCCAGAGCTCTGATATGCGAAATGTAAAATCCAAAAAATTACTCGTGGAAGGTCCTAACAGGACTAGTACAAAATTAAAGAAAGTGTCGCAAAAAGCTGTCAATGACAAATCGCAACACAGTACCGGCTAATGTCGGAGTTGTAACTACAGAACTAGAGTAAGTGAAATTATGTAAACCATACCGTCCAATAACCGTGCATCTATCTATACTTCTATATACGGAAAACAAACAACAGAAATCACTTAAGATTTACACCTGCTCACTTTAACACACTTACCCGTAAATTGTAATATCGGCGCAATGCTAAAGGATGTAAGACAAACCATAACAGTACTTTTCGTTAATTACGTAAATTCCCCGTCACCTTTCTTGTTTGACTACGGGTCTTCTGCTTTACTTTCTCTCTTGACAGCCATGTCTTTCAGAGTGATCTAAGAACCTTTTTAATGCTATCGCAAGTAGTCTGACATCCATTTCTGTGTGTGACATTAAAGGAAGACTTCTGAATACCTAAATATCAGCAACAGCGCGCATCAAATATAGATATATAGTTCCGCGTTTTCCCGAGGATAAAGGTTTGTATTAAAAAGGAGATCAAAATTTAAAAAAAACACAAAGAATTCTATTTAAACCTGATAGCAGTACGTATTCACGTCACTGCATTAAAAGCAAAATAAACTTATAAAAAAACATTGCATAACGAAAAGAGAAATCACTCTTGTATTTGACTGGCTAACAAAGGATTAATTGCATATAACCATTCTTGCACATCTTGATCACTAAGTGTCTGCATCAGGAAACCTCGGTGAGGAGTGATCACAGAGAAAGTGTTGGGCACCTTTAGCATCGCCTGTTGATCTTCACTGTATTCTACCCGGGATGTGGCCAAGTTGATGAGACCGCGTTCCACGGGATCCCGGTCACTTTTGTATATGAAAGCATACGGTCGACGGATGACCTTTAAAAAACAGCGTAAGCAACTTATAGTAAAACTTAAGATTTTTGTACCTATTTTGTAATTTATCTATCAAAAATTTTCCCCACTTACAACCCAACGTTTCAGCCATCCATGAGAATTTTCCTCTAAAAAGTTCATATAGTTTCGTTTGGAAACTACGGGATTAATTCTGATTTCTTTAATTTCTGGTATAAACTGTTTGGTCGGCTGGGGAGCAGCAATCGCAGCCAGATTGTCGGCACTTATGGAACGAATCGGCTTGGCAGCCACAGTTAAGCCGCTGCAAAGCACAAGATAATTTTTGGCACATGAGCTATTAAACTGTACAAGCGAAATATTTTGAAAGAACAAAGTATTCGTACCCATTAATGTTGACAGTGTTGATAGTCGGCTGCGAGTGCGAACTTAGTACCGATGAAAGAGACATCAGCGAAGCTGAAAGGTCACCACCACTGTCGTCTGAACTCGGCGTCGCCACGATGTCAACAGGTGACTGCAAAATTATTGCCGTTGACTAATAAGTGGACCAATACTACACTGGTCCTTTATGCAAACTGTAGTTTGTGATATTTAAGTTTTTTACTAAATTAGTTAAAGAACTGTACTCGTATTGAGCCTAAACGAAAATGCAATTGAAACTGCCGGATTTACTTTCTTGTTTGGCGGCTCCTTGCTGGGACCGTCATTCTGGATTAATTTGACGTATTTCAGCATTAGCTGCCTTTCTCGATCGCTTAGATCCGCTGTTTTAGAGTCCCTTCGCTTCAGTGCGTAATCGGACTGCTGAAAATCGGTCTCCAGACTAGCCGTTGGATTTTTTAGACGATTCTTTAGCGACAGGCAGTATCGAACATTCTCCACCTGAAATCAGCCGGCTAGAGTCGCACGGAAAGCATTTCACGACTGTTATGCAGTCTATCAGACGCTCACATCAAACAATCTCCGTAGTTTTTCAAGCGTCCACTGATGCTCAAATATAAGAGAATCACTGCGAGGCCGCCAACCCTGCAGATTCTCTTCTCCGCGGACATATGCGGTAGATGTATCCAACACTTTTCGCTGGCGTCTTTGCATTCCTGATGCGATAATCGACATTAAAGATTTGCAAAATTACGGAACCAACCTTTTTAATTTAAATTATTGTACTGCTGTGGCTGTGTGGTCCAGTATAGTGTATGTGGTACTGTCATTTGTCATGTGCAACAACCTTTTAGAACCGGTTACTGTTGTATTAAATTAACTGAATTCAAATTACCTGTATCAACCGCTTCCCGGAAAATCAAATCGTAAACGCCGTTGACGCGATTAGTGTCAGAGTATTTGAAAGGATTCGCTGAGAAGAGATTTTTTATTGATCGCCTGTAAAATTAGTTAAGTGTCAGCTTTATATTCTTGGTCACCATACAAAACAAAACTAAAATAAAATCCATGATTGGAGATTTGGATTACAGCGCTACGATGCTATGAGATTGTCCCTGACTTGAACATTTTACAGTTATGCATGTTTAGTAATTACCCAGCGGAAGTGGCTTTCGAATCTCGTCCATGGATGACCACGCATAAATCCTTAGAAACGATAGCGGGTTGAACACAGTTTTCGATTTGTACATACGCGGTCAGTGTAAGATAAATTCGTTCATTGTAGGACGAAATACTGTTTAGCAGCTGCGAATTGTGCATGGACGAATCCCAGGGCGCTTCGAAGCGGTAGAACGTTCTAAGTAGACAACTGCGGGTAAAAGGCTATAAATAGAATCAAATCGGTCCACACGTGAACCAGCCACGAGTACCGATCGTCGTCTTGCTTCTTGATCAGCTGGCCGGGAAGCACGGTCAGGGAGAGAACACTTCCGTCGTAGGAATTGTCCGCTGGCATTTCCGCTGTCCGTCGAATATGACCTGTATGCCGTGCAACATTAGTTTTGCCGGTTGCATGGGAGCTCAAGTGTACAAAAGAGCTCACTTGTATAGGAAAATGTTGTTCATTTGTTTACTAGGTGTTATTTTATTAATCATAGATAAAAGTGTACAAAACCTTATTTGATATGGCCTAATATTAATGTTTACGTGTCCACGTCATGTATGTTTTTATTGTACCAGATTCTAAAGAATGGTTAATATTAAATAATCTGTGGTACAAATATGTACTGTCTATCATAATTCTGCAGACAATAAAATGAAAGTCGACAGTTTACCAACGAGGAGTTCTTTGACATCTTTCCATCCCAGTTCGGCACCGAATTCGTGAGCAATGGTTATCGTCAGACGGCGCTGAATTCCTTGGTGCAACAGAAAGACGCCAGTGCAAGGCAGGCCCTCACCATGGTCAACGACGACCGGCAAGTATTCGCCATTCGGAGCCAACTCCCGGATTTCGAACGATACAAGGAGGTCGAATGTGGAATGCACAGGATTACTGAAGTAAGTCATAGAAATAAGTAAGACACCGGTGTATATATTTGCAAGCAAAATTATAGTGTAATAAGCTGTGGAAGGCCAAACACGATAATGGCTAATAATTATCTTAAATTGTTAACTTCATTTTGACTGCAAGACTCTGGTAATCGTTTTAAGTTGTTTTAAGTGTGGTTTTTGCGCATAAGTGAAATTTGTCTGTAGCAACAATAACAGCTCGAATTATTTCACCTTGGTACGCTGAGAGGACCAATCCTTGGAGACTGAACTGGTAAAGAAATGCTGGCAGCCGGTGGAAGCATGTGTTTTGGCGGGGCGCGGGGCCTATAAAAAACATTTATTTCAACCATCAGCCAAACACATTTCTGGATGACGAGTATTAAAGCGCTGTCTGGTGCAGAAAACATTCAAAGGCTGTTAACTTACGATAACTGGGAAGTGTTAAATACTGGCTCTTGGCAATGTCCGAATACTTCAAACAGCATGGGTCGCTTGGATATGTAGTCCACAAAAGATTTAGTAACAGTCACGGTGACCTAAGTAATCAAACACGAAAACAAGCACATCAGCGGCAGTACTGCATTTCTTTGCCTGGATATGTGACTTTTCAACAAAGCATTAACATTTACTTTGACGAATTTCGGATCTTACATTCTGAACATGGTAGAAACTGATTGGAGCATCGGCTGCTTCGTTTCCGGTCAGTTTTACCGGTTCCGTGCTGAATGTTTCATCGCAGCGATGCATGAAACTGTTAAAAGATGCACTATGAGTTTCCAGCATTTGTACAGGGTTAGCTATAATGTAATAATTGTTTTTACCTAAACTGACAGAAAAGGTCAGTAAACTCGGAGGGGATCCCATGCGCTTGTAACACTGTGATTTGGAGCGTGAAATCTTTTCCCAGTTCCAGATGGGGAGGATATTCTTTCATAGGCTGGCTAAAGGGCCGAATTAAACCGTTTTCATGGCCTAGAGAGCAGCACATAAAAGCATAGTTAAAAAACGCTTTATCATCGAAATATTGGTTAGCAGCTAACAACAAAAAGTTTTTTTCTCTACCTGTGGCCAAACGGTCACTGCACCGGCTTTCGAATACATCATCCACGTCTCCGTTACACTATTATAAGCAACATCAATTATCTGAATTTTGTTATTTTACATTACCTGTACAATATGCATATGCAACCAATGCATTGATTTTTTAAAATTTACCCAAGAAGTGGGCGCATCGAAAGACGAATTAATGGTTGTTTCAGATTCACTAAAACGAATTTTTGCAGATTGTCGTACCCCCGGAATGAAATCTGGAATATCGTCATCGTTGGCTGCAAAAACTGGACAGTTGTAAAACAGGCGCAGTTTGAAATTGTGCAAGTTTTATACCTGTCGCCGGCTGCACGCAGACTTTCAGGTATCCGCGCACATCTCCATGTTCGTTTACGAGGGCTATTTTGTGGCTCATACTGATGGGACACAATAAATTTGTGAGGGGAACGAAAGCCCTGTAACGCAAACATAACAGGTTTTACAGTCGACGACTCGACACTTAACGTTTCGAAATTAAAAGGCGCATGAAGTTTTTATCGTATCGGCAATGGAAATATACAGCCGTATCTGCGCACGCTCCCAGTAAATGCAAAGTGCAGTATTATTTATTTCGCTGCATTAATAGCGGTCGTGCAGAATCCATATTGTTCATGTGCATAGTTAATAAATGGGTAATTATCGCGTGAATGGATAATGTAAGTACGAAAAATGCTGTGTTTCCATACTTTCCAATGGACTTGAACCAGGGAAAGCGGTCGTAAAAGGGATCGTATCCGCCGACGCTGTCCATGGTTATATCCGGCGAAGTGGGCGAGACTTCTGCGTCATTGGAATACATTTGCCGCATGAGTTCCAGGCGCTGTCTGTAATAAGTACATGCACTGCTTTCAACCACCAGCATAACAGTCTGTTCCTGTTTAACCTATAACTTAAGAAGAAGCACGTCGGGAAATTCGATTTGACCACCTTGAAGGCGAACAGGCATTGGAAGTATGAGAAAGGGTGAGGTACTGGAAAAAATCAGTGGCCGCTCTAATACTGCGACCGTTCTCAACGGTCACTTTCGGAAGTTTTTGAGGTGAAACAATTCCCTCCGGCAAAACATCATCACATATACTATGCATCATCTCCAAACGAGCTCTACAAACAACAGGCAAGCATTCGCAGAGAAACTCAAATGTTCTTTAATAATAACACACACCACAACACACACACCGAATTATGGGGGATTAATTGGGTAGCCAAATCAATTTCGGGGTTGACTGAAATGTAGCGTACGTACTCAACTCAAGAATAACAAGCTCACACTGGCCACGAAGTACAGACAGAAGCAGATTATTTGCAGCGCTTGCAGAATATAGTAACTGAACTGCCAATTAAAAATTGTGCGAGTTAGCAACTTAGCATTGGTTGTATGGTTGTCTCATGCCATGCAAATTGCATAATTTGTCAAATTACTATAAGGAATATTATGTACCGTTTTAATTTTTCCCTAAATTCTTGGTAAAAAAATACGTAATAACTTTTCTGTATAGTAAATACGTAATAACTTTTTTTTGTAGATCTTTGATATCGTAGATATTTTGTACAGATCTTTGACATTAAATTAATCGAATATCTATGCAATACACTGTGTTTGTTTTTTGTGTATGCAAGAAATTAGATGTAAGTTGATAAATAATATAAATTACATATGGCTTGTTGCTGTTTTAAAAAATAATTTCATATTTGACGTAATTTTGGTTTCGGATGCTGACGAAATGTATCCATCGGCATTGCCACTGCGACACTGATATGTGTTGCTGATAAAACACACAAAAAGCAGAAAGCAAAAAAACGCTGTCGAAAATTCGAAATGCCGAACATGCGGAAGCCATGAGATTTTACGGCCTTTCTCACACTGCATTCAGCTTTTCAAACCCGTCTAGATTTTTGTACCAGGAATGGAGTTTAGAGCACACTGGATACTAAATCCCAAATCACTTAGCGTGTTTAATACTCAAGAGCAATCTGTATCGTATATAGACATGTATCCTGCGTCTGACATACTTGAATTTCTCCAAACTCCAGTAGTGTGTCGCCCCGTTTTTCAGATCCCGCACTTCAACGGCAACGACCACTCGTGGCATTTTGGCCTTATCGATCGGCGCGGCGGCACTAGCGGTGGCGGCGTTAGCCGGGAGGAAATCCGGTGGGAGCGGCGAATACAGTGTATGCGTCAAGAGAACGTACTGGAACTGGACTTTTTTCTTCAGCTCCACACTGATGGCATTGGCTTCTTTAAGGAAGACCATGTTGCCCCACAGCTGGTCCTATTTATATACATGGGATGCCGAATGTTTTATCAATGACTAATAGGGATTTCCGTAAACAGCGTAATGCAACAGTGCGCGGCGTGCATTATTTTTGTATACGCACCCGCAGTGACGTAAACTGATGACGTCGCCACTTATCCCAGGCTGCCCGGGCAATGCGAAATTCATTACTGGTCCATAAACATGGATCAACTGTAAATGAACCAAAGCTATTGTTCTTAGATTGCATCGGTGAAAGGTCACCGCCGCATATGTATATAGCGCGCACATAATAACATCAGACGAGAATTACTACCGTAAAATTAACATTATTGAAATTACTACTAGCAATAACTGGAAAATAAAATTAATACGAAGCGGCGATTTATCGAGCATGGAAAGCTGTGTATAGAATAGGGTAATAGAATAACCGAAAGATTACTCACCAAAATCATCAAAATCTCGGTCAGGGGTCATAAAGCTGCTGTACATGCTGGACATCATCGATTGGGCATCCACTTGTTTCTGCAAGCTCTCAATGCGCGCTTCGTAATCCTTTCGCTGCTTTTCAAACATTTGATCGGCTTCCAGCTTTTCTTTACGATACTGCTCTTCAAGAGCCATCAATCTGAAAAAATATAACAACACATGCCACAGTGTTCCGGACGTCCAGGGAAATAACGCTCAGTCAATGCGTGTCGACCCACTGACCTTTTTGCCATTTCTGCCTTCATATCGATGCCCTGTTTGTTTAGCAGTTCGACTTGCGCAAACGTCCAGTCAACCTCTTCGCCCACTGTGCAAAACCATCCATCATTACAAGTCATAACAGTGAAATTAATTAGTTTTCCGATATGTGCCTACCGCCTGGAGTCTCTGCCATCGGGGATTTAAAATCCAGCTCCGCACGCACTACAAAACGATTGGACAAATGTAGTGATTACAAACACCTTTACCGAAATTAACCACTACCGTGCACAACAAAAAACTGTCGGGATATCGATAATTCTAGCTGAAAAGCATTACAAAGGATAAGAAATAATTACAGCAAATCCATTGCTAGCGTAAATCCAAAATATTTTTTTTTGCCATGAGATGCTGATACTGTACATGTAATACAAAATTAAAAATAACCGTTCAATTATAAGACTCGAAATTTTACTACCTCTTTAACGGGTACTTTCGTGTGAACATTAGTTTTTTATTTGTTTGTTTGTATTACCACATATATAAATCAACACAAAAAAATTTTTATTATTTGCTTTTCGATGTACAAATTGCGGCGCGTACGTATTTGCGCACGCTATCAAAAAATATAATTAACTGCGATGTGCGGAAATGCAAATCAATTATTTTATGAAAGTACGGTTACAAATGCAACACAGTACGTCCAGTTTTCCTCATAAAAAATTCTGTTGACAGCTAAATTTAGGGTTATATGGACTGGTATACCTTGCAAGGGATTCGTGAAGCGAAAGACATGATGGTTGCCGAAAATGACACGCGAACCACTTCGCAGCAGCACGGTATCGGTAACCTGCTTTCCGTTTACATAGCAGTGCGCATCTTTGCATGGCGTGAGAAAAATGTCATCTGCATAAGAAACGCAGACGTCCATCTCTGATGAGTGCTAAATGTGGGGAACAAGTGTCGCTTACCCGTATCATAGGAAAACACGCAATGCTCAGGTAAAATAAACGTTCCCGACAGTTGAATGTCCTGAGATTTATCTGAACCCACTCTGCAGTTGAATAGACAGATCAATAACTTATCAGTGTTTGTAAGCAGACAGAAATCGTTACGCAACTTCCAGTACATTACGTCCACAATTAATGCGCGCGCATTTATTGTAGAAACCATATTAAAATTATTAATCACTGCCCACCTTGTTATTCCTCGTTTCACGTAATACAAAAGGCACTCCGACATTCCGGGATCTTCGTTCAGGTTGACTAAATGAGGCGTCTAAAGGCAACGGCAGAATTATTAGTCGCTCAACTGAACCAGTCCATTACCCCTATGACGCGCCGTACTGATTAAATAATTTTGTTGACTAATTTTGCTGACCTTTTTAGGGGAAAACACTCCAACTGTGTTTCCGTCGTCTTTGACTGCTATTCCCATTTCTTGCAACATACTTTCTCTGTAATTCATTGTATCAATGCATTACATCAGTTGAAATGTAATGCTTATTGTTGCGTGTTTTGACGATCAAATTATGTAATCAAGAGGTCGTGCGCGGCTGATAATGCAATATACCGGTTTAATTTTCAAATCACCTTTGCAGTCGGATATCTTCCGTTCTTCTTAGCTTCTCTTCCCAGGTTTCATTCAATTCCGCAATAAGTTTTTCCGACTCTTTGAGCCGTTCCATTGCGTCCTCGGCGGATGTTGAGCGATTGCGCTGCCGCGCTGCGCTTTGCTCTGATGAATTGAGTGTATAAATAAACCGAAATAGGAAGTTGCTGCTGGGTTCGCAGTTACTGAAAACTATTAATTACCTGCAACAGTTTCTATTCCTTCCGCTTTTAGAATGTCCCGCAGCCGTTGAACTTCCTCTTTGAGCTCACGAATAAGACGAGCATTGGGATCTTCATTAACAACTGCTTTGCAGACAATCTGTTTAGCCCGGTCAGCATACCGCAGTGTACTCAGTGTTTCTTCGTAGTTGATATCGGCTGGACTGATCGCCGCTATCATAGCGGTGCGAGAATTGCCACCTATTAAAAAATAAGAAGCTTCGTTTTTACCGCTTATTACGGCCTTCAGATTGAGCATCTAATAAATTACAATCTGTGCGGTAAGATTTGTAAATCCATCGAAAACTGTAAGCAAAAATCGCCATTACGAGATACATAAATGTAATCAATGTAAATAAGTTAACTGTGATGTAGTGTGCCCGCCCTTGATTTTTTTGTTATATATTTTATGGCTATTGCCTATAAAATATGTAGTTAATCTACAATTGTATGAAGGAAGCATATGTAAATGTGATCAATTCATTATATACTGGGAGGGATAAAAAAGCATTCATACAATTTCTGTTGGAAAATAAAAAGACATGATCCCAGCTTGCATTTCGTAAACTTGCGTAAAGAAACCGGTTCGCAAAACGTTAGTCAAAGGCCAAAATGCAAACCCATCCGTTCACTTTGCGGTAAGTACACGTTCAACTAACGTTTTTAAATACACTGTTTTACTCGGGACTCTTATTTCCGATAAATAAAGCTGGTGAAAAAAACAAAGCTAGTCCAAATTCATGGTTTACCTAAATTTTCTCGCAGCAGCCATGTTAGTACAGAATCCCGATACGGGATAAACTCGGCTTTCTTTTTCTTGTCCTTCTTGGCAATCTAAATACAAACACACATAGCACCAGGAGTTTATCCGGGAAGCCGGGTCAAATGTGGGCCAGCGTCCTTACGTCCTTATTGGATGCCTAATGAATCGCAACGGACGGTTAATCAGTGTGTTAAACATGTGCAATGGAGCGAGGCCGTATCGTTACCATTTCCGCCAGAGCTGAAATGACTTTTCCTAAGGTGGTCAATGACTTATTAATGTTGGCTCCTTCCTTGAGACGTACACCTTGCGCTCCAGTGGACTCGGCGCGCTCGCTGCCGGCAAGATCAACAAGGCTAATTTTGCTTACCTACAAAACAGAATGATATAAACATTATAAATTTAACAGCCGTGCGTATCCTTACTTTTTCCGCTACTAAGTTGGTCGCCAGATCGTGCTTGCGCTGTGTTAGCACAATGGTGAATACTGCATGTGATCGACTACTAGTTTCGTTCATATTTGTTGCCGCCACAGTTCTGCAAATACAGATAATCATTCCGCCGTTTTCGTATAGCAGCATAATTGAATTATGAGGAATCGAAGTTGATTAAATGTATACACATTTTACCGTGCTTTATTTCCTTCATCCATGAGTTGATTAATATCATCATATGACGTCACCACCAGCTTAGAAAGATCTTCGACATAAGGCCCCAAAATTGGATGCTCGCGTACCCGTAGGGAATTTTTATTTTTAGGATTCAAAAGGTCACGGACGTGTTCACAGTATATCTCCATGTAACTGACCTGCAATTACAGTACTTGTCAAAATTCCTTTTATGTTCTTAATTGGAATGTACCGCCTGATTTCTCAATAAAATCTATTTTTGCTTACCTCAACTGTAAACAGTGTATCTGGATCCGCTACATTTATTCTTTTGAACATATCCGAGCATAGCTAAAATTTTTAAAACCGGCACAAAATGTAAATGAATGCAGAAGGCATAATTCATCACACAGGACTGCTAAAAGGTTATCGTGAAATTCGTATACACATGCACGGCTGACACAACGCGTGCAGCATGTTAATAATTAACACCAAAATTAACGGACGTTACATCATTACAATCTCATGGACACAGCCGAAGGGAATGATTACCTGCGGAATAATTCCCTCTTCTCCCGGTTCCTGCTTGCCCATCATCGTATAACTTTTACCGGCACCAGTCTGACCGTAGGCAAAAATGCAGACGTTATACCTGTACAATAGCTCCGAGTATTTCGCCGTTTAATGAAAATTTCAGCGTATTCAGAGTACGCAGACATCCCACAGGAGCGTCTGTGGGTGCGTCCGCATAATAATTACTGCGTTCATAAATACAGAATTTTGTAGCCTATTTTAAATGCAAATTATTCCGTATATGACGCCAATGATCAATGATGAAACTTAGTCACACAGCAAAAACTATTGAAATTGTTTCCCGACAATTCTTCCGTACCCTTCAAATGCGTGATCCAGCATTTCCACGCCGATATCTTCGTAGACTTGCAGCTGGGATGCATAATTAGTATCCTCAGGCTGAAATGATATTCATTTATTTTTCGAAGTGTTTGAACGGAAGCTGGCTAGAAAAGAGTGTTTGTGCATGTGAATACCCCAGTATGCGACCAGTAGCTGTAATCAAAGGCGAACGGTTTCCCATTCCGATCTCGTTCTCTCTCTTTTCCATTATGGTATATATCTGCGAAAGATTCCAAATTGGATTAACTTTCCAATTCGATTTTCAGTAATATATAATTGGCGTAATATTTCACTACAGCGCAGCACCATAACCACCCGATTATGCACAACATTATTTCTTCATCAACATCACCCTGAGATGGGATAACATTTTCAAAATTTGCATTTTTTGTATAGAAATGTAGGAGTACTGTTTGGAAATAAAATTCAACCTTGAAAAAGACTTGTATTTACGGACAACATACTTCAAGTGAATAACCACTCCAGTAAGCTACTCTTTCTTATACTGCCAAATGAAAATGTTTGTTAATCTTAGACAAAGTTACTTTAATTAAGTTTGCTTCACTGCGTTCCTGATGAGATTTTCAATTTCTTAGATGCAGCAGATCGCGACTGTACATGCATCCAATCGGTCTTTACCGCCTGTCCGCTCGCATCACATTCCTGATTCCTTTTTTTGCGTCACAGACGCTATTGATCAAGGACACTCATTACATTGTGCCAACTGAAACTGCCAATCAATTCGCACCGTTTTCTTGTCCCGAGACCAGCGTATTGCATTGACAAAAGTTGCCAATTGTCAAGAACTTTCTCCGCTTAAGTACAATGTTGCAATTTTATATTATGGACACGAGAGTTATCGACGCCGGCAGCACTAGCCGTCAAAAAAGACATGCACAGGAATAATCAATTTCATATTCCCGTGCTGAAAACGATCGATCCGACAAGGAAAATTACTTTACGGATATGCGCAAATAAATTATCTGCTGGGCCTTTTTCTGACCGGAAGTGGCAATGTTGGCCGGTTGCGTATTCCGCCACAATGTGACAATGCATCCGTTGCGATTAAAATGTTTGTATAAACACACATAGCACGGAACGGTCTAATCAGCATATGCCATGTCAGTTTTCGGCTTCCAGATGAACACATCTGTATCGATCGGTTTGTGTAAAAGAATCACTTGAACAACTGGATACGTCAACTTTCAAACAGATTTCCTAACTTATCGCAGAAGTATGGTAATTCCAGCTTCCCGCTTTCGTTGCTGCTGTCTCTTCTATTATATGTTGCCACTTTTTACCAAAAAAACAATAATGATTTATTGTCGAAGTGTTGTTACAACAACCAAATGTTCTATTACACAAAATCCAAAATCTCAGACTGTCACATAATTCCTCTACAGATGTTCAGCGAAAATTTTATAGATTTCTTGAATAAATTAAATAAATTAACAGTCGTGACAACTCAGAAAATAAAATATCAAGTTACTGTGTACAAACAAAAAGCGCTGAAGTGAACTACATGGAAAGCACACTCCAGTTAATATTGCAACGCTTTCACCAGTAATTAACGTTACTTAATTATTTATAAAAAATGCAGTGCGGTACCGGTACTTAATAAACAAAATTTTTAGCATTAAAATACTATAATGTAAAATTTATGTTCCGCCAATTTAATGCTTAAATTTTTTAACTATCTTCTACAGCCTACCAGTAACTCATCAGCTGCAACGCATCTCCGAGTCTAATTAATAATTCGGCGATAAATACGTATTTCACGGACTATCCAGATCGCACAGACAATGAGAAGGCAAAGTTTTGTGCAAGGGAAAATATATCAGCACTATCTTATATGATTTTAATGTTTTTAGTACATAAGACGCTCACGCCAAAAGCAAGAGTTTACTGCAAGAATCTAAGGAGAAAAGTGAAACGAAACGCGCAACGTTTTTACTGAAATTGCGACTACGAGAGGCGCTTTGCGGCACTTGCGTAATGTGTATGAATTTGTAATAATCGTTTCATTAAAAGCTTCTGTCAGCGTCAGGGTGGAATTTTTGCACAAGTTTTTGTTTTCATTGTCAGAATGGAAATTGCTATGCATACGCGAACGGCCTGAGTACTTACTTGTGGTCGGTCCCGACATGGAAATAATACAGGAACACTCTTTGGCCATTTCCCTGCTGTTAAAGGGCCGAACCCTAACAGCCACTTTAACCGACGACATTCTAGCTAATTTGGTCTGCAAGCAAGAATTTCATTACCGGTCTGGCTGAATGCTGAAATTGCCACGAATTACCCGAAACCCGTAGACTGAAAATATTGTGTACCTGTTTTTTTAGTTGACGTCAACAATGTGCTGCCGGAGTCTCGAACGGGATCGATAAGAGTCTGTTAAGTAAGTACAGTATAACCCCGCGATCGCCTTCACTGCGCCAGCGCGAAGATGGTGAGCGCTGCACGTACACGCCCGTTATACAGCTGCAGCGAAGGTGTCATGCCCGTTGTCGCCCGTGTCAGTCTGTGCGGGGAATTAAGGACTTAGTGAAAAACATATGGTACATCGCTAGACCGGAAGTCGGATCAGTTGGAACGGATAGAATGGAAAATTATCAGTCTGGAGAAAGGAACTGCACGCGCGCGCGGATATCTCTGCCTGCGCAAAAGTGCTGTACACGACACGATCGCGATGAGAAATTATCACAGTGTGGCTATAGATGGATGCTTAAAGAATCAAACGTTGTGTCGGCTGACGTTCGACCGTGGATACTGTACGGACAGTCTAGTTGTGGGAGCATGTTTTGTCATCAATGCTAACCAGGATGCGTGTTCCAGCTGGATGCCGATGCGGCGGATCGTCCCCTGTGAAATCCCACTGGTTGGCATCTGCGCGCACACTGGTATAGTGGTATGCACTTTTCCCTTTGCTCGCCAACACTGTACGAATGAGTGGATGGGGCGAAACGGGACGGCCCATCCGCGGTGTGTTTGGGAAAGATCGATAACGTTACTTCCGCCATGCATCGGCACTGCGCCGGCTACGAGACGGTTGGCGACGACACTGAATGTCCACGTTCAGTGTGGAAGCGCAATCGTCCAGATATGTTTCTCCTGTGTTAAGGAAAACAGAGGATCTGGCTTATATCCACGGTATCACACTGCGTTGTGATAAAGCCACATATATACCAATCCATCTAGAGTCCAATGCGGTTAAACCACTTCCATTGAAAAATCTGCAGCGAATCGTTTCATATTACAGATTTTTGCTTTAACAAACAATGATGTTCATCTGAGAGAATACAGTAAGTACAGACGGCGATATCCTTGCAATATATTGGCTCTGTGTTGGAGTATAAATTTTTAGACATGGTTGTAAGCGGGTACTTATATTCTTATGCTACCAAGAATTTAATTCAAAAAGAATGCTACGAGTACATACACGTATCCAGATCATAGCATTCTTAAAATTTATGATTGAATGTGTTAGGCAGACTAAGGCACCATAGTTTCTTGGTTTGAAATATGTTTACATAAATGGCTGGCTCACAAAATTAGTTTTCGAATATGTATTATGTGCGCAACAAATCCAGTCTTCTTATGCAAAATTCGTTCAAAAACGGTTAATGCCCACAAACGATGCGTATTAAGTATTTGTACACTATATTTCGGCAAAGTGAATTACGTACATTACAGAGATAACTCACATATCAAAGGGCACTAAAAATATCAAGGGAAAGAAGCGGTGCCAAAATAGAAGGACCTCCAAGATCTATGGAGCCTGTGGGCTGTGGTTTATTGGCAACACTTTTGTGTTCATACAACGCGGAGTTCAGTTTGGAGTACAATCTTTGGAGTTTGGAGCATAACTGAATGAACAGAAGCGATGGATCATGGAATCGAAACAAACCCGCCCGAAGAAAAAAATTATGTTTTGGGACAGAGCACTTTGCATATTTTAGACAGCAAATTATGGTTTTGTGGCCTGACCAATAAATGATACTTGTCCATTCAAGCGGCAAATATTATGAGCAAGCCGAAGATTTGCATAGTTCTCAGCGGCATATAAAATTATAGCATATCTGTTCCACCATGTGTGTTCATGTAAATCTGTTCCATACGATTCACACGCCAATATAGAAAAACAATGTGCAGATAGTTCTCGCCGCTGGGCTTCAAGACATTTGGAACACTCGGACCAGAAGCCGCCCGACTGGTGAACGTACTAGAAAAGGTGATCCAGCAAGAGAAGGGAGAAGCGCGAGCTACAGAAATTTTGCTTCAACGGACCAGCACAGAAATTCAGCAAGGAAACGCAGCATCTATAATGGGAACAGCGCCGCCGGCGGCGAATTTATACTAAATTTTGCTGTTATCCGTTCGCTTCAGTTTGTAGATGTTGTTGTTTAATTAATTGTCATTCCAGTTTCTGATGGTTTTGGGGAAGTTGGGAGAAGTGTATTGAGTATTGGAAATTAAACACATGTGCAAATACATACTTGTATACGCATGCACGCATTGTACATAAACATGCACGCATTGTACTTGTGGTACCGGCAGCAAAGAAAAACTATCAGTTTAATACAGTCAGTAAAAATAAAGACAATGGATGCAAAATTTAAAACAACGGATGAATACAACTTTTACAAGGGCAATCTTTTAAGTCAAGTAAAATTAGCAAGTAAAAGCCAAAAAACTATCATAATTACAGTAAAATAATAATAGTTACAAGCTAGAATGCGCAATTGTATAGCTTGGCGTTAACTTTTTCCATTGTACCGGACGATGCGTTTCTTCTATTAACGAATTGCATTTGGGTCAATGTGTTGAATACTTTTGCCATTTAAATTGCAAAAAAACTGTTAACATATTTCTAGTTGAGAAAGTCTGCACATGGGTTCCCAATTGTGGTCAATACTGATGATGTAAATTTCGAAAAAGATTGTAAGTGGTGCGCATTTCCCCTTATATTACTTAACGAACACTAAATACTGTGTCATTTAATTATATAGTTTTCCCTATGACAAATATAAGTGTTCACTCCCATTCGCAATAGAGTCTTTCGGGATCTATTAATATGTTTTGCTGCGAACTACAAATGTTTGTTGGGACATTTCTTGTCCCAACAACCTCTGACCTTGTTTATTTTTACGCATATTTGTGGCGCACAGCCTAACAAATCAAGTACAGAACGTCAATTCAGGCTGCGTTTTCACTGATCAGGTAAAGCGAAGCCGCGAAGGTACTCGTATAACTGATCCAAAAGTTACCTGTCCGGTAGGTCATGACCTTTACCGCAAAATGAACTACCGGAGGTTTACGAATGCGAACTCCGGTTCGGATATTGCATTCTAGTCGACATCTTGTAATGTACGTAATATGATGCATTACAAGCAGTGGTTTAAGTTGGATTTTCAATGCTTCTCCGTTTCATGTTTTTTTTATGAAATCGGGCAAGTGCCACAATGAAATTCCGCGTAAATAAACTTGCGTTATTGCTGATATCGTACACTGCATCCTACCCCCGTTATAACTTGAAATTTACTGCTATTTTGGCAGCCCTGTACAACCTGATGTTGAGGATATAATTATACGAGTACACACATAAATTCCTTAATTTTTTGGTTTTAAAACTGTACAATTCACATCATGTCCAATGTTATAACTGTGCTCTGTACATGGGAAATATTGTATTTCTGGATTACAACATATGTTTTCCATGTCGTCTTCGGCATGTGAAGTACTCATTTGTCAACACATAAAGATAGCTAAGGACCAAAACCGGGTGAAAGAGGTTTTTTTAGGCAGCGGTGATCTATCCAAATGCTACCGGGAAACGCGATATGTGTTATGGGTACAAATACCGTACAATCCCCGAGCAGGATAGCATTGAAGAAGTGTTTTTGTTATAAATCTCGTTCTTAGTACTCACAAGTCAGTTTGTACTTTCATGTGATACTTATTAAAGGTTAACCAAGCCTTCAAAAAAAGGACTAACACATTTAGAGAGAAAGCTTCTAAAATTAAAAATGAGGAGCGTAAGAAGAGCAAAAATGCTGGAAGCGTTCGTATATGACATTCGTCCTATATTAATTTGATAATGAGGAATGCACAATAATATCATAGGTTTCGGCCTGGATGATACCGTTTAAAAGCGTTTAGTTGGCAAAAGCAAGTGAAACAGTGCTACCTTCTTTGGAAACCGCTAGCGCACTCAACTTTACATAGTCACACTTAACGCTTTCTGGCAGCGGAAATGTGTTGGGACAAATTAAGCTGTGTGTCGTGAAGTGCACCATGCGCATCCGTTTGTCTTCTAGAATTACTTACATTCTGCCATATTTATAAGTCGTGCGTCTGCGTCAGACATTAATATTATTCATCAAGGCAAGCACGTGCTTTTAATTAAACTTTAACCATTTTGACTGCCCACGTCTACTGCATCTTCAGAATGGCTTAAACTCAACGATATAAGGGAACAACATTTTTTTCATATACATTGACAGTTAAAACATTAAATTGTAATAACAATCTGGAAAACTTCATTTCCGGAAGAAACCATTAAACGGGCAAATCTATCGAAACACAGTAAAACTTCACAACCGAGTCAGCACAGCTAAAAAATCTGGAAGTTATTAGATCAAGTCTGCATTGCGAAAAGGCACGGATTAGCGGCTAATATACATCCACATCCACGAGAATACCGGTGCGATCTGAGCAAAATTGCTACTAGCGACCTAAAAACGCGGCCAACCCTTCAATTTTAATTGTACAAAAAGCACAGGGGGAGCGCGTTCCTTTGCAGAGAATTTCTGTGGAAGAAAATTAAACACTGCGCATCACACCGGTTCTGCGTTGGTACTGATTGCTCTAGAAGAACCATTGACGCTGGACTTGGACCTGGCGAATTCGCATCGCTTGAGCCGGTTTGGCAGCAAGAAAATCAGGCTGGCAACTAATGAGGCAAGAATCCAGGCGGCACCGGCGAAATAAAACGGCACACTGGAAGTCGTTTTTCCCTCAACGGTACCTATGACGGAAATGCGCTAGTCAAGAGCCAGGCAAACACGGTTTTAAAATAGTATTGCTGACATACAGCCGTTGCTGCATAAGTAATAGTGACTTCGTACGATAGCAGTCGGCGATGTACTAGTAAGTTAGATGCAACTCGCCAACCAATTTCATCAGAAATTCTAATTTCGGTAAGCTAAAGTTTGTTGATATCTGACAAAGTGTATTTAGTTATAAAGTAATGTAAGAAATAGGTAGTAAGTACGTTTAATAAGTAATAAATAAGTTTTATAACGGTTTTTCTTTGCAGTTGCAATTTACTTGCGTTTGAAAAAATGCATGAAATGCATGCCGTTCATGCTGCAACGTTGGTATTCGTCACATTTAGAAATGCTCGTTTGTAATTATTATAATCTGAAAAGCCTGCGTAACGCCTAAGAAGTAGCTGTCAACTATTGAACAGTTTAGCACCACGAACACAACAGATGACCAAAATACAACTCTTCATACATGGGACGCAACATACGCACCATGCAAAGGTGGTCCAATCATGCTGGCAATTCCGGCAAGTAGTTGTGTCTGTCCGAACGCGATCGGAAGCTGCTCCAGACCCATCCGGCTCGAGAGAATGATCGACATGAGCGAAATGTAAGGAGCTAAAGGACACTTCAATTAAACAGCCTGCTGTGTTAAGTAGCGCCCATTCATTTCCGTCCGTATACTAACCAATAAAAAATCCATAGACTACTCCGTTAATCAATAGACCGGTGAATGAGGTGCACATCGGGACCAAGGCCAAGGTCACGCCGCTGGCGAAGATACACAGGTTATGGATTTTCAGTGCATCGAACCGCGGTCGATCGGCCAGTGCGCCGAAGAATATGCGGCCGATTATGCCGGCGCCACAAATGGCCGTAATGACGGTGGCCGCGGTGTCCTTATCAATGGGGAATTTTTCAATGGCGAAAGACGGCAGGAAGAATGACGGCGTGAGAAACGCAATCGACCCGATAAAGCTGGCGCAGCTGTAGATGAGAAACGTCGGTACGCGGTAGATGTGGAAGTTGATCATGTCGGCCAGCGCCTGCCGGATCAGCGGCGGCAAGCAACCTTGATCATCCTCACCGGAAGTCGCCTTGGTGATCTGCAAGGCTGGGAGGGTCTTATGTTGCGGATTGCGCATCAGCGCCGCCGCAATACAGCACTGCAGCGCCGTCCCAGCTAAAAATAACATGGACCCTTGCCAGCCATAGTAATCCAGTAACAACTGGACAAAATTCGGGAATACCATGCCGCCGACACTTGATCCGCACACGGCGATGCCCACTGCCAGTGCGCTCTGGTCTTGAAAGTATGAGCACACGCACATAATCGATGGGGAATAAATAAACCCGAAACCGATCCCTGCAAAAATGACCGTGTAAATATCAGCAGATGTGCTTTACATGCTCAGTTTAAATCCGCATTCCACCGCGTCTCTTATTTGCAATTTATTAAATTAAAGGGTTAGAATTTTCTTCCTACTCCAAACGGTTTGCGACAACTGACGTGGATTAGTTAACGCCAATGGCCAAAAAGTTATACGGCTTTCTTCCCATTGTGAAACCCGCGCAAGCAGTATTTTTAAATTATATACATACTTGTATCATACGGTATATAACATGATTAACTGAATAATATGTTCATACTTTTAATAATAACTGGTCAAAATGTTTGTGGCGGTATTTTAAATCAACTTTAAACATATGGAAAAAGAGTAACTTTACTGTACAGTAAGCGACTTGTAACCTACAACAAGAAATTACCGACAGAAAACATGGGTTTCGTGCTAATTGCTGATTTTAATGGGGAACATGTTTACACCGCACGACAATCCATTGTGCAAAAAGACCGTATGACTATGTTCTATTCATCCCACGTGCTTTATCCTTAATTTGGCATGATTAACGACAGCCTTCGGCTTCTGAACTAAATTTTTCATCATTTAAACGACGGACTGTGTCGCTAACCGTATTCGACTACCGTAAAAACACGACGGCGCTCGTGCCAAGATGCATTCAAGCGTTTATCCCGCCTATTTGCGTCACATTCACGGTCACGTCGAATCCTTGTAGGCTCAAATTTGCATTTAATGACTAAAGGAAATAGCTCGAGCCGGGAGTCTACTCGTTTACGTTCCATATCGTAATTACTTTGATTTTTTCGATCCAATAAACACTGGATATCGCCGTGCCGGGCCCGACAAACTTAATCCATCTAATGCAAAAGGAGACTATAATTTCACACTGCACTATCTGGGTGTGATCGATCCACCCGTCCGTTCAGGAAAAACTAATAGAGAAACAGTAGCAGCCGGCACAATCGAATTTACCAAACTGGCATCCTAAATTCGTCATCCAAGTGTAATCGTATAGCGCAGACTGAAGTTCGTGGTTAGCGATCTATCACCGCCATCAAAAATTTAACTTTGAAGAATCTGCGCCGAATTACGTCTCAATCTCACAATGCGACGTAATCTGTCAATTATCTCACGGTGAAAACGCAGCCGCTTTGTGACGGTTACAGTGATTACGCTACTTTTGCCTTTACAGGGAGGGGACGTTTATTTCCGCTGCAAAGTAAGACCGATAATTGCGACCACCGCAGCGATCAATAACTATTGGCGCAATGCCGGTTGGGAAATCAAGTTGCCGGAAGTTCTCGGCTTGCTAAACACACCGCTTAAGCACCGTTGCATAAAAGCAATAAATTATCGATAAATTTTTTTATCTACGAATTACTCAAACGTTTTAAAATCGCTTTGTAATCAGACTGATCCAAAGCGATTAAATTTTTTTATGTAAAACTTAAAATTACAGTAATTGTCAGTTTATCACTGATGTAGAAATGCCCGTGAAACGTCGGGCGGACAAATGCATCTGACCGTTTTAGAAAACAAACAAAAAAGTGCTACGGTTGCAACAAACTCTGTCTGAGCCGGGAAACCTTTCGCGACGTCCCTTAATGCCAAAACAAACGCACACGGCTTTCAGCATGCTTACCACCGATAATTCCAAACGTTAGGAAGAGAACGTAGACATTGGTAACGAAAAAGCTAGCGCCGAATCCACAGGCTGCCGTCACTGCACCGCAGGCTATGACAATACGATAACCAAATGTGTCCGCTAATCCACAAGCAATGGGTCCTAAATATTATCGATAAACAATTTGAGAGCAAAATAATTACACACACGTATTCGAAAGAGCGCTGTCGAAATCAATTACAATCATAATGGCGTACCCATAAACAAGTAAACCCCAACTAATAGACTCCCAATCCATGATGTTATGGATTCCGGCTCGACGAACAAATCGTTAAATTCAATCAGATAAATGCCGAACGAATTAGCCACACCGTCCACCACGAAGGAGCACAGGAACGCCGCGCCGACAATCACCCAACCGTAGCCACCTTCCGGAGCAATGGTCAACGCGGGTGACGGTGAATACGGCGGCTTGGATTCCCCATCCAAATCTGTACGAGGAGTAAAAACAGCTGATTATTCATCGCCTTTCACCTTAACAATAATACTACTTTGGGTAGATCTTTTGAATCAGAGTATTCAGTAATCAGTATCTGAGATTTCATATAGTTACTGGATTTTTAGACTTCGACATATTTTGGAAAGATAATTAATTCGAAACTCTTTTGACACTGACATTACGGTGCCAAATTTTTTTTGACTCATGTAAGCAAAGGAGATAACACGAGGGAATGTTTAATCTGATGACTATTTCCGGATCATCTCCAAAATTTACCTGCTTCTATTTTTGCTTACAAATGATAGCTCTTCACTTGTCAGTGCAGCTGAATTTGCGCTTGATGTCTCGAGAAAATCAAGTGCAAGACTTCTGATGCTTTTACTGCAGTTGTAGCATGGAAATGCTGCATCTGTAGCATCTACTGAGTAGGATTATAGTAACATTACTATAATTCCTGTATTATTGACTAATTCATTATATTAACTTGTAAGTGCTATCTTTTTCTCTGGTTGCACTTATATCAATCAAGCAAATACGACTTATATAAACAGACCGGACTGGTCCATTGAATACCGCAATGAGCGGACATTTATTGTGCAGCGCTGATTTATTATTATTAACTGCTACGACTTTTACTAACCGCAAGATGAGAATATGTATAAATATACATATATTTTACAGTTAATACTTATTATCATAATACATTAATACTTATTATAAGAAATCCATGCACTCAAGTAAATAGTTTTAGTTTAAATATGGACGCTTTGGCTAAACTTTATACCATTGCAATACATAAATGAAAAGCGGACCTCATTGTCCGTTCCATAAAGTATTTCTGGAATTCGAAGATCACGCTGATGGAAATTCATGGTAAAAGTATTTGTATTTATTACCGAGTACCCATCGGCCATCGGTAATTAAAATTAAAGAACCGATAGATCGTCACCGTTTTGTGTTTTTTTTAAGGGAATGACGAGAAAAAAGAAATTAGAAGTGATATCTGATACATACATTAATAACTGGCGCCTCTTACGATTTCTTTCTCGTAAGATGATTTAACTGGGCAGTTGAAAGAATTAAAGTGCACACTGCACAGTGCAGTATTTGCTTGTTAAATCCGTTCTATCTGGGGTTTGGAAATCGAGATACAACGAAGCTAACCGAAAGGAAATGTCATGTTGCAAAAAAAACGTTTACAAAACTCCGTTATAAAACCATATAAACCATAATTATTACGATTGATTTGTGTAAATACAAATTAATTCCATTTTTTGCAACGTAGCGCTGTGTACCTGATAGTGCATTTGAACTGGGAACTTTGAGAGTCTGGCGTTCGGAAGGTAAGAGATCGCGCAGGTTATCATCATGCCGGCAGCTTGTGTTCGTCCCGAGCTTAGCTTTTTCTATCTGCTTATCCGGTGATCCGTTTACTGAGTTTAAATGACCATTAAGCTTTAAGTTTTTCAATGGCATATTGTCCAGGGATCGCGCACAACATAATAGGAAGAATATTCGTTGATAACGCACACGCGCTGTATTGATCCTCGTGCTGTTTATAGTTTTAGACCCGAAGAATCATGCGTCCTCAGTGTTACACAGTCAAGACAACATTCTTAAGTTAAAAGAATTTCGTAATAATATTAGGCGAATCAGTGCGAAGGAAAACCACTAAGTTAAAACCCGTTGGTGAAGAATACTGAAGATGTGACTGTCTGCATCTGGTAACAGTAATACAAATAACACACCCTCTCCTTTAATTGTATAGCAATACAAAAACTGATTGGTATGCTTCGTACAAACAAAGGGAAACAGCAAGAGCAGCGAACAATGGAAACACAGGAAACCAAACTACACGTAGCGCCAGCAGAATCTTAAGCTCTATAAGCCCTTCTGAAGATGAAGATGATCTGGCCCATTCTCGATCGGCAGATATGGCGAAAAAGTGCATACAAAAGCTAACTAACTGGAAGTCCTATGCGAGCACTAGCGAAGACTGAGAGAAAGTGTTAAGCCGGCAGCGCTTCCACGATACCGAAAAAGCAAACATGGGTAGAACTTCCTGTCGCCAGACACAAGCTGGGGAAGCTGATGGCTTACGCAACAGCTTAAAAGCGTTTCTCCCGGTTTAGCGTTTCTGAGTTTCTCCCGGGTTGGCAACAGACATACTGCAGTACGTGTGCGCCGACATGTACAGGCCGACAGCACCACTTCATGTGACCGGTCGTCAGCATATTAAAGTACGGTACTGTACGGTTCCTGCTACAGTGCGGGAAGTACGGTACAGTTCTGCCTTTATACGGTACGTACTGTAAATGCAAAAAGATTTCAATCTCCCACTGTCACATCATATCCGATTGTAACTGTACGGATTCTGGGGATGACGGCGACGGATGACGCACGCGCGCAACACTGGCGTATTAAACAAATACAATTGTACAGTACAGTATGCACTTGTCGTACTCGTACATACAATACTTACTTACTCATTATTTCGTTCGGCTTGCGCTTTATTGCGGTATAATCACACGACAAAATTGATTACTTCAAATCTGACAAAGAAACATGTTAACAGATAATTTATATTAAATAATATGTTAATAAGTACAGTAAGTACTGTAAAGTGTAAACTATTGTAAGTACTTATCAAGGCTTCCACAATAATCATCTTTTACAAAAATAATTGTCTTAATGGTGTTAAAGGAAAGTTTTGCCAATATCTGATGTAAACAATTTTTATACGAAGTTGAAACTCATTGTACATAGATAATTATATTATGTAAATAATATTTATAATATAAAATTTAATCATAAGTCGCACTACTTAAATAATATTTTTACTATTATAAGTAGTACGACTTTAATACGAGTAAAGTAAGTACAGTACTAATACTCGAACCGTATTGTACGCAGTGCAGGTATGTATAAAGAAGTATTAAAAACAAAACTCAATTTTACAGGCGGGCGTGGAGACTGGACCCGATGGTGAGCCGCTGCCGACCACGTGCACAATTTTTCGTTCTTCGGCCATGTGAGACCGAACTTTCTGCTTTTCACGTGTATAACTGCGGTGTCCGGATAGATGTGTTTCCAGTTGAGGTAGCGCAGCATTCCCGGTTTGGATTTTTAATTTTCATCTGCATCTTTTTGTGGAATTGTTGTTCCCGTTGACATTGTCGGTTCCCGTTGTCCTTGGTTCATTTTGTCAGACAGGTGTCTATCCCCGAAAATGTCTAATGGAAGAGCTCGATTTGGTCCACTGGTATGAACTCTGGCAAAAGCGCAACAGGCATGACCTTTTTACGTTTTTCCTTGCAGTGCGTTGTTTCGCATTTGCAGGCACCTAGCATGGACAATGATCTGCAGCAAAATGGAGACCAGTTTCCTAACGGGTTTTTTGGCTCACTGAATCCTCTTCCATCAAAATTGGCGCGTGCCACAACCTTCACATCCGTGGATAAAAAGCAACGACCACCAAATGTGCGCTTTCGTGGCAATGCTACCGTGGAGGATTCGGAAAACATTTCCCCACTGTCACATGCAGATTGCTATGGCAATGGTCAGTCTGAGGATGTTCCCTTCGTTCTTATGGTAAGTGCCATCTTGCTGGACGTACAGGGAAGTTCGTTCAGCTGATAACTTTGGGGTCAATGACTTAGTTTGTCTTCGCAGTTTTGATCTTTTGCGTAAAATGTGAAATTTGTATAGTTCAAAGCGAAAGTAAACTTGCTGCGGACTTATAATAATTTACACGGTAATACTTATCTTTCAGGCACCACCACCGGTTGGGCATTTTCGCTTCGGGAGGCAGAGAAACAAGGAGGAATATGGTCAGCAGAATGGAAACTCTCAGGTCCACGGCGCCACGGTTCTGGAAGGATCTCAGACTTCATATGCTCTGAAGAATGGCAGTGACGCTACGATTCATTCAGCTCTCGGCCAAAAAGAGTTCGTACTTTTTGAAAAGCGATTCTTTAAGCGCAGTCTTCATCTTGAGGTTTCAACAATTTTACGGTTACATTTTGCTTATACAATTGTTATTATTATTAAGTTTTTGGTATTTATTACTTAACTTCCGTGGATTTTCATGTGCTGTAAGTATACATTGCGGTTTATAGTTTATTGCATTGAAATATCTGCAGTTTCGCTCCATCAGTTGCAACCCACAATTCAACCTTGCAAGCTCGTTTGAGTGACCTGCTGCCACCACCATTACCTAATGCCGACCCAGCAGTCGAACCATTTTCTCCGGCGTATTACAGCAAAGGGAAGAGAGCGTGGTATGCTTACTTAACAGTATTTTTCTCCGACAGGTCATCACTTGCATTTTCTGGAAGTCATGCCGATTTTGCTCTGATCGGTTTTGTTCTAACGTAGCTTTTGGAAGAAAATAAATTATGCAACCGTCCAACGTGGTGTTTTTTCTCAGGATCATTGAAATTCGTGCACTGAAAAACAAGATCGAAAAGATAAAGTGAGTAGTTTTAGTATTTGTCCTTCTAAATGTCCTCTTGCATCATCGCTTTGTAAAAAATGAAGATCTTTTTCCACAGAATACCCCTTTCCCAGCAGGAGTTCGAGGCAAAACTAACTTGGGTGGAAAAAGTGAATTCCATGTGGTTCTGGCTCGCTCAACCTGGTCGTCTGGATGAATTGACGTGTGTAATGAAGGAGTTCAGCCACCTCGTTCAAGATTACAAAACCAGTGAACCATTAAAACCGCTACGGTATGGTCTGGTAGATTGACAGTTTTGCGCACTCCGAAGTGGGTTGCATAGGTTGCCTTTAGAACGTCGTGAGGTTTACCATTATTAATTGTTGCTGTTGCTCAAGATTTCCTTGTTTAGTGAGGCGAAGGACAGAACCGTGGTGCTGGCTCCATACGGTGATTGCTATTACCGGGCTGTGGTCGTGGGCAAATATCCAGACAATGACGCAATGGTTTTTTTCCCTGATTACGGCAATCGACAGGTAAAGATACATATGAAAATGTATTTACTACAGCTCTACGATGTATCTTACAAATGCGCTTGGATCTGCTTTTCAGAAACTGTCGTGCGGTGTGCTTTTAGCGGTACCAGATGAAATGGCTGAGGCGCTTGCTTTTCCCATGGTTGCGACTCGATGCAAGCCAGTGGACATCGACTTTGGGTATCAGTTTAAAACGTCCAAAAGTCAGGAAGACGTTAGTAATACACTGGCGGAAGTTATGGAGAAGTCTCGTTTCTCTGGAGCCGTGCTGAATGTTTCGACTCACTTGTGCGAAGTGAACGTGTCGATGGTGCCCTTGTATTGTGATTTGAGCAAATTCCTGCTGGCCCATGGAACTAATTTAGCGAAAAAGTAAACACTAAGCATATGAAAAACATCTTTATTGTCAGGATTGACTGTTATACATATGTGATTACAGTAAGTACTTAAATGTCAGGATACACGCAGTATTTCGGTTGTGTTGCAGACACCTTCCTCATCGCACAGGCCTTGAAAACAATGGCATGTTGGTTCGGATTGCAGTCGTATCGTCGGCTTCTGAGATATTCTGCTTGGTAGACTCGTCCAATACTACGAAATTTCATTTATCAGGCGTCGAGAAGGATCTTTACGACTACATGAGTCGCTGTCCTGCAGAAGTTACAGTGTAAGTTCCATTTAAATTTGCCTAAACGAACTGGAACTGTATTTATCAAGTCGACAAATAATATTAAAACCGTGACTATTTATTCGAGCCGTATTTAATACGGTTAAAACGACTGTTTTAGGCCGCAGGTTGGTGATCTGGTTTGCGTCGCCTTGAATGGTGGAAATCGTGCGGGCCGGGGACGTGTGGTAGAGTATTCGGGTTCGGACGGGATGGTTAGTCTGGTACTGCTGGATTATGGCTCTACGCGAGTGTTCAAAGTATCACATGATCGTGTGCGTTCCTTACGACGTAAAGATCTGGATATGCCGCCATGGGCTCTGCGGTGCATTATTGATGGGATTGCAAGTGAATCTCGTTCAGCGGAGCATACCAAACGCATTGATGCATTAGCCTCTGAGATACTGAAGGTCAAGCATGATTACTGGATGCACTTTTTGGACTACAGTGTAGGCGAAGGTAAAGGAGATGAATATGCCAGAGTATCGATCACGATTATGGAGAACGGGAAGGAACGAGACTATCGGGATGTTCTGCTTGAACGCATGGACATTAAACAACAAAAGTAACTATGAGAACGTTAAGTTCACGGATGCCGGTGTTTTCAAGTAATTTTCTGGAGGATGTTTTTAGCTTCTCACTTTTTTTAGCGCTGCATTGGAATGATTTTTAACGGGCAGCCATGGGTTTATTTAATATTTGATCGCGCTTTTTATGCGCTTGTCGTACCGTTTTTATCGTTTAAATAAGTACGTTTTCGGGTCTCTTCTCAGTGCCCATGTGTAGAATGCATGTTCTGGATTTGTGAGAGTAATGAATAAAGCACAGAAGATACAACTGAGGGTTGAATTAAAATGCAAGAACAAAATCATCGAATCCTGAAGTGAGAACATCGATCGATGGTATTAATTAATTATCACCCGTAAGAATGACCATAGCACTTACTGCAGTTTTCTGGAAACAGAAGCTACTGGTGCTCCGTGGGGCATATTAGGTATGTACAAATATTATATCTATACAGGGCATACTAGTATGTATGTAAGTATTATATTTTTTTGTATTGCTGTTGCTACTATAGAAACCACAGTGAGATTGGAAAGTTTCCAAACCTTGTCACAACGGTTCTAAAGTACGCAGCGCGTAGTCTTAAAAAATTGCAAAAAATTGGAAAAACGTGTGTACAGGTAATGTGTATAAAAGGCTTGCAAACAGGAGAACGGGATTATGTAGAATTGGGTGGGTACAATACAGAAGTACATAATGCAATTATGCAAGCAATAATTTTGACACCGGTCTAGGTGCATGATGCATTGCTATCAATTTGCCACGATTAAAAACAATTATATGTAAACACTTATAGTTCTACATGTATTTACGTATAATTATAAATATTGTACAAATGTCCTACTGTCACCTTTATGCCAAATAGACGGATTTCTGGTTATAGGGATACAGTGGGATCAAGCTGCTGAATTGTGTTTTTTGGGTCTACGCTTACGGGCCGAATGTGTTTCACCGTCAAACTGATAATAAGAGTTAAAAATTACTACAAATGAATTACGAAAAAATTGATCTTGACTCGGTAGGACTGGTGTCATATGATTTCGCTCCGCGTTGTATTCAGCCGGACTCATTATTACACTGGCCCGTGTTTGACCATTTCCACACCGTGTTAGAATCGGCCAACACCTTTCTCTCGATCAACCCCGGAGTACACGCGGTCGCCTGCGAAACGCTACACCTTCGCGTGGAAAAAGACCACATACGAGACCCGGATCGTAGTGATTATTTCCAGACAGGGGAAATTCTCCGCCCGTTCGTTAAAGGTCTTCGCGTCTGGGTGCAGAAACGGCCAGAAAATCTCCGCAGTCCCATTCCGGATCAGATCAACTACATTAACTTCGTGCCGAACATTGCGAAAACGGAAGCCGCGGATAAAAATCCGATGGAAATCATTACCGAGATGAATGACTGGATTAAAGAGCACCGCATTCCCGGCCGGATTATTTCCATCGATACACTGCAGATGCGCGGTGTGGAAGGCGAAGTCAACGTGGATATTACCAGCTGGAAGCAGGACAGTGCCGCGCATGTCAAACAGAGCTTTTTGAACTTTTTCCGAATTTTCTACGTGATTGATGCATCGTATCCCGTCGAGGAAATCGGGTTTATGGATTTTCTTCCCGAAACGCTGGAAGGTGTGGGGATTTTCAGCTGGCCAATCGTCGAACGCTTACCGGAAGTGGTGGATCACGTTAGCCAATGGGCGAAGCGCTTGCCGCCCAACGTCCGCCTCCTCAACTTTCAGACTATTCTGTGTCGTTCTGACTACAAAATGTGTCTGGATCCATACAAAACATATTACTGGGATGAATATTTCCACGTGTACCATCGACGACTATTGCGTATCGGGTACGCATTGACCACGGAAAAGAGCCTTCCTGTTGTGCCGGTTGCCAATATGGTCACCACAGTATTGTTCGCTCCCGGCATCGTCCGCGACCCGCACTGGTATAAATGGTCCGGTGCGTATGAAACGCAAAGCACGGTAAAGGAGCGTATGAATGCGTGGATTAAACTCACGCAGGCTAGTGTTGTCGGGGTGGAAACGCTAGCGTACAAGGCTAGCACAGGAGCGGAGTGCTCCGAAGGGTTTAATGCAATGCACACCTGGAACGAGAAAGGTCGTCATGGTGCCAAGCAGGAACAGTATCTCATTTGTTTAAGGGTTTATATCAACGGTGCGCCTGATGAGCCGAAAGATTTTCTCTGGCCAAAAACCTTGCTAGACTGGGAAAAGGAAAACCCGAGTAGTAATTGTAAATTTTGTTGATTCTGAATGCTGCATAGATTTGCGGTAGCCCATGCATTTATCTAGGTGTAAAAGATGTTTGTTCATACAGCTATTGTACAGATATTGTATATGCTATTATACTCTGCACAGTAAATAATACCTACATTTCGTTGTGTATGCCTATTAAATGTTCAAATTTTGAACAATTTCACTATTGATAAAGATCTAGACCATTCAAATAATTTTTTTAGTAAAATCTGAAGCTGCTTTGTTTTAATTTATGTATGTGTTTTCACGCGATAATGGTAAATTTTGCTCTGTCCAACGATTTCGTTGCAGCTTTGACCCCTTATGGTTTTCTCCGTGCCACAGTTTAAATATATTAATTTTTGCTATAGTGTGTGTGTTTGTAGTGTATGCATGAACTTCACAAGTTACAAGTAGCAGCAATGACATTTGTCCATTAATTTAGGGCTCGATGTGCCTTGTCTTTCACCTGCATATATGCTACCAAATTCATAAAATTAAGTTCAAAACCGATAGTGCTGTATATGCCAACAGTAGCGGCGTGTGTGCTTAATTTATTAATTTGATTGTCTAATGCCATCGTGTTTACCGGCAATTTGTTTGTCTTATTGCTCAACCGGATCCTACTTAATGTCAGATAGAGACGAACCTGTGGCATCCGTTATTCTACAGGTTCATCTACACGGTGGGAATACCGCATATATGCCACAAATAAATCCAGTAAAACGAGTTGGGTTCTACGCCTGCATGTGTATACGCGAATGCAGCGTAGCCGTCGTAGCGGTACATAATAATAATCATAAGCCAAAGGGCCTTATAAACTGTTGAATTATGAAAGCGTTGAATAAAGTTTTACATTTGCCACCACGATATATGAACTTATATCTGGCAGGCCACTCGGACATTATTTATGTCTGCCGCAAGTTCGCCTGATTTGCACATGCAGAGAGTTAAACTTCTCCAAAATACTGGATATTATAAACGATTTATCATTCGTACCACATGGTATTTTGGATACATAAATCTAATATAGATACCTTTATTGGCTGCAGTAGTGCAGTTTTAGCTTTTCAGGATAAACTAAAGAGCATCGGTGTATTGTTCGAGCCGCAGGTATGTGACACTGTGACCTTAAAACTTTGTCGGTCGATTTTTATCATATCTGTATCGCTTGTACTTTCACCATTGGTTAAATCGGAAGATATGTCATTCTACAAACAATAGAATGTTTTAATATTTTTTATGATATTATGGATATATCTGTACATGTAAAGGACAAATTCCTCACAACAGCATTTTCGCCTGCATGATTGCAATCATCGCCGTTTCTTCCCAGAATACGCTCTCGATTAAGTCTAATTCGCACAAGAAGCTGCGGCATACTTAATTTAGATGAATTTTTATCGTTAGAAGTGCATGTGGAACTCGTCTTGATCAACAATAATTTATTGCGTATCCAGCAAACAACAATGGTTTTGCGCTAACCGTATCCATGCAGTTGATAAGCACTGCTAATACAGTGTGCCGCAGCCAGGTCCGTCGAGTCTGACCGGTGATTAAGTGGCCAACACAACCAGTCCACTAACGGATTTCCACACACATTTTCGTCTTAGCACCGGAAGCGCCGCTAATCCTTTTTTCGACCACCCTTCAGTAATTGTTTATATGAAGGTATGACCGGCGCGACTGAAACGTCAGATGCTGTATTTCTCATCACGTCGATGTACATCAGACGCATATTACACTGATCGGCTTTTTTCCAATGGTCAGACGCGTCATTACTTACCAGTGCAATTATTTTGTGGCGTCAGACGGCATTGTTGTGGCTAAATTTCATCTAAATCACATGACATAGACCTTGAAACTCCGATGTCGCAGCTAAAGGTACTTTTGCAACAGCGTGGTTGCCCAATGCCCATTTCCGATTTATTTGCATGCCATCATTGTTAGCGTAACTAAGCGCTGTTGGCTAGTAAAATCCCGAGCTAATCCAAGTCACGGCTAAATGAATAATTGTTATTTACTACTTATACGACGTGGATTGCGGCAGAATGACTGGCAGCCGCAAATGCGCTACTTGGTGGTCAAAATGTCGGTCCAAAATTAATTTGCGTTATCTTACTAGTTTGTGTTTTCAGACCACCATGATCGTAATTGCGGTCAATCTTCTCCTCAGCTGCATGTACGTGTTGAGCCAACACGCGCACCACGGAGCGGCAGTGCTGCAGTCATCGCCGCTGCAGCAAAGTCCCGCCGGAGCGACACCAGTTGCCGGTAAATATAAATTATTGATGATTGTACTTATTGAAGAACTTACGCGATCGCGGAGCGGCAGTACTGTAATAAGCAAAACTATATTGCTGCTTTTTTATCAAAGAGTTAACTGATCAGTATTAACAAAATTAATTTAAATTAACTTTTTCAAAATTAATAAAGATACATATAATTCGAAGGCTGTCGAATAACAAATTTAAATGCAGGCGAACTGCGAGGTTCCGCCACGGAAGCGGACGCGGTAAAATCTGTCCAACTGCGGGAACTGCAAGTTGGCCCATCACGTGGCAGTATTTCCAAAGCGCCGACTTCCAAGCGTTATCACGATGTACTGGAGAAACCGAAATTTCTCCCGTATACGCAGTCAGAAGGTGGCCGCGAGCGCCCGAAGAAACACCAGCAACAGCAGCAGCAACAGCAGTCTGCCGACAGCAGCGGTTCTAACGGCAAAGTCAGCTACGAAATCAAAGTATATATTCCGCGACCGGAAGCGGCACCATCCGAGTCCGTTCCAGAACGAATCGCTGCATCCTCGGAAATTTCACCCAGTCGAGCCGAACCGGAATACATGATCTCGCCGCACTACGCCTACGACGACAGACCACCGCCCATCGCCAAATACGGCCACTATGGAATGCCGGCTGTGAAGCCGGTTCACGACACAAAACCCTATTATTATGTTCCCGTCTATGAAGATCCCAACGCGCCCGAACCCAAAACACCCGCCAGCAAACTATACCACCCCAACGATCGCGAGGTGTACAAACCTCGCCTGGTGGAGGTATCTCACCCGAACAGTCCCGAACACAAGACGTCCGAGGATGCCTCTCGACCGGTGACCTTTGTAGAGGTCAAACCGGTTAAGACCGCTGAGCCAGCGTATCCGCCCAGCTACAAACCAAAAAAACCATTATACGGAACATCCGAACGTCCCGCGTACGATAGCCGGGACCGTGAGCACGGTTACGTGCGCCCTAATACCGAAACGTACGTCATCGGGGATTACGTACCGTATGAATTGCAGCAAACAACGGATCCTCCCGTGGCTGCCGCCGACAAGGAAACCGCGTACTACGAAAAGATCGCCGCCGAGCCGTCGTATAATGAAGTGCAAAGGTCACGGCCACGGGGTCCCGATGGGTATGGATACGGGTCACCGGGTTATTATCATTCACCGCCGCCTCCTCCACCGCCCGTCTATCAAGCGGCGCCGTCCTACTACTACGTGTATCCTTACCATGGAAATTATGGGCAACATGGCAGCGGCTACTACAGTCAAAACAGCCACGGTGCAGGGGGACAGTATCGTGGACAGCATCCCAGGCCGCTATACTCCGGCTACGGATACGCGGCCTTTGCACCTTACAGATGAAAGTCAAGCAAGATCAATGTTAAAACCAAATACGGTGGTTGTACTGGTTATTGTAGTATTAGGATGCTTTCGCAGGTAAAGCTGATCAAAAGGGCGAATCCCATTCCGGGCAGGGCGCAGTCGCACGAGTTGCAATTGTTATGCAGTGCTTGTATCATAAACAAAACGGCTAGCAATAAAGTTACTGTACTGTACTTACTATGTACGAGTAGTAATCCTAGACTTCCTTATCCTTACTTTTTCAGGTTATTATGACGTACCCATGCGTAAGCCATCCACCAGCATGGTCGATTTATGTCCGAAAAAGTGACACAGAAAAATCAAACCCAGTGCCCATATTATATTAATCATAATAAATTAATAATCATATTTGATAATGTTATCAGTTTTACTTCTCTGGTGAAACGTAATGGGCTAAAAGTTTAAAACTATAACGCACTCGTACGAATATCAAAAATGTAGCCGCCGCAAGACGGCGGTATTACATCTTAGTGACGTATGAACCGGAAGCCATGGTGTGCATTCACACTCTCTGTTAACTTCGCTCCAGAAAGTCAGAAACAGCAAAAGCACTGTAAACTTATCCATCGTTTTCGACATCTTTCCCTCTGGAGTTTAGACGATTTATATGGGCTAACTTGACTTGCATTGTGTTTTGTGCATAATAGGGAATCGTTAAACATGGGTTTTTTTATAAATATGCACGTTTGAAAGTCGCTGTATTATATCTGCAGTTGCTGATTGGGTTTGAGAGAGTGAAGTCTCCTGCTTTTCGCACACCATGAAGTGCCATTATGAAGTTCTACAGATTGCTAAAGATGCATCCGTGGAAGAGATCAAGTTCGTTCATCCACCGCAACCGCAACGTTTTTGTGAAACTGACTGTTAAGAATATTGTGTTTTTTCCAGGAAAGCACGGGATCGTCTGGCCAGACAGGTTCGTAACTTTAAAAAGAAACTGAAGTAAATAAATTACTTGATGTGAAATTGCTTCTTTGTTCGTGAATTGCGAGTAATCATGCTTTCCACTGAAACTAATCACCTGATGTTGCAGTATCATCCGGATAAAGCTTATCAGTTGAGCGATCCATCTCTTATAGCGGACTTCACGGCGACATTCCGTCTCATCCAGCAGGCATACGAAGTGTTAAGTGACACACACGAAAGAGCATGGTATGGTGCAAAGCAGCGTACACGAAATTTATAAATGGTCGTGATTGTGGAAATCTGATTATACTTATACTTCTTTTGTCAAGCAGAATATTTAATAAATTTGTTTTTAAATCCATGAGCACGGCAGTGCTGCTCAACCTTGCTGTGACAGTGCTTACTTGCTGATTTGCAGGTACGACAGCCACCGGGAACAGATTCTCAACGGGAAGGGCTCTGTTCAGCAAGATGTGGAAATTTTCTCCTTTTTCAACACGTCCTGCTACAGCGGATTTGCGGATGATGACAAGGGATTTTTTACGGTTTATAGAAATCTGTTTGAGAAGATCAGTGAAGAGGATAAGCGGCTAGCGGAAGACGCCAAAGAAGAGCTTGAAGTGCCGGCTTTCGGTAAGTTTGTTTTGAGATATTATATTTTATCAATGATATTTTTAATACTCATACCATTTGTTAAATACCAGAACCGTTTGTAAATATCGGTTTCACGTAATAAAAGATAATTTACCGCACCAAGTTCTTTTCTGGATTACCCGTCGAAAAGTATACAAGCATTCGGTTTGCTTTCCATGAATCTACTGTGTTATTCGGTTTTATTCCTGGATTCACATGATCACATTCACACATTCAGATTTCCTCTGCAAATTGGACATGTATTATTTTCTTGAGCTACGATATCGCGCGTTTGCCAGTTTGTTTAGCGTTGCGAATGTTCATTTTGTAGGAACATCGACAAGTTCTTATGAGGAGTTTGTGAATCCTTTTTACGGGTTTTGGCAAAGTTATTCCACCAAACGGCCATTTTATTCGCTGGACAAATGGGATCTTCGCCAGGCTGAGAATCGACGTGTATCACGAGCGATGGAAAAAGAGAACAAGAAACTCCGCGATGCCGCCAAGAAAGAATGGAATGATTCAGTAAGGGAGCTGGTTGGTTTTGTCCGGAAACGAGATCCGCGTGTGAAAGCCTACCGTAAACTGTTAGAAGAAAAAGCAGCCGAAAACCAGAGAAAAGCCAAGGAAATTCAAGAGCAGCACTTGCGAAAGCGCCAGGAATTTCTGGCCTCTACTAAAAATCACGATTCCGCTGATATGGAAAAGAGGTACCGGGAGCTGGAGAATTCGTTGGGTGGACACTCAACCGATGAAGGAAATGAGACTGAAGAAATAGTGATTGAAGATGATGTGGAAATTGAGGATGAAGATCCGTTATACTGCATCAGTTGTGATAAAAGATTTAAGAGTTTCCCAGCTATGCGAAACCACATCAAATCCAATATGCACAAAAGAAATATGGAACTGTTGCGAAGTGAATTAGAACAGGATGAGGAAACGGGACTTACCGATTTGACTGATCAAATAGATAATTTAAGTGTCACGGAGATTCCTGAACCAGAAATCGTCGCTTCCGAATCGGATGTTAAAATGTCTTCCCCTCACGCTTCAGAATCTGGGAGTCAAAGTGTCAGTGTGGAAACCAAGTCACTTTCTGACCATAGTGAAGCATCAGGAAAGAGGAAGGTCACATTTGGGAAAAGCGAAGTGAAACATTTAGACGATTTGGATGCATCAGAATCTGTCATTTTGGCAGAAGACCCGGTTAATACCGTCCATGTTGAAGAATATCAGAGTCGAAATAAAGCGAAAAAAGATAAGAAGGCTAAAAAAGCTCAGCAAAAAGTGCAAGAACTTGGTTTACGATGTGGTGTATGTAAGGATGTTTTTGATACAAGAAACAAACTGTTTCAACATATTAAAGATAAAGGACATGCTGTTTTAAAATGAATTGTGTCATACTTTCTGCTCGCAGTTTTGTCATCAGGTGCAAAACTCTAAATTCGCAAGTTTGCTGACTGTGTTTGAATTTTTATTCTGTTCTCAACATACCGGAATATAATCAACCATTCTAAAAACAAAACCAATAAACTGGCAACTGTCACTGATCATTCTTTATTTGCATCAGAAGCCGACCAATGTTCCCATCGCTTTTTATGGCGCTTTTTCTTCTGTTCGGGCTCGTTTCCTTTTCTTTTTAACTGAAAAGAAGGCTTACTGAATGGTAAGGTTTGATCAGAACCGTCCGCCTCCGGCACTTCCATACTCCCGTCTTCTCCAATTTTTGATCCGCTCGATAACCGCAACGAAAAATCCATTGGTCTTGTGTTTCTCGGTAAACGCGCGCAGGCAATTCGGCCCGACAGCATATTTCGGTTTTCCACAACCTCTCCATTTGGGTAGATATCGGGAAAACGGTCTCAGAATAAAAGAAGCAGCATACGGTTTCAGGGCCTCTTGGACAACCTCCTCGTCCTCTTCCGGATTAATAGAACACGTAGAATATACGACACGCTGCACATTGGGAAAGGATAGCGCATGTTTCAGCAATGTAGCCTGAAGACCTTTTAATTTTTGCAGTCGTTGCCGGTCTTCTTTTGTATTACGGAACTTCTTCTTATTTTGCTTGATCCGTGAAGTTGTTCCAGACCCAGTACAGGTGGGATCAACTAAGATGTGGGATGCTTTGGAATAGTCTTCCGATTCTGGGTTAATATGCAGGAAGTCGTCATTGATAACTTCGGTGCAATCCACTCCGTAATGTTTAAGCAAATCCTTCATTATTTTGCAACGAGCTTCTTGGATATCCACCGCGAAAATTTTTCTGCAAAAATCATAATTTACGGTATTACAAACTTAATTATCATTTTAATGCGATCTGTAACAACAGAATCGACAAGTAAAATCAGATTAATATTGAAAATAAAATCGAAACCACCAATGCTGTCCTACTTCTATGTATACATTAATTCCAAGTTTTGACGGGCAAAACGGAAAGATAAGTTATGTAGTATGTACTAATTTTCTTCACAGTGCATCAAATTTGCGTCACCGAGGCGTATAATATAAAAACTACCGTGCCGTTACGTTTAACTACGGAATTCCGAAATTTTAAACACCATGCGCAAAATACAAAATCACAATGGTCTACTCAACCAATTCAAACATACCCTTCGTTTTTCATCAACGCAGCCAAATGCGAAGTTTTCATTCCAGGAGCCGCGCACGCATCAATGACTGTACTTCCAGGAGGTGGATTTAATAACAACGAGGCAAGACAGCTGGCCTGCAACAATTATTTATCAACCTAGTACGGGAGCCGGGTGTAGTAAAAAAAGTACTTATAAGTTGTACTTACTTTGTCTTGCAAAATGACCTTGCCTTCCTTCTCCAGAGGATGATCGTGAAATATGACGGTAGGATGGAACACCAGCATGTCAGGAACGTGGTAATCACGGAAGAATACTGTTTTCTTTAATTTCCGGATAATGGTTTTTAAAAACCTAAAATTCGCAATAAATATCCATTAGTCGATTCCTACGTTTACACCGCTTATCAAGCAAAGAAAATCCTTACGTATGCTGAGATATGGAAGCATCGTATTCCTCCAGCTCAAATCCTTCTTCTTGTAGCCTCTTGCAAACTTCCTCTGTTGTAGTTTTCAATGTATTTACCCTCACGTACCGCGGTGTAGAAAGCGTCACTACAAAACATTAGAATACTTACAAAATTACGACATTCCGGCTCCTACATGAAAACAAGAAAAATCATCACTCTATTCCTACTTATTTCAAATTAGGATTACAAATTGAAATTCAATTTTTCTAAAACCTTAGGGAAACAAAGTATTTAATTATTACAAAATTCAAAGCAGAACAGCAGCAAAACACTTACATGAATGTTTAAAAAATTAAGTATGCCAAAGGCGCCGTAAATAACAGACATTCAAATTCACAGAAAGGTTGCCTTCAAAGCTGAAAACGGCCGATAATGCCACGAAAGAACATACTTGCAGTCTTTGTTGATTTGATCTCTTTGATGCTGTTAATATTTCTCTCCTTCAAGTATGCCTTCAAGATGTCCTTCAGGACGTTTTCGTGTTTTGCCACCAATCTGCCAACGCCTTTCCTCTTTTTCATATTTCCAAATAAAATATCAAAAGCAGCAACATAAGCCATCGACTTCGTAATGCGCGGTTCGAGCTTCAACAAACGGGAATCATGAACGATCTTCTTGACATGCGGCAGATGGTCGATGGTTTTCTGTGTGAGCGCCAGCAGAAGTCTCTTATCCTACAAAAAAATTAATTCGGTAAACAAACTGGTATGGCAAATCTGAATAGTAGAAACCGCACATTCGCAAAATTGAAAGTCAAGCCTGCCCAATTACGTAAACACAAGGGACTAAAATGTCTAAACAGAAAACCACGCGAAAGCAAGTGTGGAGCGGCTCTCCTCGAGGCAATTCACTGACTTTTTTACGTACCTGAAAGGGAGAGTTGAAAATCGCCGATTTAACAGAGGCCCGCCGACCAAGTACTGCGTCGATACATTCGGCAGCAGCAGCGTAGAGATCTCTTTCGATGTTTCCAACATGGCTCTCCAATACATCCACACCGGATGAAATTTTCTGCTTCGCAGAACTTGCACTTTCCAGCTCTTCGCCAGCTTCGCTATCCATAATAATTACTCTGAGGAATGTCAATAAGAAATCTGACTCGCGTCGGTCACTGAAATCGAAATTACCTCGATGAAATCAGTTACAGTACTTACTACTTACATTAAGATTTAGGTTTCGAGTAAAGAAAAGAAGCAGTTCCGTTCAATGCCGACATGCACTTACAAGCAGCAGAAACGTAGTGGAATGCCACTGCACTCGCATTCCACGATCTCTTGGCACTTTCTGCCATCTGGGCGTACTAGCTGCGGGTGGTGATTTTGTAAACTTTCTTAGCCTTTAAACCTACGAATAACTGTCAAGGTCCTTCAAATCTTTTCACATCATTTTGTAGCCATTTGTCGTGGGGTTGACCTTACTCCTGAAATATCTGGTATCGCTAAAATCGGCTAATTGCTGATTGGAGTACTCGTAGTCTTTTTTGATAAACATGGCTGGACTGACGGCAGAACAGCGACACAACGGTGGTGGATCGATTTTTATTAGCGATGAAGAGTTTCTCTCGTTATCTGTACTTGTTATCTGTACTTCAGCAAAATTATTATCTGGAAATCGCGCCAGAAGAACAGATGGAAAGCATTACGAAAATGCGCAACGATCTGAATTAACAATAAGAATAGTATCAAGTCAGATACGTTAATTGTGCGCATGCGACCGAATTTTATTCCAGCTTGCTTTTTTAATGGCAATTATGGCATTATCGTGCCGGCATCGAATACCATGGAGTATTCTGGGAGCTCGAGAATTTCAAGTGAACGCGATCTGATAAAGCTTTTGACCATTCGGTTTGCCGATTAAAACCTAAGAAATGTCGTCGACATCTTTGGCGATTCTTCGCTATGTTGTAACTGATCTAACAATAAGACCAAGCGCTCAACATACACATAAAAATCAAAGTGCAACTTTATTATTGTCCCTGCTAGAGTAGAACTAGAAACTCTCCGACATTTGTAACAACTGAAACCAATGTATTAAGAGATCGATACAATTTGTAACAAATTACAACAGCTGATTTGGCAACAAAACATTATCTTTATGGGAAGTAAGTACTAACACACGAAAACGAAAACTGACAAGAAAACTGAAAAATTCCATCAGGATGATTCACCGTGGCCCTTGGGTGCACATCAAAATCAAATCCCAATAACCACTAGTACGTTACTACTTTTAATGTGTTACGATAAAACTTTTACAATAACTGGGTTAAATTCGTCTCGAAATCCACAGTAATTATTATAATCGTTCCTATCAAAGAACGACGGCTTTTTGGTTGCCCCAGTCCCAGTTGGCTTTACGGGCTGGCGGTGTTAAGGCTGCGCTTTCCGTTGCGCTAACGTCAGCCGGCGCATGGATGCGCATGAAATCGACCACCGCCTGCGCCCACACCGAATCCTCTCCGTTCAGTTTCCGGTAGATGCTGACCGCTTCCCGCATCCATCCTAACGCCTTGGGGAGGGCCTCACGAAACACAGTCGCCAGACGCTGTTGTTCCTGTTCACTGATGTCGCGTTTCCACAGATACGGTATCGTAGCCGCCTTCACCAAAAAACACGCACGGCCCACGTGGTACTCAGGACAAAGTGCACTACAGCCAGAAAACATGTACACTGATACAAAATTAATTACAACTTCCGTAATTATTGATCTTCCTAGCATGAAGCGGGAAATGATATCAGTACAAATGGACAAAAACCGAAGACGCGAAATATCGTTCTATTTTTTCTTCTCACATTAAACTTCCTTCTTTTGACTGGACCTCTTAATTAACGAAATTCCATACTTCTATGCAAACTCAAATTAACATTTTACAGAGAATGTCTGCCAATCTGCACCGGCTTTTACTTCTGTTAACATCATTTCCGAACTAACAACCCTTGTAAGTGAGCTTCGAGAATTTTCTAAATTATTGTCCCGAATGGAGAATCGCGAGACATTCTCAGTGTCAGACTTTCTAATTATTCTCTGACAATAGACATCACACAAAACCCTCACCGCACACAGTCCACCATCCCCTGGGCCAGCTCCCAAGCCGCTTCATAGCAGCCTAAAAGCTGCAAATAGCTAACGGCATCCTTGCCGCATGCGAAGCGTATATGCGCATCGGGATGCACGATCGTGTCCAATTCTCCAACTTGTGTCAGAATCTTCATCGTCTCTTTAATGCCATTATCACGATCCTTATTCTTGTCCCGGTCCTGCGTCCTAACAGCAGCATGCATTTTGTGCAATTGTGCTGCATTGTCCGCTCCGCACAGTGGACAGGGTTGGAGGGCCCGTGCATCGCTGGGTATCCGCGCCGGACATCCAGTGGTGCCACACTTCAAGGGATTAATATCCGCCTCCTGGAACAGTAAAACGGTTATCCGAAATTCAACTGCATAACAATCCATAAAATGATGGATAACAAAGCAAAAAGGTAATCCAAAATCAAAACTCTAAATCCTCAGACAATTTACGATATCCCAACAACCTTCTGGAAAGCTCTTACGTATTCGGTAGTGCATTTGCCGCAATGGCACTGGTAACCGTAAAATATCTGGAAATCCCTTCGGCGCTGCTTCAGTTTCACCACATAACTCGTGCGGGTTTCTTCGTTCTGCCGCAGCTGGAAAACATTTGACAGATACAGTAACTGAAATACTACAAATAAATAATTAAACGAAAAAGGAAAATCAGGTCGACTGGAAGCGAAACTACTCAATCCATAAAACTAAACAATATGTTCAATTGAAAATCTGGTATGTGAAAAATTAAAAAGGCAGTAAATATCAAATTAACGGGAACCGGATCCTACCCAGTACCAATCAGGAAGGAAGAGAAAATTGTTAGTCACAGACTCACAGGGTAAAAAAGTCAACGGCTGTTTTCGTCTACCAAATCTTTTTCTCTCACATCTTTCATTCCAGTGTAGTGGACTTCCTTAACCGCCCGCACCACCAGAGTCCGCCCCTGGAGATTGATGGTGACGTTGTTGTCTAGGCAGACCGGAGTCATGGTGCGCTGCAGTGCCTGCGGGAAGATGCCCATTATGTGCGGTTTGAATTTGCCGCGCTGGTTCAGGACGGGGAAGATGTTGTACAGCAGCTTCTTGACCATTTCCTCGAAATGCGGAATACTGTCGCGGACCCCGGGTGGCCAGATGGCGTCGCAAATTTGCCGATTAAAAAACGCAAACCACAAACAAATTTAACAGATAGTGCACACACAAACAAATTTAACAGATAGTGCTAACTGCATCGGAAATATTTTTGCATAATTTGGAAAATACACTTAAGTGACTGACACGTTGGTTGCTTCCGGAAAGATTGGCTGGAGAGGGAGGATATTTAAGACTTGCTGGACCGCGACGCTTCCGCTGAATCCGGACACTTTGTCCACCAGGCCGTTCTTCAGACAGCCGCTTTTATCATTTCAAAACGTGCAAGAATTTTATTTTTATCGACGATTCAATACTGCCATCAAGCCTATCTGAACGCTAATTTAACTTAAAATTTAGTATTAATTATTTGAAATTGTATTTTTTCATCGACTGGAACAGCAAACAGGCGAAAAGCGTTCCCATGAGTTTTTACGTCAAAGATTGTCACTGGAGATACAACGGGGAAATGCGGTCTCAGTTCTGGGTACAATGGAAGGAGCGGAGAAGTTTAACGAAGTTTTTATGTTGTAATAAATTGTGATGTTTTTAATAATGCACAATACGTTGTACCACAGGTGAATAAAGTTCATTTGGTTATTTAATTGATTCTTAACCCCCTTCAAAGTATAGGAACCAGAATTTCTAAAAATAATTATATAAGTAGATATGAACTATTACCGTGATTTTGTTGAAGATTTTGGCCACGAGAATCTCTGCAGCGCAGCATCCGAACAGGCAACAGCTCTTCATTTCACAGTCATGGTCAAAAGCACCCGCTTCTTCGAACGGCAACAGTTTCTTCCGAATCTTCTTCAGCATTTTACACTCGCTTCTATGCTCGGCATTCCAGCTAAGAGACTGAAAACCACGTTCATTACAAAATGTGTACTGCAGTACAGTACCTTACTGCCTTCTTTGCTGTACTTCGTACAACCATAATCTTCACCTGGCATTCCGTACTGCAACAGCGGTACAGTTTACAACTGGAGCAGGTACGCAGAGAAGCGACTTCGGTGAAACAGTAAGCACACAGGATTTTGTGGGTGTTGTACGTGAAGGACCAGACCCAGGGCTCGGAGGAGACCACGGTGTCCCCGGCCGCCACAATGCGAGACGGAGTGGACTGTCCGCTTGAGGTACCACTTGCAGTTGCAGCCATGATTCCGGGCAATGGTCACCGTCACCGACTAACATGCAGAGCTGTCAGCCGCCTATGCGATATACACTTTGTTACGTTTAAAAACTAAAATCCCTTCCTGGTTGGCCCTTTGTTCAAAAACCGATACCCACGCACAAAATCGCCAACAAATGGCGAAACGTTGCAGAATCCCAAAAGCGCAAAAACAGACGGAAACAAAACTGCGGCCAAAGCCCACTACTTTGTTCAGTCCACAGAAGCGCAGTAAACGCTGGGGGCGGCGGTTGCATATGCTTCACAGTTCACGCTTCACAGCCATGCCACAAACATTTTTTCTTTCGTGGCTGCGACTGAATAAAGTGAATTAAAGCTGTTAGTTTAAAGATTAAAGCTCCCTTTTAGCTGTTAGTTTAAACATGTTATTAGTCAAATTAATTGTGTTCCAACAGAGTATCAGCTATTTGCTGATTTGTAAAATTGCAGTAACCAGTTTGTGTGTGTTGCATGCTGAACTGAAAGCGAACAGTAAGCACTGAGCGACTGCTGCCGAAATGACGATTGAGGAGCCAGTTCTCGATGGCGCGGTGAGCCATTATTCCCATTGTTTTGTCGGTGTTGTTTGTATTCGAAGCATCAGCAAGTTTTCTTACGTCCGTGCTTTTCTTACGTTTCCGTTTATTCGTCCTCATAGGATACGGATCACGAGGAGAGCGAGGATGAGGAAACATCTGACGAATCCGAGGACTGGACGACGGTAAGGCGATCATACGGCACTTGATCCAATCAGCTGTGCTGGTGTTGTCTTCGCGTGTGTATGGATTTAACGTTTACGGCATTCCGCAACATCGTGAAGGAGTGATCGTAACTTATCATGACGCCTTGAAAGTTAATCAAGGAAAAGATTCTCAGGGTTATGAACATGAACGATTCTTCGCAGAGTGATGAGGAAGATTCCGCCGATGAAGAACAAGCTCAGTCTGCGAACTCAGTTCTGGTTCCGCAAGCGGTTTGCGAAGCGGCCACGATGCCGACAGACGTTGAGTTTCATCGGGACGGAGATGTTTTTGTCAGTTCGGATATGGATGGACATGTTGCCATGTTAGTCAGCCGTAAGAGTAAATGTAATTGAGTTCTAAGTCTACTTGCGCGCGCTCTGTAGAGCGCATTAAGCAGAAATTTAAATTTGTTTTGCGAAAAATATCGCATGCGGGTAAACCTATTTACACCCATAAAAAAACCCAACATATAAAAATTAATAATCATCGTCCAAAAATTCAGAACGGTTATTTTATGTTTGGGTTGTTTTCTACCGGCTGAAATGCGTTAGTGAAATTTTTTCCATTATAGTTTGTATAGAGAGATTTTCCCATAAATTTTCAAAAAGTACAGTCGGTTCAGGTGGCGCAATCTTTGTTTTTATAGTTGGAGTATTTCGGATGACGGAAACACAGCCAGTTTATCCCACAACTTACTTCCCCACCGGACTGCATGCCGTGCGCTGACTTATATGAAGAATACAAACGTTGTCGTTAGCGTAGGAAAGGATAAGAGGATCTGCACAGTGGACTGTGGCAGTGCCAGTATTACTAGAACAATAAAGAAAGCACACGAGTAAGGTTTTGCTTTGTTTTCGTTGGACGTACTGATATTCCGTAGTAATTCTGTAATTTGTTTAATTATGTTGCAGGGCTTCCATCTTTGCTGTGCACTCATTGAACGAGAACATGCTGACGACGGGAGACGATGATGGATGCATTAAAGTATTTTTATAAGAACCAAGTAAATTTTAAATGTTGTATTGTTCAATATGTTTGTTAGTAACGAAGTATTTTAGGTGTGGGATTTGAGGACTTCGAAGCCGGTTGCCGAGTTTAAAGATAATAGCGAATATATCAGTGCTTTGACTTCTGACGAAGCCGGAAGGACATTGTTAGCTACTTGGTACATCACAGCCTATTTCCCTGCTCCTTAGCGATTTTGAACAGGTGTTATATCTGTAGTGGTGATGGTACACTGTCCGCGTTCAACTACAGAAACAAAAAGCGGGAGTTGCAGTCGGAAGCCTTTACTTCGGAACTGCTTTCACTGACTGTGATAAAAGTTAGTCGTGATATGCTTATTGTTACTAATAATTAAACTGTCCAGTGTCACATTAAAAGTCTTTCTTATTTGAGTAAATTTGTAAACTTTTCCCTTTGCTGTAATTTTCTAGAATGGGTCAAAAGTCGTTTGCGGATCCGGCGATGGAAATCTGCTGATCTTTAATTGGGGGGAATGGGGATTTTCACTGGATCAGTATCCGGTCGGTGAAAACATATCAATCGACGCTGTTGAAGAATTTACGCCGCACGCGGTGTTTTCTGCCAGTAGCGATGGATACATACGGTAAAGATTCATTTATTTGTGTGCATGTGTTTCAAATAAAAGAACACAATCATCAGCCGCACATAATCATTGCTTTAGCGGTATTTACAATTAGTGACACACTTGTTCTCTCCTTCCCAAGGGCTAATTTGACCGTCAAATCAGTTATGTTTTTATTGGGTATACGTCGTAAAATCCACGCTTGCTATTTTTCTCCAACCTGAAGCTGATCGAAGTTTTTCCAGATTGATCAGTGTTATGCCTTATCGTCCGCTGGGCACCATCGGACATTACACTATGCCGTTTGAGCGTATCTCGTTCTCTGGTTCGAAATCCCTCCTGGCAAGCATTAGTCACGACAACACCATCAGGTTGTGGAGTACGAGAAACTTCGACCAGTCACCGATTGAAGAATCTGATTCCGACTCCGATGAAGTGTCGAAACAAGAAAGCACCAAAAGGACAAAGAAATCCAGTAAAATGCCGAAACGGTTGAAGCCTAGTGGATCGGATTTTTTCAGTGATCTATGAGATTTATGCAGTTTGAGAAGTATTATTTTATCTTATGACGAAGAAGAAAACGGGAGAAGGCGAAAATTTTGGAGACTGGTGTAATTCTTGTTGTTTAATTAGAAGACGTCACCGACATCTCGGTGCAACATGAAACCTTCGCAACATCAAGCAACAAGTAAAATAAGCTAAAAGTATAAAAAGCAAACCACAAACAAACTCCTTACAGCAGAAAACCGGTGCAGGATTCTAGGACAAATAATTCACGCCCACCCCGACGCTTCTCCCTAACCATCCCGTTTAAGGTCTCCTGGTCGATGATAATGCATGTGTACACTGTTTCCATTGGCCGCAAAGGCCGGTGGCTGGAAAACGACCACAGAATCTGGTGCCATGTAGCTGTTTTCACCCGATCGCAGGTATTTGTTAAGCATTCCGAAAATCTGGCTGTTTAGGATCTGGAAACGGCGGATACGATCCACGAATTTTTTCAACGACTGTAACAGCGAAATTTACATAGCACGTCAAAGGTTAAGAAACTTGTTATTACTCACAATTCCTTTGGTGGTTATTTCCTTTTCGTCCACTTTCTGCACCCGGAGAACGTGATAACAGAAGTCCAGTGCTTCAAAACGTAGCTGCTGCCCAAGCAGAGCTATCATGGTGCAGCCGGCCCAGTTAAGTCCTTCTCCAAAAAGCTGCCTGTACGACAGAAACATTCTTGGAAAAAATTCGATGGAATCAAATCAATCAATAAATCTCGATGTGATTTTGCGTTTCGAGTGCGAGATCCGAAACAGCAATTAACTAAAAGTCTAAAACTGTACAGTATTCCTGGTCTACTCTTTAAAACACGAAAATTCTGGGGCTTTTAAATTTAAGCGATCTATCAAACTTTTAGACCGGCAATGTCCCCTTCTTTTGTTCTCAACAGTCCGATTAGGACATTCTCTGCAAGTTTTTGAGTTTTACTTTTCTTAAAATTGTCTGGTTCTCGAGCCACAAACCGGTGCCATTAACTAAACAGTAGTTTAGTTAATGGCACCGGTTTGTGGCTCTAAACCAGCCCACTTTGACCATACAGGTGTGCAGGTGCCCTTCTGGCACAATATTTTCCGTCAGAACTATTTAGTGTGTGAAGCCGCTCTTAAATCTAGCCACGTCATATGTTTCCCCAGTGCAAAACTAACTCGATTATTTTGGGCTATTTAACTTGGATATAATCAAACAAAGAAAACTTGAGGTAACTTAAATTCAGTACAAAGAATGATGGAAGACATCTTAAACACTTACTCAATTGTATATTCGTTATCGCCAACCGGAATGCAAAAAACAAACTGAATGGCGCTCCATAACCGATGGAATTCCGTGCATTCATCGATATTCATCACCCCGTTCGACGGTTTATCTCCATACCAAAGGGGATCATCCAGCATGGCCTTGATGCGATGCAAAACCGTTTCGAAAATGGATAGCCCGCAACAAAGACGCTCCTTCGTCAGCAAATCCCCTTCGCGCACCAAAAATGCTTGCTAAACATAACCCAAATCTTTGGTAATCAATGTTCTCCTGCAGAACACTAACAACACAAGCAACATTTTCACCTTTTGATTCCCCAGTTTTTCAATGTTGGACACAATATGCAATGGAGCATACTTCTGTTCCAAGCGTTTGATCTTGTGTTCCAATTTTTCATCCGCTGTGAAAACATGGTTTACAGAGCTTTGCACGGAGTAAAACTCTATAAATGTTCAGCTTACGTTTACAGAATGGCCGAGGCAAACTTTTCTGAAATGGATCAGCGTACAACAAATCCGAGATTTCCTCTTGACTCTGTGAAAAGCAAAATCATCAGTTTTCCAGTTTCTGTTTTGAACCAGCGCATTCCAAGGGCCTACCAAACTCTGTTCCATCATCAAACAAAAAAGGACAACATTGCCGACTTGTCGGAAGCTCTGGAACATTTCCGTTCGCAGTTCTGGATACTTGATAATATCTTGCAACTGCTCGTAGTAGTAGTTCAAGATGCCTGAGTAAATCAGGAAATGAAAGAAGGCACAGCGAACATTTGGAGAATTCATACCGGGTGACGTATAATCGTATCGGTGAAGTTTGCAACTTCTTGGCATAACTTTCATCAGCACATTGAAATACTGCGTCAGCGATCCGTTCAACTACAACAATCATTAATCGTAAATTAAACGACTGCAATTTACGTCAGTTAGAATTCTGTTTAAAGTGTGCATACCAAGCCAAGGACGATCTTCAGCAGTTCATCAATTATCAATGCTATGCCCTGATATCCTAAATACCGAGCAATAATTCGACAATGCTGCGGCCCAAAAAATCCCTGATACCGCCTGCAGATAAACATGGTCATTCAGTTTCCTTCATTCAACATCTTCCGGACCCGGGTGCGTTACATTACCTAAAGACGTTGGTATATGCTACCATAAGAGTTTTGGCTCCCCATACGTAGGCATTTGGCAATTGCGGCGGCTTTTCCCGTTCAAACTGTTGTGTGGAAAAGGAAAGATGTTTTGTCTTGACAAATCTAGAAAAACCAAATACGGCGTAGTCATAGCTTCTGTGTTTGTCCCCATAAGAAAACAGAATCTCATCGCAGTGCAGATTACTTAAACCAACCGGTTAGTTGCAGCATTGTAACAGTGGTTGGGGAGAAAATCATAGATCAGTTCCCAGAATACGTGCAGGGTAATACGCCCGTACGGAGCACTGATGTTGTGATTTGCTTCCCGTAACATATCGTCGAAATCATCTAGCGCTAAAAATTCGCTGAGAAATTTGTGGGTCAGTCGGTTGACTTCCAACAACGCGTCCATTTCCTAGAACAAATGGCATGGTAAATGAATAAAAACGGAAAAACATCCAGCTGACAAATTCAAGAAATCTAAAAAATTGTTTTCAAGATCTTTCATAAGCGACAAGATATTTCGGATAAGACAATAGCATTAGGATCATTAGCAATCCAACCTAAACATTCTTCCGTGTTAATCTACATAATTGCAAAACTCACTACAATGCCGGTGATGTCACCACTCTCGAACCGTGCCAAAGCAACGTCCAGCGATTTTAACATGGCCACGTTGATGCGCTGCGTAACAAGATGGTTAAGGTCAATCCATCTACCAAGCAACTGGATATGACGTTGGCGCATGAGTGTCTCGTATCGATTGGCCATGGGAAAATCCAGGGAAAGTATCTTTGGTCCGTCTGCAGCCAACTCCGTGCGAAAGCGTTTATCCAAAAAGATGCTGAAATATGTAATACCGTTAAAGTGTATAAGTGAACATACTTTGTGCACTGTCGTTCCGCCAAACTAACAACGAGACCAACCTGCTGGCAAGATGTTTGTAATAAGCGAATATCTGCTCGCTGAGTTTGTAAACAAACTGATCAAAACATAAATTCACTTCCGCTTCCACTTCATCGTACAGGAACTGCTTCTTAAATTTCGTCAAAGCATATTGCGCTGAGTCGTTGTACAGGTCCATCGGGTACAGAAGGCATCTGGATAAAAACAGAAAAGCATTTTGTACGGCACTGCTAAGCTTGATTTCAATTCGAAGACTCACTCCATCGCAGAAGGATCTTTGGTTTTCAATATATGCTCGGTCAAAATCCACGGCACTGACATCTCAATTGGAAACTACAAAACAACGATCGTGATATCAGCATTTGCTAATTAAAACCCTAGTGCAGCAGCCAACCTGAATACGCTTCCCCATTGTCATTTCAAGATAAAACTCTCTGTACCATAACTGCGATAGATCCGCCGCAACCTCGTGCAACGATTCTACGAAGAATGGTGTCAGTGTACAACAGAAACCACAAAAAAATAAATGAAAATAGCTGTACGGTTGTACCATTGAAGTTCAACAAGTACGGCCAGAAAAAGGACTGTTTATGAAATGCATCAATCGCCATAAGATATGGCCCTTCGATATCCTTGCGAAGTGTTCGCTTTCCGCTGCTTTTATCCGAAATCAACGACTCGAGCATTGTACGTACCATGTACAACTGAAAACATCAGATAAGCCAAAAACATTAAAACACTTGGTAATTTCAACTACACAGACTAAAAGAAATTCGATACCTGTGTGCTCGACGGTGGAATCGCTCGCTTTGCAACTTTTATGTCCGTAAACTTTCCATCAGAATCCTTCTTGCCCTTGGCTGCAGGGTCGTCCTGCGGCTCGTAACCGTTAACCCAGTCAGCACAAGTTTCTCGGACGGAAGTGATGATCCTGTCATAGAAAAACCAACAGAAAATTTGACAAATCCCAAATGCGAGTAACGACATGCGCTTACGTTTTCACGACATCTTTTTTATGTTTCACCGTCTTTCGCAGCGGTTCACGCAGCGTAACTTGCACGAAATCCTGCAGTTCGGCATAAACGTTGCGACGAATAGCCTCGCTGAAGATCACTTCCATTTTGCCCATTAACATTTGTAAACTTTTGATCATCGAGATGACCTGCAATTCCATTAATCATGCGCTTATGTGAAGCCGTATTAAACACTACTCCCGACTACGTAGCATACAAACCTCGATCAGTGCGAATTTTTCGTCCATGGAGTAATTGTACCGAGTAGCCTAACAAAACCTTCCGTTAAACAAGTATGAGGAAAACCGAAGAAATTGAAATACCCGTTCGTATTCTTCCGATTCAGCCGGGCAGTCCTTATTTTGATGAGGATCAGTGGGATGAAGAAGTTTCCATGAATACTAGAAAATTAACACCAAAACGCAAATAAACAACAATCCAAATTAGCTCAAACCCTCAAATACCAATTCGACAACATGGGCAGTCCATGTGGAAATTAACTGGAGGCCGCGCAGTGCCAAGTCTGTCATCTCGCGATTTTCAACATCCGTGCGATCCGCTTCAGGTTGAAAAACACTAAACTAAAGTTAAAACGAACAGATTAATGAAAGCGCAGATTATTTATAATCTATCCACAACAGCCGTCGTACCTGATTTCGATGCCTGGCCAATTCGCTGACAAAGCCCAGATGCGCTTCCCTGATCTGCGGAATAGCTTCCAGGAAGTTGCATTGGGGGCCAGGATTTGTGCTAGAAGATAACGGCCATTTTGACGCATCGAAATTCGTAGTTCCACTTGGGTGTTTCGATCCCAAATACTGAAAAGGCGCAATCTGCATATCGCCGAACAGCGGGACCACTTCCAAATTCTACAGCAAAAAACCTTCAAAGTTTTGCACGACAAAGAAAATAATACAGGTAGCAGATACTTTAAAAATTCTATCGAATTTGCTGAGATTAAGACGCTTCTTTTGGTCCAGTTTGTATATATTCGCTTGTGGTCCATCAATGAGGTACAGGCCGAACCCCATAACCTAGAAAAGCGAAGTGTCATATCGTTTCCCAGAACCATGAAAACGGAATACAAGAAATTATTACCTTCACCAGCATGTGTTTCTCACTTGGAAAAAGATACATCTTCGCTTCGTACATATACAGACAAATATTGATAATATCCATCAGTAACTCATCGTAGCCTTCAATTTTTTCGAGATTTTCCTTCAACGACAGACGGATACGATTTTGCGTGGCGAGAAACATGGATAAATTCTGCGATTCTTGCAGGGCTTGGGAATCTTGCATAACTTTAAGAAACTGCGCGGCTCTGAGAACGAATTCCAAAGTTATAACAAGTTATGATCTTCTCAATAAAACTTCACAAAGTAAATTATCTCATAAATTTATTGTAGAGTCAAAATAATTATTACGACGATACCTTCTATAGGTTGAATAATCATTCTTCACGCTTGATTTCATGTTTTTCAACTCATCAAGCACGGCGAACATGTTAATTAACTTCCCCAGTGTCAGCAGGTATGCTTCAGACACGAAATCCTTTCTTTTCTCAGCATGGCACAGACGTTTCACTTCCCCGCAGAATCGTTCGATGGCAGTTTGCTGCAAGGAAGCTTACATGCGATCGACGACTAGACAGCAGCACACGTTGTACTTAATTCAATTCCAACTGTTTACCTGAAAATACATCAGGCTGAGCAGTTTCGTAACTTCTGGCTGCAACACTTCCACCGTTTTTTCATAAATTTCCCCGCGATCTGGCTGCTCGTTTGACTTGGGCTGAAAAAAGAATCATCGAGCTGAAACAGATGTCGTATAATTTGTAACAGGTCCTAACACGTATTTTTTTTATTTCGCAACTGAAATAAAACAAAACCTCAAATGGAAAACAATACCCACCTGCGGAATGGCTCGCGAGCAGCATCTCCAAGTGTATAAAGTTACGGCATGTTCATGGCCTTGCTCTAAGAGCTCATTCTGCAAAACATAATGTTCTTGCTTAAAATCCAACCAACCAGATATTCTTGCTCCCAGCTTCTCTGTCAACATACCAGACTCGCATGGACTGTTGCTTCTTCAATGTATTTCGCCTGTCCCGTGATGAAGGCACCTCTGTCTTCGAAATTCGTTCCAAAATTGCATTGATAAGTAATGGACGTCTGCATGCCTTCGATGCATGGCTGATTATCCGGAAGTGTCGTGTCTTCCAGACCATTGACATTGGCCAGCGCGTCGGTCAGCGTATAACTATCGGGATTCTGCATGGCTACCACTCGCACAATACGAACACGCCAAACTTCAGCGTAACAACGAATGCACCGCAAAGACACACCACAAACACACTCAGCGGCTAGAGCATTAGGGATACACTGGTCGTTCTATTTGCTGTGATGCTCCGGTCGCGGTGAGAAGGGATCTTTCCACGGCGCAAGAGTATCTTGCGCAGTTTTGGGCTCCGGTAGGAGTGTGGCTCGATTTATCTTCTGCTCCTTGCCTGCAGAACATAGCAGCGTGTTAGCAATTTGCGTCATCTGTCATCTTGGACCATGTTTGGTCTCAGTCACGTACGATACTCTTCCCGGTGAAGAATGGGCTCCGCCACAACCAAATACAGTGCACCCGCCAGAAGGGACACAACACCCACGACCGCGATCGATCCAGTTGGAATCTCTCGCAGGATCCTCCTCCAGCTTGGAGCAATTCGCTTCATCACAGAGTTGCACGAAGAGCTGACAATGGAGCGAATGTTGAACAAAACTGTGGTCAATGAAAGCTGTTGACGCAAAATCTAGCAATGGCACAATCAAGTTCGAAGATTTTTAAATTTGTATGTAGATCCGAAAACGGAAAGAAAGAGGGAAGACAAAAATATCTAAAGTTTACAGAGCATTTTCTTTTTGACCAGTAAAAACTTTCTCAGCGATGTTTTGATCACTGAACGAAGGCGGAGACTGAAGTCAGGCAGGGAGGTTAATAATTATCAGTCTACGCTCTACAGCCAGTACAGAGTGTGGCGACTCTACACTGTACATTGTACACTCATATAGCCGCTTGCGTGAGTCATCCGCAGGCGCCATTACAAATTCACAACAGAACATGCTTTTGGTTTTGATAGTTTTGGGGATTTTGCTGTTTGCAGATTTCAAAAAAGGAGCGTCTTTATCCTTAAAATATTGTTAACGTATGACTCTTTTGATCGTTTACTGCTTGTTGATATCTGATGGAAAAGATCCGTTTTTCGTATGATCGTATCAGACGTGTGCGGATGGTGAGATGGGATCGTAATGAGTCTGCTAACTTTGCCTATTTTCTGGAACAAGGTTACAAGGCGTTTGCTAATTCTAGCTCGTTTGTTTTGATTCTTCGTGCAGTATGGCTGTGTGGCATCTTTGATTCTTTATTTTAGCAACATCGTTTATATTATGTGGTTTTGACTATTTTTCATTGGTGGTGACTGGTGAGTCAGATTTATGCGTGTTTAAGTTAATTTTGTTGTTTGCATCGTTCTACTTACCACCGGTGCATAACTTTGTTATTTAGCTTATTGTAGTCATATCTGAACGAAAGCGCTTTTTGTATAGTTAACTCACTTAACTGCATGGAGATGTCCAAAGAAAATGCCACGTTTACCACTGGAAATGGCAGGCACTGGTCGATTGGTCCCGTTGGATTGGCCAAGGCTCGCGAAATTAGTGCATCCGTTGACCAGGCGCTCGCATATGAGCCCGAATGGAATAATCTGGCTGCACAGGATCTTCACATTGGAGATGCAAACGTTTCCTCTTCCGCTGGCAGTCCTATTCCAGAGATTTACAGTATTCTGCCACCGGTGCCGCAGAAATCCGCGACGAAGCGCCCGTACGAATCCAGTGAATTGCCTTCTCCGGTAAAGAGATTCAACGCAACTCCTGAGAGCAAGATTATTCTTCCACTTCCAATAGTGCCGCATAATAGCGCCTTTAAGTCACCGCTTGTACAAAAGGCTAATGCAGCTGCTTTTAACGGAAAGTCTGTTGTTTCTCCGGGAATGAGCGCCTCCAAAGCGCCTCTTTCTGCTAAAAATCCCGCAGTTCCTCCGCCTAAGCAAATTATTAGCCCGAAATCTGCGAATTTCGAGACTCCTACGAGAACGCAGAATGGCTTTTGCTCATTAGCGACGCTTATGGCGGGCTCCAAAGGGATTGTATCAAAATCGCCCAATTTAGTGTTGACTGCATCGGAACTCCAGGATATTGCGGAGTTATCGCGGACAGATTGGAGTGACATGTTCAGTGAGGAATTGACAGAAAGTCCGATCTCCATTTCGAGCAAAAGTGTTTCCACAAAGTTTCTTTTAACCGATGCGGAACGACGCGAAGTGGAAGAATGGGGAAAGATAAATTTTGATGAAGACTTCTGATTTTAATCACTTACTTGTTCTTTTTTTGTTGAGTCACCTTTTTTATTTAGAATAATTACATCTTAATTACATTACTTACTGCGTAAATAATCGTGAAGCATCATTTATATAATAAGCTCGAAAGCAAAAGAGTTTACAACAATTGAACCCGAGCAATCCTAACTTTAAATCGAAGCCTTGTGATTATAAACGTGTAATCGTATAAAAAGAATGTGCACTGGGCGAGTGAATCATGATAAAAAACTGAAGATCATATTATGCATTATTTAAGACCAACATATTTCACTTCTTTTTTTGATTTTTGCAAAGTGGCCAAAAGCTCATCCGGGGTCAGACTGGAATCGATGAACACTTTTTTGTTTGGCAAGTCAATCTGGAAGCTGTTTACACCGTTTCCTGAAACACAAACAAATTTGTAAGAAACATTTCACGAAATAATGCTTCCGAACTAGCAAAGCAGTAAAATTCAAAAACTTCGCTTAGTAAGTAGATAATTAGAATTTGGATTACAGAAGTAAAAGATAAAGCGGTAATTCGGCTACGTAACTTTGAAGCATAAAGTACTGCAGGATGATGATTTATTTATGCTATCTTCCGCTCATTGCCCACACTATGATTAGAACCTAATTCAAACTCGTATTCAGTTTTCAAATATCGTTGTTCGTCGTTCCACCAGACATTTCAAAACTTAAGCTAAAAATCATTAGATAAATAATATTTCTGTATTTATATTTTTTTATATATATTTGTATCAGATCATTTTTCTGCTTATTAAAATACTGTAAAATAAACTAACAGCGAGTAAAGAACATACTTGCACGATCGTTTTAAATTTTATTACTTTCTAAAACACTGATGACTACTAATGCAGTCTGTTTTCGATCCATGTCTTATCATGCAGTCTGCTGTATTGTGCAAATGCCGTAGCACAATAAGTACCTATACCTTTTTGCTTGTCCAGGATTCTCGTCACCGCACCCGAGCATCCTTCGCACGTCATATCCACGAAGAATTCATGAGTCTGAAAGTGATTCATAAATATTATTACTGTAGTACCATCCAGGAATAACACGTAATTCATGCACTCGTATAGGGGCCATATCATAGGAGCGTGATAGAAAACTGCAGTGAAACGATGCACAAGTAACACTTACCTGAGCTGCCATTGTAGGGAAAAGACTGTCTGTAAGAATAAACTGGAAGAAGAAACAAACAACTTCGTTTCCAGGATAGAACCACGAAAGGAATCTTGAACACTTTCTCACCATAAAGATGTAAACAATTACGTATGAAACAGAGCAGCTAACATTTAACGATAACACTCAAAAGCATGCGAAAGCAATTACTTTTCCAAGTTAGTGCTAACTGCTAACGTAACCGCAACCCACAACGTCCATATAAAGGTCCTAATTAACAAGCTGTGATGAGTTGTGTTCCTGAGCGCTCAAGCAAAAAATCGGAAATGTTTGTAAGTACTCTATTAAAGATTATAAAATATTATATTATTATGTAAAGTGATGTAATATTTCCACTCTCTGCAGTCATACTGATCATCATCCACATGCGTGGCGAAATTCTGGCTTACAAAGATACACGGACGGTGTCATGCTTAGAATACAGATCTGTACGCGCATATCTGCATTCTTTTTGACCTTTCCATTTTTTAATGTCCAACCAGGTTTGGAACCTGTTTTTCTGTCAAAATAACGTATTTTGTCCTTAAGCTAAGAAATGCACGTGGAGCAATGGACAATAAAATCTATCACCAACAAAGACTCATATCAAGTGTTTCCAGATTTGTACGGCGCGATGTCGACTCAACAAAGCAAAACTTTATCGTGCACGTGCAGAACTACCACCGTCGTCATCGCTGAAAAAGAAGGAAAACGAAAGAACTCTTTATAAAATATATTTATTTTTTCGGCCACAGGTTGTTAAAGATCTTTTTCCCAACATAAAAATAGAAGCCATTCAACTGATCGATTTTTTCGCATAAAGCAATCGGTGATCCAGCGGTAAATTTCATTCCAGCCAGATTTGCCCGTCCAAAACCGGATTTGGTGACCAGTCGATCAAGAGTTTTCCAGGTGATGAATGTATCGGCATGATGGGAATTTGGCAGTGTGCATTTTAAAACTATCTCCGGAATAACTACACACTGCATTATGGCCGACAACGATTTGTCAATAACCCCAAAAATTATACATCCTTCGTTGCGTACAAGGCCGCAACACCATTCTACAAATTTATGTTTGTGCGCTATCATGTAGCCAAACGCTTCCGGGTTGCAAACAACAATATCGTAATCTTCAGGTCGGGAAGCAACCAGTTCTTGCAAAGGCATGCACAAGAATTCTGGGCCATCGTCTATTAAAGAGGAATTTATTGAGAAGAACTGTATTAAACATCGTATATAAATCATGTACCCGTGTCTGCTAGTTTGTACGTATGTAGTATGTACCTATAAGATATAAATTTGCTTATGTGCATAATACGGATTCTTTAACCCGAGTAAACAGCTTGTAGGAAAAACGTTTAGTTTAACTTGTAACTACCGCTAGGTGAACGGATGTGTGTCAATTTTAGCCGTTTACTAACGTTTAGTTATAGTTAACGTTTTTTTTTGCAAGTTGTTTTACTCGGATAAACCTGCCAATGTTCTACGTTTGCATAGACTTTTTCGCCCATATGTTACTGTACTTTTATTAGTGGTTGACTGTCTGCACGCACGTACCGATTTTATTGCGCGTTTCCTTGATTCTAGATTTCGCCTTTTCTATCATGTGTTCGTTAAGATCATATCCGGTTGCTTCGGCGCCCAAGTCGAAAAGTGCTTCGGTAAAATAGCCTTCGCCGCATCCGATTTCCAGTATTCTGGAGCCGCGAAACGGCTTCAGACTGTCGGCAAGCGCCTTCATATCACAGCCAAGCATTTCTTTGGCCCATGCTTCTTTTACCAGATCCAACTTAAATAAATTCACTTCCAAAATGGATGTAAACGGTTGACATTCTACTTCCTGTGATGTTCGACGTTTTCTCTTGCGTGCACTTTCCAAACCGGCAGAATCCAGCTTGGTTTCAACAGGACGAAAGACCTTTTCTGATGAGCAAATACCAAAGTAAACAAGTAATTCTAAAATAAACCTCCATATAATACAAAAAGTGTCTGACATTGACACAGGATTATCCATTGTAAATTAACGCTGCGATATTTCTACAGATGGACTATAAGAAGCTAACAGATATGCTACCGTAGCGTTCTGTCCATTTTGCAGGTTCTGGTTTTTGCCCATTAATTACAAGCTTCGACAATAAACATAACAGGCATCTTAAATATGTCGGTTTCTTCGTTAAACCGTTTTTCGAAATGGAATTTTGCAAAAATAAAGCCGCTTGCAGCATTACCACAAGAAATTCAACAGCATATGCTTTCTACCAAAAATGTGAGTTTCTGGTTTACCGTGTAGCTGTTTCTCGCAATCGCTAGCTATAGTGGTCAAGCCTGTTTTGGGTGGTGCATGGATTTCCCTGCAGCTAAATTTAGTAAATTAAAATTTTCGCACCCACATTTATTTCTTGCTAGAGATCTGCCGCTCCGTACGTACATGTACGGTGCATAGGTGATCATTGTATGTTCCGTTCGGTCTAGCACATGTAGATATCGATGTTTGTCTACAAGAATCACAAAGTTTCCGACAATGTAAAACTGCAGAACTAGTCAGCCAGAAAAAACCTACGTAAGAAGCCTACGTAGTCGTATATAAGTACATGCACAGTGATTGCAAAACCGAATAACGAAAAATTTAATGTTCCACGAAAGACGTCGATGCTTGCCGCGGCGACCGACGCGTACCTAACCATAAGTACTGAATAACGTATATACGAGTACTCTTATAATTATGCACAATCGCAGATGCAGGCTGCACATCGTACCGATCGTAAGACGTGAAATATGGAAACAATCCTTTCGTAATTCAGTTTTATGCCATTGTGTGCATTACGGATGCAACGGGAAATAAAGCCCATCGTCACTACAGCACGAGCAGAAATTTATCCAGGTTATATTATGACATTTTAAAATGCACCGGCATCCAGTCCACCGGTGAAGTGCAGTGATAATATTTTGATATGCACATGTACACTGTATCTGTTTGAAAATAAATATACAGTAGTATAAATTTATTTGGTTTGTAAAAAGATGCGTCGCCTCTTCGAAGATTCAACGGGCAGATTCATCAGCCATTATTCATGCACATCGACTAATTCATATCTCCTTTGATTGCTAACTGGTCAACTTATCCATGCATATCGTGGGAGTACAGCAAACCCATCCATCTTGATCCGAAGCTGCCAGAAACTTGATACATGCATCATGACGCAATGGAAGATATTCCATTGTAGTTCTCTTAACTGCATAGCATGCACCGACTTTTTTACTGTCCAAAAGCCGTGGACAGCGATTTTTTACGTTTTAGGAGCTATTTTCTGCCTTAGTACATTTCATCAAATTCAAAACAGTGCAGTATCAATATCTTTCTTCGGAGAAAATGCTGCACTTGCAAAAATTTATCCAGACGTATCAAGTGAGCATGGCACAGCGCGAATCGTGAAACTCCCATCAAAATACAACCATGTTTTATGGGATGCAGTACTGGGGCAAACTGTCAAGTCTAACCTTGAAGAAAAACAACTAAAAAAATTATGGACGCTGGCATCTGGCGCACAAGAAAACGGTACGCTGATCTTGACCACAATATCCGGCGGCTATTTATCCGTATTGGACAACTGGATCGCTTCGCTGCACCGGTTAAATATTTCGTCCGGTTTCCTCGTAATCTGCGTGGACCAGCCAAGTTACTACTGGACGGTAGATCGAAAGATTCCCAGTATCAAGATGCATTTAAATAATACCAATTCCCGCGGAGAAATCTGGTATATGCGAACACTGTACACGGCAGCGCTAATGAAACTGCAGAATCTCACAGTCATCCAGTCCGACGTCGATGCAATGTGGAGGCAAGACGTGCGACCGTACATACAGTCCCTGACCTATTCTGTGATGTTTTCCCGTGGTCAGTTTCCCGATGAAATCTACCAGAAGTGGGGATTTACGGCGTGCATGGGGTGGACGGTGTGGAGAAGTTCGTTAATTGCTGCTCTTTTACTGCGTGATACAGTATTAGAGATGCGGAAATATCTGGGAACGAAGGACGAGCCGGATGACCAGATTGCTGTCAACCGTATCCTGTACGATACCGTTGGGCAGGCTGGCTTTACAAATGGTAGAAGGCGAGTTTCCCTTGCGCGTCTAAATGTACTGCACGTCGCCCAGAAGCACGGATTTAACATTTCCAGATGGGATGGCACACTGATGGTACAGATTGCCATTTTTCCTTTTTCGATGATTCGGCGACAGTGTTGGACAAAACATGATAACGCTTTAATCTTGCACTGCTTAACACCAAAAAACGGTCAGCAGAAAGAAGATGAGTTGCGGCAGTTAGGTTTATGGTACATATAAAATCTTAAAATAATTCTGACAAGTATGTGTATATTTGCGAAGTTGACGTTAGACTTTCTCCTTTTGTGTACTATTCCGGTTTTCTGTTTTTGTTAAGTTGTTTTTTATCCATTGTTTATTTTTTGTATCGATGAATCTTCTATAATTAATCACGCGAAAGGTATTAATGTGTTCGCTCACAGTACGCACTTGTCATTCCGGCAGTTATGCGTGATTGTCTTCAGCAGGCACAAAGGTTAATGCTGGCGAAATTTAACCAGATGTTACCTAAATGAGCAAATTTACTGCATATACATGAAGTAATTCAGTAAAATATATGAAGCAGATAGTAACATATTTGTGTCATCGTGGTCATGACTCTAGATTCTACCGTAGAAGTACTGCACCGTAACGTAGGTATATACTAGTACTGTATGCTTCTTTATAGCTACCAAATGCAGTTAGTGCTGTCCTTTGCAGTTTGCGCATATTGCACTTGCACGAATAAAAAATTTGTATTCAGGCAGGGTTGCGAATAATTTTATTTGTGTACACACAATAAAATTAATAGTAGTAAAACAGCTTGTAGGAAAAACGTTAGTTTAACATTTAAGTACCGCTAGGTTAACGGATGTGTGTCAATTTTAGCCGTTTCCTAACGTTAAGTTAACGTTTTTTTTGCAAGTTGTTTTACTCGGGCAATGTACTGAAAATTTTTATAATATGAACACTGAGATTGGGATCACGGAACACATCGCAAGCTGTGCTAATGCTCTGGAATTACCCCGTAAGCACAGGTCTACATGCTTGTTCTTCGTCTACACTGTCAAAAGAAACATTCCCAGACTGCAGCGGATTCGGCTGCGTGCTGCTTAGCTCTTTCAAGATTTCCTCGTACGCAGTGGCGAACACCTGGATGTCCAGCGTTTTAGCCGGCCACGTATTAACATGGTCTTCATCATCAATCGGGTCGGGAATAAAATCATCGTATTCTAGATCTTGGACATCGCCAGTTTCCGGTCGCGAAGATACCTGGGAATAACGCGATGATTTCGGACTGTCGGTAGTCCCGCCGTCGTTCAGCCTGTTAGCACGTTGCATATTAACGGCGTTGTGCAAAGCCGACTGTGGTGTTTCCCAAGGCGCTTTATCATCGCGAATAACATTGCCATTTATTCTACATCTTTCTGTTCCATACGAATTCGTCTGTACTGAATCTTTATTTTCGTTCACTTTGGAAAGAGAGTTCTGAACACCTCTCGCAGTGCTCACAAGTGGATTACAATTTGTTGATGCTGGAAATGTGCGCATTTCCACGGAAGCGTTGCGCTGATCATACTGGGTCACATTGACCATTACCGGTTTTGGACTGCGCCTATGTGGTTCATCGTCTTTAGAAATCAAGAGGTAGCGTGAATCTCTGTCGTTATCTTTTGATGAATTTCCAGGTTTTTTTCGTGGCGGATTGGGCAAACTGTGCAGACGGCAGATAGAAGGGTAGGCTGTCAGCATAAGCAAGAGGATCAAAAAGATTGATGCACTTATCACAACAGGAACAAAGTATTCGTCCCCTTCCAGAAAGCCGGATAGATCGCTTTTTTCCCGTGCATCTATAATGTGATGTGTGTTATTATAACAGCTAAATACAGATAGCATGGTTAATACATTACATCTTCCTCAGTCGATTATTTTAGTATGTACGCATTGTGCAGACCGATTAAACATGAATTTGCAAATTCTGCTGTGTACAAATGCCTACATTATGCGAGTTACAAGATTGTGATGACTGCATGTATAAAAAATTGTACTGTACTTAAAATGAGTATGATACCATTTTTTTTTACTTTTTTTGACCTCGCAGGCTGTATCTTTCACTGCTAATTGTAAGATTTTCAGCCATTCAATCACTCTCTACAGTATTTATTAAAATAAATGCATATTTATTAGATGATTACTTTATATTCAGAGGTTAGTGATTACCGAAGCACCACCATTATTAGAGAGCAACGTAGGTTAGTGAATACCCAAGCTACCACCAATAGCACAGAGCCGCTACGTGAGTGAACACGGTAAACGGGCCGCCGCGGTTCACAAATTGAATCTCGAATTAGGACATACTTTCCAAAAAAATAAGAACGTAGGAATATATGAATCTATTGACATTCGTGGTCACTTACAAAATCCCAGTATGCCAATGTTGGTGTATTCCACAATCGAATCTTTTACTGTTTCGCCATTCGGGTTGGAGTTTGGGAACCAAATCATTACGTTTGCAACTTGGGAATCATTAGCGGCATAATCTGAAAATAATGCAGTTTTCAGCTTTTGATATTTACGATAGCATGATATGACGCATCTATAATTTAAAGTAGAATATCGAAAACGAATGATTCGACTTTATTAGAAATACTAATACACAATGCTATAAAAAATTATATGTATTTGCTAGCTATAAAAAACATTTTTTTCCAAAACATAAACTAAACGAAAACACAGAGAATGTAGAAAGTAAAAACAAAACATATTAATAATAAAAACAGTGTATAAAAAGGTTTTGGCGATTCAGTTTGGTCAGCTTCGATACCGTATGTTCAACGTATTGTAATTACTTGTGTATTCAACTGTATTGCACGATTAGCATGTTATGAGCGCAGCCATACAATATTAAGCATTTGCAGTAACTTCCGCATACTTTTGCATCTGGGAACATGACATTCCATCGTTTCAAGGCCTTTCCCAGAGCAGAGATGTCCGTAAAAATCGTTTGTCCCGATCATGCATCTGCGGTACCGCATACGCACCGATATGTCTTCATGACCTTTACGGCAGGTTTGCGTACAAGGAGACCATGCACCCCATTCCGACCATTCTGCACGTTGACCCCAATTTCGTGCTGCAAACAGGGAACATGGAAAGCTATTTGCCGTGAGTTGCCAACCGGCAATCGTTCCTACATGTACAACTCGCGCCGTTAATAAAATATTATGTGCCAAAGAATCACTTTTTCAAATGGCTCGATTAATATTAATCGTTCGCCCTTGTTACCGTACTATGCACTGATTGTTTCACTTCATCGGTGGTAAAAATTAACGAAAACCTCATGTTGGTGGTTGTTTATGTGCGCTTGCATTTCAGATGCAATTTCGGAGTTGTTAACAAAAACACTGCTGCGCGATGAATACTACTACTTTGTTGTACGTTATATAACAATGTCATAAATTTTGAAATACAGCCTTTTAATTTGTGAAACAAAAAAGCAAAGACGGTGTCGGTGACGGTGGAAATGCAAGTAATGTGCCTACAGATCATCGTTTTTAGTTTTTACTGATGTTTAGAAGCATACTATATATTATACTATGCAATCGCGACGCCAGCATATGTACATTACACGTAATGCACAACATTGCATTTGTGCATAGTGCACGAGGGGATACAGTCTATAAATCATCTCTGAAATTAATATAGCGGATTAACGCTCGTATCATGGATGAAACGAGGTTTATCATCTAATGACATCGGCTTAATTTGAGAAGATGGAATGTTTTGATCCCGTTAATTATGCTAAAATCAATATCATAATTCATGGGGTCAGCGCCGAGAATGAGAAATTTGCCGGCGTGCGTGATGTGGTTGTCGCTAGGATTAGCTAATAATACCAAGCGACTATATAGAATACACACAACCAATACGTGTGTATCAAGATGCGAAATTGGGTGGATTTTAATGACACAATTCCGCTGGATTCCCTAGCACCTGCAGCTAATTTCCAGTCAATCAATTTATCCGCACTGCCGATGGCTTCTTTTATGTAAGATTCGTGACAGCGGCAGTATCCTGGCTATGCACGCACACTTTAGAAAATTCGCAAACTTAGAATGAACGTAATCTGCGTAAATCTCAAACAGAAAAGTAATAATTCCCAAACCTGAATAAAAATAGTAAAATTTTTAAACAATACCTGCAAATTAAGGTGGCACTGCACTTTTATATATGCGAAATAGCGCAATGTATAGAACGAAGCGGTCAATCATACACGTACTCATAATATTACTAAACCTTAAGGTATTTCATCGACTGGCTTGACGTCACGCTATGTGACACGCAATGTGCAACGCAGTGGGCAACCCCTGCGGGTTCTGTGTTTTTCAAAACTTTCAAATTAGTACAATCCGTTCATACTATGGCTCAAAAAATGCAGAAAATAAATCTAAGTTTGTAAACTAAAACTGACAAGTGAAACGTTGTCAAGCAAACGAAAACTTTATGATTTTCATTAGCATAGAGGTCTATGAGGTGGTTTGCCAGTCCAGAGACCTCCATGCTAAACGAAAATCCTTGGTTCTTGATCTGTGATCAAACGAAGCGACCACAACCTGATCAGTCAACGAAAACGAAACAATTAAAATTTAACCAATCAATGAAAACGGTCAAACAATTCCGATTTGATCAAAACAAGTGCTCTTTGTTTAGCGTAGAAGGCTAAGGCAGACTGCCTCATAGACCTCTATGGTAAACAAGAATTGCGTTAATCGTAAATTTTTCGTTTGTATAGCAACTTTTTGCTTACCAACTTTCACTTTCCAAACTTCAAATTTTTTTCCGCATTTTTTGAGCCATAGTACGAAGGGATTGTACTAATTTGAAAGTTTCGAGAAACACAGAACCCGCAGGGGTTGCCCAATGCGTCTCACTGTGCGTGTTCTCTACCATGACGTCATCGTACAAGGTGCATGCTCGATTGAATACCTGTTAGTTTAGTAATATTATGACGTACTATATGAGGTTCAATATTAAGCAATTGCTAGCACGACAGGTCATGATGTAGTAAAATATTTATGAGATATTTTACGATGTCGGGAGTCTACCTCGTTCCTCTGCAGGGGCCGGCACAGGAAAGCATTGACGTGTTTCCGGTAATTCATTGGACTGGCCGTCCCTGGAGATGGTTGTGTATACGAAGCAGAATCCCACCGCATCCGCTCGATGGGAGGAAAAAATATGGCACGGAAAGTGAAAACTGGCAAAACGCGGTCGCGACCGAATCGACTTTTCCATCAAGTAGACCTATAATAAAGTTAACATGAAAACTTTGTCTGTTTGGCTTAATTAAGTGTTTGGTAACAACGCCAACAATGGACCATTGCCGATCGATCACGTTACACTAATGGCGCTTATTAACGTAGTCCAGTTGAAGGGATGCAATATCCGGAAATTCTATACCCCTTTCAGCTGGCTATTTATCGTTACGTAAAGCGTAAATCGCAGTAATGAGACATGTTATCACATACAAATGACACATGTACAACTCATAGAAAAGTAAAAAGATTCTGTGGTCTGGATGCTTTATCTGCGAAATCAGATTGTAAATTATTATGCATTTTTCGCATTATTCTTTAGGGTATCCAAGAAAAATTAAACGAATGTGGTCATCAAAACCAAATAATGCAGTACAGTATTCGACATTTGTGATGAATAAAAAAATTTACGAGTACTTAAAAGTGATCATTTTATAATAACCATGGCGGATTGTAACAAACAAAGAAACAATGTATTTAATCGTTTACTCAAGCAAATGCTACGTCGTGGTATTTAATTTAGGCCAGTATTAACCGGTAAGTTTTACACTTTTACCTATTTTTTGTTTCCTTTACAACCACTACGAGTAGGATACCGAATCGACGCTGTACTTTAATTAATCAATTGGGAAACATGAGCGGTTTCAGCGCATAAATTACAGTAACCATAGCATTGTATTCAATCAGCTGACCAGTGTTGTTAGTTGCACTCGTACCTGTTGGAAATTATTAATATCGATCCCTTTGTATGTCGAGCTGTATAATGAGCCTCGCCTGATCTGGTACAAGCGGAGCCTGTCATTGCCGAGGCACTGCGGAGCTTTATACGCCACTCTGACACCGCCGCTGTCCTCGGCCTTGGCTGTGCTGTTGATGCAGCGGCTAATGTGTTCGGCCATTACATGGAGGGAATAATCAGAAAGCCGTCGGGAAGCATTAATACTCGGACTCCTATCCAGAATAATCTTCCGTCCCTGCACAGTCAGGGATAAACTTGTATAATAACTCCCTGGGCGATCGAAAAACTGGCAGGGAAACTGTAGAGATGAGTTGATGGGGCTGCGGATGGTGCCGAATGGCCAGACTAAACGGCGGGAGGTGACCACCTCCGTGGCCCGGTTGCCTGCTGGCCTGGTATAATGCAGGTTCACGGACACACTGATATTGGCCGGTTCCTGTTGCGGGCAGGCGGTTTGTGAGTAGAGCGACACGTTGGCGATCAGTGCCTGGGACGATGTGCGGATATCGCGCGTTGATAAAAACCATTTAATGGACTCCAGCCAGCGGACCTCAATGGGATGGGAAACCATTTCCGGTGCACCGCTGCTGACCCGTGGCACAGCCTTTCCGGTTGGGAAAATGTGAAAGGCATACACACCGGGCGCCAGGAATGTTGTGCAGGGAATTTCGATTGTTCCCCATGGATTTTTAGATGAGAAATACAATGGCTCAGAATAAACGGTTGCATTGTCTGATAGATTTATCAAATCACCCCTGTAGTCACCGTACATAAAGTTTTTTGCCAGTTTGAAAGAAAGACGGAGGTTTCCGCTGAGATAGTAATAAAGAGATGGTATCTCCAGTTCAATCGCATTTGGTGACCTCTCTGTTGCAACCGCCTGTTCCGTTGGCGCTACGGAATACACTGCAAAAAGTCAGAAAGCAAGTAATCGTTTAGAATAACGCACTGCAGAGCGTGTTTTTTCAAGGAATACTTTGCAGCTGTTTTGTTGCAAGATTAAATGAAAGTGTGTGTACGAGAAATTTCAAAAACATTAAAAACGCATTTTAAACGTATCGGTTAATTGCGTGTAAGGAATAGCTATAGTGTGAAAATTTCTGTTGATATATAAAAGCGGTTATAACTATGGAGAAAAGGCTTTCTACGCTAACTATAAATTGTTAGGTTTCAGTTAATCTTGAAAAACATAGAACTATATATATAGATTGGTGCTAAACGTAAATCACTCTGCAGTTTGCATTGTAATTTGTACGTACCATTTTCTGCATATGTGACGTAACCGCCGATATGGACGGAAGTAATCAGATAAACACAGATGACATTATACATCATCTCTGGAGACATCCGGAAACACCTAACCGGGTAAGCTTCGAATCTCGTGTTTTAAGGGACAACGACAACCGACCGGACACGGTTCACGTTCCACACAAACATTAATATATCGGCCAACGCGAAACATTAATATTTATTCCCATTGTGAAACATTAATATTTATTCCCATTCCTATCATTGACTGCATGCATCTGAACACGAAAACAACTTATATCACCTTTTGCAAAACTGCATTGCGCCACATCATAATTCTAAAACATTCCAAAAAATAAACGAACCGGCATTTTAGGACGACATAAATACGCGATTTTGAGATACTAGTACAGTACACTATAATTGTGGTCAAAGTGATACTCCCAGTGAAAGATTACATGATGAGTTCATGATCTGCTGCGTATGCAAACCGGCGAATTACGTTCAAACAAGTAACGACTATACGGGCACTTTATCCTGGCTAGTCCAATAGCAACAGGGCAGTGAAATGTAATCAATGGGGTTTCGTGGATACTCTTGACAGGAGACTAAACATCCGGTTAAAACATCGTTTGTCATGTATATAGACTACGGATATATTTGCAATTGGAGGGAACCGGCTGTGGATTGGGATTGGGCCATATTCCATAATATGGATACAGTATAAATGTATTCTGCATTGCTGTTCATCACGATATCAGAACTATCTCATGATCACCCCAACCTTATTGCGAAAGCTACAGCATACAATAAACGATAAAATACAATAAACATAAAATTTATCGTGCAGCTACAATCAATACTAGTGCGAAAAAAAATGTTGAGGCGAACGGGCATCGGCGGTACAATTCATGCCATTCGCGTTTTGCTCATTGCATGAGATTTTACATGTACAAGTAGTACTTGTACATGGGCAATATACAGTGTATCTACAAGTATAATTACTTACCGCAACAGATACAGCAGCTTTGTTGATTGCCTGATTAAAAAATTTGGTTGAAATACTGAGCTGCTGTTGATAAAAATAAAATCAGCTGTTCAAAATAGTTATGAGCATTCAATGGAAATAATACCAATGCCAAGTGTTGCAACTTACCATTAGGATAACGCTACAGAAAACAATAATTCGTAAAATTGTTATTTTATAACTTAGTTATAAAGTGAGGGCAAATCTGAATTTGATAAGTTGGTTAACTACAGAGTAGGCATAGGCATACGAGAAGTGCGTATAAAAAATGTTACCAAATATGGTGAACTACCGCACTTAACTATTGGCCCTGACCATTAAAAGATTAGCTCACCGGATTTACATAATAAAAGTATTACATATTAAGAGTAATTTAAAACCGGCTATCACACAGTTTTCTCAAACTACTATAGTTATCTTGAATCTGTGATTCTGACTTACCTTGCAGAGAATGTTGTACTGTAGTAGTTCTGTGCTTTCTGAATGTCACTCCACTGCAGGATCGTGAAAACGATCCCATTCTACAACACTTGACACAATAAACTATTTTAAACATTCCTGGATTATTTGTATAAGAGTCCATAAAGGAATTCCGTCGAACACGCTTTTTGTCCAGATCTCGCTGATACAGCATATCTGTGTCACGACAACAATAACTTGATCGAAGCCGGTAAATATGCTTAGAGTGGCGTACAGAACTTGGGTAACTCAATAATTACGAGTATTATGAAAAGAAATTCTTTGAGCACTTTATTATACTGCTTACATGCTGCGCAACCCCAACCATTGCCAGTACTTTTAAAAGTTACGATAACTTAAAATTTCAGTACGATATCCACTGCAACAATTTTTTGTTGTCTAATCGTTCATTTTAATGCACTGAATACATGAAGCTGAAGAATGCCAAATATGGCGACATTTCGGCTCCACACTCTTCTTTCTTGCGTTACACACAGTCGCAGACATCTGTAATTTGCAGATCCGGTAATTCATAACCAAAAATGGTGTGCAGTATGCACTTACAAAATTTGCATACAAAAATGGCATTTTTCCCGTTTATTCAACTAATACCATCGTCATTTTTAAACTAATAACGAAACAAATGTGGCAGAGTACAAAAAACACAAGATCTCTCTTAACAACAACCAGAACTGGACGACTAAACAACAAATCTTTTCTACAACTTCTGATTCGGTACATATTAACCTCAAAGTTCTTCAAACAATTAAAGTTTTAAACGATACAATTTTGCAAATGAAACAGGCTTCAACCATATTGAAACCAAAAAATTAACCACTCAGAAAGAAACAGTTCTCTCAAAACGAAGCCTTCATCGCACGGAACGATTGAGCACATCACCAACCAACTCAATGAATGAATACCAAGCTCCATCTTTTCGGACATGAATTTCCACATGGTTGACAAAGCCGTCCTTGCCGTGAGAGACCACTCTGAGGTTATATCTCGGCTGCGACTGTAGAGAGTTAACCACTTTTTGTTGTTCTCTGTTGCTGATGCCAGTGGTCTCTGCAGCATAACCTGTACCACAAACAAAACAGTTTAAGCTGAGTGTTGAACGTTGAAGGAATAGCTGCATGAGCTGTTCCAACATCAACATTTCCGAAAAGACCAATTCAGTAATCCACTCTCATAACGTAATTTTCGTTTACAAAACCCTGCTCACTAATTGACCTCTCAAAGTTTTCGGCTCACCTTTCAGAGAACACAGAACGATGCTACATGGCTCCAGGTAAGCTTCCGCCAAAGGTCGCAGATCCTTAAGAGGTGCATTAATCGTCTGGCCAAATCGAGTTCCATCCAACAGCAAAATCGATCTCCAGTTGTGCACCTCTTTATCGATATCCGGGCGGCGCTGCCCGACCACCAAAGCACGCTGGCATGCTGCAGCCCAAAAAAGGTCAAACAAGGCTTCTTTGCAGTAATTTGGAAGAGTCAGGTGTTAAAGTATTTCACCGACTCACTCTGTTTGTCAATGTCCCAGTGGCACACAAGTTCCTGGTATTCAGGATCGTAATCGCTCTCGTATTCCTTGGCATGCCAGTATTTCTGCATATTGCGTTGTAGTCGCTGGTGCTCCTCGACTGTAGACATAGTACATATGCGTTTAACATTATAAACTGGTTAGAGAGCATATCGCACAACTCTGCTTCACTACCGCCACTCACCCCGACAAACAAGGGGATTGGACATCAGTATTAAACTGGGACTAAACATATACACCAAATCCATGGACAGCTGGATATTCATAGGCAGTTCACAAATTCCAGCATCCACGATAGTCAACTGTCTCGGGTAATCGAAGCGCAGCGGCTGGCGTTCCTCCCTGTACTGACGAGGAGGTGGCTGGTTGAAGGAAGTCCGCGCACTGTGGAAACTGGCTTGCAAAGTATTCTCATCACGCTCCAATGCTGCTTCTCGTCGCGCTTGCTTCTCCAGGCTTTTCACGCGGTCTGCGACAAAAAACGGTCTAAAAGCAAAAAAATGGTAACTTAAGAATATGGTAAATTCCGTGCGGTACAACATTACCGCCCATGATCAGGACTTTCCGTGGCAGACAGAACAGGAGACAAAGGCCAGTCGTGCAACTGCTGCAAGCTCTCTTCTGCGCCGCGCATCGGGGTCCCGTGGGCGACCGTCTCGAAGGGTTGCTGATCCTGTACGGTCAGTACGTTGTGCTGAATAGTGGTGCTGGTCACCGATGACATACGCTGCAGACCATTGCTGCGCATGCGGTTGAGCGTGGCCAGATCAAAATTTCCAACAATGTGGTACTCTTTCCCGCGTTTAACGTACACCTCCTCAACAGCCGGCGCACTAGGCTGCGGATGAGGATCCGACGGAAGAGCGCGGGTGGATAGCTGATTGGCTGCAATAGTAAGGTTTTTAGATGGATCATGGCTGTCTTAATACAGGGGCAATTAGCAAGGAAAAAAATAAAGAATAAAATGACAACATCTTCACACAGTGTAGCACTGTGCAGATAGATCCCTTGATTTATATCCTTGCAATATCTTATTAGCACCTTGCAATGTGCATCTGGAAGATCTAACGCGGCAAAGGCTGATTGACACGATTACGGACAACCGCAAGCACAAACTTGGGTCCATGGCGCTGGTTTTACTGCACAATCCAAACTAACTGCGGAAGAAATAATAAAATTGAGAATTTACCTCGATTTCCATAGTTCGTCTGTGCAAAAGCGTCCGTATAGTGCGCCGTATGCGGTTCTCCGATCAGCGATGTCTGCACGCAAGTGGTGGCGACCGCGGTGCGACGGCGATAATCCGTTGTGTCGGGAATTTCGCGGAACGGTGCTGCCACTGGGAACCGGAACGGATTACTAGCATGGTTCGGCATTCTGTCGTCCACTTCCACATTTCTCGAATGTGGCTGCAACGCATGATTTCCCCATCCACCGCCAGCCACTTGGCCACCGAGATCCGCCGTGGGAGGCGGGCTGAAGAAGATTTCGTTCTGGAAAACGGTGGAACGAGTGCTTTTGCTGCCGCTAATCATTTTCGGATTTCCCAGCGAAAGTCGCAAAACTGCCAAAAAATTTAAGAAAACTTCAGTACCTCAGAGTCTGCCGGAGGAGCAGTAGCTTCGGTGCCAGAACGATGCGCTGCACCGAATCGTCGTCGTGGCCGCGGTTCACGAGGATTCATTATTGCTGATTGTGCGAAAATCCCCGCAATGGGCTGTATTTCACTCTTCCAGGATCTCTCGCACAATAGATGAGCAACGCAACAAACCTTCCACTGATCTCAGTGGATAACAAGGATCTAAAAATTTCCAACTGCAACGTCACCGAGACAAACAAATTATAAAATCATTCAGGAGCTTTAAAAACGAAAACATACTCGTATCTGTAGCTGCGTAAAGCAGCTGTACAGCGAGATCGAACTCGTTGGTGCAGGCATTCACTTCGACTTGGAACAGTTCAGATGGATCCTAGCGAAGAAAATTTCTTACGACCTGGCACCTGCAAGCCGTTTCAATGGGTTGCCGCTTGTATAAAAACCGACCGCCATCGGCCGTAAAAACACTAGGCCATATTGAAGACCCGCCCATGGGACGGCATGCGTCACTTTGTACGAAAACTGTTTGTTTGTTACGATTTGCGACCCCTGGGTTCAGCATTCTGTTATGTGTTTATTTTTGCTCTGTTATATTGCTACGTTTATTTAGATATTTTAATCATAGAAACGATTGGAATTGTGAAGAAACGTTCGAAAGGGCTGAAATAATTATTTTAAAATAGAATAACCTTGCGGCGCAGACCGTCGTTAATATATATATGTCACGCTATTTTTGTACTTTGTACTACACCGAAACTCGACCAACCAGTGTGCACTGTGGACTTGCAGCATCTCACAATTACGGTATTACAGTGCAGTACCTGAGTACGGTAATCGATCGAGTTTTCATTTTTCCCAGTAAAATTGCTTGGCTTCCACTTTCCGTAATACATAATCTATAACAGAAACCAGATTTTTGAGATCTTCTCCATTGTTCCCTACTGGTTACTGTTTTACTTTAGCATCGTGCAACGATTCATGGAAGTATTTGCAAGCCTGTACAGATAGCCGTACTTGATACGTCCCATCTTTCCGTTCCACGCTCCCCTTGGCCAGCAAGTGCCAAGCACTATATAATCATTATAATGGAATAGATTTATCTTTTTGTGATAGCCTAACAAGTGACAGGTAACGTTCTCTTCCATTAACGGGTTTTGGAATCAGTTAAGGTTCAAGCAGACGCTGCAAGTTTGAATAAACCGTAATTTGGTGGTGTAATTTTCATGGTTGCACATGGAACTGGATCTGTTTAGATTTTAGAACACGAATTCGAATTGTCTGAACCTGGGGAGCACTGCCACTGGAGATAAGTTCTCTTGAAGTCACAACCATGGAAACCTCTCAAGGCCCTTCCAAGAATGCAGACGCATTCAACAGTACTTTATTAATCGAAAATGCTCGTCACGACCGCGAGAAGGTGACCAACGGAATCAAGAATCTGACTACCAACGATGATTTGGACAAGACGGAAGATGAGCGTTTAGATTTGTTCTACGAATTTGTCAAGGTTGGTGTTGTAAATTTAAATTAAGAAGAGTGAAAGTAGCAGTTTAATTTATTCTACTTTACATACTTGAATTGTGCATTAATTAAGCAACTGACCTATTTTGTGCCACTTACAGAAGCGAAAACAAGGTTCCCAAGTGGATGATAAAGAAATCTTGATGGAAGCCGAACGCTTGGAAGTGAAAGAGAAAGCCCCGCTTATTTTGGCTCGAGTGCTTTTGGATACGAACATGTTGAAACAAATTAAGGATTATCGCAAAGTGTTTCTTCGTGTACGTCAACTCTTGGACGTCACCGCTCAATGTCTTACCGTAATTATAATTTTATGTCGTTGTATTTTCTTATAGTTCACTGCGGGAAATCAGCGTGCGCAAAAATACTTTCTTGGAGGAGTGGAGCATATTGTCGGAGTGGCACATAAGTCAGAGTTAATGCCAAAAGCTGCAGTATTATTTATGGAATTATACAATCAAGATATTCTGGAGGGAGAGGTTCTGATGGACTGGTGTGATAAGGTAATTAAATTGTTTGCATACAAAATCCGAATGTTATTTATTGCCTTGTTAGTTTCTGTTTTCAAGTTCCAATTGGAAAATTTGCGCATATTATTTCTCTGGTTGACTTATTTTATTTCGATGGCTCATGGCGAGAGTGATGCCTGCAAACAATCACGAAGGACAAATTTAGTTAATGAGAATTAATCTGCTTTGCAGCCAACAAGGAAATATGTTGCCAAATCGATTGCTGAAGAGATCCGCAAGGAAGTTTTTCCTTTTACGCTGTCCCTAAAAAAAGCAGAGACGAAAAGATCTGGCGGAAACGATCATAACCCACAATCATCGTCATCGGTGAAAAAGCCTGACGGAGAAATAAAAGGTGTGGATACTAGTTGTGGCAGTTCGACCGCAGCAGCTGGCTCAGCACCAGAATGCAGTACGGCCATATCCGTGCAGCCAATGCCAGTCAGCCAGCCACATAGTCTTTTAAAAAGGCTGACCGATGGTAGCCTAGGGTTTGAATCTTTTGAAGATTTTGTTTTATACAGCTGTCCGAGTAATACGAACGACAGTCTCAGTAGGAGTACGTGTTTTGAATGGTTTTTGGAAGAATGTGCAGGTTGGTTACTTCTTTTACTAATAATTGGTTTATTTGGGGTAATTGGTTACCTTTTGTTTGGAGTGTAACCTTCTGGTGTTTTTCCTTTTCCGTGTTGAACAACGATGCACCTTCGCAGTCTTCATAAAGATCATCACGATAGCCCTGAACATTTAAGCTGCTCTTCGTCGACATAGTCCGGTTTTGCAAATTGTTGTTAGTTGTATTGGGAACATTCCACAAACGTTAATACGGAACCCGATACTTTTCTAATATCACCAGAAATTAGCGCGTGAACACTATTACATTAATCTCGATTATCGTGGGCATTAAGAAGACGATGGAAATGTTTTGTAACAAATTTCTAAACTCGCTCGAAACTCTATCGAAAAAGGACAGGACTTTAATACTGGACTATGTGATGTTTCCGTTCACACACACTGCGCGTTCACACTCACATCGCAACCGGAGGCATGGACGAATCGCTCAATACCAATTCTCACTTGCACTACTTAGGTGCAGCCTTCCATCATAGGATGAACACATCCTGTACTGTGTTCTTGCAGACAGCAATCTTCCTGTGCAGAAACTAACAGCATTCAACGAGTTCTTAAAAGTGAATTCTGAAGAAGTGCGGGAAGTGTATGAATACGTTTGCCAGATTGTGCAGAACACCGGCAATCCGGAAGTTGGTGCGAATGCGACAGCTGCAGTACCGGGTGGCTGAACAAAATGTTGGTCTGATTTACCCGGGTGTGCTGGATCCGTCCAATATTTGATTTACGTTATCTTAGTCTCATTCGAAAGAGCAATCTTTTAACATAAAAAAATGAACCAAGACAATATTATTCTTAGGCTGAACTTGTTTTTCCTTAGGTTGAACTTTTTTATGAATTGTTTCGAAAAACTCAGTGAGTTTGGAAGATGTCCTGGAAGCGAAAGTTTGAAATTAGCCATTTCCGAACTAAAATTTCTGCTTTTTAACTAAGGACATAAATGATTACTGTATCTCACATTGCTGTTTTCGATAGAGGGATTAATTCTTGTTGTTTTTGCTGTTACGAACAGCAGTATTCTAGCAACCGTGTTTGGCCGGTATACCGAATAACAGAAAGTCCGCTCGAGTAATTCACGTGAAATCCGCAAGTACGGTTTTTGAAAGCAAATTTCTGACCAACACCTTAAATCAATCAATCTAAACTGTTTCAATCTTGTTTGTGCAAGGGCGATGTGTTAGCTAAATTAAAATGTCGAACCGGATTTTTATATGCAACCTGTCATGCAGCCAGAAATTTTAACAAAAAACACTCAAAAATCAAATGAAAAGGGCGTTTTTTGGAATAGTCCCAAAGTGGGCAGACTGCATAACTCGCAAAGCGAAAGCAGTATGTCCACAGATGCCTTCCTATTAAAACGTGATTTATTCCTCTGTTCAAAACATACGAAAATATTCAAATTGTCCATACGTGAAAGAAATGTCACGAGATTATATGTTTTGCAACCTGGAACGCGAAAATTTTTCACACGATTTTAATTGGCAGCGTTGCAAACGAGTTCGACATAATTTTTTCCAAAATTTTTGCTGATTTTGGTAGCTAACAGAACTCTATCGAACGAGTCAAACTAGTTATATTAACGGTTCGGCAACGGACTCGCGAGAAACCAACTAAAGCGGTAGACCGACATTTTGTTCAGCCACCCGGTACATTAAAGGATGTTCAAAGTATGAAGGGAAGGAAGTGTTTCAAATTTCAATTGTTTCAGTGTCACGAGGGAAGTGATTGTCAAAATTAACACATAAGGGTGATTTTCTGCATTTTTGTTGTACCGAATTGCACTTATACATCGCTGACGGCGACAATATAAACAAGCGCTTCACATTATTAATTAACTGCTGGATGGCCTTTCCGCTGACGGAAATGCCGACAAGAACGAAGGGAAGTTCCCCAGCTTGTTGATATTATTATTAAAGTTTGCATTTTTTTGCATGGCTTTGTTATTCGTGTTTTTTTTTAAATTTCCAGAATCGAGATGTTGCACCAGGCCGCTTCGTGTTACGCCTTGCTGAACCGTTGGAACACCGCGTACAGATACTGCCAAATGATCCTCCAAGATGCCGACAGCCCGAAAGCGGCATTCAACAACCTGGTCTGCCTAGTTGCCACTAAGGCTGAAGCGAAAAAAATTGAAAACGCCTTTGTACGTTTAATCGAAATTCCGCCCAAAGGGCTCGATCGGACTCAAACAAGCACTCCAGAAGAGTATCGGGAAATCATCGAGAATGATTCGTTGCGAATGTAAGAAAACACAGTAGTAGGGAAGCCTTTTGATTGCACTTTAATTAATTGAAATTATTTTTTCATTGATGTATTAACTGATATGTCTTCTGGATATTACAGCAAAGGCTGCAAAGCACAATGTGAAAAATGCATACGAACCGCGGCGCAGTTAGTGGCTAACCGGGACGAAGATGTTGCTGAAGGATACGAATGAAACAGTGCCTCATTATGCATGCTTTCACTGTGTGCCAGTATAATCAATATTATAGACGCCGGTATTATTATGGCCTCATTAGGTACGAATTACTGGATGAACCTGTGGAGGCTTTTAACTGGTTGCAGCAGGCCTTCACACTGCATCCACACGAGCCCTTTGTGTTGGAGCATTTGGGCGCTCTGGTCAATAAACTTGGGGATAAGGGCGCGGCCTTGTGGTACTAGGTATTGTCTCCTTTCAGCCATTTCCGCCAGTATGTTATGCAGCTTGGTTTATGTGAACGTTTACACTATTAATGGATGTTTTTCGCTGCAGTCGTACCGCATCTACCCGGCTAACTTCAGTGTCCTCAACTGGCTTGGACGCTTTTTTGTCACCAGTCAGTTTCCGGAGAAGGCCATTAAATTTTTTGAATTAGCGGAAAAATTAGAGTAAGCATCCATCGATATTCTTGACAGGGATACATTTATAATTTTTATATTTGGTAAATCTCATGCGCAGTAATTTCTGATATTGCGTATGTATGGAGTATTGAAGTGCGATGTTAAATCATATGGAATGGACGGGCTCCTAATCCGTTTTTCTGAATGCGCAGCTCCAGCGTTCCAAAGTGGTCACTACTGGTTGCCGGTGCCATGCGTCGTGCCGGTCACCTGACGGATGCACACAACAAATATGTGGAAATACATGAAGCATTTGCCGATGATATGGATTGTATGTGCAATTTGTTACTGTACCAATAAATTTAGGTTTATATGCTTTTTACAAACAGCCGTCACTGTTACACAAGTACTTATACTTTCGAGCGAACAAAAGAATACTTTCTTGCATAAGCGTGTCATTTCGTTCCATTAAGGTCTAAAGATTTTGATCAGGATCTGTCAAGGGACACATGCGCCGTCCAGTGAAATATCAGAAAGAGTTGGATCTTTTGCGGCGAACGCGTCCCGCGGAAGTGGCGTCCTCCATTCGCGCGCAGACCGCGATGAGAGGGGCGGCGTTGACAGACACTGTCGGCATCATCTCCGAGCGTCTGTCCACAGCTCGTAAATCGCCACTGCCGCAGTCGCCAGCAGCCACTCCCGCCGGCAGTGCCATCTCACTGGGGCGTGTCGGCAGTGTCACAGCTGGTCTCGCGTTGGACGCCGATGATCGTGAGCAGTTCAGTAAGTGGCGCAATTACGTAAATGCTGATGGTGGCTAATGAAAAATATCTCCATTTTGCCGTGTTCAACCTGTACTGAACGCCAACTAATATGAATTATGAATGTGAAAATGTTTGTAGTCCGACTAGGAACTGCCCAGCGACTGCCGTCTCGAGCCGGGCCGCCCGTAGCCACTGACGAGACTGTCTTAAGCGTGGATGACATTCTCCCTGGACTCAAACGATAGCACCGGAAGTAAATTTCCTCCGTGATTTTATGTTAATTGCGTTTAGTTTCATCATTTGCTGTTGTGTTAAAGGTTGAGTACTTTCTCGCTATAAAATTAATAGAATATCTTCATAAGGGTGTGAGCACTGTGCAGATATTGCCAGGTTATTTTTTATGTTTCTCTAGGGTGGGCCAGTCCGACTATCATAAAAATTGTTAAAGAGACTTTCAATAATTCAGCAGCAGTCTAGTTTGATTGCTGTTTTCCATTTACTTACCTGTATATTTAGCTTACACAGCACACTCTGAAGAAAGTAAAAATGAATACAAAGTTTGCTGTACCAAAGCATTTCGAATTAACGCTGTTATTCCACGCTTTGGTTTTATGCTAGCCTTTATTTCAGCAGCTTTTTCTCACTTCCAGTGCCGGTGCACGACGATACGCGGAAATGAACTATAGCAGTACTTTAGTCATTTCGTAATTCTAATATCACACTGCTGTCAGTGTAGATTTTGTAGGGTTCGATTGCATTGTATCGTTCTCTTGGTCAGTAATAAAAAAAAATGGAACGAGTGTGCACCAGTTGTGTTTATTACAGCTGTATTTATTTCTGAATTGCCAATAAGTCAACGTTCTTGTTCGACAATATAATTTATAATGGAAATGAAAATGTCCCGGTATTACAGAAGTATCAACAACATTCTGAATACAAATTTTCGCGGTACTTCATGTTGACCAAACAAATTCGACATATGTTGCCTTGCTCTCGTAATTGGTGGCTTGAACTGAACTAAACGCAAACATTCTTGAATACACTTATACACAAAAAAAATTTCGGTTTTTAAGAGAAAATGCTCACTTATTGATAAAATCCGCGCGGAGCGCGGAAATTTTTTTGTTTTTGGAGTTCGAATGGTGCATTTTTACATGCTCCAAGCGTGGAAAACACATGGAAATATCAACATTTTTTATTTTTATTTGTTTTCTTGGTCCCATCCCATCTTTCAACAATCCCAGCCCAGCTCACCTCATCTGCGGCTCTTTCCCACCTCATCCCCATTTTCACCTAAAAGATGAGATGGGCTGGGAAAAATGGGGAAAATTTTCACCTCACCCAAAAGATGGGCCAAGTCTGGTGCACACACAGCACAGTTTCCGCTCGCCGTGTACACTGTGCAGCTGTGTGATCTGTGTGAGATGAGGTCTAAGTCTGAGGTCTAATGTCTAAGCTGCTACCTGGTCACCCCCCCGTTGACACTTCCGCTGCCTTGGAATTGTGGAAAGCGAACGCGCGCCTCACTGATCTTCCCGAGCCTAACTTTCGGAAGTTACAACGGTCCTGGGATTTACCGCTGTGTAATGCATCGCTATCGACACTTCTGGACGTTTTCCGCCATGACGAAGTAATAGGGCTCGACTCCTGGGTCAGTCGACTCCAGAAGCCGGGTTATGGCTGAATGCCTTGCCCTCCGCGCATATCGGTAATCTTCTCGACGATGACACCGTAATGATATCGATCGGGCTGAGACTGGGAGCTGCAATCTGTGAGCCTCATCTGTGCGCTAAATGCAACAAGCCGGTCGACGTACGGCCATCACGGCTTATCCTGCTCTTTTCGGCCGGAAGACATGCTCGCCACGGTGGCTTAAACAGTATTGTGTGTAGAGCGTTGGTATCAGCAGGCATCCCCGCCAAAGTGGAACCCCGGGGAACTTCCCACACGTCAGATAGACGTCCAGATGGTTGCACCACCTTCGCTTGGAAACGCGGGATGTGCTTGGCATGGGACGTGACATGTGTGGACACTGTCGCTGTGTCACACCTACGATCAACATCAACGACAGCAGGATCCGCTGCCGCACAAGCGGAAGAGAAGAAAGTGCGATTTTATTTGTATCTGGACGGTAGATACATTTTCGCACCGCTGGCTTTCGAAACACTTGGCCCATGGGAAAGTCAGCTACCCGTTTAGTGAAAGAAATTGGCAAGCGGCTTCAGCAGCACACGGGAGAGCCACGCTCGCACGAATTTCTCCGCCAGCGACTGTCACTGGAAATCCAGCGAGGAAACGCCGCTTCCGTGCTCGGAACAATGGAAGGAGCGGCGTCATTAAACGAAATTTTGTTTTTATGATTACCTGTTTATAACTGTGATGTTACCGCGTTTCAATGAAATAAAATATAATGTATTTCTAATTTCTTCATATAACCAAAAATGCACGCGCTGACACCCTACGTAATCGTTAGAATTTAAACATTAAAAAAACAACCAAATTCCCGGTCCTCCCTCGGGTTAAAAGGTAACGTGCTCAAAACAGCCGTAGCATTTCCCTTAACAACAGCAAGGCTGAATCGCTGCTTAAGAAAAGCAGTAGAACGTGCTTCTCCAGTCAAATCCCGAATTTTACGACCCATAAAATGTAAAAATTCACTTAAAGCCGGACCAAAAAACTCCAAGGGTTTCCATTACTAGAGGGTAAAAAGGTATCCGTATTCCAAAACGAATACTTCCCACGCTTCGCATTTTCAGCCAGCTGGGCCACGCTGCCACATTTCTTGGAGCTTCCAGTGACATGAGAGTCAGCAACCGTACACCAGCTGGTTACATCCCAAACGATCGGTTTTCCTTGTCTTACTGGTATCAGTGTCATCCCATCCGGTCTTTGTGCGGTGGTTGATGACAAGCCGTTTGGTTCCATCTCACAAGGAAAACCAGCGCTTTCACAACAGTTTTTCGCGATGCTGTTCATTTCTTTATGTCTCGCCCATCGTCCTTTAGTCGTTTGGTTGCAGGATAGTCCATGATGGCCGTTGCTTTCGACTTGTTTACCACATGCGTTGCAGTTGTGCGCCACCACTACTGGTAAACCAAATCGCAAACCAACACCGATACGTACATCTTCATCCTTCAGGAATGTCCCCAAACAAGGTGCGGGGTAACGCATTCAGCCAGGCTCCCGAATCTCTGTTTAAAGCTGACAGCAAAACCGCCCTGGCGCGCTCATTACCTTCGGTAGACGACATTAATGTGGATATGTCCCGTTCGATCACTGGCGTGTCCCAGGCGTACTGGCGTGTTCGATCACTTGGCTTTTTTGGTTCATATTCCGCCATTGTGGTGACAACTTTTTAATGCGTTCAATTCCACCTCCAGAGATGCGGAAACAAGGAACTGGGCTAACATGGGAGTTCTGTTATCTGGCATCGTTCTTAGTTCCATTATCCGTGTATTTTTGATATACATCTGGTCACCCCGTATTCCACTAAGAATCTTCAACGGCCATACTAATCGTGTTCTTGTGGAGATTGAGGGAGAATTTGGAAAACCACGCCTAGCGAGAGTCTGTAAATCGTTTTGCCGATGCTGCGACTGCTTGCCGGCTGGAGCGCGCCGACTGCTTTGCGGATGCTGCTCATGTCTGACAGACTATAAAAAGCAGAAAATCAAATTTGTACTTGGGATCCGGAGGAACTTTCGCAAGACCGGTGGAGCTCAAGAAAGGCGTACTGAAAGTTTCAGTTTGCAAAGAAGGTCGGGAAAATAGTGGCTTTATTAGACTGGATCAATTGGAATATTTTCAGACCACAATTAACGACTACGGATCCAGCCGTAATTTTGATATTGTTGCGACGGGTGTTAAAAATGGTCCGGTCATTGCAAAATGGGTAGTTCCACCTTATATTGCCAGTAAGTGTTTTTGCCATTCGTAATTGTCTTATTGATAACCGATTCGCATTCTTCCACGGCATCGTTAGTCGTTACATAGCTGATAATGTGTTTTGTTTCTCTACTGCAGGGATTAATGGGACGCATATATCTGGGCACCGGTTAATGACTTGATGAGTGTATGATGCGCTGTACTTGTCGAATAACGTCCTAAATACCAAATGATCCCCCGTAAACGACTCATCTGGGACCGGATGCCCATGCCGGCACAAACTGGCAACGGACATGTAATTTGCCGCATTACGCCATCCTGATGGTGGTGATGACGGTGTGTTGCTGGCTGCCGGCATCTTCACGCGGCGACAACGAGAAAATCTCCAGCTCCACTATATCGCTACCACCAGATGATAATGTAAATTATCCCGCCATGTGCGGGAGCCTGTTTGACGATGCTTAGCAGAACGTCAGCGGCTTCTTCCATACACCGTGGCTGGACCGGTCATTTTGCTCCTATCCGCAGCGCATTCACTCCGCGCTAGACGATCCACTGCAGGAATGCGTACCGACCAGTGCCAGTATTCTGGAGGATTTTTTATTCATGTGTGATGTAACACCCGGACGCCGATCGCGGGCTAACTACCGGCGCTGGCGACTGCCGTTCTGCGCTGACTACTCCGTGGAGCGCATATTCGGCAATTACGATGATTGTCTCTTCAAGGAAGACCGAGCAAACTGCCGGAAGTGCGTAGAGAATGTCTATAACATTGATCAGTATGCCAAGTTCGTTTATTGCCACTTTGTCAAAGATATTCTGGCGCGTTTCGACTGCGAGACGCCGTTTTCTGTGAAATGGAATTGCAGCCACTGCCAGGTAAAATATTTAGTAATCGTTATGTATTTATCTATTTTCCATATTTAACTATCTATATTTAACGAATTATAAAATCGTATCGCAATCATTCTAATTAGTTACTACAGCTTATGTTTACGAATCCATGTACATGGTTCGCACATCAAGTTTTTTGTATGAAAATCCAAAGTCAAAAAAGTATGAAGTGAAACAAAGGTTGAATAGCGGACGGATACTGTCTAATATAACTCAAAGCCGATTCACTCAATGGTGTCCTTGTCCTGTAACGCAGCGATCGCGTCATCCTGGCGTTTGCAAAATTAAAGCAGCACTTTTCATATGCGGAATGTAATATCAGCATATGATGAATGTTTAGCCAGCGCAAACGGACAGATCGTAATTCAAGCGATGACCTTTTATTGATCACTTTTTAACAATTGCGGCGCGCAGCCGTCGGTTGGAAAATGGAGAAAAATATGTGATTTATACTTGTCGTGTTGACTTTACTGACAGTTGATATAGGGTTTTGTGCACACTTGAAAACAGGGCAAACAAAAGGGAAGTAACTCAGCTGGCGGACTGCAGCAGCCGCGTGTTGCTGATAAGACTTACACACCATGCACACACACTAGCCGGCTTGCCGAAAAATCGAAGCAGCCCCATGTTTGCCGTAAACAGTAACGTCGTGAAATATCCGGCTGGATATATTTTGTTTGGCTTCCAAGGGGGGAAGATTTGTTCCCTGCCTGTCCATGTATGTGCTGGAAATGTGTTGAACGGACGGGCCAAATCAGGTTGCGTGTAGTCCGGGTTCACGTCAGTAGTACTCGGTGAATAATGCAGGCATTGTACAATGCCTGCATTATTCACCGAGTACTACTGACGTGAACCCGGACTACACTACCCGGTAATATATATCTATATATCATGTACACGACATCCCGGAAATGCGTGAAGACGGAGTGGCTTATTTTTCCCGGTTTGATACATATAGATATATATTACCGGATTTGTGCATGCTATAGAAATTTCTCTGGTACTGGACTTATATCCGCGGATCTACCGGCTTTAAGCAATTACTGAGTCAGCTATAGGCATCCAGTTAACAGGAAAAATGTGTGATTTGTTAAGTCATACTCAGTATTTCACACTCCAGAAATCAGCCATATCGAGAAATTCCCTAGCGGGCACATCCGGATTTGAACGGAGCACAGCGCACTGCTGTCCATATATACTTAATACCCGAAATTACATGAGAACATGGCAAAACTATTGAATTCTCTTCTTTCTTAATTTTTAGTAAGTTCCAGGTGTATAAAGTGGCCTCGCTGATTAAATAGAGTGTGAGAGTGTGGTCTCTTGAACTGTATATTACTCTATTTATTTTTGTACAGCTAACAAATTATTAGTTTTTGTTTAATTACTGTAGTATCTGCAGTTATCCGATTCACAAAAAAATATAATAATCCCGAAAATTTTTCGGGATTATTATTTTTTTTTCTGAATCGGATAACTGCAGATACTACAGTTTTGCAATTGCTTGTAGATAATTGAGAAATCCGTTCGACGTTATAACGGAACAAAAACAAGATGCCTGAGGTCTGAGCGTCCATTCGCGAAACTTAGCCGTCAATCTCGCCTTTGGAAAAGCGTAATATCGCTATACTTCTATACATCTTGTGAATTACTTTGTACAAATTTGGTTTGGAAGCGCTCAGTGGGTCCATCATTGCATTAGCCACCAGTCGCTACGATTACGATGCCATTCGCACCAATACCACTGCAAAGACATTCGAAAGAGTCGGTTTGTTGGTCGCTCTCAACCAGGCGCTGAAGTGTGTCGGATCCATTCTGATTGCTCCGCTAATACAACGGTTTCCCCCGAAAACCGTCCTCACCGCCGCCGTATTCGTTTTTTGGACTTTTTACAGCAATTTTGTTAATTGTTAACGCAGCAACAGGTGGGTACATTAAGCCGGCAGACTGGGAGGAAAAGCACAAGAAAGGGGATTATTCGTATTAAGGAACATATTATACGGATGGTATTATCCCGATTTACTGCGTAACCGGCATCGCGTACGGCATGGTGGAGTTAATTCGGCGCGTCGTTCTCAAAGACATATTGTCGGTGGGGATGTGAAGGAGCTGATCCGGATGGATTCACTACCTAGTCCATATTCGCTACGAAGTTAGCGGCACATTGGGCGCATTTGCCACCGCGCTGGCATTAATTCCAGCTCTGGGGAACAACATGTCCTTCATTATCACACCACTTTTGTACACCGCTGCAGCAATCACCTGGTGGTTTATTTCCGATTTAGGATTCCAGAAGAAAAAACTGGGCAAGCTCGAACAACAAGCCAGCTATATTAAAGCCATCGTAGGGGGATTTTATCTGTTTGCTGCGTCCATATGGACGAGCAAAAATAATATTCACCAGCTGGAAATTTATATGGCTGCTTAACAGTTATGCGGTTGCTTTGTACGGTCACCGGTCTTTGTAGAATGCTTTAGCACCTGTCATATTGCCAAACGATATTTAGGAGAGTCGGCATGGTCGCAAGTTGTGGTCAGCGGGTCCGGTATCTCCACCGGGCGCGGTCATGGCGTTCCCGTACTCAACGCACATAATAATACACAAGTATGCCATATTTTTAACATTGTGGTGGCTTAATTGGACAAAGTTTACGCGGCCTACAGCCATGGTCTGTGTATAATAGTCCGTATTCTGGTTCGAAATCCCTAAAATCCAAGCGTGCTGGGTTGCTACGCGGTGTATTGGGTCTTTAGTATACGCTCTGTATACTGATACACTGTCGGTTCGAACAAGAATACGGACTTCAGTATACAGAGCGTATACTAAAGACCCCATACACCGCGTAGCAACCCAGCACGCTTGGATTTTAGGGATTTCGAACCAGAATGCGGACTATTATACACAGACCATGCTACAGCTGAACAAAGTATTGTAATCCGACACGCGCACGAGCTCACCAGAGTAAGTATTTTTATTGACAATTAATCACCAGTCAAATCACTGGGAACACGTCGAGAACAACAAACCAAAATCCGAAACCAAAGCATCTCAAAACAGTGGGTTAAGAATAAGCACAAGCCAGTCACATTGAAAATTTTGTTAACAAAACAAGATTCATTTCTCTTCAAGTTGTCCGTAACATCGAAGTTCCAAGATCGGACACCGCAATGCCCCGTTGAATTTCAACTGATAGACGCTAGCGTATTCAGTTAGTAATTGCTATTCAATGCTTTCTGCTTCATTAATCCCTGCAGTAGAGAAACAAAACACATCATCAGCTATGTAACGACTAACGATGCCGTGGAAGAATGCGAACCTGCTATCAATAAGACAATTACGAATGGCAAAAACACTTACTGGCAATATAAGGTGGAACTACCCATTTTGCAATGACCGGACCATTTTTAACACCCGTCGCAACAATATCGAAATTACGGTTGGATCCATAGTCGTTAATTGTGGTCTCAAAATATTCCACTTGATCCAGTCTAATAAAGCCACTATTTTCCCGACCTTCTTTGCAAACTGAAACTTTCAGTACGCCTTTCTTGAGCTCCACCGGTCTTGCGAAAGTTCCTCCGGATCCAAGTACAAATTTGATTTTCTGCTTTTTATAGTCTGTCAGACATGAGCAGCATCCGCAAAGCAGTCGGCGCGCTCCAGCCGGCAAGCAGTCGCAGCAAAACAATCTGCGCACTCTTGCCGGCATGCAGTTGCAGCAATGGCAAAACAATTTACGGACTCTCGCTAGGCGTGGTTTTCCAAATTCTCCCTCAATCTCCACGAGAACACGATTAGTATGCCCGTTGAAGATGCTTAGTGGAATCCGGGGTGACCAGATGTATATCAAAAATACACGGATAATGGAACTAAGAACGATGCCAGATAACAGAACTCCCATGTTAGCCAAGTTCCTGGTTTCTGCATCCCTGGCGGTGGAATTGATGGAATTAAAAAGCTCAGTCACCACAATGGCGGAATATGAACCCAAAAATGCCAAGTGTATCATCTGGATTTGTTCAAAAATGGGCATATCGAACGCATGTGTTGGGTGAACTGCAGTCATTAAGATGTCAGTAAGTCTATCCAACAGGAAAATAAATACGAAAAAAGTAATAATTCGTTTCCAAATAATTAAACGTCTCAGATAATCCAATCGCAGCGCCTGGCGTTCTTCTTTGTGCTGACGCAAAGGTGGCTGGTTGAAGGAAGTCCGCGCACTGTGGAAACTGGCTTGCAAAGTATTCTCATCACGATCCAATGCTGCTTCTCGTCGCGCTTGCTTCTCCAGGCTTTTCACGCGGTCCGCGACAAAAAACGGTCTAAAAGCAAAAAAATGGTAACTTAAGAATATGGTAAATTCCGTGCGGAACAACATTACCGCCCATGATCAGGACTTTCCGTGGCAGACAGAACAGGAGACAAAAGCCACTCGTGCAACTGCTGCAAGCTCCCTTCTGCGCCGCGCATCGGGGTCCCGTGGGCGACCCTCTCGAAGGGTTGCTGATCCTGTACGGTCAGTACGTTGTGCTGAATAGTGGTGCTGGTCACCGATGACATACGCTGCAGACCATTGCTGCGCATGCGGTTGAGCGTGGCCAGATCAAAATTTCCAACAATGTGGTACTCTTTCCCGCGTTTAACGTACACCTCCTCAACAGCCGGCGCACTAGGCTGCGGATGAGGATCCGACGGAAGAGCGCGGGTGGATAGCTGGTTAGCTGCAACAGTAAGGCCTTTAGATTGCTGTCTTATTTCAGGGGCAATAAACAAGGAATAAAACAAATAAAAAAGAATAAAAAATGACAAGGAATAAAAAAATAACAATAACAGCACAACAATAATAATAAATAAGCACATTTTCACAATATGTAGCACTGTGCACTGTAGCTCCCTCGATTTATACCCTTGCAATATGCATCTTGTAGATCTAACGCGCCAAATGGCTGACTGACAAGATAACGGACAACCGCAATCACAAACTCGGGTCCCTGGCGCTCGTTTTACTGCACAATCGAAAGTAACTGCGGAAGAAACAGTGAGAATTTACCTCGATTTCCATAGTTCGTCTGTGCAAAAGCGTCCGTATAGTGCGCCGTATGCGGTTCTCCGATCAGCGATGTCTGCACGCAAGTGGTGGCGACCGCGGTGCGACGGCGATAATCCGTTGTGTCGGGAATTTCGCGGAACGGTGCTGCCACTGGGAACCGGAACGGATTACTAGCGTGGTTCGGCATTCTGTCGTCCACGTCCACATTTCTCGAATGTGGCTGCAACGCATGACTTCCCCATCCACCGCCAGCCACTTGGCCACCGAGATCCGCCGTGGGAGGCGGGCTGAAGAAGATTTCGTTCTGGAAAACGGTGGAACGAGTGCTTTTGCTGCCGCTAATCATTTTCGGATTTTCCAGCAAAAGTCGCAAAACTGCAAGACAATTATTAAGAAAACTGAAGTACCTCGGAGTCTGCCGGAGGAGCAGTTGCTTCGGTGCCAGAACGATGCACTGAACCGAATCGCCGTCGTGGCCGCGGTTCGCGAGGATTCATTATTGCTGATGGTGCGAAAATTCACGCAATGGGCTGTATTTCACTCTTCCAGGATCTCACGCACAATGGACCAGCAACAGAATTTCCACCAATCTCAGTGCATAAGGATTTAAAAATTCCTAACTGCAACGTCACCGAGACAAACAAATACTAACTAAAAGTCTAAAACCATTCAGGCACAACGCATTTTTCGTAAACAACAAGCTCTAAAAAATAAAACAAAGCTGCGTAAAAGAAAGCAGCTGCAACGAGATCGAACTCGTTGGTGCAGGCATTCACTTCGACTTGGAACAGTTCAGATGGATCCTAGCGAAGAAATATTTCTACGGCCTGGCACCTGGTAGCCGTTTCAATGGGTTGCCGCTTGTATAAAACCGACCGCCATCGGCCGTTGTAAGGACATATATTGAAGACCCGCCCATGTGACGGCATGCGTCACTTTGTACGCACTACGAATTTTTTGTTTGTAAAACGATTGGCGACCCCTGGGTTCAACATTCTGTTATCATTGTGTTTATTTTTGCTCTGTTATATTGCTACGTTTATATAGATATATTTAAATATAAAAATGATTGGAATTGTGAAGAAACTTTCCAAAGGGCTGAAATAGTTATATTAAATTTTTGTAATAGAATAACCTTGCGGCGCAGATGGCCGTAAATGTCACGCTATTTTTGTACTTTGTCCTACACCGAAACTCGACCAACCAGCGTGCACTGTGCACTTGCAGCATCTCACATTGCAGTGCAGTACGGTAATCGATCGATTTTTCATTTTTCCCCGTAAAATTTCTTGGCTTCCACTTTCCGTAACACAACATAAATAAACCAGCAACAAACTCTTCTCCATTGTTCCCTACTGGTTACTGTTTTACTGTAGAATCGTGCAACGATTCATGGAAGTATTTGCATGCCTGTACAGATAGCCGTACTTGATACCTCCCAACTTCCCGTTTCTCGCTCCCCTTGGCCAGCAAGTGCCAAGTATTTACTATATCATGGAAGAGATTTATCTTTTTATGACAGCCTGACAAGTGACGGGTAAGTACTGTAACGTTCTCTTCCATTAACGCGTTTTGGAATCAGTTAAGAACTTAAGATTCAAGCAGACACTGACAAGTTTGAATAAACCGTAATTTGATGATTTAATTTCGATTATGGTTGCACATGGAACTGGATTGTTGTTCTGTTTAGATTTTAGAAGACGAATTGCCTTAAACTGGGAGCACTGCCACTGGAGATAACTCAAATAAGTTCTCAACAACCTCCATAAACATGGATTATTTCGACGACGTTCTAGATGGTAAGTCCATAACAGAATATCTATATATTCCCTTGGTGTAATAATGTCCGGGGACAGCTGATGCACAACTGACAACGTGCTGACAATTTTGGTAATTGTCTTTCTTTAAAAACCTATTTTATGATAACCGTAGATGAAATCATCCTTAGGGCTCACGAAACTGTAAATTAAGTTTTTGTAGTTTTTTAAAATCTAGATTATGAATTATGTTGCTAACCGGGCTGGTGTTGTTTTCAGAAATGATGCAGATATTTAATGACGAGGGCGCTCCGGACTTCGGGGATAGCGTGCCCGATTGCACGGGCGTGGATTTGGATCTCTTCAATGTCGACAGCACCAACGCGATTAACCTGCACACGGATCCGATTCTGGGCAGTTTCAATCCTTCCAGCACAATCATCAGCCCTCACCAACGGGACGGATTTTGGGATCCCCCTGGTCCAGCAAGCGCGCGGCCTGGTTATCCCTACCAGGTGTATCCGCAGACGGCGCCAACATTTCCCGTGTCCGTATCGCAGTCGTACGTGCCATCTGCCGCTTCCAGTGTGTACAGTGTGACAGCCCCGATCCCCGTGACTGTATTTGGCCCTAATTCACCGGGCTCAAGCTCCACGAGCTCCGACTCAGCAGATCTTTTGCCCAAATTACTGGCGCAGCCAACACAAGTTAGCTTGAAGACGGCCAATCGGATCTCTGTTCCCATTTCGGCGATTTCACAAAAGCCAGGACAGACGGTGAGTTTTGTTACATATTATATGTTTTAGAATGCGTGTTATTATCTCTAGCTTGGCGAACAGGGCTTCAAATATTTCCCAGTTTTATCTTTCTGGATTTCACATTTTAATGTATGCATTGAAGCGGTAGCAGCATGCATTCCTGAAGCGAACGATAATGATAAGAAATAATTGTCTGTAGTTGGTTTTACAACAACCACATTCGGGTCAAAATTCTGGCCTTCCCATTGTTACCATCACTACTCCCATACAGCCAGCCACTACGACACCCGTATCTCTGACTACGCTTACATCTGAAGGACTATCGACATCGGAAAAGTTGCCAATCAGAAGGTGTTTTAATTGGCAATTTGGCAGATATATCATTTGTCTGAAATATTTTCCTGGAGTTGAAAGAATATCTTTTTTTAGATTGACATCGCAAAATGTGAAAGCAGTGGTACCCACACGAGTTGAAAAGCGGGTATCGCACAACGAAATTGAACGCAAATATCGGATAAGCATCAACGATGGAATCGCTGAGCTGCGTCAGCTACTGTCTCGCCCGGATGAAATAAAGGTACGAGTAAGTACTGCAGTTGTGCATTCAGTAGCAGTACTCTAGGAATTTATCTACAGTATTAATAATGTGATCGGTACAGCGTAATTATTCTAGTGTATGGAGATCGCTGAAACACAATAATCTGTTTTCTTTACAAAAATTTGTGTTTTTCTATGTTTAATCTGCGCAGGCGTATTGTCTGTCATGTGTACTGGGTGCTGCCGAAATAAAAGTACGAGTAAAAAAACAGTCTTTACTGCATGATAATTTCCGTTAATATTGTAGAACTGTGTCAGAGCTGTACAGTATTTGTGAACATCAATTTAATTTTTTTTGCAGCCGTTAAATAAATCCGCTGTTCTACGGACGGCTTCTGATCGCATTCGAAGTAAACAAAAAGAAGTTCAGAAGCTGAAAGAGATTATGCAGAAATTGCGGGATGAAAATCTTATACTGCGCGCAAAGTTGCAGGATAAAGGTACTCGTAGTAGTTTTTCCCATGTATTGAGTTACTGTAATAGTAGTGTTGCTGAGCCAGGGGAAATCTGGGGAATTGCGCTCTAATGCCATTTCCGCAGCATTATTCCATTTGTTGACGTGAATAAAGTTAATTTACTTTCAACTCCCTTAATGAATTTTCGAAATTTTGGTTATAGGTATATTGTAGCATATTTTTCATGGTCACAAATTTTGTATACTTACGACTATTTGAACTTCTAGGAGAAAATTTGCCACCGATGTTTGATTATCACCTTGAGGACCCAGCCTCTCCAAATTTCCTTCCCTATTCGGATTACAGTAGTAGCATAAGCGGTTCGGAACCTGCGAGCCCGCAGACGTCTACTTCCATTGATGCAACATCTGGCGAGGTAAAAACGTGTGGACCTTTTTTTGTAAATTTTGGCATTTTGGTTGAGTATGTATTGAACTTCCAGGAGTCTGAGAAAGCAAAACCTGCAAATGGTAAACGCAAAGCGCCACGTGCGAAGACAGCGAAAACCGGAATTCATGATCGCTCTAGAATGCTTTTGTGCATCATGATGTTTTCCGTATTCTTCTTTAATCCAATGCAGTATTTATTTGGAAGCTCTGGAATTTTTGCCTCACCGGCTGAACGTATTATGGAGACGGAAACGTTATCCGCTGGATCACTTGGTAGACTACCCTACAGTTTGTAGTTTGTGTGACACCTTGACATTTGTGTCTCTGTAGATGGAAGAGATACACCGATTGGGCATTCTACATGGGTTGTTTGGTTATTGAACATCGGTATCGTGTTGGGCATACTGATACGACTGTACGTCTACGGCGAGCCAGTGTTGAAGCCGAAGACTGAAGCGGCTGTTCGGTTTTGGAGTTACTCTAAACAGGCGGATCGCGATATTGCCAAGGTATGGAGTTCTTTGATACGTAGCTCAAAAACTTCTGTAACTGCTGATTTACTTTTATATATTTGGGAAAATGGTCGATAGGGTATTTGTATTTGTTAGCATATTGATGATTTGATTGATTACCTATACATCTTTGTTCACAGGGCGATCGTGAAAGTGCCGTGCAGAATATATCCACTGCATTTGAGGCGTGTGGTCGACCGCTGCCCACTGATCACTTGGATATATTCGCGAGCCTGTGTTGGCAGTCATTTCGGCATATGCTGCATCATTTGGTGATTGGAAATTGGCTGGAGGAGACCGTAGGATTCTCTTGGAAAGTGGACAAGCCTCATAGGCTGGAGATTGTTCAAAAATCTGCTCGCGATGCCGCTCTTTTATATCACAAATTACATCGAATTTATGTCACTGGATGTAGCAAATCGGAGCGGTTTTTGGGAGGAATGAATCTGGCACTGAGCGCGGTTAACTTGGCCGAAGCAGCTGGAGAAGCCATGCCGGCTGAAATGTTTGTGGAGATGTACGCGGCTATTGCTCTGGAAATGAAGCGCTCTCTTCCAAGCCCGTTGTGGCATTTTCTGGTGAGGTTTTTGGCTGTTATACTAACGCAGGTTAAATATTTTTAGATTCGTTAGTGAAGTTATGCACATGACTTTTCAACTTCCTATAATCATATTCCGATGGAAAGACTTTATTAAGTTCTGTTGTAGTGTTATACGCTTAATCGTGCTCGCCGAGTGTGCTTCAAAACGTATGGTGACATTCCCGAGAAATGGCGTTGGTTATTCCATCCAATGACTCTTAGATTTCTCCGCACTTATAATCCCGAATTTAATGACTGGAACAGCAAACTGACAACCCTTCAGTGTGTTGGTGCGTACTTACATACTTATTGTTTTGTTTAGTGCGTTGCATTATTGCTCAATATGGGAGAAATTAAAAGCATTACTTCCCTTTAAGATGATCCCGTGGCGTACTTCGCTCGAGCATTTCGAGAGGAAATTTTGCGCTCGCTTATGGATGATTATGGAAGAGTGGTGTCGGGGCAAAATTTGAATAAGTAAGTTGTAAACGTAATAGTAATGCTTGTCGAATTTAATCCTTATCACGGTTTGTTTATGACATTTTTCGTTCGTCACATCTTTGATGCCATGACACTATGGGCACTGCTTAAACAGAGACGATCTGGTGGACGACTTCTTAGGAAGAGTAGATTTGGCTATCGAATCATCGGCTTATGGAGAGGTTGACTGGAGTCCTCTTGACAATCGCGGAGGTGCACATTATTTTATCAGATTTCACATTATTTCATTTTACATTTGCTCGTACAACTGATCATTAAGTACCGTACTGCACTGTCGCTTTGAAGTGGACAGATAAGATAGTGGCAGATACACCGTTTAATCTACTGGACGTTAGAAGCGCAGCGTCCAGTTGTGGACTACTTCTTGTCCACTCTACGTATTGAAGTACTAATTGTACAGAGTAGTAATTGTACAAAGCAAGATTGAAAAAATCGAATAATTTGTTTTTCTTGGATTCGTGCCTGTTTCAAGATTTCAGACTTGTGAATCTGTTTTTCATTTTATATGAATGAGACGCTTTTAGCGCTGTACAGTAGGCATACTAACGCATTTTATTACCTTCAGGTCTTCTCCGAGACCAGCGCGCTCAATGGTGGGCTGCACTGCTGGGCACATCTGTAGCATCTGGTGCCAATCAACACTATCGTATCCAGCTGAAAAAGTATTCGGAGATACTGTCGACGCCTCTTGTTTGTTTATCGGGAGAACCGTAAGAATAAGTGCCACATTCTCACTAGCATCGCCGTTACCAATGCGTGGCATATGTGCAGAAGCGATTTGTATGATGTTTTTTGTAGAACGCCTCCAGCTGTATATGCATGCTACAAAGCGACCATCTCAGGAACAGAGAAAGGATGTACCAATTCGCCTCCTGTTGCGTATGCCAACAGATTACTAACAGCGGCTCTATTGGTGGCTGTCAAGGAAAATGACCGCTTTGCCATGGTATGTGCAGCTATGCGAACGCTTTAAAATGCTACTGTCAAGCGCATTTGAAAATCATTTAGATGCCTGGCATGATTTTTAGTACTGCTTTATTTTATTGACATTCTCGGGACGTTGGTGCATTGTAGTTGCACTGCATGGATATGGTGCAATGCAGTGCTTCGGCCGTGCAACCAACGGGACGAGTTTAACTTTCTAAACGAAACCATTACTTGATTACATATGACCCGCTACGTTTTGTTTTTTTTTCAATGAATTCGACAGCGATTGTCCCGGTATACAATAAGCCGCCTGCATGACGCATGCATCGATGTCCTGATAACCAATGCGTTCAGGTCCTGATAACCATCGTTTAATTCTGTCTTCGCTATTTCAGACTGGATTGTGCATTGGTTTACGATGGCTCCTTTCTTATTTGCACGAAAGCGCCAGTATTCAGTGTGTACCTGTGAAAGCCGTGGAGTTATTTCTCTGTGAACGCCTCACGACCGATCTTCTGCGCCTAGAGAAGTTGACTGGTTGCCATTTCTCTAAAGTGAGTGCATCGGTTTGCGGATTAATGTGTAAAGTCAGATTAATCAGTTTGCCTATACGGACTTGGTTGCAGAATAACAATTATATCTCCTGCAAGATTGTACAGGCCGTTCAGCGACCCGGTCAGCTTTAGAACCCGCAAAGTGTTCAACTCAGATTTACGGATGCAGTTACTGTATTCTTTGGCAGACAAGCGTTGATTCTTGAAATTCTTATTGTTGTTACTTGTTTACAATTGAACACTATGTAATATATAACAGCGTAAAGCAAAACTTGAGTACTAAGTAATTTTATTGTCTTGTGTCAGTTTCGTATGTGATACGCATGTTTTGCCGGTGCTTCACGTTTTACTGTTTCGAACTAGCTTGCTTTATTTGAAACTTTTTATTTTTACTATGGTTTCAAGATTTAGTAGAGATGTTTCAATAATTAAACGATGAACCATATGAGTTGTCCGGGAGAAACGGAATCGCACTTATGCGATTAGGGTGACCTTAGCTTTCAGAAACACATTCGTGACAATTCCCCCGTAGAGGAATTGAATACGTAGGCGGTGGTTATATCATTATTACATAATAAAAATATGCAGTGAAAAGTTTGAAAAAAAAGCTAAATTTTACCGTCCCACCGAATTTCTTTTGCACGACTGCAGTATTTTACAAAGGAAGCCTAAATAGATCGAAAAAGTGCACCCATACCACCGGACCATCGCTTCCAGTGTTCCCTTTCATTATGGCTACACCGGTGACATGGGTGCAGTTTCGATCTATTTGGGCTTCTTTTGTAAAACACTGCAGTCGTTCAAAAGAAATTCGGTGTGGATACTGGATAGTGGATACTGAAGAGGAAAATACACATTTCACTGATGCCAGTTAAATCGCAACCATGCGTTCATCTGCGTACGAGTTGTCTAGTTCCAACGTGGATTTTCTAGGGTAGAATTTCGGAAATGTATAGCAATACGTTATTGATGTCTAACAATACGTTATTTTGACATGCACTGTTCATCCTGGACAGTGGACACAGCATTCTTGTCCTGGGAAACCAGCAATTAAGTGTTCCAGTTCAATAATTTTTTTCTGAGCGAAGATAGTATGGAGAGTGAGTTGAGTTCTCCGCTAATACTGTCGCAGAACAATAAGAATGCAAGCCTGCTGCCCTACGTGTATGATTGTTGTTGGAATACCCACCGTCTAGCTTTGGGATACATGTACTGATGTACAGCATCTCTTCACTACTCAAATGGGAATCCGACAGAGAATCGGCAACTGAACAGACAGGATTGAGGCTAACCTTTAGTGTCCTTTACTTTCCATCTTTTCCCCGTTAGAGGATAGACAGACGCAAAAGCTCAGAACAGACAGAATCATTCTGACCTTTCACTTAGAGAGTTCTGACCTTTCAGTTACACGCTGGATCCTATACTAATATAATATATAGACAGACTACGTCTGCCATATGTTATATTAGGCTTGCCCGTTGCAACCGTGCAGCGCCTACGTAATACGAGTAGCTAGAGTAGTCATCAAATGCAGGTTTAAAGAAGATATGCATTACATTTATAGTGTTTTGTACAACTGAAACATGATCGTTTTGCTTAACTCATCAACAGAAGCGGCAAGAAACCAAATCAAAACAACCACGATCTCATCAGACACTTGTAAACGAAAACATCGCCAAAATACGAATGTTTACCAACTTCAGCTCAGGTAAAAACGATAAAAACATGTCAGAATTAATATCTCTATCGACGGAATCACTAACTTTAAAGGCAAAAGACGACTGCGCTTGCATTCGATTTATACGGGTATCGGCGAATAAAAGCAGCCAAAGCACATTGAAACATGCACACTTCACATACTCAAATAAAACCCAACACAGTTACTTGGTTTTCGCGGTTTTGCTACCACCCCAAGGTCTTGGTTTTTCCGCATTGTGTTGCGAAAACGCAATGCTCTGCAAAAAAAGGAGCAAAAGATTAGGAGCAAAAGATTGGGATACAAAGCGGGACTTACAAACTAAGCCATGCATTACGACACGAGAAATCACAAGGTACATAACTTACATGTCGATCAAAATAGTCCATGGCAAGTCCTGCTTTCACACTATATCCATCTTCTTTTAGCTTCTTCAAAAATGGCCGCAAATACACAACTTGATACTGTAAAATCTGCTCGTACAGATTGGTGTGTGTCCTGATGTAATCGTCTAAAACTGCGTGAACGTCATCGACAGTAGTAACTTTAACCGGCTTCGATGAAGATTTTGACGGTGATTCTGGGACACTGTAAAAGATACAACATATGTAATCCCTTGCTACATCAATACAAAATCAAAGCAACAGTTACCGTGAATAATTAGCAAAATCAGAATCAACCACGAATTAGTTCTTAATTATCATAGTAATATATATCAGCCGATACATTTAGGACATCTTAAAAAAATCTTTCCAGCAATAAATTCTAAGCTAACTGCAAAACAGAATCTATCAGAGAGAACAAATGGGTGCACATTAAGTTGGTTACCTCTCGGTTTCTTCATCTACAGTATCTTCATCATCTGAAGAAACCAACTGTACAATGCGATTTTTAGACTTCCTTTGGCGTGCAGCAACGGTTTTGCGTGGTTTGGAATCTTTTCTAGTTTTGGACGCTTTAGTAACAACAACGCTTTTTCCACTAGACGAGGTAGAATCGTCCTTTCCATTTTCGTCCGCATTTTTACGTTTGCGTTGCTTCTTGGACTTTCCTCTTGACTCATCCACAGCACTCAGAAAAGCAACAGCTTTGGCGCGCTCTAAAGGTTTGATTCCGAATTTGGAAAGTTTTTGGTTTAACTGCTTATCCGAAAGGCTTGCGAATCGTACTTCTTCATCGCCGTTAGGGATTAATAAAGCCGAGCTATCGTCAGAAACATTTTCAAACGGCCAATTTCGGCAAACCATTACCGCATTTTCTGGGATAATTGCATTTATTGGCATACATTACTTGTTATGCTCAACAGCTGGACTGCCAGGAATATCTTCCAGTTGACCCACGTCATCGTCCGACGAACACAGGATCAGTGTACGGTTGTCCTCATCATCACTCTCTTCGCTTTCGGCCAATCTCTCGCCAACAGTTATTGTCGGTGCAATGGGTGCCTGGTGTAACGAAGCAGAATCCTGAAAACTAAAATTTAACACACAAGAATAAGTATTACAGGAAATACCCTCTTACTTTTGAACAATTTATTTCTAACTGTAGTTCCACTTTTGTTTAATCACTGGCGTAACAGTAACCGAGATATAAATATTTTTTTACTGATAAAATACAATGATTAATAGTGACCTTGCATTAACACGGATTAACTACACATTCCATAATTATTCGCTAATAAGTGTAATTGTGTAAGCATCAATAAAAGCAATTTATGCCTGCCACTATTATTTCTTTGAATTCCATCACCTACAAGCTGTGAAACAGATAATCTACTGTAGTAGAACACGGTGTGCAGCACCGACTGTACTCACCTACAAAATATGTAGATGTGTAAAGTTCTATATAAGACGATTGCTGTTTTCAAGATACAACCGTACGAGTACCATAATTTAATTTTCTACACGGAGGTACGTAAGTCAGCGTTACAGTCACCTTGAGGACGTTTGTTCCACAATGCTTTCTCCAATTATCCCTGCCTGTGCATTATGGCAAGGCATTTTTTCATCGTTGAGATCAGGGTTGTGGTGTATCAAGTTCTGCACAAGAACGATCAAATTTACCACAGAAATCAAAAACAATTCGTAGGTCATAATGAATTCGAGCAGAGCTGACCACAATAGTTTTCTGTGAGAAATCCAAAGGTAGCCGGAAGCCGGGAATCTGCGATAAATGTTTCATGCGAATCTCTTCTTCCGGCTTCTTAGGAGAAATGGGAGGCACCAGAGAAGCAACATAAAACCGGTCCGTGTCTTGTTTCTCCTTATTTCTTGAAAGATTCCACAAACGACGATTACCAGTATAGATACCATCGTTATACGGGTCAGGGTCGGTCGCAATTTTGCTATCGGGTAAAACACCAGACTGCTCTATGGCTACTTCACCGCCACCTTGAGCCACAACAGCCGCCACCTTATCGCCGATTATCTTATCCGATTCACTGGAATCTCTCTCCAGAAGCAGCGGCGCGGGTTGAGAAAACTTGATTCTACTGCGAGCGATGTTTTTTTTCGGTCGCCGGGTAGGTGGCTCTTGTGGCACCAACGACGCGGAAAGAGCCAAAGCCACTTGTGTTTCTTCATCAATTTTCCTGCCAAAAAATTTCTAGAACTTAGTTTATCAAAATGTAAGCACCATCGAAAACTGCTGCCATAGTATCGTAATTAGTAATTACGAGTGTAATTTGGATTGTAGGTTGGAGCAGGTTGTTACTGAATTAACGCTTATTTTGCACCGAAACATACTGCAGCTTTTTCAGCGTAATTCGGGTTTGTTTTGGAGGGCCTCGTGGCACTTTCGGTGCAACAACGGATTTAATTTCCGCTGCGGAGAAAAGGGACGGCGTCGACGGTGTATAATTTATTAGTGAAGAAGTCGCGGTGGACGTAGTGGCAATTATTTCCACACCACAGGTTTGCAGATGAGCGTCCAATTCCCGTGCCGGAAGAGTGACTTCTTCGCAGCAAGGACAGATGTGAAGCTCCGTAAGAGCACTGGATAAACTAGGTTTAGCTGACGGGAGCTCTGTACAGTTTTCGGTTACAGTGGTTTTTGTTGAGGAAATGGAAGCAGAAGACTTCACCGGTTGCGTCATGCACCTAAAGGACAGACAGTCATTCTTTGTTAAGGACAACGAAAAATATATACGAAGCTGAATTGTGTGTAGTGTACACCGTACAGTGTGTGAGAAGTCTCGGTAGCAGAGCTAAGCAATTGCGACAGCAGTTGTGTGCATGTTTACTTATACGAAAGAATTTCAGTAATTTTGCATTCCGCGACTTTGACTTATTTTTTACATACGCAAAATCTTGTCTTTTTTGCCCTTTTATTGCACATTATGATTAACACCTGAAACGTGATTAAATAAAAACAGCAGTCAGTTACCTTCGCAGATGATCACCATACTCTTTAACACTCATGCCAGCCAACGAACAGAGACAAAAGGGACACGCATCCACACTGTCACTACTTTCACGCGTTTCTTGAGATGGGGACGCCAGCCGCACCGGGCGTCCCTTTCCCCGCTGGGGCGGCTTCACAGACTGCTCGTCCATTTCCGCCCGATACACGCATCACCCCAACAGCAATCACTTGGAAGCAGCGGGGGCAGGTATCTCGTCGCCTAGCGGATAAGTCGTCAGCGGCGCAATTTGGGGGATCTTTTTGCGGGGCGCGACGCTCTGGCTATCCAGCGGAAATTTGCCTTCCTCTTCCAGCTGCTCCAGAGACTTCAGGGCGGCTATCTTGGGGTGAATCACGAGGTCCAGTTCCGTTATCTTGTAGTTGAGCCCAATAATATCAAAGTTCTCAAATCTTCTCTGAACTCGGTTCATATAATCGGGATCCCGCGACTTGTAATACCTATCAACAAGACATAATTTCCTCAACATCCGCAGTGGCATATACCGCGTGTCAAGAGACACGTTGCGAGATATTTACCAAAATGCGACTCCGCAAACTACAGTCCACACCACGGCCAGAGCACCAGCCTTCACTGTGAAGCCATAAAGTGCGGTTCCCCGACTGGTTTTCAGCTTTTGCGCTCGTACACGATAGGGGTCGACGGGCATCTCATTTACGAGATCTTGAAATAGGTCTAAATCTCAAACGATCAAACAGCAAGTATACTTTCCACTGAGTGATTGCAGGCAGTTACTTATATAGCGACTCGCAACAGTATAAAAAGCATAAATAAAAGTTTGAAAAAATGACTTTTGGCGTTCTCCTTTTCGTTCAAGCAGGCTGCAAATCAGCAAAGTGAGCAAACGCGCTCGAACTTGTAGGAGCAGCAGAATCCAGATGTGAGGAGGGTTTAATGTACGTGCCACCTCAGGCGGTCACAACGCTTGTAAATCACAGGACATAAGTACTGTAGTGTTATGATTTATTGATGTTATCTGAAGTTCTGAACTGATTTAGTTTCTCTCCAAATATGTAATTACAAATATTTTGTATGGAAGATCTCGAATTTGGTACTCCGACTCGGTGCGAAACTTGCAGTTTTTGATTGTTTCTGAGTGCATAATGGATGCTTCTGGCCTCTTATTCCTTATTTTAGATCCCACTTTGGTCGTGCGGGAAGAGGATGATCCACTACGGAGTATTCTGTATTACTATCCTCCGACGCCGACGGTAAGACGGTTGATCCGCATTTGTTAAGCGATTAGCATTGTTCATTGTTTTGATTACTCAACTTTCTTTACTAGTCAGAGCCAGAGATACTAGCTTGTGCTCGGTTTGATGAACTAACTGCACATGTGTAACATTTTTAATTATTCTGGAAATCGTCTTCTGTACCTCGTAGACACCGGTGGATGCGCAGTGCGCGTGGAGCAGTCAGCTGATTGGTGTGTTTACGTTTTGGAAACAGTCGTTGAAATCCCAGTTGCGTTACGTGCGCATTGATGGTTATACGCTGGCATTCGAGGAATACAGTAGTCGTTTCCTCTTTATTTTGGGTTGGAAAATGGATGACGCAATGGCGCAGTCGGTTATCGTGACTGCGCTGGAAGAACACCTTCGATTTTTGGTTCGGGCATTCTGTTTTTACGTTGAGATGCCTCGTTCACTTGCCGAAAACGAAGTGAACGTTTACAGTATCGTTCTGGAAAGCATTTTAAAAATCTGTAGTCTCCGCTGCAGCGATCTTTCTCTGTTCCGGGATTTTTCCGCAGTGTTTAAGGTAAGCACTATGCAGTTCAAATACTCGTATAAGTTAGTCCATTATTGGCTCTCGTAATACGGATAATAGTTAGTGACTGTTGACTCTGATAAAATATTAAATTGGCACAGTAGTTTTGATGCAACATTTTAAGTTGTAGTTATAACTGGCCGCATGATACCTCATGGCTAACTAGGTTTTCGTCTGATTTTTTGAAAGGATGTAGCAGATTATCTGATATTACTTTAATGTATTATAATATAATAGCATATCAGATTATGGCTAGTATACGTGGAGACATAGCATTTTGTGTTAATGCCGGTTTCTCCGTCGTTGCTTTCGGTGCTGCTGGAAAGGTACATTTTTTTCTGTTGTAGGAAGCTTCACATATTAAAATGACGGGCCAATTGTGCCTCAACAAATGCCACTCCGGACAAGGCCTGCACTCGGCAAAAATTCTGGCAGCGCTTTTAATTTACCGAGCGGATGTAATTGCTAAAGAAATCCCAGAGTTTTTGCCTGGATATAATTTGCTTATGTTGGTGGGAGCATTAATGGATGATTCAGCCTCTCGCCTCCCTGGTTCAGGTTATTTTGAAAATGTTATTTGTTAATCTGTATCAGCTTGATTTCAGAAAGTGTTTGCCTGTTTTTTAGAAGTGCATTTTCTTTTCTCAGATCTTAGCGTGGATGCAAATGGGATTTATCTGCAGTGTAGTGTATTTTCCGTCAACATGCCTGTTGAACAGTATGAAATGTTCGTCCTGGATTATAATCTACGTAGAGCGGTGAGATCCATTAAAAGCCACCAAAATGCCAAAACGGAAGCTCCTTTAAATCATGCGAACAAGTACGATGTTCAACGGGAATTGCGAGATTTAGGAGGAAAATATGGAGGTGACCGAATCCGATTGTCCTTACTCGTGCTCAGGCTGTACGACACGAAACTGGTGTTGCTGGTCGAAGACGCTGAAAATCATAGCCACAATGCATTTGTGACCTACGTGGTAAGATTTCTTTGACCTTTTCTTAGCTTTTGAAATTTGTAAATCACCGTGTGCTCTTGTTGTGCAGTATGCCAAGCGCGTTCTCTAATATAATTTTCATGGTCAGTTGTCCACTTTAATATAATGGATTTATTTTTATTTGTTGATCATTGAGCAATAAGGATAGCAGACGTTGGTTTTCCGCATTGATTTACGGTACTTCGTTTTCTACGCATAGCTGCAGAAAACGTTGCCTTTTCTGGAAATCCTAAATGCCGCTGCAGTTGACTATCTCTTTTCCCAGTCCGAAAGGGTTACGAGAGATATGCGCGCGAAAAACTTGCAGGTTAGCCGTTCTGGTGAGAAAAGCAAATCGAGTTAATGTTCACAAGGTTTTTATTAAAATTTATTTTGGTATAGGACCGAAAAGTATTTACCTTTGATCTGAGCTACCGGCATTTTCTCAGTCTTCCTGACGACGAAGAAGAACTGCTGACTGTATTCGAAGGTTTGATGCGGTTCTTTCAGGAAACTGGGACTGAAGGACGACATCGTTTAAGCTTCACGTAAAATTTGATGGATTATTCGTTTAATTTTCGCAAATTTTCATGAACTGTGCAAGAAAACCAAATTTTGTCGTTTGTAGGAACCACGACTTATACTGTACGGTACATGGAAGCGAAGGCGAGAAATTTGTTCAGTTTGAGTTGGATCGAACACGACGTTAGGATCACACACAGGAGAGTTATGAGAAATCCCGAAGTGCTTTTGAGGTAAATTTTTTATCAGTGAATGAATTTTCCTGCGTAAATTTGCTGATAAAATTTTCGTACGTAAATTTTGTCCTGCATAAGTTGCATATAGACGTGCAACTGGAATAGCATTTCTCTGTATGAATCAGGTTAAAGATTGTTTTAAATTCCGCGATGCATTAGCTACCTCTTTATAGTTTGGCACAAGCCGCCGGCGTTAGCGATGATATGTGGAATTTTATGCTGCCGGTTTCTGGACTAAAATGTTGCCAGTATGTAAGTCACTGTGTTCGGAAAATATGACACATTTTAAGTTTATATCTAAGGAATGTTTGGCACAAATGTTGATTGTCATTAAACATTCGAATCAGAGATATCGTTTCGATATGAATGTGTATTTATTGAAAGAAGTGATTTGCAGATAGGCAGTTGTTTATCACTTAATGGAATTAAATGAAGTTGAAGTGTGAGTTATGTTCCCCGTGGGCCGAAGGCTTTGCTAGAATCATTCTAGGCTTTGCTCGAATCATTCTTTGCTAGAATCATTCATCATTGTACTCAATACTAAAATTTATTTTTGATTTTAGCGAATTATGACTTTTACTTTTGTATAAGTACTACTAAATTCTGGTGAAAAGTAAGGAAGGACAGCATCTTTGGCGTACACGGTACAACAGTGAAAGTTGGTGCGGTTTCCAACGGATTTGACTACAACATGCTTGCTCAGGACACTTGAGACGTTTTCATCACTTCATATTGGTTTTTTGGGAATGTTCAATGATGTATATGCAGTTGGAGAAGATAGCATAAAATCATCCAAAATAATAACTTACGAAAAACGGAAATACATTAACTTTATTTGAATATGCTATTTGTTTCATATAGATCTGCAATTATTGTAGATACGAGGATACAAATACAGATGATACAGATACGAAATAATTGCTCTGTGAAACAAAACAAATGCACTAACCAGACGCTGTTGTTGGTGGCTTGCTGCGTTCTTTTGCGCTTTTTACATTACAAAGAGCCTGTACGGATTAATTACGGATGTGCGTAGTAATTATCGGTAGCGGTGGAATAACATATTTCAATCCGGCATGCGAATTTTTTTGCCAGCAGTCGAATTTGGAAAAGTTAAAACGTGCTGATTTGGTTAGGTCGAACTGAAGACAGAGTGACCAACGAAACAGGTATTTGGTCGTGGGCGGGGCTACGATTAGTGTGCTGCTGACACTGAGCAGTCCGTGTCTGTGTGTGATTTGTGAAACGTCGGTGTGTAGCGAGGAAAGGCATGTATTTACTGAAATAATCACTTGCACGTTGAATTCCATACTGGTAATAAAAGCACATTTCAAAGATGCTAGTTGTTGAAGAACGGTAGTGATGCGACATCGAGATCCAGAATTATATATCAAATGTCGACCATATTTATCTCTCTTTAATCATACTGTCCATCATTCTCACGATCTCAGTGTAACCCGTATGGCATATGGTTATACGAATAATCATGCTGATGCGGATTACGATTATATGGCTTTAACATGGGGGGTTCTCTGTGCACAATCGCTGGATTAAAATTGGAATTTTATGATTGAGAAGAATGCCTGGCGTTTGAACTGATCCATGTGCAATGTCCAGCCAGCAGTTGGACAAATGTCCCGGCGAGCAGGAGCACAGGCAGGACACAATGCCAGCCGGCTGGAGTGTCGGGAGGGATGTCGATGGGAAGCCGTTCTATATCGATCATGTTAATAAGATCACTACTTGGATTGATCCCAGAGAACGGTTAGAGATTGTAGCGTGACTGAGCGATTGTAATTTCTTAAAAAGATATTTTCTTTTAAATTGGACTGTTTTAGTAGTTGTTATACCTTTTACTGGAATTTGTGTTGTTTGTAAGTGCTTGCATAGCTATAATTGGCCTTGGAGCAATGGATACGAGTGCGCACTCCAAGTTTTGATCAGCATAACTAATATTTATAACTAACCATAAGACATCTACAAGAGAGCGATGGCAGCAGCATAATAGGCTACTTTTTAATTATCAGACTGAAATTGAAAAGCTTATTTGTTTTCTTTCAGATGTCGGTTAATCTATGTGTTTGTAATAATAAGCGTTCATATAATTATCGTAAAGACATGATTATAAGATCTTTTATGGAATTTCGTACATTTCGTTTTTGACCGGTATTACGGTATCTTATTTTTTTAATTGCTTTGAGGTCGTTTTTAATTGCAGCAGTCAACATGCGCCATTATGTCTGGTATATTTGGCGCTGGTTTACTTTACAAATTTTGTTTCCGTGATGTGGATTGTAAAAGCATGAGAAATCTTATCTGCTCGTATGTGGCATAATGTATGTGTTAAACACAAGGAAGATAAGAGTCTTTGGCTGAGGAATGCAGTGTTGAGCGAATAATTAGAAAGGAATGCGCTGTCGTCGTCAAGTTTGGGCATCTTTTCAGCCATGTTGCACTCATACGCAACGGAACTGCAGCTCACATTCTTGATTCTACGGCTATGACTTTATTTTTCAAGAGCCTGTTTGTAGCGAGGTGTGCAACACGGCACTGGCCAGAAGAATGCCAGGGTGATAGCGGTTATCAGGGGAATTTTTTTCGGAAGAAATGCGGCTTTGTGCCGATTGTCATATTGAGGGCGTCGGTACGGCATAGACTGCGTAGAGTGCTCGCATTACATATGTGCACATTGTCCTGCGGAAGTGCGTATTAATATGCGGCAGACGGAATCCGTTTATGTCATATTTGTTTAAAAAATTGTCTATGCTAATCGCGCTGTTGCATCACGAGCTGTTTTATTGCTTTGGTCATAGATCCATTGTTGTAAACTCAGTTAATTTGTTGCTGCTGTACGAGTACTGGTAATGTCTTTGCCGTGATCATATAATCTGGAATTGAAAAACAATTTTGGGGTCATGCAGTTTACCGCTCATGCAACAGTTTAAAAAACCTGCTTCGGTTTTATGTATACAAAGTAGTATTATCATGGTTAAATGATCATTTCGAGATTTTAAGCGTTGACTATCTTCAAGCGTTTGCGATTTTAAGTATGTTTGGTCTTTTGCTTGATCTCTCGATTTTTTAAGAAGATACTGATTTTCCAAGTGTTTTTGCTGTGATTAGCAATCTGTAAGCAAATTGTAAAATCTTTGGTTCATGTTGTATTACTACCTGTTTGAGCTATGACTTTGTCGCGGTCGGCATTTTTTAAACATTTTTGAAGCATATTTGGATGACGGTACTTCTGTTTACACGCCCAGATTTTTATTTTTGTTTAGGCTAAAGCGCAGCAAACAAAATGAACTGAAACAATAATGTTGCGGTTACTTTGGTACCGTTTAATTAAATTTTTATTTCTGTACAAAATTGTATAGTTGTACTGAATGCTTTGAATTCATGTGGGATTTTGTCTGAAGGAGGTAAAATATTTGCGCGAATTGTTTACCAGCGCGTTTCTTGCACAAGTACCTGCATACCCGCATTCTTGTCTCACAAGAATGTAGCAAGAAAACTGTTTTTGCAACCCTACTCTTTCTGTACTATCCGGTACGTTCGCTTTAGAAATTATAATTGCATTTCATCGATATGTTTGTAGCTTGACCACTAATGTCAACAAATGCCGCACGTTAAGGAGCGATTTTATTTCGCCTGCAACGGATGCCAGATGGTACATACTAGTACTTCGCTATAGAAATCATAATATGAAAAATTGTGGGAGGTGATAATAATAAGCCGATTTAGTGTAAACGGTGAACAAATCGTCAGCGACAAGAAATTACACCGCTTCTGATGTGGTATGCTGACCAAAGAACGAAGACGACAGACAGATGATAACTGTTTGCAGCTACATTACTTCGAGGGAAAGGAATGCGAGACCGGCGAATATTCAAGAGAGTAGAATCACTGTAGGTACGAAAAATAGTGAGCATTCCTCTTCGCTACTGTTTGAGAGTTATGTGACGATCTCTTGTGCATGCTGCTGATGCGGAATTAGCCTCTGGCTATTTGCATAGGCGCGCTTCGTACGTCGTACAATTGAGGATTTCGTACGCAGCGCCGCAGTGTGGCTACTGACTGGTTATGCGAGAAATATTGCGAAACGATTGGAATGTATGCTTTTATTGTTCTATAATTAGCGCTTCTGATTGTAAACGGAACTTCTGTAGAGTCATGAAACTCCGAGCATTCTTATCGCATGCTTGTGATATTGTTTTCCCTTCCTGAAAAGTATTCCGATTAATTTCGCAATTATTGTTTTGGAGAAAATCGGAACATAGCTACAAAAGTTTTTCATTGTTACACTGTTACATAGGTAGTTATTTTTTTGGAGCATAATTACAAAAATCCGATTGAAATATTGCAAACAGGATTGTAAAATTAATTGTTATTGATGGGAAACTGAGACGTTCAGTATATGGAGAAATATAAAATATTGCAGTAATGGACTTTGACCTGATCTGTACTTGGACCAGACTATTTGATTAACCTACCTGATATAGTAATTCGATTACTGCATCCTGAGTGCATAGCAGCAGTAATATCAGTTCTTTCTGTTGCCGAAGAATTGAAAAAATTTTCGTGGTCTGATTGATCGGGTACTGTCATTAAAAATTTTATTACTCGTATCATTGAACACTCATGATTTTTTGGCAATGCCATTAATGTTGTCTGGTTAATCTTAATATTTTAGTGGTCGATTTTGCTCATACACGTTTCCTAAGACACTAAGGCAAAATGATGTATTTGTAGAAGTATCTCACATGCTGGGTTACGGATACCAGCTGGACTTACGGGAGTGGTTTGTTGTGAAATTTGATGTTTTAAACGAAAGCTAGCTGTTGTTATACGAAACCGACCTTCCATTTAGAATTACCTTTCTAAGTTGTGTGCGTTACGTCTGTATCATGTATGTATATTTAGGGGTAACAGAATTTTCGTCAGTTCGTTAAGGATTTCATAACTTACGGGTGATTTGGTATTAATAATGATAATAACTTGAAAATGCGTTGGTTAGTAAATATTTTGAAGTTAACGCAGGGACTTTGCAGAAACCGCATTTATTTAGTTTCTTGTTCACTCAGTGATTGTAAATACCAGACATTCCTTCCGTAATTTTTCTTTTCGTCATCGAATAATAAAAACCTGGCAGGTGCATGTTGCAACGTATTTTGACCGCATTGATGATGGTATGGAAATTTTATGGTGGTAGAATATGCGAATCCATCACATTTTAGTGTTTGCTGTAAACTTAACCCGTGATATGATTTTGCAACGTCGTCCACGTCGGTTTGGTATGTTGGACGACTACATATTTTATAGCCTTGAACAGCCTGACTATGGTACAGTAATAGTACGTTCAGCTTAATTATTTTCGACAAATATTTACACATCAATAATTTAGACAGGCCGTTGTGTCAGTGAACAGAACGCTTTTTCCTCGCAGCATTCATACATTGTTCAGAGGACCACCGTAAAGCGGCGCATCGTAAAATGCGATAAACTTTCTTGTAATGAGACGGAGTATTTTCGATTGATCATTTTGCAAAACGCCAAACATGTTTTGTGGTATTTTCCTTGAGGTGTAAAATCTAAATTTCGGTGTCGTACACCGCAAGTGAAAAGAAGTTTGCACAATATGTACTTGCTTTCGGTATGTTTCCTATACTTGGAGCGGCTGATGGACGTTCCCGCAGCTGTCATTAAAATTTATTTTTAATGTACTGCCTGTTATATCAATTGCGACTACCTAACATTGTACGCTACCGGCATTTGCCGCAATAGAATCTCAACACAAATTAATTAATTACCTGATTTAGCTGAACCATATTAATTTTGATTGTTACAGTAACGATAACCACAGCGGATGTTGTAGCCTTAACTGGTACGAGTAGAGTAAAACTAGGAAATGCGTCCCTTCTTTGCAGTTTTGCTTTTTGGAAAGAAGCACTTGTTGTTGCATTTGCCTGCATTATTGCATTTTATTAACTGGAGTCTTTTCTGACAATGAACACTTTGCTGTGTACTTTTTATTTTTTGCTAGTCCCGGTGCTGAGGAATGATGAGTTTTGGTAACGACTTTGGCTTTGCGTTTATAGTTATGATAGATTTTAACCCGTTCCTTGCAAGCTTGCCTGAAAATTAAACACATGGCCTGCACCACGCAGTTTTGAATGTGGTGCGCATTGCAGATGTTAGCTTAATTTTAGTAAAATGAGGAACTGTTCAATAGCGGGCTTTGTTGAGTAGTGCTACGGCTACCATAAGAAGCACATCACATACACTGTCGACCTGCCCGAAATTTTTAATTACTATTCAAGTTTTATGTATGTGAGTGGGTTGCGACAGTGAATTTAATATATTAGTATGTGCGGTACATGAAAAGGTGTGGCACCCGGGAAAGTACGTAAATAAATTGATGTATTTCTACGCTTATAAAAATGCATGGGACATCTGGGTGTGACGGTGTGGTGATTTTCTAATCAGTTTTAGTTTTTAATTACATTATACATTTTTCACCTATCGAGCGGCAACTGGCTGCTGTGGAAAACAATGGCAGTATCAATGTGGATCCACCTTGGCAGGATTAATGCGCCTGCTGAAACTTTAAAGAATCACCTTTGTGCTCTCAGTTTTTCGGTCATTTTTGCTACATCGTTGAAGGATTGCTACTCCACTTACTGCTGATTTTGCATATTTTGTTTTCTTGAGTATCAATATTTTACTGGGTATGAACTATTAGCAACATTAAGAAGTCACCTTGAATACTGTTGATACTTACCTACGGCTGCTGTGCTAGTGAATGTGCGTTTTTTCACTTTTTGCAGTGATTTATAATCTAACATTTTACTTGGTTGTAGCGAATTCCATGCATTTTTTGGAACGTAAAAGCCATTTCTAGTCGCTTATAGGTTTACAGTTCTTGATTAAGCGATTCGCTCATTTTGCTAATGAGTGTATATTATTAGCGTGAATATATAATTAATGAGATGGCCAGCGGTGGTTGACAACGAAAGAGAATACCAGTGATAAGTTTGAAAGGCTTTGAACAATTTCGTATTAATTATAATTATCTGATTATGTGCTTCTTTCAGCATAAGTAGACACTGTGTAGGCACTGAAGTTTAAATGTCTGTTTCTTGTTAATGTTTTTCAGTCCCTTGCATCTTGCATTAAGGAATGTTCGTTGTGCAAATAGTGACAGCTGCATTCGCATTGCATCGACGATGTGCTTGATTGAAAATAATGAAGGAATGGAATGTGCTTGATAGCCATAACCACCTTCAGATATGTATTTACCTTTATGGTATTGCTGTGGTTTTCGGTATAATGGGTAATTAGTCAGGCATGAAGGTATTGCGCCGGAAGAAGAAATCGTTCGTTGACTGTGCGAAATATTTGCCGCCGCATACCGATTTCGAGAAGGGTAAGACTGATTTTTTGCACTTGCAGTAGGCGTAGTAGAGTTGTTCTTAACGCATAGCCACCATGGATAAGACGCATAGCCAAAGCGCACCGACGTTTCTTTGGTTTTGCCGATGTTCTTGTTTGTGGCATTGCTGTACTCCGCGGTGTTTTGAATTTACTTAGTCTTCTGACTGCAACTTGAGAATGCCATCATTTCAACCATCCAGAAATTTTACAATAGCGAAGAAAATCGCAGAAGATTTGTGACTGCTATTCTACTAGTTTGCAGATCGTATACAATATTAAACTGCTGAAACAGTAATATTTCGTAGGTTAGCCAACACGGTAGCATCGTGTATGTAGCCTTTTATATTGCTAATACTAATAGGTGCTTCAGGTTTTATGTTGGTTAATGCTTACCGTTTTTAGTAACTTTATATTATTGTTTGTTCCTAGCGATATGCTATAGAGCGATTTCAAGATGGTTACAATCTATAATTTTGCCTATTGTGTTGCTTGCAACCGGCCTGAACGCTTATAATAATTGAAATACGACTATCGTTTTGGAATTGCTGTAAAGGGTGTGTTCGGGGGTCGCTTGAATTGTCGGAGTAAGTATGGATACGGTCTACACGGCTGACAAAATTTACCAAGATTTATGCGAGCAATTAAGTAATTATAGCGTTTAAATGATTCTTTTTCCGGTGAGCTTTCCTGCTCTAACTCCTGGCATGCAGTGTGTAGCGTCTTTTATTAAGTTTAGAGCACTGATAATTCAGCGATGTTGTACTGGAAATTATTTGGCGCATCTAATGCGCAGCCCATGGGGTTTCCTTCGCCTGTGCTAAAACCTTCAGCGTGGCAAAACGTGTTTCGGTTTGGATCTTTTATCTATCATGCGAATTTGGCGCCAAGCAGGTCATAGTTGCAGTTAGATACAAATATTCCATTAAGTATAGCGACAAGAGTGTGTTTTGAAAAACGCCTTCTTAATCTGTGGTTTGTTTAAGAGCCGTAAGAATGCAATTTATCTTTGTCATCCTGCGAGCAAGAGTGCTTTACTGAAGAGTTACACGGATGTGAGAAGAATAGTCTCACTGGGGCTGGAGGGTTACTTAATTTAAGCTAATAATTTTGATTAACGTATTGTATTTTTCATTTCAAATTGATTAGAAAATTTGTAAGTGCGAGAGTATTACTTTTCTGAATGGATTACGTTTTTATTTCCAGGCAAGTGAAACCGCAGTCGTTTTCGGAATGCACTGGCGACGAACTACCCGCTGGATGGGAAAGGGCATTTCATCCTCAACTCGGTGTTTATTACATTGACCACAATACTAGTGCGTGGGGCTTTTGTAGTGACCTTGTTTATAATTATACTGTATCATGAATATCCGTTATGTGAGGCCTTTCCTGAATCTTACCTTTCAGTTATATTAAATTTTATGAATTGTTTGGTTGAATAATTACTAATTTGCGAGTATCAGTGTTGTAGAAGGTGAATGGTACTCGTATAGTTCGTATTAAAATTGTATAGTGATTTGTGTACTTGAAATTTAGGAGTGTCGATTAATAATTAAATTTAGCAATACTGTCTCTAACGCAAGGTTTATCTTTACAGAAGCTAACCATTTCGACGATCCGCGGGCGAAATATCGGAGCATGCAAAAAGAAATGCTTCAAGACTATTTACGAACCGCCCAGAATGATTTAGAGGTTCGTCTGTAGTGTAGAAAAGTATACAAGCTTGGGCACACTTTACACGCCAAGCATTTCGCATAATATAATAAAATTAATGGTATCACTGTTGGTGAATCTTAAGGGTGATTTTCTGAGTTGATCTTTTAATACACTTTTACGTTCCAAGTTCTGATAACCTAGTAAGTGATATCTACCATAGTTATCATTCTTTTTGTTCTCTTTTCGGAATTTGTAGAAAGTAGGAACCTGTTTTTGTGAATTTTTGTTGTAAAAGATTCATATTTTTTCGACGGTGCTGATTTTACATTACTTCCACACGTGCTTCTTGTTTGCTTGCATTCACTATGCGCAATAATGATGGATCATTGCAGGCGAAACGCGAAATCTATGGCATCAAACAGCAGCGCCTGCAGATCGCGCAAGATGATTTCGTCCACCTTAACAACACCTTGCGCCATTTGGGGGGATCTAAACAAAGCCGTAAGAGCCAGTGTGCAATGAGTAATTTATAAATCTCTTAAACGCCGACTAATGAAAACAAACATTCCTTTTCCAGTCTGTTCGACAATCTCGAGTGGCGGTACACGGTACGATGTTGAATTGTTGCGCGCTGACATAATGTCGGCCAAGTCGCGCGTGGAACGGCTCAAACGTGAACTGCGTCAGATCCAGACGGAAGTGCAAATCAAAGAACGTGGTCTATCCTCTCTTGCGCAGTATGTGTATCCATAATGTGACACATGACGCACAAGTGGGCATATTTGGTACGTTATGAATTGTAGAGTGGAACAGAAATTCCAAGAGAATCCTGGCGGCACAGCGTATAGTATTGAAGAGGCACAGGCTGTTCTGTCTGAGCTGAAAAGAATACAGTATTCATTATTGTGTGGGGAGCAGCAGAAGCAAGATCTCATCGCTTCCCTGGCTCAACTGAAGGATGAGATTTTGTTGGCTCGCGATATCCAGACATCACCTGATCTGTCGTATTTGCATTTACCCCAAGAGAGAATGTCTGCAGCATCTCAGACGGACGTTACGGGCGATGTTAGTATTTCGGTTTTTTGCTCAGTTGTTCACAAATGTATAAAGTTGCATATTGATTTTTTTGAAAGAATAGATTCTTTATTATTCAGTTTTAGTTGAAGCGTTGAGATGAATTCTCTACGAACAATAACAAAATTAGAAGAAACTCATGTTTGTTTTTCTTTGCAGCTGGGAGTGAGTTCTGGGGTACGAATCGCCGAATTGGCCCGTCGCAGACTAGAGTATGATGAAACGCGAAAACAAGTTAGTGAACTGCAACACCGATTAGCCCAAATCCAAAAGCAGGCCTCCACCAGCGACATCGAAGCTGATTATGATCGGTAATAAGCGCTTTCCTTCGTTATAAATGAATTTGTCGATATGTCTTTTTATAGGGTGGTGCTGATACAAGAAAAAGAACACCTGTTGCGCGAAATGTGCAGTATTCACCCAACCGGACGTTCCACAGATGGAATTACCCGTATCCAGCAAGACATCAACATTCTGAAACGTGACCTGCGCTCGTCGTCCGATCTGGCAAACAGATCTTTAGCCATGCGGTGTGTTGCTTGTTTTGTATCGAAATCAATCTGATACACACTGAGATTGGTCAATATTTCGCTTCATTGATCATGTCTACTCCTATAGGTTCCGTCTGAGGGAAGAACGGGACAATCTCGTCTTACGGTTGCGTGATGTTATGCGTCGTCAGGCCTCACTTGAATCCGAGTTGCGGAGGTACAAAAATGCCATTGTTGATACAGTTTTTGTTTAGCTAATGCTGTTGTACCCATACTGTATCAAAACGATGAATAAATATTTCTTTTCAAAAATGCAGTTGCGCATCAGATGAAATGTAGCAAACATGCTCAATTGAGCGAGAAGAATGTTATTTTTACAGTAGAGTAATGGTCGAATTAAAAAAAGTTGAACGGGGTTTTTTTCGGAAGCATTTGGCTGAAGTTGGTGTTTTGCAGTTTGTCCACAAGTACTCTGTCTATTTCCTCGGCATCCAGTCGGGGTTCGCTTAGTGGAAGCACCGTATCCACAGGCAGTCTGGGCTCGACGGGTTCGTTGGATCTTCTGCGTCCGGCTGTTCTTCCTGCTGTCAACATGCTGGATTTGCAAAAACGGGTGGAAAGGCTGCTGAGCCAGAGTTCCAGTTTGCAGTCATTTGACGAGTTCTTCGAAGAAACGCAAAAGATGCAGCCGCAGTATCGTGTACGCACCGTATACTAACCAGTCCTTTATGAATCAAATTTTCTTGTCATACGAATTTTCTAAAATATATTTACCCAGAAAATATGGCACCATACATCCTAGCTTATGAATTTTGCTTTCCTTGTGTGTGAAGAAATCAGTCGCACAGTTCTGCAATATAATTATCATGACTTCACTGTATTTTATGTCCAGTTGTATTTGATTTAGATTGCGGGTCATCATTTGGATGCCGGTGCATCGCGTCCAGTATGTCAATCGACGCAGTGTATAGTTTGCAACGGATACGAATGGTTGCCGCATGATAGGCAGATGCTGGAGCAGAACAATAGACCAGTTCAGTTTACGAATGGGGCCCCATTAAGTACACCTACTGCTGGGTTCGCCCTACACGAACGATGCCATCTGTGTACAACAAAACCCCCGTTGCAGCCCAACGTGGACGATATGGGCTACCAGTCATATGGGCAATCCCACTGTTTCAACGTACGGGAACACACCCCTCGTTATGAAAATTATCTCCCTAGCAGGTATTGGCAGCTCATACTTTCAGTGTACCATTTTTTTAATTTTTTATGAGAGTAAAGAGTTTCCCTTTGCTTTTGGTTTTGTGAATTAGGTGAGTTTTAATTTTTTGTTACTATCGCAGTGGCAACGACCTTTACGATCCTCCCATAACAAGACCGAATGAGCCGGCATTGAGTCCGATCTGTGAAATGGGGAACTCGGAAAGTGCTCCCACACCCTTTGATAGCCAGTTCCGGAATAGATCGTCCGAATCGGTACGATTGATTGACAAAATTAACAATAATGGACAACACCGATTTCCATTTAGAAATTATGTGGTATGAACGTCTTTAGCTGCATTCCATCGTTATATTACCACTTTTTTGACGGGAAAATAAATATAATAACAGGAAAATGTTTGCAAAAATGGAAATAACAGGAAAATGGAGTTCATTATAATAGCAGGAAAATATTTGCCGATTGAATTGCAGAGAAGTGAGAGTTTATAGGCAAAAGGATGTAATAAATGCCGCAACATTAAACTGATCTTCCGTATCGTATTTCTTCAGGTAACTGGTGATAGTGGCGTGTATGAAGGAACATCAGTGTTAACGGAAATGCGCACTGAACGGATATCCACAACGCAGCTGTTGATTCGCCTGTGGTATGGGAAACGTGACGGCATCCTGAATATCGGTCTGGAAAAATTAACCAACATTTTCGCCCTGGATCCTCCATCAAACTCTCAGGTGCGCTTCATAGCTTTTTGCATGGATTTGACAAGTATGTGAACTTTGATTGAGCTTATTGTTCGATTGATAGATTGGTATTCGCGTGTCGGTGTTACCACCTGACGGCTCTAGCTGTGATGCGTTCGCCAGCAAGCAGCATCCATTAGCCGGCAATTTGGGCTTTGTTGAGGTCTTTCAGTGCCCTTTGCGGCCGAATGTGTTGCCAACGAAGACGCTAGATGTCAGTGTATGGGCAACTCAAATTCCCAGCGGTGCTGCTGAATGTTTGGTGAGTGGGCCTTTCGTGTAAATGGGATAAAGTAATGTGCGATCAAGGAAAATTAACGAATTTGTTCGCTGTGCAGGGGAATTCTCTGATCGGTCTGGCTGAATACTCGGAGATAAGCAGCTTAACCAAGTGGTTTAGCGTGGTCAAGACTGATAGACAGCCGGATAAGTTGTCGCTGAGCCGGGATTTGCAGCTGTTGAAGATCCGGGATACGGAAACATCATTCATTTCCAGTTTATTAGCCAGCTCATCGCTGTCGACAGCACGAGTGGAGTGTGATGCCGAGGATCATCTGGATGGGGGTAAAACTGACAGGTAAACGGCTGCGATAAGCTTTTTTGCTGCACGAGCAAAAAAGGCTTTCTGATTTCAAACAGAAATGCGATTGTACCGGTTTTTACAATAATAATTATGGTTAATACAAGTATTTATTTTATTTGCTTCCCATGTTGATATAAGCAGTCAAAATACTGAAAACAGATTCGAAATTTGAAATTCAGTTACTGGAATAATTACATATTTTGATTTTGAAATTGTAATCCGCACTATAGCGCTAATTTATTTTTCTGATCTAAATAGGATAGGCTTTTCAACCACAATTGTTGATAGCTCAGTAAGCAGGTGGATGATGGATCGATAATAGATGCTTAAGATTGATCTGTGGTGTTTTACTTCATCGCGGATATGCTAGAAAATGGTATAATTTAATTGAAATGGAGATTTTCTTTAATTTATCCGTTGTGCATGTGATAGTGTCAATAATTTTGCCGATCGACTTTCGCTCTGTATGTAAATGTAAACTCGGCTTGTAGGATCTGATGTGTTCAGTGTGCTTGAAGCGGAGCTCATTGTCATTCTCCAGTATTCTGAAGTGCGAGATCAATATATTTGCTTGCCGGCGCTCGTTTTTTTCGCGATCATGAACATAATAGCTCCCTAATGCATATGCAGCGCGAACAAAGTGTTATTGATTCGGTTTATGTGCTGATTGGGACCTCTTTTTTTGCTCTTATCAAACATCAGTGAGTAATAGAGTATTCTCATCTTCTCCATCCTTGCAGTGACTGTAATTCCGTGATAATTCGCGAAGAAAGCAGCGACGAATCGACGCTGGCTTGCTCCTCACAAGCCTCCACCCTAACGCGCGGCCAGCGGCCTGGAGTTTACGACGTTTTTGATGTATGTGCTTGGAAGGCTAAATACGAGTATTATCGTACATACGAGTGTGAATTCATCAATAAGTTCGGTCCAGTGAATTGATGTTGCAAAAAAAATAATTTGTGAAACAATTCGTAAATCGACGAATAAGTATGAGCACTCGACGTGCAAGCGAAATATCATGTATGTTTTATAAAGGACAGAATCGAATATTAACGCAAATGTTTCTGATATGGTTTGTCCCTTTATATGTTGTGTTTTCAAATCACGAACAGCAAGACAAGTTTCAAACAAAATAAACTGTGTCGAAAAAAGTTTTGAGTTGTTGATATGTGTGTTAAGAAGTGTGACGAAGCGTTCTCGTACGTGCAGGAGGAGCATGAAGTTTCGAGTGAGGAAGACGAGATCACTTCACAAATCCCAGCCGACTCGCATTCATCCTCTGATTTGTCCGTCTTGGGCCATCCTTCATCGAGTCTGGCGGCGGAAAGCGGTTATGGACATTCCGGTGACGCTCTAGGCGAACTGTGTGATAAAGAGACCAATACGGAATCCGGCGCGTCGGTGCTGGGCGGTTGGTCGGTGGGTGGAAAGAGCAACGGCGCTGCCTTGCGGCGATCGCATACTCTGAATATTCGAGCGGAAGCGCACCAGACGGGGTAAGGGGATGGAATATATGAATGTTTATTTTGTTTAGAATGATCTTTTAATTGGATTTTTTGTATTGGTGCAGAATATACAACTGCCGGCTGAACCGCAGTGACAGCGACAGCTGCGTGCCGTGTCAAAAGAGCGGCGACGATTCTTTTGCGAGAAATACACTGGAGCGCAGAAGTTTGCGCTGGAAGCGGCCAACGAAGAACGGTTCATCTTTATCGGCACACTCTTCAACACACCGCCCGGTGGCTGTAAAGACGGCGCTGGAATGGGAGCTTAGTTTAAAGGTGGGTCAAGTTTTTTCTATTTTTAAATTTAGCTTTATGTAAGACGGTATGCTCATAAGGCAAGAGGATGAACTTATTTCACCTGATCTGAATTGCCGGTAAACTACATTGTGCGCAAAACGTAAATTCGCGTTAACGGCGCTGTATTCCTTTTCGAAACGGCTTCATTTTTCTCCTTGTGATTGGTAAAGAGGAATTTTCGCGACGTGCCTCTTATAACGTTCAAATCTTTTAATTGTATATGTACTGCCCATCGTATAGCTTCGTATATTTTGTCTAATTGTGTTTCATCTCGTTCGATTTCGCCGATTTGTGTACGATTAGTTTTAATTGTAGGCGTCGCAGATTAAACTGCAGAATCTAAACGAAGAAGTCAGCCGTCTGCGTAACCTTGCGGAGAAACTTATTCAAGTAAAGAACAGTTCGGAAAACGAGCTACCAGATTGGTTTGCTGATCTCGAAAAAGACCTGGATACCGCATGTCCTCAAAAATTTGAAACGGTAAGAATATTTTTGAAAAGTGCGACGTAATAGTTGCTTTCTTTGAGCTATTTTTATATGCATAACACGGCCGCAGCTTTTGTTCAGGTATTATATGTACTTCGATTTAGAAATTATTAACTTGTAAGTGTATGCATGAGAAATTCATCATGAACTTGATTTTCCTTAGTTTGCAACTTCGAAGAATTGAATGAATTAGAATTTGATGTTTCGCCACATTCATTGACACCGAATCGCTCAAGAAGTCTGCATTAATGTGCAGTAGCTGAACATGCATCTTTTTACAGAGCGGCCCCGGCACACCTCGCACCTCAAAAGTTAACCGTATGCTACGGAAAACCTTGAAAGAAATTCAAAAGTTTCAACGTACTCGCGGACATTCGGAAGATTTAACAGATTTCAGGTAATTGCTATTATATGGACGCTGGTTTTTAAAGTTGTATTAAATTTCCATATCTGATACATTAACAGCGTAAATGACATCATGAGAACCGATCGATATAGGTAACATGATTTTTATAGAAAAACCATGGCTTCCTTCTTGGACACCGGTCATCGTGTGCCATTATCGGATGCTTTATATCATCCCCATGATGCTCCACCATCAGAGGGGCAGCAAACGTCCGTAGCGGAGAAAGTCATTCCGCATCCGAAGCACAGGCCGAACATCTTGATACCGAACATCGGTCACTGTCCGCCAGCGCACAGTCGGTCACAGTGGCTTCGCCCGAAGCCTCCGCGAACGCAGTGGACACCGTGGCGCCGGCTGACACGCCCTTGCGGCCCGAATTCCCTCATCATTTCCCCAACAAAGTTCGCGTCTTTGCTCCGCAGAAATTCTTTACCAAAGATCGGCAAGGCGTGGAAGTGTAGTTAATTTAAACGCTGTATTCTGTTTGTATGAGTTCTCTGGTGTGTTGTATTTTATTTTTGGGGTGCCGTGTTTGCCGTGAAGTGAGGCGTATATTGCTTGAGTTTCTATTTTGGTGAGAAATTTTTATTTAAAATGGTTTTTGTTTGACAAAATCTCTTTTTTGTGTCACTGCACAAGAATCGTTCGAAGTCTCAGATTTTGTTACTTTGAAAAGATATTTCTGATTTTGTTTGTTAATATACACTGCACTGGAAGAAATCAAACAAAGATTCGTCAGTAACAGACAACAGTGTCTCTAGTGCGCAAAATTTACTTTGGCTGCAGAAATTAATCGAACATAACAATCTAGATAATATTACTGACTGCCATGCAATCACATCAAAACTGAAAAGACTTACACAAGACTGAAAGCAATGATCGCGTTTACTCAATGATGATTGCTTTGCTGGAGGAAGATCCATCCGGTTTAGTATCGTTATCCTCTCCAATAGGCACAAAATGAACCGGTTTGTACTCGCCATCTTTAGTAACTGTCGCCCATGTCTTCAGCTTCCCGTTTTCCATTACACGAATCAGCTGCCCAGGAGAATGCGAAGTTACGCCGGGTGAAATAGGACTTTTGTCAGCAACCTTCGTTTCACTACTCGGAGAAGGCGAAGTTTCGCGTTTTTTTACAACCAGACTATCTTTCGGAGATTTCGCGGGTAGAGGATCTTCTTGTGGTTTCGACAGAAAATCTTTCATAGAACTCTGACGCGACAACGACGACTGGGTAGAATTTTGTCGACTAAATTTCAATTCCATGGACGAAACTTGGTCCATTCAGATTTTCAATGCCAGCTTTCTCTGATTTCGGCTTTTCGGAGTCTGCAGATTTTTCTTGCGCCACTTTGCCCAATTTGTTCACTTTGGCCGCTTTATCGGGTTTCTCCAGAACAGGGCGTCCGGTTTTCATTTCCCCAACGCTCCTCGTGCCACTTAATTTCTTTTTCAGTGACTGGTTATCACAAATCGCTTCCTCAGATTTCAGCAACGCACTAGCTGTCTGGAATCCTGAAAACGGCATACTGCTGGTACGGGCAATGGGCCCAGAAGTAGGCGGTTCTCCTGCTTCATCAGTGCCTCCGATATCCTGCTCCAATTTCTCATTTTCCCTCAAGGCTTTTCGGTAGCGGTCAACAGTCAGCTTGTACGTCTGAGGCAGCTTGGAAGCCCGATAGGCTTCGTATTCCAGATGCACGGCGCGTCGTTGCGCATTAAATGGGTTGTCACTGGTCTGGATGGTTTCGAAAAGAATATTAACGGCCTTATGCCGGGCGTCCACATGCAGTCCTTTAATACGACTAGCCGCCGGATCCTGCAATAGCGAAGTCGTGGCCAAGAACTTCTTCACGTTTGATGGGACAACGGCTGAATCGGAAGCCACACGGCGGCGCTTAGCTAATTCGCCGCGAATGAAATCAGTGCTGCCGGTTGGACGGGCTTCGTGGTCTTCAACATCGTCTCCCCTCCATGATTCCAGACCATGACTGACAAATGATTGACAGTTACAAGAAACCATGTCTAATCATACAGTAAACTTCTAAATACCAACAGTTAGATAAATTAGTTTTTGTGGGCTTTAATAGAGCACTTCTATCTGAAGTCGCTGTCGTGAGATCAGTCTATGTAAGTGAAAGTGATTTACCGGTTGAGACCGGATTCTCGCCAGTCTTCGTCTCCTGCATCTTCATCATCGTCAAACGCTCTTTTGTTATAACGAAATTTCGGAGCAAAGGGATCACAAACGCCAGACAATTTTGCACGATTACTTGGCGTTGTCCGGGATTTTTACAATGATCACAGTTCTTCCTGCATTCCGGTGGGGCATCTCCAAAATATTCAGCAATCATGCCGTGACGACACCTGAAACAATTACAACACGATTGATGATAAATACATAAATGTAAGCGAGTTATTAAAAGTCACTTACTTGCTCACAGTAGCATATCTCACCATTGCTTCAAATCGTGCAATCACTGCTTTCTTATTGTAAGGCACCTTGGCTGCTTCCTGTAGATCACTTTATCTCTCCACACAAACTCCGCAGATCAAGTCCAAAAAATTACAGGCAGTAACAAGAGATAACATACCTTCTGAGAAATTTCCTGGTCCATAAAATGCTTGATGGCACCTTGATCGCTCGCGGAATAATACAATCTGGCAAACGCCGGTTTTCCGTCGCGTCCTGCCTCGACCGGATTCTTGATAGTACGCTGCCAACGATTTCACCATGCTCCTTATTGTGGCACAGACAATATCGATTTCTCCGTCCATCCATTTGTTCTGGATTTCTTCGCGGTTTTTTATACCTGCAATACATCGCTGTTTCCGCACCTGATTCCCGTGTCACTCAGACGTTGGTTTTACCTGCGTGATACGCTTCCGCTTTCAACGATGAGTTCATTCTTAAATTCTCGGCCAAACTTTCGCAGTCAATCTTTCGACGACAATAAACAATGCCAGATTTCTGAAAGAAAAGCATATCAGAAATGTTGCAGCGTAAGAGTTTTGGGCAAATCAGAATATGGAAATGCGTGTGTGCTGCTATATTGTTTTAAGACTGCAAGAATATGTTCTCGCAGTGTTAACACAATGTACAAAGCATTAAGTTATATAAATTATTAATTTACATTAATCTCTGAGAATGTTCACCGTGAGTGTCGTACCTGCCCGGCACCGCTTTTGGCGAAAACGTTGTTACAATAATCAATCAAATTTTTCACATTCTCCACTTCTCCTCCTGCGCCGTCCGCTTTATCCACAACCTCGTAGAACAGATTCTCTCGGTATACGGGAGTTTTAAAGCGAGCTACCCTTTTCATTTCTAGCCGTGTTAAAATATCCTCAACAACGACCTTGGATGCAGTGGCTGGATCCCAAAAGAATGTGCAAAAATTACGTCAACGAAGAGATAAGAACTTCTTGCACTACCAAAACGATATCGGCTAGCACTCACCGGTTAGCGCTACAACGGGAACTCCGGGACAAAATCTACGCAATTGCCCGAGCTTCAAATAATCGCCACGAAAGTCATGTCCTGTCCGAAATATGCGAGAAGATTTCATGAAAGCTAACGTCAGGTTTGTTTCGGAAAGAAATGACGGTCCTTACCCCAATCTGCAAAAACAATGGTTTGTTAATGATTTTCCTGCGCTGCTTGTTGACTGTTAGTCAACAAGCAAGTCAACAAGCAGCGAAAATATGCAAACATTTGGCATTTATAAAAGCAAACCCTACTAAAAGCGGTTCAATTTTTTGTTTCCATACGTTTAAGCAAGAATTTAGAAATGAAATGTATCAGTACAACACTATCCGCAAAATGCGCAGAATTGTCACGACAACCTGTGTCCACAAAATTTACTGGTATATTTTATACAGAGTTGACTGACTCCGGAAAATCTAGTCGCCGCAGACTGAAAAATCAAACTGTCGATACTGATAGTCCATCTGTCTCATTACACTTGCACAATGCAACAATAGTTCACCTGAAATGCAGTGAGCTTCGTCGATGACAATGGCTCGCAGAATATTCATGTTGGCTAAATGGGTGATTAATTCTCGTGTTCGATGGGTAGCGCATTGTTCGGGTGTGAGATAGAGAAATTTGTACGGACATCCTTCGCTGTTTTTCAGATCGTTCTCCACGGTAACACGCTCTTTTTCGTTCAATTTGGAATTAATAGTGGTGCAGGGGATTTTGGCATTTTTCAGCACTGTTAGCTGATCATGGATCAGCGCCAGGAGTGGACTGACCACGATGCTCAATCCTTTGCCAACTGCTCCAGGAAGCACTGTAAAAAATCAGACCATTCGTACCTAAAAAATCTCTTTCCAAAAACTACAGAAATCGCACTGGAAATTACGGCTTGGAAGCGACAATTAATATACACATTTAGCCAAAAAACAGCGAACTTACTGTAAGTCAGAGATTTTCCGGCACCTGTAACCGTAAAAAATAAACAGAAAACTGCAGTTTGACAAATTCCGAAATGGAAGCTGTATGTTTTACCCGTGGGCATGGAAATGAATACATCTTTTTTACATTTTCCCACTTCTTCCGCCGCCTGCTTTTGTAAAGGACTGAAATCAGTGTCGGTGAACGGAATGAAAAGAATATCTGAACAGCGTCCGTAATTTAACACAGCCAAGACAAGAAATCGTCTTGCTGCAATAAATTCTACCTCTTGTAGGATTTATGGCCAAAAATCTTTGCCAAACCTCGAAGAAGTTCTTGTGGAGATACAACGAGCTGGTCCATTTCTGTTTGGCTCTTACTGCGCCAAGGTTGAATCTGGTATTCTACAACCACCCCAAGCTATCAACTTAAAAAACACGCGATGATTAATAATCATTAACAAAACGAAAGCATCGGAGCACAGAATCCTTACTTTACGCTTTACAATCCCGATCGTATGGGAATAATCATCGCTAGCGTTTTTGTCTGGATGGAACCGTCACAGCACAGAAACTCAGCGTAATTCCAGGAACTGCCAATAATATTAAGATGACAGTTTTAACTTTTAAGCTCTTACAGAAAAATGAGATGATCAAAACTCCAAAGGCGATACAACTCTAACAGTCTAACTTATAAATTATATGCCATCATGCCAACATAAAACTGGATGATGCACAGAAATGGCAGCGGATTCATCGATATGCAGAGTCAAATGTAAATATGTGAATTTGACTGCCTCTTTGGAAGGTTGGCATAAGGTCACCATTTATCAGGAAGTTTCGAACTCTCGACCCTTCAACTGGCTTCCTATGAAATCTTTGTTTACTTTTTATTTTTTTTTTGCATAAGTCGAAATAGCCTTTTCTCCATTATATTATAAGCAGCTTTGCACCAAGAAAAAAGCAACGCTCTGCTTTCCTACCCCGTCCGGCTGAACTTCTTCAACGCGAGCAACAAACTCAAGGTACGTAAAACGACCAAGGTATGTCGTCATCAGGTCTTCCCACAATGTGCCAGAACGTCGCTCCTGTTCGAAGACTCAGATCTTGGGGATCTTCAAGATTGCATAAACTCGCACCCTATTTTATGGGCATACCTCTCATTGCAGTGTGAAAGTGGTCGATGCGGGTTCATTTCTTTAAAATATTAGTTCCCACTTGTGCTACTAGTTTATTTCATGACCTTTTGGCTTGTACAGATACATGCAGTACTCACTCGTATGATAGCTCAGAGCCGATTTCGATTGGCGACAGAATACGTACAGGGCGCACCAGCAGCACCGTAAAGGCAAACAAGAGTTAAGAAACATGTTTATTTAGGTACAAATTAAAGTAACGTTCTCCGTTTTTTAAGTGTTAAGAAAACGCCAGCGCGATGGATGAACAAATACTAGCCAATCGACCGTTTGATGCGTTCGCTGATGCAGTCGCCGCGGAAGGCGAAAAGGCAACCGACCATATTGTCCACATTCGTATCCAGCAGCGAAACGGTCGAAAAACACTGACCACGGTGCAAGGGATAAGCGACGAGTTCGATAAGAAAAAGATCGTTCGTGCATGCAAAAAGACATTCTGTTGCAACGGAACTGTCGTAAGAATTATTGCGAGTGATCTTTACCTACGCGTACTGCAGTCTGCATCTGCAGATGCGATATTGAATATGATTTTCTTACAGGTCGAACACCCGGAATATGGAGAGGTTATCCAGTTTCAAGGAGACCAGCGAAACCATATCTGCCGTTTTTTGACGGAAAACGCGATTGTTAAACCGAGTCAGCTAAAAGTGCATGGTTTTTAGGCCAGTTATTTCACTTATTGGCAGTCTACTGCGTATAAAAGTTAGCATAATTCTCCACAAAACTGTGCTGTTGTGCACCACGTTTGTTTGCTAAATTCATTGTTAAGGCTTTAAAATGAAAGGTGCTGGATAATTTTCTTGAAGTGCTTACCTGTTGAAATACTTACAATTTACAAAATAGTGGTGCGAAATTTTCTAATGACGAATGCGTACGAATATCGAAAGGAACCAGCTGTAATTTCTATTCTGGTTCCGTTTCGGGTGACATTTACCTGAATACATAAACCGTAGATTGGCGTAGAATATAGATGACGTGACACGAAACTGGATCAGTGGGTAATCTGATTTCGTAACAACTGCGAAACGTTTTTGAATTTAGTGCTTATTTTTAGTGATTTGTAACATCATTTGTTGGACTTCGGAACAGCTGAAAGTTTTCTGTCGCTGAACTCTGTTTTGTACGTGCTGTTATTACGATAAAGTTGAGAATACTTTTAGAAATACTCTGAGAATAGCGTTAAAATGCGGGAAAACTCGCAACGATTGTCTAACATCATTAGGAAGTGACTGCGGCAGCATCCAGATTCCAGATTGTGGTTTGTGAAAAAGCATAGCTGTATGAATCTGTTCTTGGAGGAATTCCTGTTATAGTCAGCCAGATTTATTTTGTCGATTTTGCTGGTTATCTCTTGTCTGCACGAAAATGGATGGACTTATTCTGCTGTCACTGCTTGCGCTGGCGATGCTGGTGTGCTCGTTCATCGCGGGAAGCCTTCCTTTGGCTGTGACGCTGTCCGAGGTTTGTGCGCTGATGCTGAAATTGCAGTTCCGTGGCTCCATCGCTAATCGTTACTCCGTTTTCTGCAGGACAAGTTGCAGCTTGTAACAGCGCTTGGCGCTGGCCTTTTAGTTGGAGCTGCTTTGGCTGTGATTATTCCCGAAGGTGTTGGAGCTGTCTACTCTCACCAGATACACGAACATGCAAAAGGTACGATCATAAAATATTACTACGCTGAGCTCTGCGTGCGTGCACTGTGTGCTGCCAGGCGTTCCTGTGTTTCGGGTTTGTTTAGTCTGACCAAAAAAATTTTCTGAAGGTATAAAATTTTATTTAACTGTTGTCAGTGGTTGGCATTCGTCGGTATTATTTAGAATATTGAAAGAATGCTTCTGCGCAAGCGAGATGCTGTTAAAATTTTTAAGTGCATTGTTCCTTGCGAATTTGGTTTTTGCTTTTGTGTTTCTTTGAAAATTTTGTTAGCTGTTTTATTTCCGTAATTTCTGGTATTCTAAACGTCTCCACAAGTCAGACGTTCCTGGTAAATGTGAGATAGTTGACTGGGCAAATGCAATATGTACGTATTGGCCGGTTACTGATTTTCTTATATTCGTCGGTGGATTAAAATGCTTGTAACAATTTGCAACACGTGTAAAACTTTACGAAAGAAGGTAAAATAATTACGGGCGATTAAAATCAGACATGTGGTAATTACAGATACTAATTGCTTACGTATTATATTGCGTTACGTTGGCGTAAGTCGCACCGAAAATTGCATCGCAGTTTTATGCATGCACAGTACTTTTCACCGTGGGTGTGTTGCAGAAGTTGCACCCGCAGCGAAACCGGAAGCCGCGGCGGCAGCTGCTGAGAAAGCGGAACAGCCCGCGGCCGTCCATGTGGAGCCCCCTGATCACGGGGAATGGATCGGAGCAGCGCTGGTCTTGGGCTTTGTTTTCATGCTTCTGGTCGACCAAATTAGTCAGAAACTCAGTGGATCCACAGGTACAGAATCTTACTCCGACGATACGCCAAAATTAATAGCCATCAGACGTGACAGTTCGCTGATTTTCAGACGCGAGTAGCCGACGCAATCAAATTACTGCTACGCTGGGATTAGTTGTTCATGCTGCCGCGGATGGGATTGCCTTAGGAGCTAGTGCCACGACGAAGCATTTAGAAATGGAGATGATTGTTTTCTTCGCCATCATGTTGCACAAAGTACTTGTATAGCCGTTGATTCGTTTTCACACTTACTTAAGCGGTATTATTGTCGTTTTCCTTTCTTCAGTATGCATAAGTTTAACTTGTATACGAGGTAGATTCTCGGGAAATGTTTGTCCCTTTGACGTGAACCTTGTTGCAGGCTCCTACTGCTTTTGGTTTAGTAACGTTTCTCCTCCACGAAGGCCTGGAACGTACCAAAATTCGGAGACACTTGTTAATATTTTCTTTATCCGCTCCTGTTGGAGCTTTGGTGACCTATCTACTGATATCTCAGGTAGTACGATGTATTTCTCGGTTGTTTCTACTTGGCAGACGTTTGACTGCGTTATACATTTTTGAAAAGTAATTGTGTGGTTTCGTCTACTTTCAGGGAAGTTCAACAATGTTGGACAGCACAAGCGGGTTGGTGTTGTTATTCAGCGGTGGAACCTTTCTGTACGTGGCGACAGTTCACGTATTACCAGAGATTTCTCACTCCCCGCATTCCAGTAATTCTGCATTACCTAGCAATCTGGACATGTCCCACTCGGGTGTTCGACTTCCTAAATCTCATTTACTGGCACTGATAGTTGGTGCTATATGTCCAGTTTTCTTAAACTTTGGTCATAGTCATTGAATGTTTTGAACTTTTAATAATTACAAGTCATATTAGTTTATGACGTATTTATTTTTATGTGTACTTCTCGTGCACAAGCCGTTCTTCCTATGATGCAATGCGATTTTTATAGAAATTTATCTCGTAATTGCTGTTTTAAAATCTTTTAGCCTTATCCGAACAGTGTGTTATGATTTTGGAAACCTCGAAGAACATTCTTGAGATTTTGGATTACGTGGTCAGTTCTAAAGCTAAAAGTTCTAAAGCTATTGTACAGAAAACAAACTTTATTTGATGCGGCTAAATTCTTTCCATTTTCGCATGAACCGCGGTAACTGACTGGTGCGAAGCCGCTTTTTGCGTACTGTTCGTATCTTCTCTTTGTCAGCTACTTCGCTTCCGATTGAACTTGTTGATTGTTCTAGACCTAATGACCGTCTTCTCGTGTCTCCTTTGTCCCAGACGGGAAGCAGCGTGGGAGCATGATGCCGTTTGCTGTGCTGCATCGCTTCTGACCCGTAGACAGACGTCCCGAATACGGAAACAGATTTGCTGCGACGAGCATGGCGCGCTTCGTTTCGTTTCATAAGGGCCAGCTCTTCGTCGAATGGCTCGTTTGGTGGGATAATAACGGGGATGCGGCCATACATGGCGGCGTGGAGTGCATTCGAATTGTGTATTGTGTTGCCGTGAAGCCTGCACCTGAGTTGTGCTGCGGTTTGCAGCAGGTTGTCTGCATTTGGCGTTGTGTGGTTTATCAATGGCATTCAACAAGCCGGATATTTGCGGACTTCCGGTGGTTTCTTCTGCAAAATGGCATCTCCAAGATCGTATCGCAATTTGACTGAGACTGTTGGTGTTTTCGGCGTAGGATATTCGGCCGATCTTTGTGGTGAGGGATCTGTGTTTAGTTGCACCGTTAAATAATTATTGGCCCGTTCTTGGAAGCAAATCCTCCACTGAATTTTCGCTTTCGCTAGAGTTTTCACTGTTGTCTTCGGTTTCCGGTTCGAAGTGAGGCTGTTTCGTCGTGGGCCACTTTACTGAATTCTTCGTATTGGATCTGTTTCTTTGTGCAGCTGATCCCCTGTAACGTCTGAGTGGACCCTTGACATTCCACGCTGACAGCTTTTCACTCATAAAAAGGCGCTGTATTCCAGTCGGATGGATTTGAAATGAATTTTTTGGTTTACGGCTTATGTGTTCGGATATTTCCGTGAGTCGCATATGCCGTCGTAATAGCCGGTTGCGTTTTCTTTGTTCAAATTCTTCGTCCGACTTCTTCTTTTCAGCCATTTCGGTTTCCACACTTTTTCCTGCTATTTGAGAAGTTCTTTTCACCTCGCGTGAAATCAACCTTGCCCGTATGAGTTTCTGTTTCAAGGTCAGGTTACCGACATCGGTTTCGTTAAGCAAACTTTTTCGGTTGTTTTCTGGCTGCGACAGCCGGACCATGCGACTTTTTCTGATCGGCACATCTCCCCGTTTCTGAGCTAATGCCACTGCCCGTAGCAAAAACGCTGCTTTTTTTATCCGCAATCTGCTTCTTTCTCCGAAAATGTTTATACTGACTGAAAATGGAGTCCGGATAAATTCTTCTGTACTTTGATGGATTATTTCTTACGGTGGTCAATTCGCGTATTATGGCTAAAAGTTTATCTGCATTTTGGAAGGGTACTGGATTTTTCAGTGGCGACTGTAGAAGATTCGGCAAAAAATCGTAGCGATAGTTAAATGTGTTAAGAAACAGTAAATATCCTCGCCAGTTCGGCCGCGATCGGCGAAATGCGGCTAATTCAATCATGGTGTTCGTGACGTCAGGCCGGTCAGTCAGCGCTGTTTTCCATTTATCAAGCAGCTCACGACGCAGCTCCTGAAGTTTGTTTTTATATTGAATGCATAGCCGGCTATAGCGTTTCCTGACAATCCACTGTTCGTCCTCGTTCAAGGGTGGTATGCTGTTTGAGGATTTTCCGAAATATCGTTCCATTTCCGCATAGCTCGGTAAGGAAAGGAACAGCTCATCCTCCAGCTGCTCTTCGAAGTCTTTGTCCAAAAGGTTTTTGGGAAGGTAGACACCCAAACCTTCGTCCAGCTGCAAAAAAATTAATCAATATTTGCTTGCACAGTAATTGTCCATAAATTCAGATTAGAACCGTAGTTCTGTAATATTTACTATTGCTGGCAAGTTGACAACGACGATAAACCACAGAACGTTAACGTGTGCCTGATATGCACTATGCCAATATTACAGATATTCGGCTGATCACTTACCGCCTAACCATGATCATATACAGAACACACCTCCATTTGCTGTGGATGTCGGATTTTCAATGGAATGTCGGGTAGACGAAATTTCATTGGGATGAAAATTTTCGGCGGATTATCCAACACGGTCTGCAGAGTACAGTATAAAGGTTACACGCAGGCAGTAATGGGTGCCGAAAGTCAACAAAACCGATTTGCACACATCACACCGCTGCATAACAAATTAACAACACAGTATTGTACACATTACGTGACATTATTACGGTACTGAAATTCTTGCTAATTCAATTTACTGCATTGTAAGCACTTTATCATCTTCTGTTAAATCTTCAGAGGAACTGGCATCCGCGGGATGCGCTCTGTTCACGTCGGCGGCTGTTAGGTTATAACTGCGTTGAATGTAATTGGTCAGATGCTCCCAGGAAGGTTTCGTCAGCTGTTCGTTCTCGGGATCAGTTTCGGGGCTTTCCTGATCACCTGACACCAAGGGAGTCCACTGCGGATCCAAGTATGACAGAGCTTCACTGCGTTTATCTGCCCCCAGGACACTGGACGTATTAGCCGGAGATGCGGTCATGCCTAAAAAGAAGGTGGAAGCGATAAACGCTAGCGGTCCCGTTCTCAATCCATTTCCAGGTGGATGGCTACAAGCTTCATTTGCGATGCCTGGAAATCGATTCGCTATAATTTTTACGAAAGAATTGCTCCAGTATCGTAGAATGTAGTGTAACCAAGTTACAGTTCTTATTAATGGTTGATGCTGGTACGAGTTTTACAATAACAACAACAAAATCACTGATGGTACAATGTACAAAGTTTACAAACTACCATACAAACCACAAATCCATTATTGTACGTAATACGAACTAGGTAGATAGTCGTACGGTGCCAATGATTCAGATTATTACAGCTTTATTCGTAGCAAAAAATTATGATTACAGACTACAGTGTATAAAATCGGAAATTACTAATTAGTGCAACTTTACGTGTTTCCCAGCAGTCCAGCCCGCTCGGCTCGATTCAAAGCAACCGAAGGGTAGGAGCCGAATGCGAGGTGATTACAGATTACTGGATTATTAATTCCAGAATTCCAGTGAGGTTATTGAAACTGTAAACGTAGTACTTCCCTGAGTAGCTGACAATTACCAAACGTCTAAGCATTATAAAGATAAAATAATTTTTGTGTGCACAAAGTGGGTCTTACGTTATTCTAAAAATCTAAAATTAATCAAAATAATCCGTATTAAACACGTACATACTCTGGTACTTAATAAAATACCGTAGTGTGACCACTAAAAATATGCAATTTTTGCAGTGCAAATTGCTTACCATAGCCACACCCCTCCATGTGCGTGATGGCGCAATGGTGCAATCCGCACGCCAAGTCTTGACGATACCGTCAGAGTACGCGATGAAGTTGGTCGCATGTGGTGCAGCACTTTCAATTCGTGTTAGATCGCATCTCGCGTTCGGGTTGATTTTTCATGCGTAGTTTCAAGTTTGTTCGTGAGGTCTTGGTCTCTTCGGAAGTCGACATAATTACGAAGTGAAATCTTCCTCCATAATTGTAAACCTGCAAACTTTTAACGGTCCTGAATCGGGCAGGAGTATTCATGCTTTTGTAAACGGTTCTTACTGAACAGTTGTTTTTTCTCTCCGAACCTTTCCACGATAATTTATGATCGCTACTAGACATTCAGGTACGTGGTCTAACTGTGAAGTGACGCAGTCACGTCTTCCATGTTTGTGGCTCTAGAGTAATTTATATAGTACAATAATTCCAGTTTTAGCCTGTGAAATATCGCAGTACCGAACTTGTAATACAGTACAGTAATTTGTAATTGGGGAGAGACCGGAGAGTTAACAGTGTTACTGGTTACATCACGTTGTCTCAGGGAGAAACAGACTTTCGGTTCCCTTTCGTTCCAGCGCGATATAGAACTGTAAAAGGTTATTCGTTATAATGTTAACAAATTATGGGCCTTGAACAATCTGAATTTCCATGATGAGTGCAGAAACCAGAAGGAATGCAAGTTGACATGATTTAGTTCGTGAAGGAGTACTTAATTGATGGGACGTAGTTGAAGGTAATGTCGGAAAACTGCATACGCTCGGAAAATAAGAAATTATAAATGCTAATTTAAAGACTTACTAAAATCAGCAACCCGGTAAAATTATAATGATCTTGTTCATTGTACTTCTGCTTGCTTGTCAGCTTGTGAATGCATACTTATGAGTTGTGGCAAAGGTCAGGGTGCATATTATAACTTCCGCCGTTTTTTGTTAAAAAGTTTGTTTGTCCTGTATGATGTGGCTGTATCCGTAAATATGGCGTGTAAGCGGTAAGCCGTAAGCCCGCAATTATATCCAGTTCCGAAATGTCTAAAATAATACGAGTATATTAAATTCTAAAACTAAAGGAACTGTTAAGAATAATTACATTCCATGCAGTGAGGTGCGTTTTTTTACTTTGTTCCTAATGAAATTTTTGTATTTGGGCTTTTAAACGCAGTGAAATAACTGAAATTCTTGAATTTCAGCACCTGCATGCACACGCTCATATGGTCATGACTAGTAAATTTCCGAGAAATTCTCATTGCCTGAGTAATAACCTTCATGATATACAGCATAATGCAGTTTTTGTTAATGACTGCCTGTAACAATACTGTTTTCTGTTATCCTTACATTTTGATGGTTACACTGCAGTTTCCATAGCTGGACTTGTGTGTTCGTTGTTTATGGTAGCAATTAACCGGGGATCAGTGTTTTTGAAGGATTTGCGTCACATGCTGCGTTTGACATATAGATATGACGATCGTTAGCGGCGGTACTGGAGTGCAGCTGAAGCAGCAGTTATTTTTGCCACATAGTATTAGCCGTTTGACGGCGTTGATTTCGGCTGGCATTTAATTTTCCGATAGGCTAAGGCGATTTTACACAGAATTGGTGATCTGCAGATAATCGGAGGCTGTTTCTGCTTGGTCGCGTTAGGCGTATGGCCCTTGGGCTTTTTTACATGAAACATTTACAGTAATCGAAATTTCAGTTGTTACTGTGTCATTGGATAATAGTTGCCGACTGCGTTTTGAATATTTACAGGCTGCTAGTGTTACAGTTCTTGTTTGCTGCTTCTGAACGTTCGCCGATTTTCTCGTTCTTTCAGCAGAATTGAATAATGTCATCGGTTTCTTTGCACCTTGGTTACAGCATTTATTACAGAGAATTTCGGTTCCCTTGGCTGCGTGATTGATGACCTTTTTTGACATTGATAGTCGTTAATTTCGTGATTTTTGGCACACCTATGCACCAGTTACGTAGTTCATCCATTGCAGAGTTATTTTCCCGCGGGAATCCGTCGAGTTTTCGTAAAGAAATTTCGGCGTGCCATTGTGTAACGGTGCAAACGCTTCCGTCATCATCCGGTTCCGGTCAGTCAAGGTTTATGCCTGGCCACAAGTGCTACCCTGTTGTCCAATATCACTCGGATCGCGACAACACCATTGCCAACACAGGCCCCTTCAATTACCCGTCGTCCAGCAACAGAAGGAAACTGTTGCTCCTACGTCAGAAAGGTTTAACCAACCAAGAAGGTCCGAGCTTCGGGCAGAGTCCCAGGTGATCACCGCGAAGCGGCGTCGACACGGACCGGGTCGTGAATGTCAGTAATTCACGCCAGAGAAAGAAGAGCCACTGCATTCCCATTGCACTTTTTCCATCAATAACGTAACATCAAAACAGCTGCGAAAATGACGCTCAACATCGACAGAAGCAATCCCGATCAGTTTTATCGTTACAAGATGCCACGACTTGTCGCCAAGGTAAATTGATTGAATTTTGATTAAATTTTTCGCTCATACAGTTATAAACTTTAACTATCGAGCGCTTATAGGTAACGTTCAAGTCCTGGTTAAACGGGATTCTGTACTGATATTGATATTGGGTTTTAAAATCCTTTTTTATGTTGGTTAATGGCTTTTAACAAAATTATTAAAACCGCAGAAATGAAAAATAAAAGCGAAAAAACTTGGATGCAGTGTAATCGTTAAATCAGGATATGGTTGGCCATAGGTGGAAGGATCTGGCAATGGAATTAAAACCGTCGTTGCCAACATAACGGAGATAGCGAAATCCTTGGATAGACCACCAGCCTGTGAGTACCGAAAATATGATTTTTTTACGATTACTTCGTTGGAACATTGTCACCGCCGATAAAACTGCGATTTATTATCCTCTTGGTATTATTGGGTTACCGTTGTAGATCCGTTGAAATACTTCGGCTATGAATTGGGCGCCCAGACAATGATTGACTCGAAGAACGATCGTTACATCGTCAATGGAGCACATGAGGCACCACGCCTGCAAGAAATGCTTGATGGGTTTATCAAGAAATTCGTCTTGTGTCAGAGCTGCAATAATCCCGAGACAGTCTTGGTATGACACACTGATAAATTAAGATTCTATATTAGAATGAACCTAATCCTTTGGCTTTGTAGCAAGTGTATCCAAAGAAGAACACGATCAAACAGAACTGTGCGGCTTGCGGTTACAGTTGTATGGTGGACATGAAACATAAACTGACAACCTACATCCTTAAAAATCCACCGGCGGAAGTTGGAGAATATGGAGAATCGAAGGGAAAAGGGAAAGGCAAGGTTAAAGGCCGTAAAGGTAGCGGTAAAGAGGACGAAAAGAACGGCGGTAGCAAGACAAATGGTGCCGGTGACAAGGCAGCACCCGGCTCGCCCACGACCGAAACTGAAAACCCCTTCGACGCTCCACCTCCAGTCGATGCCGTGGATGGGGATGAATTTGATGATGATTGGGGTGATGAAGACACCGAACAAGCCCGTAAAAGAACGCGAAAAGAGCTGACCAACGGAATCAAGAATCTGACTACCAACGATGATTTGGACAAGACGGAAGATGAGCGTTTAGATTTGTTCTACGAATTTGTCAAGGTTGGTGTTGTAAATTTAAATTAAGAAGAGTGAAAGTAGCAGTTTAATTTATTCTACTTTACATGCTTGAATTGTGCATTAATTAAAGCAACTGACCTATTTCGTGCCACTTACAGAAGCGAAAACAAGGTGACCAAGTGGATGATAAAGAAATCTTGGTTGAAGCCGAACGCTTGGAAGTGAAAGAGAAAGCCCCGCTCATTTTGGCTCGAGTGCTTTTGGATACGAACATGATGAAACAAATCAAGGATTATCGCAAAGTGTTTCTTCGTGTACGTCAACTCTTGGACGTTTACGCTCAATGTCTGACCGTAATTGTAATTTTATGTCGTTGTATTTTCTTATAGTTCACTGCGGGAAATCAGCGTGCGCAAAAATACTTTCTTGGCGGAGTGGAGCATATTGTCGGAGTGGCCCATAGTTCAGAGTTGATGCCAAAAGCTGTAGTTCTGTTCAAAGAGTTGTACGATCGGGATATTTTGGAGGAAGAAGTCTTGGTGGACTGGTATGATAAGGTAAACATACTTTTGCAGACTAATTTCAGATGTTATTTTGATACTTTATTTGTCTGCGCTACTTTTTAAATGAGAATTAAAATGGTTATAATCTACGCCTGGTAATGATCTCATTAATTCACATATTATTGTTTATTACATCCTCAAATTTGGCGCGGCGTCAAGTAGGGCGCTGTGTCTGTATGCAAATAATCACGACTGAGAAATTGATTTGATGGGGATTAATCTGCTTTGCAGCCAACAAAGAAATATGTTGCCAAATCGATTGCTGAAGAGATCCGCAAGAAAGTTTTTCCTTTCATTAAATGGCTGAAGGAAGCAGAATCCGAGACGGATGAATCGGATGAAGACGACGGCATTCCACTCGCCCCGTCAGCGGTGAACAAGGCTGGTGGAGACGTCAAAGGCGGCAACGTTGTTGGTACGAACAACTCAAAAGCAGCGACGATAAATGGTGGACCAAAAGTCAATGGGAATGGTATCGGTACTAATACTCCACCGACTGAAGAGGAAGACGAAGAGGAGGTGGATATCGATGCGATCTAAGTGGCGACCAGATGCTGGATTTAATATTGCTTTTACATCAGCGCATCTCAGGATTTTACGGAGGATACGACTCAGCTTAATATCTTATTCGTGCTTTTTTTCAGTGCGCAGCCGTTTTTATTTCACTCGTAAATAACAGTAGTAAAGTATGCTCGTCTCATTTGAATGTACAAAATCAAAGTATCGGTTCAGAAATGAGAAGATTTCGCTAATTGAAACCCATAAGTACTTTGTTCTTGAACTGGGGCTGCTTAAAATTTTAGCCAGATGCAGTAGTAGATTCGTGCTGGGCCTGCCAGTACCGGGCTTGTTATTATTTATGATTGTGTGTTTTACGGTGTTTTCAGTGGTTTTTCTTTGCCAGTGAATCTTGGAGAGTTTTTCTTGAGCAGAATAATAAATGTATAATTCTGACAGACGTTTTGGCGTTTTTGAACCAGAATCAGAATTACGTTTGCGTGTTTATTCGTGAGAACAATTTGAGTATGTGCCGGAAGTCGAAATTGAATGCCAAGTCAGTATTCATTGCAGAAAAGCCGCTTTGTCCAGCTGATCCGTTAGCTGTAGCAGCGCCACTAGTGACGACACTAGGTGCTTGGTGTCCTTCCCGAGCAACTGGGAGGCTGGGATGCTTATCGCTCATTAGGACCCATTGGCTGACGTAAGCTGGTCCAACCAACACTCAATGACGGTGAAATCATTCGAAGTTCACAAAGCGCTCAGTTATCGATCACGCTTCGTTCACGCCGAATCGAGTCATAACCCGTTTATTCGTTGTCTTTTACATTTTCCATTATTTCTCGTACTTACTGCCATTAATTTTAAACTTTCGTCAGAACCAGTAGAGGCAGAGCAATTCGCTGTTGCTATAATTTTTTTATTTCTAGCTCGTATAGCTTATTAGTTACCACAGATGTTAGCATTCTTACTCTTGTAATTACTATTTCAGATTCAGATCCTATGTGTATATACAATATCAGTCCGTCTACTAATATTTAACTTGGGAGTGAATTTCTTATAATTAATAAAATGGATGACGACGAATGTTATGGGTTTGCATCAGGCGACGATATAGAAAACGACGCTGATTACGATGCCGAATATGAATTCGCTGACGACGAGTCCTTCAGCGTGGAACCCGTCCGTGTTTCTCCGGGACAGTCACGCACTTTCTCGCGACGAGGCTCCGTGCCACGCGATATCTCCAAACGGCGCAAAAGTGATGATCCAGAGGAGATCGACACGAGTGTCGCGTTGGGAGACCACTTTCAGACCCGTACAGCCCGCGGAGATGTGGTGTATTACGAGGTTCTCATGCCCCAGCAAGTTGTTGCCAAGATGGATAAAATCATCGGTCGTGCTAGGGAAGTTATGGAAGAGGTGCGATATTGTCAATAAATTACTGTCGTTTATTTTATAAGTAAAGAAGTTAGGAGAATCTCACACCATCTGCCTGCTGCGGTTTTCAGGTGCCTCCTTCAACAATTCGGCTGATGCTGGGCCAGCTCAAATGGGACACAGAGCGTTTACTGACTCGCTACTATGAAAACCCGGAGAAACTATTTACAGATCTGCGTGTGGGGACTGTGAAACCACGGGCTTTGTCTGTTAATAGGGTAAGATACATAATAATGTATTTTACGTATTTATTTAATTTTAGATGTTTTTTTGTTTTACCAAAAGAATGCATTACATGCGAAAGTTGTTCAAACATTAATGTTACTGATCAAATAATATCAGTACACATGGTGATGTTTTTTAATCGTCTTATTATTAGATAATAGATACCTAATGATTTTGCTTAATGTACTGTACGTAATTTTCTGTCATTTGAGCGGGGAGTTTTTTCTACAAAACACGTTACTTGAAACAAATTTAGTCGCAGTTTTAACGTTTTTAATTTGGATGCGCTTAAAAGATTATTGTGGCAGGTCATTGCGTGTGATATTTGTTTGTTGGATACCAAAAGCACCGATCTCAAAGCCGCCGACTGTGGCCACTATTTCTGTGCGGACTGCTGGAGCTCATACTTGACCGTCAAAATACTGGGTGATATCAGTGCGTCGCGGATGGAATGCCCTTCCAATAAGTGCAAAACCTACCTGGACGATGCCTTCGTGATGAGTTTGCTCAGCGCGGACAGTGTCCGTCTCCGTTATCAGTACTGCATGACGTCTTCCTTCGTCGACTTCCATCCGTGTATGCGGCGTTGTCCCGGCACTGACTGCCTGCGGGTGGCCTGCGTGCAGGAGCGCTCCTGGATCCCCATTTGCTGCGAGCCCTGCGATCTGACATTCTGCTTTTTGTGCGGAAATGAATGGTGTGTAATGACGATTTGTATTTCATCGCGATAGCAAATTTTCAGTAGACATTTTTTTCACTAATGATAATTTTGAATATTGTTTATCTTACAATTAAGTAATGCAGGCATGATCCCATCAAGTGCGATTGGCTCAAGAAATGGCAGAAGAAATGCATGGACGATAGCGAAACCTGCAACTGGCTGTCGGTTAACACAAAGGACTGCCCAGAGTGCAAATCTGCTATTGAAAAGGTATTTATTGGTATTATACTATTACAGTTGAGAAACGTTTGGTGCTCGTACTCGTAGGAGTTTAGAATAACTACTCAGTAGTTAATGACGTAAAATTTATGAGAAAACACTCAGTTACTGTAATACCCTGTAACATTATTGTTATTTGTGCAGAATGGTGGATGCAATCACATGACCTGCCGCAAATGTAGACATGAATTTTGCTGGATCTGCTTCGCGAAGTGGCCTCATCCAGGCGGAATGTCGTGTAACTCCTACAAAAACTCCGAGAACGAGGGACCTCGCAAAGCTTTGGAGCGCTATTTATTCTTTTTTAAACGTTTTGACAATCATGAAAAGAGCGTGAAATTGGAACGGAAGGTTTGTACGCTCGTTATTTAAACTAACGTAGGCCAGATAGCGTGGGAATACCATACTGAGAATACTTAGTTCGTGTCTAGAAGTTTGGATAAGGGTTGACCTTTGTATCTGAATTCTTTTTCCTGATACCGTTCGGTGGGAGGTCTTGCGGGTTGTTACATAAAGAAAAACCATTGGTTCATCTTGGTAACTGAATGTTTTTGTTGCAGTTGAAGGAAAAGTTAGCGACGTCCATGGAATCTTTTCGAATGAGATATACCTGTGGATGGATCGAACTGCAGTTCTTGGTTAAAGCGTAAGTGGGAAAATTCGTATCAAGATGCTGTGGCTTGGGGATGTTGAATAATTGTCGAGCAAACATTTGTAGAAACAGAATTTCCGTAAATGGTTGTAGCGCTTTTTTTCGGTCGTTGCTTTTACCGACATGTTCAACGTTATCGCGATGCTTTGTAGGGTGGACGTTCTGAAACGATGCCGGCAGACATTGATGTATACCTACGCTTTTGCGTATTACCTGAAAGAGGGAAATGAAAAGGATTTCGCTGCTTCGCTATCTGGAGAACTCATTTGATGATACGTGCTCACTTCAGGAATTGCGCCAGAAAGTGCAGGACCAGGCTGGTTATGTGGAATGAAACTGACGCAACATCGGTTATGAAATGCTTCTTTTTTCGTTGTATGTATTGCCTGTCGTTTTTACTTTTTACATTCGTTTTCGAATCGGTATATCCAAAATTTCGGCTGTTTTCATGCAAGCCTACTGAGGTACCGCTTTGTATGCACAATTTATCAAGTACTTTAATTGCATTGTGCAAGCACATACTTTATAAGTGTTGTAAATACTTAATTGGATTGCTGTAATTAATTGTGAATTTATAACATATGCGGTTGACTTGTCACTTGACGGTTTGGATTGAGAACGAAGAAAATAAACATGAACGTGACAGTGCGCGAATTGTTTTATGGCAACTCCAAATTTGAATTTATATGAAACGAGAGCATCCTGTTGAGCTATTCCTTTGTAAAAAATTAACCACTCACTTAAAAGCCCTTGCATCTTTTGCCGTGTCTTCACTTCACGGTTTCGAAGTACTGTAACTCACCTAGTTGACGCATGGTTCAGTGCATTTATGATAAGATTAAGTACTCGTACTATTTTTCAAGTCCTTTTCAATATTTAAACCGCTAACACATTTCGGGAATAATTGGTTTTTTCTGGTTTCGATTATGTATTACAAACGTGTAAGAATTATTCCACCTGCTCATTGCCAGAGCAGAGCATTCAAAATACGCATAACAAAAAAACTTATTTATTTATTTACTGTCCGCATTAGCAACAACAACTTTAATGCGGGCATCGAATGGTTCTTTTATACACTTCTAACAGACATGTAACATCATAACATGGTAAAACGAGCTAAGGAGCATTAAAGCAACTTTTCAGTTTCGCTAAACTGCACGAAAAATTGCACTAAAATAAGGTGAGAAGGAATCCACTTGGGGAACTGTCATGAGGCCCATGACCCCGGAAAGCGGCTCAAACTGCCGACTGTTTGTAGTTTTTAGTTTCTATTAACTTCTTTCCGCACATGGCGCAAATTCCTGCAAACCACCAGCCTTATAATTTACTGAAATTATCAAGATTAATAAGAAACTAATGGAGCGCACAACTGTACTTTCCATCCATATTATTAGCGGTGAATATCAGTGCGTATTTTTCGAACACCAATGACTAACTCACCAACTTTGTAGGCACATGCTTGGCAGTAATGGGATCCCACTTGGTGGACTGTGACTTTACAGATCTTACATTTTTCGAATTTGTCATAAGGATTAAATCTGCAGACAGAAAGGCAAATCAATAAAATTAACTACGACTGTAAAATAAGTATAAAAATCCAGAATCGCGGAACGCGGCTCTTTTTTAAGGGTTTTATTACCTGGCTTTTTTGGATGTCAGTGCCTTATTTTCGTTGACTTTCCGGCCTCCACCTTCTGAAACAGTCATTCCGGATACGATGACAAATCATTACAAATTTACAATCAAAAACTGACCACGTAGATCGCATTTACATCGCTAATGTCTTAAGCAATCGAATTCTTAGCATACCTTAACAGCTCTTAATTTATTGTACAAGTTTCCCAAACAGTCATCGTAACCACATCATAGTACCTGTCGTGTTGCGAGCACCCGATTTCCATGGATCCGGAGTTATAACTTTTCCAAGCTTCGCTTGGCCTGAAAAAAAAGCCAGAAACAGTAAATCAAGTAATCAACATACTTAGTACCAAGACGTACTTACTATGATGCCAAATCGCACTATTTATACATTATTTATTTACTGGAAGCCTTAATAGTTAATAAAATAACAAAAAATAACAATAATATCCTGCGATGCCATTTTCCATAAGAACTAAGAGTTAAGAATCCAAGATAGCAAAAAGTCCGAAAAATTATTTCGAAACTCGTTTCCAACAAGTCAAGCGATCAGGATTTTCGATCATTCAAAAATTCAAAACCACGATAATAAATGCAGTATACCACCCATAACAGACCTTCACTTTTAACTACGGTTTATCACTTACACTTCTCGCAAACCATCTCCTTCCAAAGACTGGCCAAATTATCATAAAAACACAACTTAATTCACTATTGTAGAATGTTTCAATGTATCCCAACAAAGCACGGACAAAATATTTCGCAAACCTCGAAATAGGTTCGCACAAATCTCGCCAAGTAAGCCACTGAAAACGAGCAATGAAAGTCGCAACAAAGTTACAAACGTTAAAATTTAATTTTGGAGAAAACCGAAAACTGCAGCGTTCCAAACGAATTAATATTGGATGATCTACAGTACTGTATGTAAACTGTATTTAAAACTTAAACAGTAGACGTACGAGTAAGTACTTAATTAATGACGAAACCCGGAAAAAAACAGATACTGTTTAAATGACGTCATACTTGGATAAGACAGCGCGAACACCTACGGTCGAATGTTAGGACGATAACGTTTGGGACATGCTGTACTGACAGCCTACAAAATGCGTCTGTATCCTGTGCATGCAGTTGCAGAAAATGCAGTTTTTCAGCTTCCGTTTTTTCCCGAAGAGTTCTAAGTTCCGAAGAATTTTCAAAGACTTTTGACAGAAGATATTTGACAATCTTACTAAATAACCAGTAATTTTCCTGTCATAAAACCTTCGAAGAACAATGGAAACTCCTCCAGATCCCGGAGATACGAAAGTAAGAAAAGTGCTCAGCAGTGTACTGGAATGGAACGGTAAAGCGTAATCACAGGAATCACGAAGGATATTATGGAGCCTGTTCAGTCTCGGCGCATTGGGTAGTGGTAGAGTTATAAGTTTTCACCGTTAAAGAACTATGTGGTTTTTCCACAGGATTTCCGTTTCGAGAAACTGCGGGAGTTCACCTCATGGGAAGCGGATAAAGAAACCGTTGTTTCCAGAGTTATTCGCGGCGTAACTGTCGCGAACCGATTCGGCTTGGCGTTTTGTATTTGCGAAAACGGTATGTAATTTCGGTGCAGTATCCATTATTAACACAGAGTGAAAGTGATTTCATTACAGGGTTTTACGTGATTAATTGTACGGATTTCGCCAACTTGGGGAAAAATGGGGCGCGTCTGGAAGACAGTGGGGCATTCGTCGTGCGCCTCCATGGTCAGCCTGTCTTGGCCGCCGTTAGTTCCACCGGGTTAACTCTCGCGGTTTGCTTCATTGACGATGGCGGACTTCCTGTTGCCTTCTTCTACGACATCCGAGCATTTTCAAAAAAAGTGCGTCTTGGTGCAAGCTTGAAAACCCTTGTGCGAGAACACCATTGTGCAGAAATAATTCAAAAAATTTTAAAAATAGTTGTGCATAAAAAATTAGCTTTAATACGTATGGTGGTTAATAAATAGACAGAAAATAAGTATTTAAAATGTAAATAAACAGGCTAAAAAGGGAAATAAAAAAATGGAAATAGAAATGGTAAATAGAAAAGAAATTAGGTGTTTACAGTTTTTTTATCGACATAATCGAGCATCCTGATCCGGCTAGAGATTCGATTATTGTAAAATGTTGATTTCGTTTGTTAGCAGTTTTGGATTGAAATTGTTTTAGGATGCGAAAGTCAACCCGTTTCATTTGATTCGGCTAAGCATCACCCCGGCAGTTGCTCTTCGTGATTTTTCTTGGATCCCCACAAACGAAGAGATCTTCGCGGTGGTCTTATCTGACGGATCCCTTTCACTGTTCGAAATCAAAGAAAATGCGACCAATGTTATGGGATCGCTGCCGCCGTCAGGAGCAACCTGTCTCAGCTGGAGTCCCAAGGGAAAGCAGTTTGCCGTTGGCAGAACTGACGGATCCGTTGCTCAGTATAAACCGGATCTGTCGCTCGCTCGCAGCATTCCTGGTCCGAAGATCAGCGTCTCCGCACGGAATATTGTATGGTTGTCCACGTACGTATTTGCCGTAGCCTACGTGCAGCCGGGCAACAACCAGCCCATTCTGGTCATTCTCAACGCACCGAAATCCGGCGAACCGATTTTCACCAACTTCGACGACGTGTGCATGGGATCGAGCGATGCCAAGCGGGAACCGTACTACCATTTGCTTCCCGTTTTCGAGTGGAATATGCTTTTGGTTGCCAGTAATACTGCCATGGAATTGGCCGTGCTGTCGTGCCAGTCCGTGGATCAGACGACCGGATGGCTGCAGTTGCTTTTGGAGGAAACGGGGCGGGCGGAAATGCCGTTAGTTGGCTCGGAAGAAAATTTTCCTTTGGGAGTGTCTCTGCTGACTTGCACTCCATTTCCCGTTATTATTACGGCAACGACTTTGGGCGTCTTGGTACTGTACAAAATAGTGAATCAGATGAAAACGCCCACTGGCATGCCGCTGAACATTTGCAGGTTTGTGATTTACCTAATAATCGGTATGACATGTCGGTCTGACAAAAATTAAGATGACCTTTAGTGATATTATCATTGGCTTAAATGTCTTTATTGTCAAACGCCAGTAAATCAGGTTCATTGATTTTTTAATCTTTTTGCTCACGGTACTTGTTTTTACGTGTTGTTTAATTAATTGTGCTGATTTTACGGAAGTATTAGGGAAGTGGCGTATTTTACAGCAAAGTGGAACTTTTGGGTTCCATTCCTGGCGAGCGTCGCCAACTGGATATTCCGCAGCCACAACAACGACCTCCAGTCATAACTCAAGCCACAAGTGTTCCGGAAAAGAAACCAATTTTTGCCCACCCGAATTTATCCGAATCATTTTCTTCGGTCAAAAGTCCGCTAACTCTCTCGACAAACCAAGCTGCCAAACCAACACTACCCAGTCCTGTGCAGCCATCGGTTCCTCTTTTGGTTCGACTAGCCTTGGATCCTTGTTGGACGAAAACCCAAAAGCTGACAAGCCGTCGCTTGCACCTTCGAAGGAACCAGTCCATACGGCTCGACCAGTTAGTCCGAAACATTCGTTAAATTTGCAGCATGAAAAGGAACAAACCGTGTCGACTACAATAATTTCTAGTAAAGTAAGGTTTTTCTTTGCTGTACTGTTGTATATGTGCAGCGACACATAACTGTTTTGTTTTGGATCATGTAGTGAGAGTTTTCATAGGGAATGACTGCGGCTCATACGACTCCGAAGCCAGTTGCCGATCCAGCGAAAATACCTTCGGGTACCGTTCAGCAATTTTTGCGCAATATTTCTGCTCTGGGAAAGCAGATCGAGGGGCTGTCGATCGAAAGGGAGCCACATAAGGACGCTGAATTGTCTCTTCACATGGAAAATTTGTCAGCTGCCATGGACAGTTTGATGAGTATGTTCAACGAGACAGCCATTCGATTGAATGAACAAGAGGGACTACTGGAAGCGCGTCTACATGTCGTGGAAGAAGCGCTGGTTATTATTGAAAAGTGCAGTGATTCGCACTTTCTTGCGTGCTTTCGAGACCTGCCACTTGATCCTTTGCAGCAGCGAAAATACAATAAGTTGCAAAGTAATCTGAAAGAAATTGAAACAAAATTGCGCAGTATCAGCTTGGGAATTGACTTTGAACTGGACACTATGGAAGCGGCAGCAGTGAATACAGAAGACCAATTCGCAGACGCCAAGAAGACTATCAAAACCATCGAGGTGGCGGCTCTGGAACTCCAGAGAAAATTGTTCGAAATTGAGAAAGAGGCGAAGAAGGCTGGATTGCACAGGAGATCTGTGAGGCCTGGTAAGCGTCATTTTGTTAAGAAGATATCTCTGTCCTGAAGTTAAGTGCATATTTCTTGTATTCTGCGAATTGTTGATAGGTTGGTCTTAAAACGTTGTTGAAATAATTCGGATATTTTGAAATTACTAGTACTGTCCACTTCTTCGCCGCAAGTTTTTTAATAAGCTCTGTAAATTTTAGAAGTGCAAGTTAGCCCAGCTGAAGCAATTTCACGGTTATATCCTGATCTGACCAAAATGGCATCCACTAAATTATCCCCAGCAGTATCCTTGCGTATTCGGAATAACATCCGAAATTCCCAGCCCAGAACCACTAAACACGAAGTAATCTTGCTACGCCGACATGTTGCCCAGGAAAAGACATCGTCTCCTACACCAAAACCGTCTGCTAAGTCGTCATTCAAGCTGGATGCCGACTTTTCCGGATTTAACACAAAGGCCGCAGGAGATGGATCATCAAAACCGATTAAAACTGAGGCTAAGAATGTCGGTGCTTCGATGAAAACTGCAGATCAGACCTTCCCTGAAGTTCCGGAACAGGCTGTGCCGTCTGCTGTATTTAGTGGAGCATCGTTTACGTTTGGAGTTGATAAATCAGTTGGCGCAACGAAACCTGCCGCAGCAACAAAAACCTCGGAACCAAAACCTTCCGCTAATCGCGAAATTGAAACCTTGAAGTCTACATTCGGTGGAACTCCGTCATTTGGATTTGGAGCGCATACTTCTTCCAATGTCGCGAAAACTGAGCCTGCAACAAAATCAACAGACCAAAACCTTTATCAAGTGGTCGTGAAAACGCCAGTACGGATTCTACTTCACGAACGGCTTCGTCGTTTACGTTTGGAACTCCCAGTTCGGTTGCTGCCAAACACGTTTCAGGTATTTATTTTTGTATGTCGGGGATGTATCCGTGCCTTGTTGATGTTTTTTGGTAATTCATAGGTGAAGTTTTTTTTGATACGATATGGCTTATTTATGTTGCGTCTTGTTGACAGTGCCAGTGGGAAAGTCGGACGGCAGTAATCCCAGCACTGGATTTGGGTCTCTTTTTGGTGGTGGGTCTGTGGCATCGACAGTTCCAGCTCCGACCAGTGGTGGTTCCGCAGCGAAAATTCCCGAGCCAGCCAAACCATTGTCGGATAGCTCTGCCAGTCAACCTACTGGTTTTGGCAACTTTAAGACCGACAGTTCGCCCTTCGGAAGTGCATTCGGCTCAAAGCCGAGCACTATGACTACGCCAACTGGTGATTCTCCTGCAGCAATATTTGGAGCTCCGACCTTTGGACAGATGCCAGCCAGCAGTGCGAAAGCCGGTGGATTTGCATCTAGTGCATCGTTTGGAGCATCTTCGAAAGCTGCCACGGGTGACACATCAAAAGCCGCTGCTGATCTCAGCAGCCCCGGCCTATCGTTTGGATCTGCGCCCGCGCTGAGCGGCCAACTAACAAGTGGATTTAATGCTCAGATGCCCCCTAAAACTCCTGCAAGATCACAATCCAGTATGGAATCTGACATTTCTAAAGTCTCTGTACAGACAGCCGGAAAGAGTGTCGCAACACCTGTTAAAACTGAAGCCAAGGAAATAAACGTTTCAGTGAAAGCGCCAGATCAGTCGGTCGTTGCGAGTCAGGAAAATACTGCTCCGCGCTCGTCGTTTGGTGGCTCGTCATTCGGACTGGGAACCGATTCGTCGTTGAGCGGCGCGAAATTCGGCGCGGCAGCGAAAGCACCAGAACAGCAGCCTTCGGTATCCGACTATTCCCAAAACCACTACTCCGAGTTCAACAGTGGGTAGCGCTTCCTTATTTGGATTTGGAGCGAATACATCCTTAGGAAGTGCAAAATTCGGTTCAGCAGAGCAGCAGCCTTTGGTAGCAAATAATCCCGCAAATGTTTCTTCGGCTGCTCCAATGGGCGGTGCGTCCTCGTTCGGATTGGGAACGGACTTTTCGTCAGCTACCATGAAACCTGCCTCAGGTCCGAAAATAATGGAACAGAAAACCTTGTCCTCAAGCAGTCAAGAAAACGTTACGGCTTTGAATTTGTCGTTGGGTGGAGCGTCATTCGGATTTGGAACAGCATCCCCAGCTGCAACGAAGCCCGCTTCAGGTTATTGCATACTTATCATTGCAGAACTTATACTAATGATTAACAGTTACAGGTAGTTTATCATTTTAAGTAAACATAGTTATTGATCCGAAAATTACATTTTGAAAATAACTGTGGCTTCAGGGACGTCAACCATCGCTACGGGTGCCGACCAGCACCGGATTCGGTTCGTCCTTCGGAGGCGGTACTATGACGTTCGGGTTTCCACCTCCGTCCAGCGCTTCTCCAGCCACGACGATTCCCGAGCCGGCCAAACCACTGTGGCCTAACGCTGGCAGTGCTGCCCCATCCACCGGCTTCACCAGTTTTAAAGTTGACACGCCAGCTTTTGGAGGAGGCACCGTAAGCTCCAGCTCGAACCCGTTTGCAACCCAAGCAGCATCCAGCGGCTTTCCTACCACAGGATCCGGATTTGGAAATTTTTCCTCATTTGGGAGTAAACCAGCATCGGGTAAGTGGGCATACTTCTCGCACGGAATCCCACGGATACATTTAATTCATGTAACCACTGTCAACACGGAGTGATTATCGTTTTTGTTTTATATTGATTAAGCGTTTACAACAGGAACTGCCGGGACCGCTGCCCCGAGCGGTGGATTTGGATCACCTTTTGGTGGTGGTACTGTGACCTCCACCTTTCCTGCTTCTAATTTTCCAGCTGCAACAGCCGCTGAACCGGCCAAACCAATGTGGGGCAGCACTACCACTGCCACGCAGCCCTCCGGTTTCACCAGCTTTAAAGTCGATACACCGGCATTTGGGGGCGGAGGATTCGGTGCGCCTTCTAATCCTTTCGCAACCCAAGCAGCCGCCAGCGGTTTCCCGTCCGCGGGCTTTGGAGCTTCGGCTTTTGGGCAGACGCCGGCTTTTGGAGGAGCAAGCGGTGGATTTGGCGCCAGTCCATCGTTTGGTTCGTCCGTACAAGCGCCTTCCGGATCAGCCATCTGGAACACACCGGGAGGATTTGCCGCCTATGCCAGTACACCGGGATTGTCGTTTGGATCGGTGGCTGCTCAGAACAACCAGCCGTCGGGGGGATTTGGCGCCGTGACCCAACAGCAACCGCAGCAGTCGGGCGGGTTTGGATTTGGCGGTGGGAATACGGGTGGTGCACCGCAGTCCAACGCCTTTACGCAGTACCGATGAACGTGTGAACATGTTGTTGGCTTTTGTCTTGTGTTTGTATGTCTCTGTTCGTGAATTCATGTAATTGCGTGAGAATCTTTGTTTTTGTATTATGATCATTTTTTGGAATTTGTTGGTTTCCTTCCTGTCTGGATTCCGTTGCACTCATCAAATGAAACACTTGAATGGTATTACGGAATAATGATTGTCCTTTGCTTTATTAAAGGGTTGTTTGAAAAATTGGTTAACTGGTGCAACGGCTCAATCAGACTGCCGAAAAGCGCTTTACCAAGTGGCGTGTAAGCAGTTGCAGTCAGAACTTGTTTCGACGGTGTCTCTGACTCGCAGTCAGGATCAATAATGACGTTGGTTTACCGAGCGATAAAGGACGGTTATTTACCGGTGACGATACTATTTTACTTTTCCTTACAATATCACGTACCACTGAAATATCTGTATATAAAGATTTGCTCATGAATCTGTTCTTGTCCAAATCATAGCATTAATGAAGGTCTGTTATGTTAATCTTAATATGCGCCTTCATTCCTGCTATGGTCCAAATCCACGGCCTCCAGCGCTCTTGTGCCGCGCAGTGACCTTTGCACCGTATGTAGAAAGCCGATCGATGCTGGTCGTATCTACTATCTACTAGATTCGGTTTATAACAGTAATAATTGTTCGTATCGGTGTTAGTTTTGCGTTGGCTGTTGTTAAAGGAAACGCCGTCCCTGTGTGGATACTTGGCCTTTCAACCCAAAGGCTATAATGCCCGAATAAAAGAAACCCAAAGAGATAGAAATTCTGGAGGCTTTTAAGTTTTACCGTTTTAAAATTTAGAAAATGAAGTAGTGTGTCATCACGACTGCATTAAATTTACTGTGATGGCTAATACCTACTAAAATCCCCTCCCAGCAGGAGATGCAGTTACACAAAAAGCGCTCTTCAAGACAGTACAGCGTATCATGATCATACGCTGCGTACTATAACGTATAATAATCTATTTTACATATAAACACTTTATCCTCAACGAAAATACAGAGCAAACCATATTATCTCAACAATTTTATCTCTCCGTTCTGTCGAGTGTCGAAAGTATCGGCTCATGGGCACTCTTAAATAATTTTATCAGCCCAATTCAACACTTTGACGGAAACCGCAGCGTTGAAGTGGTGTGTCATTTATATTACCAGGAACACAGATTGCTGATTAGGTGGTGATAAACTACTTTGTTCCGTGCAGTCATTCTCTATATATAATTTAATATACGTACACTCTTTTGTTCCTGACAAAACACCACCATGAACCTGTTTCAAAGGTGGCCAGAGCTGCAGCAGCACCGCGATACCAGCAAGCTAGGGCAGCTGCAGTATAATTATTATGCCAGCTGGCTTAAGATGTTATAAATAACGCACCAACTTAAACATATGCTCCATCTTTCAAGGGCGCCAGGCGCGTGATTCAGCTGTAGTACGTTCGACTTGTCGTATACTTACATGTTATTCAATACGCACGTTGCATAAAGATGCTGCGCCATACACTGTGCTTCCTGTTGCTCGTGGGGATGTTCGCCGTGGACGGCGTATTTTCCAGGCAGTTGTCCGTTAATTCTCGCAACCAGGTGAACTACAAAGGTGACGATGATTTTGACTATCTGCTGTTCGTCCAGCGATGGCCAGCGTCGGTGTGCGTAGACGGACACGTAACGGGAAGTGAAAAATGCGCGTTTCCCTCTGGAATGTCGCCAACGGTAAGAGTTTCCCAGCGCTTTTGATTGCCAAGTGCACTATCGCTCGTCGCTAGGTATTTGCACACGTACGGTACTTATTTACTGAAACGTACATTTTGATATTATTTTGACTATTCACATGTTCACAAACCTTCTTGATACGTATCTGGTAATTATGGAGCGAACGATTAAGCCGTTGCCCAGTTTCCTTATCCTCCATAATACTGTAATTGTACGTATGTTATCAGAATCCTCATACGGTAGCGTACTTCGAAAACTAAAATTATGAAACAACAAATGGACGACTTTAAACCGAGTATCAAACATTATTTTGTCCTTTATATTATTATTCATTTATTGTACATCCTATTAGTGTAATACTAGAGTAGCTCTATGCAAGCATAGTCGTTGTTGCATCTGGTGCGAAATATCTGTACTCGTATTAACAGTTGACGTTAACAGTTAACGCAATGCGTTAATGCTTTCCATTTTCATCGGTTTCAAAAGATTTGTTTAGATTCTGACGTTTCCTTAAAACAGATTGGTAAAAATGGCATATATAAGATGTACTGAATTAATTATTAAGACATTTCCATTGTTGTGCAGCAGTCATGTTTAGCGAATTTACCAGGGTTAAAATTATTATATCGCAAACATTTATCTGAGTATAAGCATGTGTATTGAATGTACATAATCAGTACAAAGCAAAATCAAGTCTTTTTCTAATCGACATATCCATTGTTAATTTGTGACAAGGAGTATAAAGTTCTGATCGTGAGATACGAGCTGTATGCTTCTTCCTATCTTCAAATGCCATGCCAAATATTAAAACTGCAAAAATTTGATTTCAAAAATTTCTGGAAAATTGCACTTTTGTATGCTGGAAGTAATTACTGCATATGTTTTTCATATTAATAACGGCAGCGAACAAACAATAAGATACAGCTGTAGTGTACTACGTTTAGAATAGCGTGCATATTTATATTGTATGTGTAATGTGTAAGTATATCTGTATTAGGACTGGATCCTGCACGGTTTATGGCCATCAAAGTACAACTCCACCGGCCCGGAAGACTGCAGTAAAACCCCCTTCAATCCCGATCCAGTCCAGCCGATCCTCCAGGACCTGGAGCAGTACTGGCCCAACCTGGAGACCAACACTCAACCGGACAGTTTCTGGGCGCACGAATGGACCAAGCACGGCACCTGCGCACAGAGCCTGCCGTCGTTAGCCGGCGAATTCAACTACTTCAACCGGCCCCTGCAGTTCCGCAAACAGTACAACCTCTACACCGCCCTGCAGGCGCAGAACATCGCTCCCAGCGCCAGCAAGACCTACTCGCACGATGAGGTAGTGACGGCGCTGCAGAAGGAATTCAACGAGCCCATCGGCGTGTACTGCACGTACAGCAAGGACACTAAGAAGCATTACGTTGCCGAGATCAGGTTCTGCATGACCAAGGATCTGGCGTTGATGGCGTGCCCGGAAAGTGGGCATCATTTACGGGAGACGTCGTCGTGTCCCAAGGGGGAGAGTTTGTTTTATCCACCGCTTCCGTCAACCGGCCGACAGGTGCCCAGTCGAAGTGCGAGCCGGCGAAAAAATACCGGCAAACAGTGATACCGGTTAAAACGTTTTCATCGACACTTTCTGTGCTTATTGTTGCTCCTGTTGAAGTGATTAATAAAATTTACAAAGAAAACAGCATGCATTGACAATCTGACACTTCCATAATGTACGCGTACAACTGATTGATTCGTAAGACAAGGTCAATTCTGCGGAAATACTCATTGTTTTCTGGTTACTGGATTACGCAGTATTCTGTAACATTCTGTGACTCATCCGACTATTGTAACATAGATTATTATAATTTTATCGGTCCATATATGGCGGCAAGATATTTTCTTGCGATTGTAATCTAGAAGCAATATTAAATGTTTTATTAGTGCATGGCGTATTTTTTTGTCGGTTTTTTTATCAGCCTCGTATTGTGTGTTTCAACTAGATGACCGGAAATCAAACAGGTAATTAAACTACTAATTGCTCGTCTCCAGCCGGAGCGAATTAGATAAAAATTTTGTGCATGCTTAGCTGCACGTACAGCAGCAGCAGCAGCACGTACGTACGTGCAGCACGTAGCTGACGCTGAAGCAACACATGAAGATAGCGACAACTACCGTATGTGTAATGTGTATTATGTATATCTATATAAATGGGAGACAGAGATATGAAGTGGAATCGCAACGTCCAAGAACTTAAGTTTTCTCTCTACCGGCACATGCAAAAAATACCTTGGCCCCGCAACACAACTTATGATAGATAGGCTGCACGGCAGGTAAAGCAGGAGCGATCCTGAATCGAGGATCATCTGTACCGTAATCATCTTCCTGTGCTAATCCACTGACTGATCAAATGACCAAGCAAAGCGCACGCAAGTATACATACATATTATAAACTTAAGCATCACAAAAGTTCCATCCTTTGGAAAATAAACTTGGAATACCGTACAGTATCACAGACATTGCAACAGTGAACAAAATGCTTGAGAATGAGGAGCGACCGCATCCGGACGACTTTCGTCTGGACATATTGTAATACTCTGCTAACTGATCCATCAGAAGTTCATGTTCATCACATAACGAAGCATCCGTTGCTTCCTTCGTCATGTTTGTTGTTTTTTCGTTAATCAGGTGGCAAGGTTGGTAACAGTGTGGTGGCTCCGCATAGGCTGAATATAATTCAGGAATATCCGGATCTACAGCAAACGATTAGAAATAAGAAATATACTCCTTCGTGTACCAATACGTCCTCCCTGCGATCACAAAAGTTTTGCAACAACCATAACTGGTTAAACAGCTGGCATACTCGCCATCCACAAGTTTACTGTTATCATTTGCGTAAATAAGCTTCGGGTACTAAAGAAATTTTTACACGCTAAGATGTTGGTAATTTACCTTACGTATACAATTCGTGTAATTACAGGAGCTAGAGCTACAACAAATTCGGTTTTACATCTTTTCTTGTGATGAGCGGTACAATTTGTGCGACATATGTACATCGTTTCCGTATGGATGCGATGAACAACCATATATATTTAAAGGTGCATTTTTATATTTCTACCTTTACAGAAAAATGCAGGTTCGCCGGCATAAATGATTTTGTCATCCGGTGTCAAGTATGGGCAACGTTGCTCCACATTAGTGCAAAAAGTAGTGCATGGCTGGATTAAGTAGTCACCCATTCGAAAAGGGATCATCATCGCGCATAACCATTGCCGGTACGCAAGCTGCAACAAAAGTTGATATAATAAGTAATCAGATTATTCTCTGCGTGCTTGTCGCAGACTATCCAGCTACATTTATAAGCGGTATCAATAATTTGGTAAAAGATTTTGTTTACTTTTTTTGTGCATTTGTAATAATTCTGGAAAGGAACAACACACTTGCATTTCTTAAGTATCTGTAGTACGTAGATAGGCAGCGCGCCCGCATTGGCTCAGTACAAACATGGGTGCAGGTCACTTCAAGACCTGCAGCCTTCAAAACGAATCCAACCAAAATATAAGTATCCCCGCAAATCAATAATTCTTCATATAAATTTTTAGCACAGCGTAGGTAGAATTCATTGCATTAATACTGACTGTTATTACTGCGCTGTTGAAAGTTTACTTGCAACAGCTCCCTGAAATATATTATTGTGAACGTAGTATTTTCGCAGGCGGATAAACTTGATTCCAGTCAACCCCACATAGCAATTAAGGAAAGAAACTCTATCTGCATGTACAAATGTCTTCAGGGGTTACGAAAAAAGACTGCATGGGTGTTTAGGTGCTAATTATTGGCACGGGTCAATCACTAATGGACTACACAGTCTCGAGTTACGAATTGTGTATGACGTTAAATGATGATGGACAAGCAGTGAATGCTTCATGAAACTTAAATTTTTACCCTTTATAACTGCTTGGGTAACGGGATTCATAATAAGCTTTATCGATGTCATAGATATAATTTATTTCTATTACAGCTAATTTCCTGACGTATGATAACTACAGAGTACACCCGACCCAACTTCCGAACAGAAATTTTAATTAATCAAAATATATAATACGGTATAATTTTTACTCACACCGTAGTAGCTTGTAATTTTATCCCAAAGATTTTGTACAGACAGGTAAAGTTGTAATGTACAAAGATCTACATCATCTAAAAACATTTCGGGCAAAATGTGATATAGAAAAACGGTTGATGGTAGTTGTTGCGCCATGCGGATCCGAAAATATTGTTTCATCAGTGAAACTGCGCGCTAATCAATGCTTACTAACTTCCGAAGTTGCACTCGTTTCATGCATGCAAAATCATACCAAAAATGTAAAATGTAAGTAGTTAGAATTGCGTTTTTCTACAATGGTTGATTGCTGCTTTAACTCAGATGTGAATTGTATACCCGCAAGCAGATTATTTCGATACCATAATGACCGTAAACTAGCTGCAGATGTTACCGGAAGTCCGAGCAGTTCCATGCATATTATACAGTATTTCCTTGCGCGCTCGGGTTCATTGGGTTCGTTTCTCGAGTTATCAGGGCTAATGGAATGATCAGATTTCTTGGTGATCCAGAACGGAAAACACATGAAGCACTAACGAAATACATGCTAATCGCGCTGCGAATGGCAGTGCGTTTACTAATTGCATGGACTGCGTCACCACCGCCTTCTTACAACTGCCTTTTTCTTCCGCGCCTTCTTCTAACAACTCATTTAATTGTTTCCATTTTTACGAATATAAGTATCTGCATGCATGTAAGTAATATTTTCAATACCTTTGCACTCAACTTTTTATAATAATTCAAAATTTTTGTGAGTCTTGACTAAAAACGTTGGGGTCGATGATGTAAAGCCGCATTGATCTGCAAATGCCCGGCTTTTCCTTTAATTACTTGAAAAATTTTGTCAGAATGCGCTAAAACTAACAGCGATGGCGCATATGGGTTAAGCCCTGTGAAGCTACTCTGTATCCCGATACAGAAAGTGCTGACTGTGATATCCAGTTGTTCGGGCTGGCGGTGTCACGCTAGCCCATTATCGAAACTAGTCCAGTAATCATGCCATGTACTCATGTAATTTCGGGTATTATGCATATATGGACAGCAGTGCGCTGTACTGGATGCATCCGTCCAACCCGGATGTGCCCGCTAGGGAATTCCTCGATATGGCTGATTTCTGGAGTGTGAAATATTGAGTATGACTTAACAAATTACACATTTTCCCTGTTAATTGGATGTCTATAGCTGACTCAGTAATTGCTTAAAGCCGGTAGATCCGCGGATACAAGTCGACATGCACAAATCCGGTAACATATACGTATCAAACCGGGAGAAATAAGCCACTCCGTCTTCACGCATTTCCGGGATGTCGTGTACAATGCCTGCATTATTCACCGAGTAATACTGACGTGAACCCGGACTACACGCAACGTGAATGTCATGCGTTCTGGGCTTCAATAAGACTGATTCGGCCCGTCCGTTCAACACATTTCCAGCACATATATGGGCAGGCAGGGAACAAATCTTCCCCCTTGGAAGCCAAACAAAATATATCCAGCCGGATATTTCACAACGTTACTGTTTACGGCAAACATGGGGCTGCTTCGATTTTTCGACAAGCCGACTAGTGTGTGCATGGTGTATAAGTCTTATCAGCAACACGCGGCTGCTGCAGTCCAACAGCTGAGTTACTTCCCTTTTGTTTGCCCTGTTTTCAAGTGTGCACAAAACCCTATATCAACTGTCAGTAAAGTCAACACGACAAGTATAAATCACATATTTTTCTCCCTTTTCCAACCGACGGCTGCGCGCCGCAATTGTGAAAAAAGTAATCAATAAAAGGTCATCGCTTGAATCACGATCTGTCCGTTTGCGCTGGCTAAACATTCATCATATGCTGATATTATATTCCGCATATGAAAAGTGCTGCCTTAATTTTGCAAACGCCAGGATGACGCAATCGCTGCGTTACAAGATAAGGACACCACTGAGTGAATCGGCTGATAGTTATATTAGACAGTATCCGTCCGCTATTCGACCTTTGTTTTACTTTATCTTTTTTGACTTTGGAATCTCATACAAAAAACATGATGTGCGAACTGTGTACATGGACTTCGTAAGCATAAGCTGTAGAAACTAATATTATTAGAATGATTGCGATACGATTTTATAATTCATTAAACACAGATAGTTAAATAAGGAAAATAATAAAATACATAACGATCACCAAATAATTTACCTGGCAGTGGCTGCAATTCCATTTCACAGAAAACGGCGTCTCGCAGTCGAAACGCGCCAGAATATCTTTGACAAAGTGGCAATAAACGAACTTGGCATACTGATCAATGTTATAGACATTCTCTACGCACTTCCGGCAGTTTGCTCGGTCTTCCTTGAAGAGACAATCATCGTAATTGCCGAATATGCGCTCCACGGAGTAGTCAGCGCAGAACGGCAGTCGCCAGCGCCGGTAGTTAGCCCGCGATCGGCGTCCGGGTGTTACATCACACATAAATAAAAAATCCTCCAGAATACTGGCATTGGTCGGCACGCATTCCTGCAGTGGATCGTCTAGCGCGGAATGAATGCGCTGCGGATAGGAACAAAATGACCGGTCCAGCCACGGTGTATGGAAGAAACCGCTGACATTCTGCTGGGCATCATCAAACAGGCTCCCGCACATGGCGGGGTAATTCACATTATCATCCGGTGGTAGCGATATTGTGGAGCTGGAGATTTTTCCATTGTCGCCGCGTGAAGATGCCGGCAGCCAGCAACACACCGTCATCACCACCATCAGGATGGCGTAATGCGGCAAATTACATGTCCGTTGCCAGTTTGTGCCGGCATCGGCGTACCGGTCCCAGATGAGTCGTTTACGGAGGATCATTTGGTATTTAGGACGTTATTCGACAAGTACAGCGCATCATACACTCATCAAGTCATTAACCGGTGCCCAGATATATTGTGTGTCCAGGATTACGTTGCAGCCGGTCGCGTAAACACATCGTATTACGCGAAACAATGATTATATGGCACTTGTCAGGGTTGACAGTGTTGCGTCACATATGTTTGCATTATACTGCCTGTGCAAGACACGAAACACATATAAATAATTGGGCTGTAAAAGTGTCAAAAATTTTTGAAAGACTGAATAAATGCGGCTGTATGGTTAAGCAGATTGTGGGATAATTAAGGGTAAAGTCGGAAGTGCGGTAGCGTATATATACCGCAATATTTCTATATAATATAATATGTATGCCGCGGTTGGCATTTGCTGCCGGTCGTCAAGGGATTGTCCGACATATACCAACGCATAAGTAATCAAAAATAAATACACACGACAAGGCACAAATGCCGCACATGTATCCAATGCCGGGATGTTGGCGTTGTGGGCAAAACAACAGCATGATGCAAGAAGCAATGAAAGAGCAATTGTACTGGCAGCTCCAGCGGCAGGAAGTTTGATGAGAACGACACTTAAGCACGCGCGCCGGCTCACAGAACGACTTTATAGACAATGTTCAGACGACTTTCTTTTGCAACGCTCCACACAACAGTACGAGTTGTACACCGCACACGCAGGGTAATTATGCAAAACTCGCAACTTGGAAATCCAGCGGCGCGTTACTGGGGAGATGGCGAAAAAGTGGGTGGCGCAAGGAGCGCTAAGATGGCAAGCCGGGGATTATGGCATTGTGGAAGGAAAAACGAATTAAACCGCCACACAGCTGTACAGTGTACACGGCGAGCGGGAGACTGGACTGTTGATGCGGAAACTGTGCTGTGTGTGTGCACTGTGCAGTGTATTGTATGCAGTGGCGCTATTATTGGTGTGAGTGTGTGCGCTGTGCTGATCACAAACAGTGATCCCGTTCAAGTTCAGTACCGGCATTCGCGGGGAGTTAGTATCGCCACTTCACCGGATGTGCTACAACCTTGCTTTCCGGCTGGGCTCTGTGCGACTGCGCTCCCGTTAGCGGCTTAATCAGTAATTTACCCGCTTTCCACTGTACTCCCGCAGATATATTGCCGGCGCTTATATTGGATGTCGGCAAGATAATTAACACTTTCCACCATCAGCGGTACACATTCGGTCAGGGCGATGGAAGTATTCACGGGGAACAGCTGCCGGGAAATATCGCTGAAATAGGCGATGTTTCAACCTTAGCCGTAATCGGTTATACAAACTAAAAACAAACTTTGATGCATTATTATTGCGAAGGGCACGTTTAAGTATATTCAAGAATGTTTGCGCTTAGCTCAGTTCAGGCCAACACATACGAGAGCAGGGCAACATATTATGTCGAATTTTTTTCGTCAACATGAAGTTCCGCGAAAATATCCAAATGTTATCGATAATTCTTTAATACCGGGATACTTTCAAAGTAAGTCTTATACTGGCTACCATTATAAATTATATTGTTTCAACAAGGACGGCGACTTATTAGTTATTGGCAATTCAGGAACAGTTAGTGCACACTTGGTCCATTTTTTTAATTACTGACCATGAGTACGATGCCGTGCAATCGCATCCTACAAACTTTTCACAGACAGTTAATATTAGAATCATGAAGAGGTTTTGGTTAGTAATTCATTTCCGTGTATCATTGTGCACCGGCACTGGTGGTATGAAAAAACTGGTGAAATCATGCGAGCATAAAATCAAAGCGTGAACAATAGGGTTAATTTCAAATTCTTTGGTACCAAAAAACTTTTGTATTCAATTTTCACTTTCTTCCGACTGTGCTGTGTAACCTAAATATGCAGCTAAATGGAAAAGAGCAATCAAACTAGACTGCTGCTGAATTATTGAAAAGTCTCTTTAATAATTTTTATGATAATCTGACAGCGATTTATGTCAGTTAGAGATGCGTCCAAAATAACCCGTCAATATCTGGCCACAACCTTAGAATATACTCCGTTAGTCCGTATTATAGCAAAAAAGTGCGCAACACTGTACACAACAGCAGATGATGAAAATATAAGGAATCAACATAAAAAATCATGGAGGAAATTTACTTCCGGTGCTATCGTTTGAGTCCAGGGAGAATGTCGTCTACGTTTAAGTCGGTCTCGTCAGTGGCTACCGGTGGCCCGGCTCGAGACGGCAGTCGCTTGGCCGTTCCTGGTCGGACGTCTACAAGCACTTTTGCACTCATATTTCATATTACTTGGTGTTCACTACAGGTTGAACATGGTAAAATAGAGATATTTTTCATTAGCAACCATCAACATTTACTTAATTGCGCCACTTACTGAACTGCTCAAGATCGTCGGCATCCAACGCGAGACCAGCTGTGACACTGCCGACACGCCCCAGTGAGATGGCACTGCCGGCGGGAGTGGCTGCTGGTGACTGCGGCAGTGGCGATTTACGAGCTGTGGACAGACGCTCGGAGATGATGCCGACAGTGTCTGTCAACGCCGCGCCTCTCATCGCGGTCTGCGCGCGACTGGAGGACGCCACTTCCGCGGGACGCGTTCGCCGCAAGAGATCCAACTCCTTCTGATATTTCTGAATTTCACTGGACGGCGCGTGCGTCTCCTGACAAATCCTGATCAAAATCTTTAGGCCTGCATGGAAACGAAATGACACGCTTATGCAAGAAAGTATACTTTTTTCGCGTTTACCAGTGACGGTTATTTCGTAAAAAGCATATAAAACTAAGTTTATTGGTACAGTAATAAATCGCACATACAATCCATATCGTCGGCAAATGCTTCATGTATTTCCACATATTTGTTGTAAGCATCCGTAAGGTGACCGGCACGCCGCATAGCACCGGCAACCAATAGTGACCACTTCGGAACACTGGAGCTGCGCATTCAGGAAAACAGATTTGATTTCATAATACAACAAACAAACAAACTTATTTCATAATACATGAACAGCGCACTTTAATATTCTGTATACACGCAATATTGATCATTACTGTTACATGAAATTACCAAGTATAAAAAATACAAATATATCTCTAATCAAGTATATCGATGTATCCTTACTCTAATTTTTCAGCTAGTTCAAAAAATTTAATGGCCTTCTCCGGAAACTGACTGGCTACAAAAAAGCGTCCAAGCCAGTTAAGGACACTGAAGTTAGCCGGGTAGATGCGGTACGACTGCAGCGAAAAACATCCATTAATTGTGTAAACGTTTACATAAACTAAGCTACATAACACACTGGCGGAAATGGCTGAATGGAGACAATACCTCGTTATAGTACCACAAGGCCGCGCCCTTATCCCCGAGTTTATCGGCCAGAGCGCCCAAATGCTCCAGCACAAAGGGCTCGTGTGGATGCAGCGTGAAGACCTGCTGCAACCAGTTGAAAGCCTCCACAGGTTCATCCAGTAATTCGTACCTAATGAAGCCATAATAACACCGGCGACTATAATATTGATTATATTGGCACACAGTGAATGATATAATGCGTATTGATCGGACACACACGCACTGCTGAGAGATCTGGTACAGCACAGTGGGACGCTGTCGATGGGCTGCGTTCAGTTTCAAAAAAACCGCCAGCGCGTCCTGATGACTTCCGAGGGCGCTGAGAGTGAGTCCTGTAAAGAAAAGCGAATGCATAATTTTTTCGTAATGGGAAATTGTGATTATGTCATGCAGTACCGGCATAATACGACGCCCAGAAATCCGATGAAGTTAAGACTAAAGCTTCTTGAAAGTACTGCAGTGCGGCCGTAAAATCTCCGTTGGCATATTCCATACAGCCCATATTAGTGCATGCTAGGGAATAGACACAATATTTCGGATTAGACATGGCTGAAGCTAAATGTACAATGTACGGTGTAAGTTTGGTCACTGATTAAATTTGTAAATTTAATGTTCAGCACCTATTTTGATGTCCCAGTAGTTCGTTCATACATGCGACAACTTTCACATAAACTGAACTTAATCGACAAACTTGTAAAACACATGGCACATAGTATGAGTAAGTAAAGAACAGATCCTGAGAAATCTGTTCATATTTGCAGCCATCTAGATATTTATTAGTAACCTTAATAAACCAACCTTTGACATTGAATTTATCTGCTTGATACGCTTTTAGCGCATATTCATTCGCTTGTTTCATATCGTCCAGCTGTAGAAAAAACAGCGAAATAAATTAATGCCTACATAAATTACAAAGAAGCCATTTACAACATTCACGTTTGTATGGAGTGACGTACGTTAAAATGGAGAAACGTCAGCACAGTGCACGACTGCGACAACAGGCGGTTGTCTTCGAAATTGTTATTCTGGGACGTCAGAATTTCAATCGTCTAAACATGCATAATGAGGCAATTAGAAGATACTGTATTCGTTCATAATAAAGCAACAAAGCCAAAACAGCCGGCGTACCTTATTGAACTGATTCTGCTTCATGTATGTCCAAGCTTTGGCCATCTCCAGTGCAACGATTAAATCGGGCCACGCTGAAGATTTAACTTGAGAAATGCACCTGGATAATATTTATAAGCCACCATTAAACCCTTATCAAATTACCAGGGTACACCGTAATATACTATACCATTCGTATCCTGCAACAACATCTTCGTCCAGATTAGCCACTAACTGCGCCGCGGTTCGTATGTATTTTTCACACTGTGCTTTGCTGTAATATCCAGAAGGCATTTCAGTTCAATAAATAATAAATTTCAGTTAATTAAACTGCAATCAGAAGGCGTGCTTACTATGTGTTTTCCCACACTCGCAACGAATCATTCTCGATGATTTCACGATACTCGTCGGGAATACTTGTCGGAGTCCGATCGAGTTCTTTGGGCCGAATTTCGACCAAACGTACAAAGGCGTTTTCAATTTTCTTCGCTTCGGCCTTGGTGGCCACTAGGCAGACCAGGCTGTTGAACGCTGCTTTCGGGCTGTCGGCATCTTGGAGGATCATTTGACAGTATTTGTACGCGGTGTCCCAACGGTTCATCAAGGCGTAACAAGAAGCGGCCTGGTGCAACATCTCGATTCTGGAAATTTTAAAAACGGAACATGGATAAACAAAGCCATGCAAAGAAATGCAGACTTTAATACGAGCATCAGTAAACTGGGGGAATTCCCTTCGTACTTGTCGGCATTTCCGTCGCCGGAAAGGTCATCCAGCAGTTTATGAATTATGTGAAGCGCTTGCTCGTATTCTCCCCGTCGGCGATGTATAAGTGCAATTCGGGACAACACAAATGCTGCAAATCAACATTTTGTGTTAACTATGCCAACTAAAACACTCCCCATGCCTCATACTTTGTTCATCCTTTGATGTAGAAGTGTACAGTTCCGTGTAAATCTTGATTGCTTCGTTGAACTTGTGATTCATAGCCAAAATTTCCGCGTAGTACCAGTTTATCTGTTAATAAAAAAATCAAACTTACCTTCACAAACAATACTTAATTATTTGAGGTTTTTGTTATAAAGCTTGCAAAATATGCGCAATGCAGCATAATGTCCACCTTGAACAACAGCGGGTTTATCAAAGCATTTTTATCCTTCGGATTCCACTCAGGGAGATCCTGTAAACTGCGGCGAAGTTTGTCCATTTGCTTCATCTTTTCCAGAGCCTAAAATGTGTTCGGTTTACAGTATATAAATGCGGATCCGGCTGATTATACCCCGCCCACGTCAAAAACGCATAACCTCATAATTTCTTCTTACTAATTAACCAGAGCATGCATTTCACTTGCTATCTGTTATGTAAAAAGGTCAACTAGCTCTTGAATCAACAGACCTGTGGATACAGGTTTCTGGCAGCCAACAGAACAGCTTCGTCAAGAAGGGAACGGATGTCTTGTTCCAAGCGTCGAAACCGACTCAGTGCGCTATCAAGCAGTCAAAACAGTATTCTCGTTGTATTCAGATATTTCAGTGCGTTTACTGTACTTGATATTTTCAGAATCACAATATCTTATCACAAATTAATGAATATGATCTGGACATGGTACGCTAGCGGCCTTCTCTGCTGTCACCTTTTGGATGGAATATCATCGTCAGCGGGATCCAACGGAGGCACGAGGATCGGGGTTGCCGATGAGTGCCGTCCGCTTGGACTTCCCATGCCGGAACTGGCACTGCTTCGATTACCTACATCAGTACGTTTACGTCAGGTCAAATGTTGCAAATGCGAACACAGAATGACAAGGAATTCTTTACTTTTTGCAGAGTATCCAACACCTCGAATGGAAGAAGCTGGTCGAAAATCCTGTAATTCAAAAAGGTCAAATTCATATATTATAAGATGTGCCAGTATGAGTTATAGAAGCAGAGATCATAGGTACGTACATTACGACTTCCGGCGGACAGACGAGCGGTGCTGGTAGGGCGAGCAATAGTCCTGCCCTAAATGGGGATGTCAGCAAAATTTAAACAGGCAACAGCAGTCCACTTTTAAAGGATTTACCAAATTAAAAATGGTTGATATGGATAAACTGGATGGGTGGGCAATGGGCACACAATAAAAAAAGCGGTAACACAAAACGTAATGCTTGTGACTTATTATTTCCGGCCAGTTTCCTCAGCTCAAATAAACATCATTGCTTATCAGCGCAGATACAGCCGTTATTAGTAGAAATGTGCTTAAGTACAGCACTTATTTTTTTGACGAAAATCCTAGCAACACACCCAGTTATAAAAAAAGCAGCCTTGGTAAATACTTATTGCTCACCGTCTGAACTCCTAGACGAGACCCCGAAGCAGTCGCAGTTCTACTGGGCATTGCAGATCCACTTTTCCGTCGTTCACCATAGCTGCTCTGAATGGATCGTTGTAAAACGGCATCCTCCAACAAATCCTAAAATTAATGTTCTCCGCTTCTGCTCCCATGCTCAAAGCGGTAACTTGTGGATGTTTTACCTTTTCCGTGCTGAACAACGATGCGTCTTCGTAGCCTTCATAGAGATCGTCATAATCGTCCTGAACATTCAAGCTGCTCTTTGTAGACATCGCTGAGTTGTGCAAAATACTGTTTGTTGTATTGAGTGAATTTCGCGAACGTTTATACGGAACCGTTACTTTTTCAGTCGCCAGAAATTTTAATCCGTGAACACTGTATCATATCATTACCACGATTATCATGAGCAATTAAAACACGATGGAAGTGTGTTGTAACGAGTTTTTCAGCTCGCTCGGAACTCAATCGACAACAAGGACTTTACTGGAGCTTTTAATGTTTCCGTACAGAGCTCCGTGTTCACATCGCAACCGGGGGCATGGAAGAATCGCTCAATACCAATTCTCACTTGCACTACCTAGGTGCAGCCTTCCAGCACAGGATGAACACATCCTGTAGTGCAGCTAAACGGGAACTGCTTATACGCTTACCCTGCGGGCTGCACCTGTACGTAATAGCAGTACCACAAGTAAGTATTCATGTCCATATCACATCATATACACTTGATAACACAGGCTTGATTTTGTTTCTGTGACTTCTGAGTTGACAGCACTGGAATTTTCAAAATGGTTTATTTTTGCAAGCTATATGTTTCTATCAACCCACTACGTCAAGTAACCTTTTGAACGAAGAAGTTAACAATTTTAGACTCGTAACCTTTTGAACGAAGAAGTTAACAATTTTAGACTAACTTTTTTAACGTCAACCAATTTATAAATTGAGCAAACCACTGCAGCGATGTTTTAGATTCAGCGTTGTTTTGTTTTAGACTAACTTTTTTAACGTCGTCGTCAACCAATTTATAAATTGAGCAAACCACTGCAGCGATGTTTTAGATTCAACATTCAACAATAATGTCACAGTAAAAGAGAAAAACCGTATCACAAATTCGGAGAAGAAAGCGTAAAAAATCAAAGTAACAAAATAAAACATACCAACAAACTTCCTCAGTCCACCTCACTCAAGTTTTGCCTACGGCAGAAAGGCTTTCAATGGTTTGGTCAGCGGATTCTGCTGCCGCAGGATTTTGTTCGTGTTTCCTTGTTGGCCAATGCGGGTTTGATTTTTCCTTTTTCACAAAACTTTGGCTTTCTTTGTCAAAGTATAACGGCATCACTCCCAGTTCCCCGTCGAATCGATTTTTAACTACCTCAATATACCGACGGCCTTGAAGCATCCCAGTCTTTCCACGGTTATTCTGCAGGATGAGGACGTTGTCGGCTTCCTGGCTAGCCTTAACTCCACCATAAATGGACTGAGCAGTCAGCTGAGCTTCTTCTAGTTCCTACAGTTAAAAATTTATTTTTTGAAGCTTCATGCGCTAAATTCTATGCCATTTAACCAATTTTGATCGCAATAATTTAAACTAACTTTTCTGGGGTGGACCACCACGGTGACATGACAGTCGTGCTCCGATGCAAACCTTCGAAAGCCCTCAATCAACCGATCCTGGTGTACAATCCGATCATTAAGGGAACGGAAATTGGAGGAGCCCATCATAAACTGTAGATTGTCCACGACGATATGTTCGATATCATGCAGGTATACCGCATGTTTCATTGCCTACATTAGGTTACGACGGTAAAGTTTTAAGGAAACAGTCATGCAACTTTGTAACATGCATGACGCAACAAACCTCTATGACATTTTCCATGCTTTGTTGTCCATAAAATACCAAAAAGTATAACGGAAGCAATTCAAAACGATCCGCCCACATATCGAATTCTCCTACGTTCTTTTGCAACGAGATTCTGTGGAATAAAGAAGTTTAAGTTAGCTTATAAAATTAGCTATTACAGCGTAAGGAAAATTTTCAGCTACAGAACGGGGTAGTTTGTACTACCGACAACCCAGTGCACCAGGAACCAACCTGCTGAATTGGTTGAGCATGGTTTTAGCGAGCCGAGCGTTTTTGATTTCAAAACTTCCCCACAATGTACGAAGCTACAACACAACAGCAAATACCAGGTTTCGTATGTGCAAAACCGATGACAAGAAAACTTACGCCCTGCGAACACAAATCAAGCGAATATTCGCTCAGGAAAGTCGTCTTCCCGGCGCCGGTTGGCCCGGTGAACACGGTCATTTCACCTTTACGATGGCCTTTCAGGATGCGGGTCAACAATGGAAAGCGTTCCCACTACAAAACGTCCAAGTTAAAGCTACACAATTGGAGTTGCGGATACAAAAAAAAGAATTTTACGTGTTCAGATAAAAACTGTTGTTAGATAATCCTAAAAAAACTATTTTAAAAATCCCAAACCGTTTGTAACAGCCACCTAAACCAAGCAAATACGGCAGCTTGATTTGGGACGACTCGACTTACTTTTACGCCACAGGATTCCTCGATATTATGGAGCTCATTATATACTTCTTGGCGAAAGCTTCCAAAGGTAACAATGGATTTATGCGTAACAGGCTGGGCTTTTTGAATAACAGACGACAAGTTGCCACCCGTATTGAAAACAGTCAATGGGCAACTTTGGACAATTTCTGGCCTAAGTAAAGAAGCAGACCATGAATCAACCACTATATATTTGCTTACTATGCTGTAACAGCACAGCATTGCTGTTCAAACTTCACTGACGAGACCAAAAAACAGCGACTTTCAATCAACTTCCGCGCGAAAATCTTGGTGCTTTGCCACGCACGGTTTCCTCCTCCATTCAGCCATAAAACGATTTTTTCAAATTGTTCCATCATCGGCAGGCTCTAGAAACCAACATTTTCACCATAAATGAATTGTTTAGTTTTAACTGTGGAAGACAGCTCTTTAAAAGGTATGTACATACTTCCACAGGTAAAACCGAGATTCCTTTGGGCAGAGATATCACAGGCTTTTTCAAGGCTTGATATATAATCATAGAGTCGAAATCATCAGAACACACAATCACTTCCTTGGCATCAGCAGAAATTAAGTCCCATCCAAAAAGCCCAAGAGTGTGTCCAGTCTCTCTGAAATTTCGTTGAAATTCAGATAACTCATGCTTGGATAGGTTTTTATGTGCGACTGTTTTTTCTTATCTTAAAAAATACGAAATCGTGTTCCGATTTTATTCCAAGCTGTTAATCGACAATTATTTTTCAAACTATAGGAAGAGATTTTTGTTTACACACAGTGCAGACAAAACGTCAAAACCACATAAAAGGGTAAAAAACCTTTAGCCTCTACGAACTTTGGGAAATGCTGCTCCGTTATGGCTGTTTTGTCATTAAGTTGCCGCACAATCAGCTTCCTGAAACCACAAGGCTTCCTCTTGTCGATGTGGTAACGCGGAATAAAGAGGTCCATTTTATTGGCATAAACTCGGATTCCGAATTTATCAAATGTTTTCTTCTGCAGCCCCTGTGAATATTGCCATTCAGTCATTATTACTGTGCGACTGCGCTCTTTTATTATTCACACTAAGTCACATAACACTCATTTTAAAAGACAAAAGTAACAATTTATTCAATTACAAAGAAAAAACCTGTTGCTATCTGAAGCACGAAAGAAACAACACACAGCTTTAGTGTTCACGACGCGATCACTGATGCAGCCCACCTGTATTTCGTGTACCGATAACAAACTTGCAAACTCTTCGTCGGTAAGGCTGGATGTTCGTCCAGTGAGTGCGATTTCTTCTTTTGCGTGTAAATATCCGTCCTTAATTTCTGCAGCGTGGGGTTCTGTTTTCTTCCTAAAATACAAGTTAACAGGTGCTTCCTAAATTCGGAAATTAGCGCATGGGAAAATGCTTCAAAAATTCGATGCATTTCAGAAGATACCAAAACGATCAGCTCAATTTTGGCAGCAGCCAGGCTCGACGTACCTCTTGGTGGACTCCTCCTTTTCGACATCTTCGTTCTTCTTGGCTGCATGGACTGTTCGCTCGAACTTCGGCCAATTCGCCGACCACAAACACTGCGCACACACCACTCCTCCCGTTGTGTTAGCATTATACAATTTGAATTGGCTGGCGTTCGGCAACTTTTGTTTCATTCAGTCGCAAGCGTGAATCCACGTAATCAATTTTCTGGTGGCTGAGAAAGTCCTTGATTCGACTGGTGCTAACTGTGACCGCGTCCTGAACTTCGCGGCTGATATCATGATAATATGTGCGTTTCTGTAAAGACCAGGGTTGTGGAAAGTTCAGAAAGTAAAATTAAATCCAGGCAGAGGCCGAGGAATTGTGGAGTCTTCGTAAAAAATTAAAAGCATTGGTAACTTCAAACGCATAGTCTCATCGTTCCGGTCAGTCAAGGTTTTCCTGGACAATGCAGCTGTTTATAATATCACTCGGATAGCGAACACATTGAAAAAAGATTTTGGAATTACGTCGTTTGCAGCAGAATGAAATATTGTGGACTAAACGTTCGGCAGTTTTTAAAAGTTTCCTTCAGTCGCAAGCGGCAATCCACGACAAAAAATTATTTTGACTGGAACTGTGAAGCAAATTGCTTCAAGCAATATGCGGCCGCCGCCCAAGCGGTTATCTGTGCAACACAACCTTTTGCGGTAGTTTTTTTGTTATGTTGAACCATCCCTATAGTTTTATGTTATAAGATGCCACGATTTGTCGCCAAGTAAATTGATCCATTGCAGAAATATTTTTCGCGGAATCGAATTGTAAAATTTGGCATCAGCGTTAACGGTAATCGTTCGAGTCGTCAGAAATTCCGGTCAGTCAAGGTTTATGCCTGGCCACAAGTGCTACCCTGTTGTCCAATATCACTCGGATCGCGACAACACCATTGCCAAACAGGCCCCTTCAATTACCGTCGCCACATTGGAAGGACTGGCCTTCAATCAGAAAGGCTTAACCAACCAAGAAGGTCCGAGCTTCGGGCAGAGTCCCAGGTGATCACCGCGAAGCGGCGTCAACACGGACCGGGTCGTGAATGTCAGTAATTCACGCCAGAGAAGGAAGAGCCACTGCATTCCCATTGCACTTTTTCCATCAATAACGTAACATCAAGACAGCTGCGAAAATGACGCTCAACATCGACAGAAGCAATCCCGATCAGTTTTATCGTTACAAGATGCCACGACTTGTCGCCAAGGTAAATTGATTGAATTTCTAAATATTTTTCGCTTATGCAATTGTAAACATTATGGACTATCGAGCGCTTATAGGTATCGTTCAAGTCCTGATTAAATTTGGATTGGTTAATGGCTTTTGGTTAAAATATTAAAATCGCAAAAATGAGAAATGAAAGCAAAAAAACTTTGAAATATGTAATCGTTAAATCAAGTTATGGTTTGCCATAGGTGGAAGGATCTGGCAATGGAATTAAAACCGTCGTTGCCAACATAACGGAGATCGCGAAATCCTTGGACAGACCACCAGCCTGTGAGTACCGGAAATATGGTTGTTTTACGATTACCTTGATAGGGAACATTGTCACCACCGGGAAAACTGCGATTAATTGTCTTCTTGAGATCATTGGGTCACCGTTCGTTGTAGATCCGTTGAAATACTTCGGCTATGAATTGGGCGCCCAGACAATGATTGACTCGAAGAACGATCGTTACATCGTCAATGGAGCACATGAGGCACCACGCCTACAAGAAATGCTTGATGGGTTTATCAAGAAATTCGTCTTGTGTCAGAGCTGCAATAATCCCGAGACAGTCTTGGTATGACACACTGATAAATAAAGATTTTATATTAGAATGAACCTAATCCTTTGGCTTTGTAGCAAGTGTATCCAAAGAAGAACACGATCAAACAGAACTGCGCGGCTTGCGGCTACAGTTGTATGGTGGACATGAAACATAAACTGACAACCTACATCCTTAAAAATCCACCGGCGGAAGTTGGAGAATATGGAGAATCGAAGGGAAAAGGGAAAGGCAAGGTCAGAGGCCGCAAAAGTAGCGGTAAAGAGGATGAAAAGAACGGCGGCAGCAAGACAAATGGTGCCGGTGACAAGGCAGCACCCGGCTCGCCCACGACCGAAACTGAAAACCCCTTCGACGCTCCACCTCCAGTCGATGCCGTGGATGGCGAAGAGTTTGATGATGACTGGGGTGAGGAAGACACCGAACAAGCCCGTAAAGAGCGCGATAGAGAGCTGACCAACGGAATCAAGAATCTGGCTTACGTCCTTAACCGACAGCACCTGCCACGATGCTCTATAGGGAAATGGTGCGTGATTGCCGTCGTTGTTTACTTTGTCTTTTCCATCGTTATTGCCGCGGACGCCTTCACGTTTCCGGAACGGTTTGAAGTAATTGAAATTGGATTTGCTGCTTCTTATGCTGTGGCGGCAACCACGGAATGGCTTACTTTCCACAATATGACCGGCACGGAGCGGCAAGTTGCTAACGGATGTATCGCCCTGGCATCAACTCTGTTTGTCTATATTCTCCGCGTTTCTTTGATGTATGCCGTATCTCCTTCTATACCTTTCAAAATAATCAACCATACCAGCCACCACATTTCGGTGATTATAACGGCCAAAGTTGGGAAAAACATGGTTGGGCGGGCTGGCACGGATGAATATTTAACCTTTATTCTTCGACCCGGAAAAAAATTGCCGACAAATATAGAATCAGTTTCCTGCCGCTTAGTTATCTCACAAATCAATATTTTGAAAAGAGAAAACTATTTTGATGAACACAACGTGCTGGAAACGGTAACACGCGACGTTTACTTTATCCCGTTCGAGGAAGTTGTCATCGAAGCGGTTGTCGAGGGGGTCAAATGCGGGTCGGAATTGATTCGCTGGAAGACTGTGATTCCTGTTCCTGTACCCTAAGTTAACGACGGCGTTAAGAATTCGGCATCATTTTTTAACGTTTCAATAAAAACGCTTTCTGTTCAACGTTTAAACATTTCTTGTATTTTCATTACGCTCACCGTTGCTGAAGGCCAGCGCTCTTTTACAGCGATTTTTATTTTAGAGAAACTTCGTCGCGCCGTAGTTAAGAAACATTAAAGTTAATTTAACAAGAAACGGCGGTCCCAAGTATTCGTACACTGTCGTTAGAGCAAGTATAAAACAACTGGGAGAAATAAGAATACCTTTCCTGGCTTTCCACAATCAAATGCATCGTGCTTGGGTTCTTCCATCCAGATATTGTGCAAAGTATCATGAAATGTTGTCGATATCTCCATTATAGGGATTAATGAACCACAACGGTAGCATAAGCGATGTCTTTTGGTCTTCGTAAGTAAACAAAGTACACGTGCGTTGCCTAGACAAAAAAACCCAGTCACTTTGGTAGAATGATGCCGCCAACATTCGAAAACCACTAGAACACCGCCCAATGGCAGTCCATCATCAGTAGCCACACGCTTAGCCATTATTTCCACGGATTCCTGGTCTTCCTTCAGAATCTGTTAAAAAGCAACGAGATATTAATGGGATGGATAACTGATCAAGCGGGCGAGCGAAGCGAGCCCGCGTTTCTAATTCAAGACATATTGAGGGTTCTATGAGACGGGGAGAACCCACAAATTTGGGTCGCCACAAATTTTCATGGTGATTCCTATACAATTCGATTTGCTGAGTCGAACTGAAGTACTCGAGGACCTCGAACCAGGGTCCCCGGGGTCGCCACCACGATATGTACCCTATTTGTACAGTTTGATGTGCTGAGTCGAACTGAAGTACTTGGGGACCTCGAACCCGGGTCCCCGGGGTCGCCACCACGATATGTACCCTATATGTACAGTTTGATGTGCTGAGTTGATCTGCTGCTTATGTCTTATCTGATTATATTCTGCTTTGGTACTCAGCTTTGTACTAGCACTGTGATACTTATTAAAGGTCTTATCATCAGTCGATCTAAAGTACTCGGGGACCTCGAACCCGGGTCCCCGAGGTCGCCACCACGTCTTGGACTGTATATGCACAGTTTGACATGCTGAGTCGAACTGAAGTACTCGGGGATCTTGAACTCGGGTCCCCGAGGTCGCCACCACGTTTTGGACTGTATATGCACAGCTTGACATGCTGAGCCGAACTAAAGTACTCGGGGACCTCGAACCCGGGTCCCCGAGGTCGCTACCACGTTTTGGACTGTATATGCACAGCTTGACATGCTATGATGCTAAGCCAAACTGCAGTACTCGGAATCTCGAACCCAAGTCCCCGAGGTCGCCACCGCAATATGCAATATATATGCACAATTTTAGAAGCTGAATCGAACAAAGTTCCACATTATATATTTTAAATGCTCACTGGTTAGTTAAACTGAGGTACTGTACGGTCCAGCATCCTGCAACTCGGAAAAATTTTAAACGGTGCAGTCACATATATGTTGCACGATGCTGATTACAATCGCGTTCAAGCCTACCAGTTAAGTTAAAAACAGCGCATATTGGCCAAAATATGCGACTTATACCACCTAGCAGTATAAAATCTGTAATATCTGGATAAATTTTTTATTTACCGGTAAGTATTACAAATTTTGTGTAATAATCATCCAAATCAAGTATGGGAAAACGTTCCATGACGTCTACGCGCGTACATCAAAGATGCCGCTCATCGCGCACCTGAGATACTGATCTTCTCTAATTCGGATCGCGGATATGCTGCATCGCATGGTTATCAGTTGGCAGATCATATCCGCGGATTCAGTGCGAGCTGAAGTGAAGACAGCAGCATCTTTTGAGCACTGAACTGCATAATATTGTTTATGGTTTGTAGAACCAGAAAAACTGCAATTCAAAAATTTCTAGACTTAAAAACTCATGAAAATAATAGTAATCCGTCGGCGCTCTATGTTAATCGAAAATTAGAGCGAAAAATAATTACTTTTCTACAGCTAACATAGCTGCCGTACTGGCAGGCCACCGCTCAAGATCTGAGCGAAGATCGGTATCTCAGGTGTGCGATGGGCGGCATTTTTGATGTGCACGCGTACACGTCACGGAACGTTTTCCCATGCTTAGTTTGGACGACTATTACACAAAATCAGTAATACTTACCCGAAAATTAAAAATTTTTTCAAATACTACAATTTTATCCAACTAAGTGATGTAAGTCGCTTATTTTGGTCAATATGCGCTGTTTTGAATTTTACTGGTTACATACATGATGATAATAATAATTATTATTACAGTATACTGCCGCTACATAGAGAGAGTTGAATATTATTAAGTAGCTGAACGCAGTCGGCTCTACTTTCACCTGCCTGTAGTACAGTCACTAGTACTGCACTACTCGTACTGTGCAGAATTTCGACAGTACGTACAGTCAGTACAGTACAGTCAGCAGACTCAGCACAGTCAATACGAATGTCAGTACAGTACTCGGAAAACTCGGCTTATTTTAGGATTTCAAAAACGTGAGACCATCTTGAAGCGTTGTCCCATACATAAAGAACAAAATAAACTTTCTCAAAATAAAAATTCTAAATATTTTAACATATCTATTAAAAAATTTTCTTAGCATCTATAAATATTTTTAAAAAGTTCTAAATATTTTTAAATAGTTCCAAATATTTCTAAATATTTATAGATCTTCAAAGATATTATTCTAGATATTTCTGAAAATTTATAAGGATTTCTGAATATTTCTAATTTCTATTCTATATTTCTCAATATTTCTCAATATTTCTCAATATTTCTCAATATTTCTCAATATTTCTAAATATTTCTAAATATTTCTAGATATTTCTCAATATTTCTCAATATTTCTAAATATTTTTAAAAGTCTTTGAATTTTTTATTTTTCCGAATTATTTTTAAATATTTCCGTTACACAGTATTTAGATATGCAAGCACATACACATTTCATTAACCGAGGAAGCAGCTAACATGCACAAATTGTAAGTGCGTCTTTAGTGGTCTCATAATTTCGTTCAAGAACAAAAACGCTATGCGAAAAATGAAATAACTAGAATTAAAAAGATTCCCGTTATTTATTTTTCTTGCTTATTAAAATTCTAGATTAGGAAATATTTATGAGTTTTGAAGTAAATAGTAAGCTACTACCCTCAGCTTTTTGTTTATTGCCTGTACCATTTGTCAGATTTGAGATACGAGTGATTTAAGAAATAACTAACCGATTTTAAAATTTTTAAAATTTAATTTGAGCTTTCTTATAAATTATAGAAAATTATTTTCCTAATTATTTTGTTAAATATGCATTCAGTTTCAAAGTAAAACGGATTATATAGTATAGGATTATATAGTAAAACGGATTATATAGTATGTAGTTCGGGTTTTTGGCTGTGTATTTAGGATATCTACTAGATCCCACGTTTTCTGCCCAAAATTGTTTTCATAATATTAAGCGTAATTCTTTTAAAGGAGAATTTATACTATGGTAGCAAGATCGAAAATGAGATTTTTGAAATTCTACAGTGTAATAAGAAAGGTTACATCTATTAGTAGGCGGAAGTTGAGTAAAATTAGGTAGCAACGAAAAAAGTTATTCAAGTTTTTTCGTTGCCGACCAGGGGCGATTTGGCGGGCTGGCGCATCTTTCTACACTACTGCTACCTGTGGTCAAAATCAGTGAAAGAAAGATTGCTTCAAGAAGCGCTTCTTTCATTCTGGAAGATGCCTTGTGGTTGTTATATATACCATGCCAGCTTGCAAGTGTGATAGGAGCAGACAAGGCTCATGTTTACACAGTGAGGACGCTTAGAGCATGACAAAGGCGCCAGACAATGGAAAGACATAGCGCTGTCCCGTGACTGCACATGAAAGAGTGGCCAAAGTCCACTCTTCGGTGTGTACCCAATAATCTGGTGTGGCGGCACTGCAGGCGCAGAATTAGTAAGACCAAAGGAAAGCGCAGAACAAAAGAAAGTTCTTCGCCACGTTCTGAAAAATTTTATAAAAATGACTTCTAAACTCAACAACAATTTTCAAAGATGTCAGAAAATTCTGACATTTGATCAGATTTAAGAAAAATCATTTTCAAAAAAAATTGTGGAGCGTTTTCGCAGAAATTGTTTATATATTCTGTAAAAAATAAAAGAAAGTAACTTTGGGTGTCAAAAAGTTTGTTTTTTTCGAGAATGGTTGAGTTTTTTGGGAAAAACGCTCCACAAAACTTTAGTCATTTTAGCGGAGCACATCGCTACGTTTGAAATTTCAGAAATCTGCTTGAATTGTTATTGCAAAAAAAAAATTTCAAAAATCTGCTTGAATTGTTATTGCTTCCGGAAAATAACGGCTTTTGATCAGTGACTTTTACATTTTAAAATTGTCTAACCAATTTCAGACTTACAATGTATGTAGTGAAAATATCATAGTGTTAGGTCAGATGTGTAGTTATGATGCAGCACAAGCGCACGCATTGTGCCAGTGAAAATTGTCGAAAGAGGTCGAAATCGGTATAATCTGTTCTTAAGATATGGTTTTAGTCTCAAAATCAGATTTCAGGCTGATTATTTTCTAATCTATCAAATTTTCTATTCTAGATGCTGATCTACTTGTAAATCTGAAAACCACCAAGATTCATTTTTTTAATAGTTACCGCAAGTTTTTCATCATCTAGAAACCATATTAGCAACGTATATATTAATATAAGCTCGCTGATATTAGCCTGTCACGAAGTGTTCTTTAAATGTGTTCTGTAAATTAAATTGCCGGATGCTCTGCAGAAGTGAATCTACCAAACTTACAGCGCTGAATCTTGAACGTTGCAATACCAAAAAACTTAAAATCGCATCCACTTCCGATCAGTCGAATTTATTAAGTAATCTTTCAATGAATACAGCGGTAGCAATAGACAGCACCCGTTTGGAGGCTTTAATTTATTGTTTACGTGCAATGTTATTACTTAGCTTGGCGCTTATATTAGTGTGAGCAGTGCACAAAATATGTTTCGGTTTACGACTATCGACCTGTGCGTTTCGCTGCAGTTTTGTCTTTTACGACTGATGGTTTTCTCGCTATAAACAATTATAACAATGTAAGACGATTTTATATCCGGTTGGGGAGATTTTAGACGAAAGTGACGGAAGCACTATTACGGTATTTTTTTCAGGTTTTAACCTAAACTTTATAGTTTTTGAAATATATTTTAAAATTTAATGCAAATTGCTAGAGCCGTTGTTAGGTATACAGATACTCATATACACTTATGCGGACTGCATACTTATGCGCATTTACATTTAGATTTGAACAAGTCGCTTCATGATCACATTTTTCATGTACTGGTTTGAAACGTATTGAAATCTGTATCGCCTATACTCTCAAACCGGACGTTGCGTCCACAACGGCTTTCACTGCAGTTTCACGAATTATTTGTCCACAGAATGTCACTAAGGAAGGTAAAAAAGTGTTTGGGAGTGAGCGAAAGCGAAAGTTAGAACGGATTCTGTAATATTTACACGGCACTTCCTTTGAAACTAAATGTCAACTGCCACGGCCAATTTGCGGCGTCGGCGTTTACAGTACGTGTTATTAAATACAAGCAGGACGCGCGGCGCTTACGCGCCGCACTGACGCGGCTCACAGTTTCAAGCGGTTTAAGTGTGGGTGCTGCACACGTGGCCTTCGCCCTTCGGTGACCGAAGGTTAAATTAGGCAGGTACCGCACGCGTGCCCTTCGGTAACCAAAGGCTTGAAAGGCATTCGGTGACCAAAGGCATAAAAGGGCGGGTACTGCACGCGTGGCCTTTGTGACCAAAGGCTTCAAAGGGCGGGTACCGCACGCATGGGCTTCGGCGACCAAAGTCTTAAAATGCCTTCGGTGTTCAAAAGCTGAAAAGGCCTTCGGTTACTAAAGGCTAAATTAAGCAGGTACCACACGCGGGCCTTTCGGTGACCAAAGGCTTAAAAGGCCTTCGGTGTCCAAAAGCTTAAAAGGACTTCGATGACCCAAGGCATAAAAGGGTGGGTACCGCACGCGTGGCCTCTGTTACCATAGGCTTAAAAGGGAGGGCACCGCACGCGTGCCTTTTGGTGACCAAAGGCTGAAAAGGCCTTCGGTTATTAAAGGCTTAATAAAGCAAGTACCGCACGCGTGCCCTTCGGTGACCAAAGGCTTGAAAGGGCGGGGACCGCACTTGTGGCTTCATTGACCAAAGGTTTAAAAAACTTTGGGTGACCAAAGTTTTAAAAGGCCTTCGGTCACCAAAGGCTTATCTTCGGTGACCAAAGGCTTGATAAGGCGGGTACCGCACGCGTGGCCATCTATCTGTGACCAAAAGCTTAAAAGGCCTTCGCTGTCCAAAGGCTTAAATGGTGGGTGACGCAAAGTTTGTTAAGGTAAGTAAAGTTCTCAGGTTTGTTAAAGCACTAAGGTCTTGAAGCTTAGTAAGGAATACATAAAGCTAAATGTGAGAGTCGGTTTATCAGGCGAAGGTTTTACAGGTAAAGGCACTAAATTTCGGAAGCTTAGTAAGGATAAAGGCGTAACAGCACTGGTTTAAGGGACTGCAAAGCTTAAAAGTCGCTAGGTTGGTTCTGGCCAATCAGAACGTTTTGGAGGCGGGAGCGTTCCGGAATCAGATCTCTGCTTTAATGCTTTAACAAGCAGGACGCGCGGCGCTTACGCGCCGCGCTGACGCGGCTCACGGTTTCAAACGGCTTAAAAGTGTGGGTATCGAACGCGCGGCCTTCGGTGACCAAAGCACAAAAAAGCCATCGGTGACCAAGGCTCTAAAAGGCCTACGGTGACAAATGCTTAGAAGGCCTTCGGTTACCTAAAGCTTAAAATGCCTTCGGTAACCAAAGGCTCAAGAGGCCTACGGTGACAAATGCTTAGAAGGCCTTTGGTTACCAAAAGCTTAAAATGCCGTCGGTGACCAGAGGCCCAAGAGGTCATTTGGTGACCAAAGGCCTAAAAGGCCTTCGGTGACTAAAGGCTTGAAATGGCTTCCGTTACCAAAAGGTTTAATAAGGTGGGAACCGCATGCGTGGCCTTCGGTAACCAGAAGCTTTAAAAGCCTCTGGTTACAAAAATCTTTGAAAACCTTCCGTCAACAAAGGCTTTAAAAGCCTTCGGTGCCCAAATGCTTAATAAAGCGGATTCCGCACGCGTGACATTCGGCTCAAAAGCCCTTCGGTGCTCAAAGCTTAAACAACCTACGGTGTTAAAGATCTAAAAAGCCATTGGTGACCAACGGCTTAAATAGCCTTCGGCTACCAATTGCTGAAAAGGCTTTTGGCGACCATAAAGCTTAAAAAATTGGGTACCACACGCGTGGCATTTGGAGACCAAGAGCGTAAAAGGTCTTTAGTTACTAAAGGCTTAAAAGGCCTTTGGTGAGCAAAGGCCTCCGGTTACCGGTGGCGGTGACAAAAGGCTTAGTAGAGCGGGCACCGCAGGCCTGGCATTCGGTAACCGAAGGTTTTCGGTTACTAAAGGCTTAAAAGGCCTCCGTTGACCGAAGGCTTTATAAAGCGTGTAAGGCACGCATAATCTTCGGTAACCAAGGGGTTGAAAGGTCTTCGGTGGCTAAAGGTCTAAAAAGCAATCACCGGCCAAAGGCCTAAAATGCTCTTGATGACCAAAAGCTCAAAAAACTAAATACCGCACGCGTGGCTTACGGCTAGAAAGTTTTTTAGGGTTTATTAGTTTTGCTACGGTTTCCAAAGCCTAGTTGCACTAACTTTAAAGCTTAGCTTAACCAAACTTTGAAAGCTTAGTGTGTTTGGAAACATTACTTCTGGAAGAACTGGTAGTTTAAACTGATCTGGTAGATTTGGCAGTTCTGAACAGGGGCGGCCAGAGCTTCCCGGTTTGGGGGCGCCAGCAGTATTGGCTTGGGGTGGGCCAAGCCCATAAACCGCTATGTTAAAAAAGTTTTTTGGAAGGGGCCATGGCCTCCTGGCCAAGGGGCCGCCTATGGTGCTGAATGATTTGGTAGTTCTGGAAACGGCACTTCAGGATGGTTCTGGATGACCTAGTAGTACAGTCTAATCTGGTAGAGTTGGTTTATTCGGTTTAATCTGGTTTTCAGGCTGATCTGGGAGATTTGGTTTTTCTGGCTGAACTGCTAGTTTTGCTTGTCTCGCTGATCTGGTAGTTCTGGCTGACCTGCTAGTTTTGTTCATTTGGCTGATCTGGTAGATCTGGGTGATCTGGTGGTTCTGGCTAATCAAGTAAAAGACACTTAGGTCTCGAAACCTTAGTAAGGGCTAAGGCTAAGGTAAGGATCCATCTGATCTGGTTAATCGGGTAAAAATTGTACAGGTACTGTACTAAGGTTTCGAAAGCTTAGTAAAGGCTTTGGAAGACAACGAAGGTTAAAAGGCTGTACAGGCCTGAAAGCCGTAAGGCTGGTTCAGGCCAGTCAGAAGGTAAGGCCGGCTCTGGCCAGTGGCCAATCAGAAAGGTTTGGAGGCGGGATCTGTTCGAACAGAGAGTTCTGCTTTAATATACTGGATAATATGGATAATATATAGGATACTTATCGCATTTGCTGCCTTATACATTTAAAATCATTTAAAATTGAAAACCGCCGCCCGCTTGCATTAAGGGCGTATGAGACCTTATATTAGTTCAACTTCAAGACATATTGATTTTTCATGGTGATGAGATCAACACAGCACGTTTGCTTGCCCAGTCTAGGCCGGAAGCCGGCCTCTGGCTGAATGCCCTGCCTTCGGCTCACATCGGTAATCTGTTGGGAGATGACGAACTGAAGATCAGCATTGGTCTCCGCCTCGGTGCCACGATCTGTGACCCTCATGACTGCGCTAAATGCCATAAACCAGTTGATGGTTATGGGCACCACGGGCTGTCATGTGCCTTTTCCGCAGGACGGCATCCGCGTCAGCGGTAAAACAGTATCTTTTGCAGAAGTTTTGTATCTGCAGGTGTACCTGCAAAACTGGAGCCGCGCGGTACCTCCACACTACCGAACGCCACCCGGACGGCTGCACGACATTCGCCTGGAAACGCGGGTTGTGTCTCGCATAGGATGTAACCTGCGTAGATACAGTTGCGCCGTCACATGTCAAAGCCACTTTTGCCACTGCGGGAGCGGCCGCCGTGCAAACGGAGGATAAGAAGTCTAGATTTTATTCCTATATGGATGACCGTTACGTGTTCGTACCGATCGCCTTCGAGACGCTTGGATCATGGGGTCCGTCGGCGATTGCAATCGTCAAAGAGCTAGGGAAAAGACTGCAGCAGCACACGGGAGAAGCACCTCGCATGAATTTTTACGGCAGCGTTTTTGTCGATAGAAATCCAAAGGGTAAATGCTGCGTCAGTGCTGCCACAATGGAGGGGCAGGATAAACTACATGAAATTCGCTGCCGCTTAGTGATTTCAAAATCAGCATCTTGAAAAGAAAATATTATTTTAATGAACATAATATTCTAGAAACTGTAACACGGGAGAGTTTTTCAGCCCATTGGAAGGCGTAATTATCGATGCCCTCATGGATGGTGTCAAATTTGGGACTGTTAATTACTCACGCTGTCCCGTAGGGTTTTCAAGGGAATTCCAACATACCGATGTATGCCGGTGGGTGATCGTGCATGCGTAGGTAAGTCTGTGCAGTGCGATGCGTGCCGGTTGTATATAAGAGCAGATATTCGGATTTATTTCACCTGTTTAAGGTCACAAGGAAAGCAATGCCAATCACTACTCTTGTCCCGTGAGGAAATTGCTATAATTTCTCCCCGACTGACAGCTGAATAATGACAATGCAAATGGTCGCAAGATCGCTTACATCTGTAGCACACCCAAGACCTGTTGTTTACGTGATATTTTAATGCGCCGATTAATCTAATCAAGAGTACGTACATTCACATTTCAACGGGTTGTTACGCAATCGTAAGTATGCAGTGCAAAATTGCTTTAAAATAGCAACATGCCAACAGCAAAGAATTACCGGAAACAGGACTGAGTGCATAAATAGCGTTCGTCCCTTTTATTTTTTTGTGGTAGAATGGTCTGTCTTTGCCGCACTGTCAAATCGACACGATCGTGTATAATTTGTCTGATGAGAAAGAAAAGCATCGCTAACCACCGTCTGCTCAGCGTATTTTCGAAATTGTCGTTTCCCTTTTCAACAATAGTAAGAAAGGTTACGTATGGCGCACCTTGTGAGAAAATGTGACTGTGATATACAAAACCTTTATACCGTAACTATATTCGCTAGGACACGACGTGGTCGCACAGCAGGCACTGCTGACAATTTATTCATTTCACCGTTATTATTCGCATCAGAGCATAATTTAACTGCGCTTTGATAATCGCCGCGCAGATGCTTCCTGTTATGCACGCGCGACTCATTATACTTTCGGATTCCTAACGAGACATAAAAGAGCCGTGCCGCAATCAGTAAAGAAATAAAATTTTTACTGGCATAAAATAATGCAAGAATGCTCAACAAAACTTCAATTTTCTTTGCGCTTATTTTCAACAGACGCATCTTCAACCAGTACAAATTTACACGATTCAGCCTTCGTAAAGAGAAACTTTTCATCACAGAATAACACAATGCACAACACATTTGGCCAGGTACTGTAAAGCCGAAATCCACCACAAGCCTTTACGATTTCCACCACTGTTACTTATCAAACCGTACGGGGGCTCGCAGCGAAAATAAACCGGCACCGACGCGAACGCGTTCTCCGATAATCAGCTGAGCAGATGGACTTTGAAGGGTATCCCGGGCTCCTGGAAAAGAAAAACACATCTCTTCTATTAACAAAAAAATTATTACATCTTCCGAATATCTGAAAACCACTGTCCATTAAAAATATTAATTTTGTTTCTTTTAATACTTCAAAAATGCTAACTTCGCTCGAATGTTTCAATATAAAAATGAGAAAAAACCGACGCAAAGCAAACATTTCCGGTAACTGCAAAAGCAATGAATCTCCTCTCTTGTCTCGCAAAGTAACGACAGACTTACCGTTGACAACAGCATCCCGGTAAAAATTCATGGATGTTTCAAAACTCATTTTCTGGAACGGTGACGCATTACTGGCAATGGCCAATCGATTAAACGCTTTAACCACGCCATCCCGACTCATATAATCAGCCACCAAAGACAAATGCCGATAATTGACATCGATCCCGTATGCGCCGAATACGCTATTGCACTCCTAGCAATTGTCAAGCAGATGAAACACCAGGCACTTTTTTCCCTTAAGCTCCAGACAAAAACTATCGACTGCGCTATCGCATTACCCATGCACACACACATTCACTCACCCGGATTATGGTCTTGGCTGCCGCTTCTGTCCCGAAGCGCTCCGCCACCGCTTGGATATCATTGGACATGAGTCGATTCAGGTCCACAATTTCATCAAACTGCATCATGTAATCGAAATTGACACCTTCCGTTCGCAGCATCACAACACCATTCTTCTCCTTGGCCAGAAAGGCTTTACGGATGTTGGCCACCTGATGCACGACACATTTCTTCAGTTCGGATTCAATTAGCGACTGCGGATCGGCAGCCGCATTGGACATGGCCAACGCACCGCAATGGCCAACGTAAGCCGATCTTCCGGATCATAACGATAACCCACGAATCCACACCAATTACTCCCTACATATCACGTCTCCGTACAACGTAGCCCCAGTACTGAGAACGGAGAAGCACCTTGAGAAAGATTCAACCAATCGTTCGAAGTTTGTTTCAATCAATCGTACGGAACTTGTTAACTCGAAAAGCTAAAAATCCGATGCATAACATATATGAGACAACGATCCCTAGAAAAATATACGGTATCACACCATGTACGAAACATACAAAATAAATCGCAACAATCAATAACAAACAGGCGGTTAATAGTGAAAGAAAAAAAAAGCGTGAAATTCTTGAAAAGAATCCGCCACGTTGTTCCTGACACGGAGGGTCCACTTTTAAGGCCCATGCCGCGTATTCGCGCGTATTTTTTGAGCTGATTATAACAGTTCTGTTAGATAGAACCTAAAGCAATGTTCAAAAGATAATCGGTTATCAGGCGCCTTAAATAATAAACGCGGTGATGCAGAACAACGTTACCTGCAGGCTGGGCACCATCTTGGTACACTTCTCTTCCAGCTCGTTGTAACTACGCACTTCAGTTTCGGTTTCCGCGGCACTGGGGCGCAGACGTTCAAGTTCCTCACGCATTGCATCATCGTAGTCGTGCTAAAATAACCAAAAAAACATTGAAAAAACCGCGTCGCATCACTTACACTCAAGTAGCAATACGACATACCGACTGAATTTGCCCTTTCTTGTGTTGCAGATCTTTGATCTGCTGTTCAAGATGTTGGGTTTGACTGCGATTATGGTTCACCTCCTGCAGCAGACGGTCGCGTTCAGCGCGCAGGGTTTCCAGTTCACCTCGCAATTCCCCGTTATCGTTTCTACAAACAAAAAACTCACGACTGATGAAAAACGTGCTGTATTATCAAGCACACCAGAACCCACATAACGATAATTCAAAACATGTTTCTCGATAGTTAAATAACAGTTAAGTTAATTCGTTAATAAACAGCAGACGGAAAACTTTTAAGCGTCATTCCATACTATTCACACTACGGATTAAACAAAATAGTAAGCATTTCAAGGGATGAAGCGTTATCGTTTCTACAGGCGTTATCGTTTCTACAGGCGTTATGGTTTCTACAAGCGTTATCGTTTCTACAGGCGTTATGGTTTCTACAAGCGTTATCGTTTCTACTGCAAACAGCTATCAACCGGCGCTTCCACCCACGCCAAAAGGCAAGGAAATTAAATTATTAAACCGACTTACTGGACATGGACCACTGAATGTTGGCTGTGTTCGTGTAGGCGCTCTACTAAATGCATGATTTTCATAGCCGCACGGGATTCGGCTTCCTGTAGTTTCTGAGCCATCTGCGTAATCTCCACGGCGTGCTTGTCCTGTCCTTGCTTCAATCGCCCAGTCAGATTTTTCACTTCCGTTTCCAGAGCCGGCACGCGTTCTGCCGTTACACGAGCGACATCGTTTACTTCGCGCAGACGCGACTTTTCAGCATTCAACAAGTTCCTGTATAAAATTTCAACATTCACTGGGATAATTCGAAACAGACAAATCAAAAGCGATTAAAAACACCAATAATCGCAATAATGCAGGGAAAACATACTTTATATCTCGTAACTGATCAGCCAAAGCTTTGTTCAATTCTTTCTCTTCCACGAGCTCTCGCTCTCTGTCCGCAATTATTCGCTTTGCAATCGTAGAAGGATCGACTTGTTCGCTTTTTCCCAGCTAGGATAGCAGTACAGAAAATTTGCGGCGCGTACATATGTACACTTCCATCAAACATACCGGATGTACCTCGACAAAATTCGATTAAAAATTATTAAGTGAGATAGCCACAAACACATTAAAATGCAGGATTATGTAATGGCCTAAAAAATTCACGTACCTGAACCCATTCCGTATGACGTTCACTTTGTTTGTCAATCAAAATCTGGAACAGTTTCTGAGTCTCTGCGTCCGATAATGGGATGGAATTCAACAATCCCAAAACCTCCTGATACACAGAGCCTAAAAAATAAAGTGCACATCAAAAGTTGAAAAAAGCGATATCCAGACAGGAAAATTATATTTGGCATTTAGAGCGGCTCAATCAGCCCACGCTCGCAATTCGAATTATATCGAACAACGATAATAAAAAACCTGGTTGAAGAATAGGTACTTAATCTAACAAATGCAAGTGTCTATATTCACAAAATCAATATTCGCTTTTCCCTCACAATTTCCTTGAACAACACACCAACATCATTACAGTCAGCTTACCGGAAGTAAGTCCATTGACAGCAGGTGCAACAGCCTTCTTGGCGTCTTCCTTGTGCGCTCCGCGTGTGTCCTGCTTCACAGGTTTCTCACTTCGTACCTCGGTCTTGGTTTTCTTGGGAGCTTCATGCTCCACAGGAGCACTTTTAACCTGCGTCGCCGTCGCAGTCTCGCGTTCCTTCTTGGCAGTCTCCTGTTTGTGCTCCTTTGTCTTTACAACACCCTCTTGCTGCTCCTTCGCTTTTCCAACTTGTTCTTGTGTTTTCTCCACAGGTATATTATCCGCATGAAGCTTAACGGCCTCCGCATAGGTTTCATCAGGCTTGCGGTGATCATTTTCTACCTTTTTCTCCGTTTTCTTGGCGGCGGGCGCAGATGGGATTTTCCCAGCTGGTTCGACTTTTCCCTCACCAGCGATCGTTTCCAGCTCATCCGGACGATGCTTAATTTTTTCGGGAATGTGTGCAGCGGCTACCTTGCCATCTTTTGGTTTTTCTGCTTCTTTTGCGTGCTTTTCTTTGGCTAGAGTTGGGAATTTCCGCTCTTTTACAAGAGTTCCGGCGTCACTGCTCCCGCCGTCGCTTGTGACCTTCTTCTTCGGTTTTTTCGTGAGCTTGTCCTTTTTCAGCGCCCTTGCGGCCTCGCCACGACCGCCGCGCTGCTCTGCCAGAGCCTCTTCGTAGGTCTTTTCGCGGAGACTGTATGAGATAACGAAATAGGCCGCGGCAATGCAGCCCAAGCCAATTAGGGCTGTGATGATCTCGATGCCAAACATTGTCACCAGTCTGCAAAGTTTGCATGAAAATGATCCTCCGTTCTTCGTTGCTTTTGGGAATACTAAATCTTGGGTATAACTTTCAAAAACAAGAGACTGCTGATTGTGCCTCGGAAATCTTGCGTCGCTTACTTACGCTGGCACTGGTGATTTGGTACTGTAACAACGGCTACCGCACCCGCCCTTGGAAGCGCTACTTAAAAATTGATCGAACCACCCCGGAGGACAGCTACTTGAAAACTGCGGTTTTGCGCTGTCCATACTCGGGCCTCGGGGACCTCTGTGGTTTGCCTCTTTCCAACTTTTTCAGCTAATCAGCTCTAACTATCTTTCGAAAATAAATTTCTGGCAAAAAAAATGTATAAACCACGGCTACGAAATGATATAATCAAAAGAGTTTCATCCAGTCAAAGAGGAGTTGGAGGAACGGCGTTTTAAGCTTTTAGCTGTCGACTCAATACAGTGGTGGGTTGGTCGATTTTGCAGTGGTGGGTTCTCCACTTTTCCCATAGGCTTTGTATGTTAGCTATTCTTAAATTTTTCTTTTAAACTTTAGATTCTTTTCCAAAACTGATCCTTGTCGCGTCATCTGCACACCTGGCGCTATCGAATGACATGTAGATACCTAAGTTTGGTTTGGTGTGTCGCTCAGAAGAGGGCTCTTTGTATGGAATATGCTAAGGCTTATTTTATTAAATACTGTACTACTGTACTGTTATAATTGTCTTTTATTTCTCAATAAGTACAGCAACGAGCACCACTCAGTATAATACAATCAAATGAAGAACTTGTCCCAGTTAACATGAGAAGGGACTGTGCATAATATGCTCATAGCGTTACCTCGCATAATCTCCAAACTTAAACTGTTATAATGGTATTGCCATAGTGTAATTACATATATAGCAGACAGTGAGATTTCTCTCAAGCGTAGCTGAATAGCTTGAAACCGTATGTTAACAAAACTCCATTACGCAGAGAGGGGATGGTGTAATAGAGACATTACGTACATGGCTTTCTATCCTGAGAGCAACGGTGTGCCATGGCTCTCTACTCTGTGAACACATACAAATAATACAAGTACTTGTATAGTTACTGTTCAAAACTACACATTGTTCTATTGTTCGGCCTGCATCAACAACTTCATTTGTTTACAATTAACATTTAAACGAAACACAAACAAGATTAAAAATTACCAATTCAGAACCACGCTGTACTATTTAATGCAGTATCAAATCGCCTAGCATAACCATTTCAATCAAAATTTATCAAAAATAAAAAAAGTTTTGTTCTGCAAGATGGGATGGTGCTGCAAACTGAACTTATCAGTACCAGCAAAATTTAGTATCATGTATACTGTGTTGCCATGTACAGTGTAATAATGCCATCGAATAAAAGGTTTGACATGTTGCATAAGAGACTAGCAAGTAACAACATAATGCCATCGTAGAAAAGGTTTGCCCGCTTGCAGAGTTTCTAATACTGCAGGCAGTTTGATAAGACAATGCACTTATATAATGCGCTGTCTGGGATTATTGAATGGTGCCTGCCTATCGTAATGGGCAGGAGAAACGGTTCAATTGAATCTTTGAAGCTACTCTATTAGACCATCTCCTCAACTCCATTTAGTTAAAGGCAACGCTAATTACATTTTTGTCCTTTAACATCGACAAGTTGCAGATAGAGCGGCAGACAGAAGAAGACGGACTACAGTAGTAGACTTTGGTATTGCAGTTACAAGTGATAACGTATGGTTTCCGAAATGAATGGTTTCCGAAATGAATGGACACCGAAATGAATGGACACCACAGTTTGTGCCTTTGTACAATACATAGTCTGTAGTATACAGTGGAACCTCCTACTTTGAACACCCCCGAACGCTGAACACCTCTGAATCTTGAACAACTTTTTTCGTACCGGCGCTTCTCGTAATGTATAACATTAGGCGGGACCTCTGAACCCTGAACACCTCTGAACCGTGAACACTCTGCTATGTAACCTCCAGATATGAACAGAGCAGTTCAGCAAAACACCCGGGAAGATCAAGTGTGCAAGGTGTTCACGTAGATCATTCGTAACCATTCGTTTACCGTTCAGTAATTTTATTTCGTGGACAGATTTTTAGTTTTTAAATGAACATCAAGGCAAGAAATACGTCCCGGACAAGTTGACCGCTGCTTATTTTGATAAGAAAAATTCTAACCTCGATAATTTTTCGACCGACGAATATGAAAATTTATTTTTTTTAAATCGTAGTTGCCGTGTTGCTGTTGTCTTGCTCAACACGGCACGAATCGTACATTATGCTTATTAGCTACATTACATAACATGTGTACATTATATGCTTATTACTAGTATAAAGGTCGTAACCGCCCTTAGGGCAAGCGGGCGGCGGTATTTAATTTTCAATATGTAAGGCAGCGAACGTATTAAGTATTAACTGGTAAGCACTGAAGCTGCAGCACTGACCTTTGCGATTGATATTATTGCAGTTTTAATGGAAGTGCCCGGTAGTACTAACTTCAAGCGGTTTCGGTTTTGTATAAACCAAACACTTTTTATATTCTTTCATGCCATTTTGTAGATAAATGATTTGAGTATACTGAAGTGAAACTCGTTTGTCGTCTCGACATCCAGTTGATGAGTTATAGGTGATATACAATTTCAGTAGGTTTTCCAGCAAATCGGTTCATCATCAACAGTCTCATAATGAACCAGCATGTTCAAATTTTCTGTGTGAAATATGTGTTTCCGACACGCATATCTTGAACCAAACCAAGATTATCTCAAGAACGAAGTTCTTTATGAATTAATTTGAAAAATTGGATAGATTTCGATGATGTCCTGGAAGCGGGAAACTGAAATTACACATTCCAAAATTAGAAAATTGCTTCTTTTCAGCCGTGTTTGTCCAATGCACGTAATAACAGAAACTTCGCACAATTAAAGCTCGTGAAATGCGCAATTAAGTTTTGGAAAGCCAATCCCTGACCAACAAATTAAAGGCTAACCTGATTCGATCTTTTTCTTGCAAGAGCGATGTGTAAGCTACATTGAATTGTTAAACTGGCATGTTTTGTTGACACCTATCAAGCGGCAAAAACTTTTAAGAAAAACTGGCAGTCCATTTGCGCGGAAGAAATTGAACGAATTACTGTAAAACTATTTAACCTTACTTACGTGATTTAAAGACTATTTTTAAGGTTATTTGTTCTGGAATACTTTTACGCTTAATTTTTACAATAAACGTAGCGCAAAATTCATAATCAATGATTTTTTATTCAAATGCATGTTTACATTTAAAGTATACAGTATCATAACACTATTAAATTCCTCCGCTGCACAAAAAGCTACTACCCGGTACCATAGCAGCACTACGGCGGAATTCAAGTTTGCGTAACGTCTTTCCACACGATTTTGATCACCATCTCATGTTGTAAAATGCTAAAATGACTGAATTATTACAACCATAATACCGCAAACGTAGCACAAAGCCCAACCGCTACTTGTATAATTAAATTTCGATTGTTTCAGTTACGCTGAATGTGTTTTATAGTGTCAGGCTGACATGTATGCAAACCCTTCCAACCCCAGTCCCTGTAACGAAAAAGTTGCAAATAATCCAGAAACGTTCGTGTAACGTGGTACTTGAATCGCGCCTACCTAAACAGCAGCAATCCGTATTTTTTATAATATATTGCATACATCTCCATATTTTCTACTGACGGTCATTTACAAGAAAACGTAAAATTATGGTAATCGGTGTGCTATTTTTTGTGCTGTTAATTGCTTTAAAACTCCTTAAAACTGTTTAATAAATATCGATAAGCACTAATTTTGGGGGTATGTAGTTTATATTTTTAGATTTTATTTATTTTTTGCGCGTGCCTAGATTACGGGTACCCCTTACCCGCACCCTGAACAGGTTGACCACGCCAGACACTGGTAATTATTTTATTAATGTTTCCTTATATCCAGAAATTCTGTTTGACTTGCTGCTCCGCGAGCAGCGCTCGCGCCGCAGCTCGGCGTCGCCTGCGGCTTCCCCTTCCGTTAATAGTTCAAAAGTAGTCAGCTGTGCTTCCCAAATCTTTAGTTTTTACTGGAAATAATTAAAGCAATGCATTTTGACGAACAATAAGAATGCGAAGTAGGACAGGTAAAACATCGTTAACGCTCACAGTGCAGTTGCCGTTTCAAGCAACAGCCAATCAGTACTTCCGGGCCAACAATAAAATCATTATTTTATAACAAAAACGGGCGGATACGTTAAACTCAAACATATCGCTCCTCAAGTCGCAGTTAGTTAACCACAAACTGCTCTCGGAGTTATTTTCAACTTCCCAAATTGGCTGTTGCATGGTTGCGTAGGCTTTGTATAGTAAGGTTTCCCAGAGTAACCTTTAAAACGTAATTGCGTTTATTTTCTTAAATCAAACTGATTTTGTAAAAACTTTTTAAATGAAGGCTATCTGGAACTACACAGAGCCTAAAAATTGTCCCGGTTGGTCGATTGGGATGGATGCGCAGACAAAATGGCCACACTTCATCTTGTTCGTTTATTAGAATAAGTGACTTACAAAAATCAAATGAAAACTGGCATTTTTGGAATAATCACACAGTGCGCAAACTGCATAACTCGCCTAGTCCACAACTGCAATACTATCAACACAGGAGGTCTTCCACACGAGACAATTAAAAATATTCAAAATGTTCATGCGTGAAAGAAATGCCTGAAGTTAATATGTTTTGCAACTTGGGACATGAAAATTTTTTACACTAACTTTAACTGGCGGCGTTGCATTTTTTCAGAAAAGTTCTGTTGATGTTACGAGTTGACAGTGCGGCAACCGGCTCGCGTGTACAAGCTTGAACGATAGACGACATTGTGCTTGCAAAATGATAGCCGCTCTCACGCTGGATTTTTATTCGACACTTCCAGAAGTTTTTGTGTTATGATTATGCATTTTTCAAATTTTAAGTGTGTTTGCTGGGAAGAATTTCTGAGTTACAAAAAAAAAACAAATAAACATACAAATTTACTGATGAGTCATCTGCGTTCCACTGCATTCTTCGAAAACTCACAGAGATACCTTTTCAAGATGTTATTCAAAATATAACCTTGATTTTCGGTTTAACAATACCATGCGGGAACCATTTAGAAAA